TTTACCGAGAATCGCTATTTTTGACATTTACGACGCGCGATCTGGTAATGGGTAATTGTTTATGAAACACTTCTTTGGATTTAGTATATAAAATTAACAAGAGATACTTCAATTTTATAGTTTTGAGAATAAAGAAAGTAAATTACAACAACAACTATAAAAGAAATTTGAAGTTATAATTCTATTTAAAATTTTAATATTCTATTTCAGAGTTTTACTACCAAATACCAATACGTTTTTTAAATATTGACACTTGAATTGCGTAAGTCTGTTTTGTAAACATAGCAACGAAATCGATATTGTGACCGAACCCTTATTTAGTTTTAATATAATGGACACCTTATATTCTTTGGTTGCCATATTTTAAAACTAGTAATGTTTGACTTCTGACGCAACGCCGATCCGTTTGACAGGGTACACCTGTTATCTAAGTCTTAGTTTGCAACGTCACTATAAAATGAGCCCTTTTAATATTATAATATACGAAGATTAAAAAAAACTTTAAACGATCTGTATGTAGTATTAGGATTTTAAATGAAAAACGAGATACGCTTCGTAATGTGACGATACAAACTGGTGATAAGCTTAGATTTAGAGATAAATAGAATAATATACTTTAATGTACAACACAAAAACGTAATATATGTAAAGAATGTTACAGAAGAAAAAGAGAAATAATCTAAGTTGATACTATCATATTATACGAAGATTTATGAATGAAAAACTTAACACGCTTCGTATTTAGTTGGACGATACAAACTTTTGATAATTGTACTGTTCTATTAATAGAAATAATGAATAGCTTATTACATAATTGTCATTCTTTTAACGGAGTAAGCAAAAATAAATAATTACTCTGTAATATTTCTCAATTCATATTTGTTTTAAAATAATAATAACTAAATAAGACTCATTAAAATATATTATGGCATTGAAAATTCTAATTAAAAAAAAATTGTTTGCTTTATAATTACGTATTGCCAAAATAACTGACAGTTGCATTAAATATAAAATTGCCACAGACGCAACAGGTGCAAATGCTACTAAAAATAAAATACCAACCGACCCGAATAGTATTCTTATTTGTAAAACTTGTTTATGTATAATTTTATAGTTCGGATAATGTCTTCTTGCAAGCGAAGAGTTCTCAGTGCAAGCAACCGCGACTCAGTCAGTTCCACATTACGTAAAGCAACGTGCAGCCAATGACCCACTTAGGAGATTACTAAGCTAACGACAATAAAACTATATTAATGAAATAAAAAAAACACACACCTACTTAGAATCTATCTGCATTAAATTTTGTTCCAATTACAAATTCATATGATTGTGATAATTTTTTTCATGTTGTAATAATGACATTCTTACATCACAACCCACTTACGGAGCAACAACGGCTCTTTATTATCTGTGATATAGTCATATGATAATGTCAAAGAAGATATTTTTAAGGTACGTTAAACAAAATCGGACAGCAGTTTTTATTATAAGTTTCGTCAACAATAATATGAGCAAAGCATTACTTGCATTACCACACATTTCTATATAAATGCTGCAATCTAACGAATCGTGTGATTAATTCGATGTTATTATCTTAGTCTGTTTATACACTTACATGTCTACTATCTAATCGAAAGCTGATAAATAGGTATGTGACTATAAAACATTTTGTGCTGACATATAGGACGTGAAAAAATGCTTCGCTGCATTGTATAAGTGCGTTGTCACAGACCTATGTCTGCGGCACGTATGTTACGACTCCATTTAACTAACTATGATAATAAAAACCTTTGTGATAATAATATTGATAATTTTAAACCCGTTATCAATTACATATAGTAACAGTTAATAACATCGGTTAACAAACTAAGGCGTGTTCATATATAATTTGATAACTAGGTATGTCTTAGTGAATATTTATGACTTTCATCGTCACGCAGACGGCTGATAACAATATATAAGACAGACAACATTAGAAAGGTCATTACATTAAATATTTTTACTAATATAATAAACTAATGTAATATTTATAAGTAAAAACTCGTGTGCAAATACGACACATAAATAAAAATTACAATTATGTTTATTATTCAATTAAACTATTCATAATTAAGGGACTTAATATTTAATAATGACGATTAAAAAAATAATTTTATATCTGACTTTTTTTTGTTTGACATTATAATATTTGGACACAACATTAGTTCAAACTTAACGAAAAAGGTTTTATAACTACGAAATGTCGACTTCAAACGCTGTTTGACATATTTGTTCATATAATTGTCATACTTTTGTTTTAAAGGTGAATAGACAATAAGTCGAGTTTATGTGAATAAATATAATAATTTAAGAAATTAGAGACAAGCTTCAACTATATCATAAGTACATAATAAATATAAATTACCAATAACCAATAGTTTTCCGTCAACAAAGTCTTGTTGAATATATTTATTTACATTAGTATTGAAGAACAAATGGAATAATTGCCACACCAGCCATCGAGATTGCAGACAACTTAGGAAACAATGACAAACAACATGAAGGGTTACAATCACCATTAGAATAATAACAGAAAAACTATTATATTTTAAAATTGTGTAAAAATTCTCGATCTTGTACAGGAAATCGGTACGATCTAGCATATAATTAATAATTTCATTATATTTTACCTAGTCTTCGTAGTTTTTATTATAGTGACGAACATAAAAGGGGCCATTATAATAATTATCTTATGAATATACATCGGAGCCGTATTATGTATATATGACAGATATTGCCTCACTATTTTACTTAATACATATTTGTTTGCAATGTTTAATTTGCTATATTTATTTTAAATGTAGAATCAAGTCCTATACAAACATAGAAGATTATTAGGTTTTGCTTAATATTGTAGAGATATTTCATTTCATAGATATAAAGGATGAGGACAGTAACCTGTTTTTTACTTTTTATAATTCATTTATTTCATTCATAATCGTTGTCATAAATTTGAGGACAATTTAAGTGTAATATATAAATACATTGAGTTGATTTGGTGTCGTATGTATATGCTGAAATCGGTCAGATAATGACAGCTTGGAATTAAAATAAGTATAGTTGTCCTGCATCATATAACTCATTATGGTTTCTAAATCAAAAAGATACAAAAACCATAATAATTGCCATTTTATATGAAGTAATACATAAAACAAAATTGCAATGATTATTTTTATTGTTATAGGATCACTCACCTTAGACCCGCGAGTGGGAGCTGTTTTCCAACATAAAATTAAGGTAAACTTGCAAATATTATTCAAAATATATAGGACATATTTGGATTAGGTGAAAATTAAAAAAAATCTTTTGTTATTAATATAAATACCAGACAACATCTTAAAACATAAGGATTTCAAAGTAGGTAAGATATTATATATACGCTAATTATATAATAGGAATATTAAATTTTTAACATGAATTTCTGGTATCATAGAAAGTTACGTATATTTATGAAAATAGTATGTATATTATGTAATTACACGTGAATTAAAATATTTTAATATTTTTACGACATTTGATGAATGAGGTCAAGGTTTTTTAATCTGTGCGAATGTATGTGTATGTCATATGACATTACGCCATCTATCGAAAAAGCGAAGCAACATCATCAAAAGTCAGTTCTCAGAGAGTGACTAATAATAAGTAATATGCAACGTTTGATATGAGTATAAAATAATCCTTAGAATCAATTATAGCCACTAAATTAAAATTTATACCAAACGAACCGTTGGGTAATTCCAAAAAATATGTAAAGTAAAATGGATAATGTTACTATCATTAACTGATAGTACGGTGTGTTTCTGTTTCATACCTCTTGTGTCAGTGTAACTCAAAGTCTCGAGGTAATTCGTTATCTCATAGTTCGTATCACCTCATTTAATCACTGTTAATTTTACGTGACTAACCAATTCCGTTTTCTTTCAGATCACACAAAAATGGCTCTAATATTGCAGTATATAAATGATATGCATATATTTATGGATAAGTATGGAGGTAAGCAATAAGATTTTTATATGATATAGTACTGGAAAAGATATAATTAACATCTGTCCTAAAAAAATGCTAAGATATACATGGTGTTCAAATAAACTTCAAGTTTTAATAGGTTGATAAGCTAAGACAATTAATATATTCCATCTAAATCACTTTTTTACTAGTTTTATATATTTTATTAATTATAAATGAGTAAAAAATATTTTGAAATAAGTATATAATTAACCATTCATATATTTGATAAAAATTTCTTTTTAGTTATATTGATTTAAATTTAATATCCAATATAATTACAGACCATTTAATATTCAAACAAATTTTATGTTTTAATGTACTAATGAGCTTGGCAAATTGCACAGAATTTGTCAATGATGTCACCATATGAAAATGCATATTTATAGATTGTTACAATATATGCAATTTACATATAGATATATATAAATATATGTTTATATAAAATTAATATATATTTATATATAAATGAAGTACAAACTAAACACAAAATTTTACATTAATAATTATAAAAATAAAATATATATATGTATTCCAAAATATATTTTTTTAATGTATTTAATATTCAATTTGAAATCTTATTAACACTATACACAACCCTTGACAGAGATCAAGGCTTGTGTAAAGTGAAGTACTTAGAGAAGGAAGGAAATTTCAACCTGTTGATGCATTGCTTATACAATTTACATTTTGCCTCATATAAAACCTGTATTGTTTAACACCAAGAAGTTTGTATATCTTTTCCAAGTAACCATATTAATTATAATCTGTCATTGTGCTACTTTACTTTTTAATTTGGAATTGTCACAAGCAATAAATATAATGGAGGGAAACCATCAAATTAATCATTTAATATTGTTCTATTGAATAATAACCATTTGTAAAAAGATGGGTGGGATAATTTGTGTTGACATTCTATGATAGAAGTGATTTATAATATTAATTTTGTATTCCAGATCCTAGGACAAATCCATGGTTACTCATGAGCTCACCATTTCCTACTTTATTGATATGTCTTAGTTATGTTTATCTAGTCAAGGTGAATATATTTTTATTCATACACTATACATTATATGTTAAGTTGTTTTCTTTATAATAATGTACATTGGTTTCAGGTTCTTGGGCCTCGTTTCATGGAAAATAGAAAACCTTATGAATTAAAAAATGTATTAATAGCTTACAACTTTTTACAAGTTGTTTTTAGCTCATGGCTATTCTATGAGGTGAGATAAATGCATGTTTTGCTTATGACTCTGTTAATGCATACTATTGTTCTTGTGTTGTTTTGAAGGTTAAATTTTGATTGAATTTACAACTACTGGAATGTGTCATTTGACATATTTTTTTTTACACTAGCAACACCTAAATGTCAATAAGAAATAAGATATAATTCTTATTTTTTATTTGTATATGTTTAAACAAATTTTATATCTATAAATCTAACAAGTTTCACCGTTTGAGCTGTTATTTGATGTGTTTTCAAATTGTTTCATAAAACTGCTATTTATTTAATAGATAGTTTGATAGGTCATTAAAACGTTGTAAATGATTTATTGAAGATAAATAAAAAACGTTAATACATGTACTTTAACGGAATGTAAAAAATAACTATAATTTTTCGCGTATATATAGGAGACTAATAAACATTACTGAAATAAATAACATAAAAAAGAAATTTATAGCATAATAACTTACTATGTAGCAGTTTGGTGTAAAGTTCCAGTGATGTGAGTGTTATAACTTTACCGCAAGTATTGTGGTCGTTCTTTTTTGAGGCAATATAGTATTTTTGGTGGTGCAGTAAGTTTCTGTTAGCTCGTTATTTATGTTATTTGCAATGTACCCAGAGCATGATGGGAGGCTGGCTGGGCCATTACAGTTTTCGATGTCAACCAGTGGACAGATCAAACAATCCGATAGCTATTAGAGTAAGTGATGAACCAAACGTCACTGTAAATAGAACATGATCATGATGTATATAGCTGGATATTACTGTGTACTCTATACTAACACAATGTTTAATACCAGATGAGATATATTTGGTATGGCATTATATATGCAGGTGGTGTAAAATTAACAGGGAATCGGTGTGGGAATTGTTTCAGATTGGTGCTGCCGGTTGGTTCACAGGCAGGTATAGCTTTCAATGTCAGCCGGTCGACCACTCCAAACATCCACAAACTATGAGGGTATTTAAATTGTTGTATAATATAAGCCCTACAGCGGCTCAATCCAGATTGTATTGACGAATAGATGTGTTATCATAATTAATTGTTAATTAAATACATAATCGATTGTCCAATCGATGTTATCACACAAAATATTTACCAATACATCACGATTATCATTTGTAAAATTATGTTTTCATATTAAATCATTTTGCACAATACATTCGCATGAGATATCGAAACGCTTTAGTAATTTAGGCTTGGCTAGTATTTTAATTTTAACGGCTTCCATGATAGATATTTAAATGTTATCACAATCATTCAGCCAGACATTTCACAGTGTAGATATCATAACATACCATGATTTATTTATAATTTTTTTTTTTCATAATATTTTACGAAACTATGCCACGATCCAATTTTTATGTAAGACTAAATATTGAATGGCGACATTCAATATAATTAATTCAAATTATTTCATATCATTTATATATCGGCTAGAACATCTTAGACGGTTATACAATCATTCTAGATGTTTTGTTCCAGTTTATAATAGTTTATTTTAAAAGCTTTTGATTAACATACTTTTTTTTAAATTAATTAGAGTAGTGTTGTAACATTTCAAAAACATGGTAGACAATGTTTATTAAATATTAAAAGCTTTTATTTCAAAATAAAGGATATTTGAAATAATTAAATGAAATAATTCTAATTATTATTTATAAAAATTCCAGATGGTACATGCTTGTTGGTGGTATTACTTCTCAAAATTCACTGAATTCTTCGATACGGTGAGTTGGTTGTAATTGCTTTGTATATATTATAATATGTTGAAATATAATACAATGAAATTTTTATTCCATTTTCACCATATCTATTCTTATACATTTAAAATATTACAAATGTATACTGTATTATATATTTGCGATTCTTTCCATAAATTCTATAAAGACAAATTTTATCACGTATCAGTGTAATATTTAATACAACACGTACATACGTTTTCAATTAGCCTTTAGCAAAGTTTTATGTAATGAAAAATTTTTGAATTTGGAACGCAGATAAAATAATGTTTGATAAATTTGAATTTGGAACGTAAATATATTAAATACTTTTTTCAACAGATCTTCTTTGTGCTAAGAAAGAAATTCGATCACGTGTCAACCCTTCATGTGATACACCACGGCGTGATGCCTATGTCAGTTTGGTTCGGTGTCAAGTTCACACCAGGCGGCCATTCTACGTTCTTCGGACTTTTGAATACTTTTGTACACATTATTATGTACACGTATTATATGCTGGCAGCAATGGGACCTCACATGAGAAGATATCTCTGGTGGAAGAAATACCTCACCACCTTACAAATGGTGAGTTTAACTAAAGCATTATTATGAAGAACTGGTTTTTATATAAGCGATGATACTTTTTTTGAACCATCGCGATCGTTCTTAATTTGAATTCAACGAAGTTTATTTAAAGGAGTTTATATATTTTTCTTGTCTCCGACGTTAGCTAATATTATATTGATTTCTATTGATTTATTTGAATTTTATGAATAACAATAATATAATCATATTAAATAGTTTAATCATATTCTCGTAGTCGTTATGTAATATTAATGTTGCCACAAACCTATAAAATATAGAACCTGTTTCATATATATTTCTAGTATCGGGTCGTTACATTTGTATGGTGAAAATGACATATTGTTATAATTTACCCGGATACGTGTTTTTTTATGATAATTTACAATTTAATGTTTGTTTTGTTGTAAAAAATTACATTAAAAATCTTGAGGTGTTGTATGTAGTAAAAAAGTGTATAATGGACGATATATTATTCAGTATCAAATTGTTTTGGCAATCCAACGGGTCAAGGTCAATGGCTACATACTACGTGGACTCGACCCAAGGCTGTGTGCCATGTAATATATTATAGCCATTATTACATATATGTGTGTGTAATAAAGGAAATGGTTAACTACGTTTTTCTATTCAATGCAATATACGAGAATTGTTTTTTTATATATAGAGTTAGTTACATTATATGTTGATTTAATAAGCTTGTGTATATTATGTATGGATATTTAAATTGTAGGATTGTTAAATTTTTTATTGATATAATTTACAGAAATGAAATATAAAATTTAAACGGACTTTACACAAATTTGTAAATATAGTAGGAACGATATGTATAGATGGCAACACAGGTTTGTCAAATGTTGCCATATGTATTTAATATTTAAAATTGTTTATTTTCAGGTCCAATTTGTCGGTATCATGGTGCATGCGTTCCAATTGCTGTTCATTGAGTGTGACTATCCTCGCGCATTCGTATGGTGGATAGGAATGCATGCGGTCATGTTCTTCTTCCTCTTCAAAGACTTCTACAATCAATCCTATTCTAAACCTAAGGTATGTTTCAGATAATAAAAAAAATCCCTACTAATATTATAAATGCGAAAGTAACTCCGTCTGTCTGTCTGTCTGTTACGCTTTCACGCCTAAACCACTGAACTGATTTTAATGAAATTTGGTACAGACATAGAGTTGACCTTGAGAAAGAACATAGGATAATTTATCCCAGACTTTTGAAAGGTTCTGTTGGAAACGCGATATAACCGAACTCCAAGCGGGCGAAGCTCCGGGCTGAAAGCCTAACTTTATTTTTAATTTATATACAACTTAAAAACGAAGTCAAGATACTAAACTAAGGCCACACCATCAATAATTAATATTAAAAGTATTTATGTAAATTTTCTTCCAGGCTCGTGCCAAATCACCAGTACCGGTTCAAACGAAAATCGAAGAAGTTATGGACATAACATACAAGAATGGTGTTAAGAATGGTTATGCTAACGGCCATACAAATGGTTTGGTTCGAGCTAGGACTGTTCTGCCCGCTGGCAATTGACCTCTAAATACCTCACACTGTGATTCATAGCGTCTACTTGACACAAACATACCCACATTAACCCTCATAATCATGTGAGCTCAGTGGAAAATGGACCTTAGGGCATTGGTGCAGGACATACTACTGATTAGAGTTAAATGTGATTCATCTAGTGTATATATAATGGTATCAGTGGTGTAAATTTTATTTTTTATTGATACAGTATAGCTAGATTATGTGATCGCATAGCGTTTTGTACTGCTATAAATATATCGCTTGTCATAACCTCCAGTAATGGACTTGAATATGTTTGGTGCTGTAATGAAATAAAATAGCAACAAATCTATATATAATTGTCAATTATTTTGAGTATTATATTGTATTTTCTATAATTTTTTAGTGCAATTAGTTTGATTTATACATAATGATGTTTTTTGTAACTTTTTTATTGTAATATACTGTTTGAACTGAACAAAACGCCGGACAATTTGGGAACAAACTACTTACTAGTTTGTTTTAATGCAATGTAAATTTATTAATACATATACTTCGAGGATTGTTATTGTTTGTTATTGTAAAAATTGTACATAAAGTTTAAATACTGTTGCATTGTAATTATCTGGACATATAAAATTACTGTTATTCATGTAGGGTAGTATTCAATTTGTTCCCAGTACAGATTTTGCTCAGCGCTGCCAATATATAAACTTCTATTGCACTACTCTTTTTTATACAAAATGCAATGCTGTTATTTTGTAACACTTAGACGGTTGTGTTGGCTATTTATTTTGTTTAATTTTAATTTTATTTATATACCAAATATATAATGAGGTAATATCCCGATATCGCTGCAAACTTAGTGTCTTATTTTAGTTTACCAGATAGGTACAAAAAATTATTTAGTCAAAAAATCATGTTTATTGTTAGTTAGATTAATTTGAATTATTATAGTTTGCGGTGATTCTGGATAGGGGGCTTTCTAACGTAATATTTATTGTTACGCGAGTGGTTTAAATGCTTTATATGTGTGACATTGGGCATTTTTCCTCTCAACAAAAAAGACATATGATTTAACAACGGGTTTGTAGCAATAACCATTGATATTTAAATTCAGTCTTCCGTTTTGATTTGTACTTACCAGATATTAGGTGCTTTGAGTTTTTCGAACAGTTGTTGTTGACTGCGGATAGGCTAAAGCTCGCCATTTTGTAAATATAATTTTTGTTTTATTAGTGATATTGAAATCATTTAATGTAATATTGCAATTTTTATACAAAAATGCAAATAAACTATAAGAATAAATTGGTTTATTTTTTTATTTAATCCCTAAATTCATAAAATAAAATATCCTATACATTACACATTTATATATGGAAGACTAGACAAAAAGAAAAACATTACAATCACGCTTACATACAAGAATTAAATTATCGATATGCGAGGTAATACATTAAAATCTTATATTAAGTACTAAAGTAGACAAAAATTCGTAATAAAAGTATAACAATACATGGACGTAGTATTACGTTGATTTTGCACAGCGGAATCCCAAATTGCCGGCTGAACTGTCGTCAGTGTTGTGCGAGCGTGAAGAACATCGATATCGATAACAATATGATCGATGGCAGAGATACGAACCTCCCTTCTTTACTTTTTCTTTGGGCTGAAACAACATTCCTTTGTAGTTAGTACTATGATAGATGATTAATCCATACAAATAAGACTAAACTACTTTCAGATTCCCAAATAATTATTTTTTATGTAATTATTTAATTACGAATATATTACTGAATTCGAGGTTTAAATGTCACGTGGCTAATAACTTTATACGTCAAAATTTATATTCTTTTAAATACATTTGATATACATACATATCGTCGGGGATAGTGCACATCCGCGTAATTATTTAGTGTTAAATTCATTACTAATTGTGAAAAATTACCTTAAAACTCGTTTATACAGGGTGACTGGTGAATTACTATCAATATTTAAGGAGAATACTCGGTACATGATTCTCATTCGAATTATGTAAAAAAATGGGTTAGTTAATTTTTGATCAAATTTCCGTATAAATAAATAAAGTGTGGACACGTTCCAAGTGTGGACGCGTGCGGCGGCGTGCTGATACAACACCACGCCGCCGCACGCGTATGTGTGTGTGTGTGTATACCTAATCTGTAGGGTGTTCACACGATGCGTAATTAATTACATAACTTTTGGTTAACTTTACTTAGAAGTTTATTAATATTTGTGTTATATTAATTTTTATTTTGTCATATATGATCGTCAAATATCACGTACTCAAGTATCGGTAGTAATTCACCAGTCACCCTGTATAGAAAATATTTCAGCTTAAACTTCTGATAATCTGCTTCCAATGAAGATACGCGGTGTTATCAATATATTATACAGTGTAAACTCTATATAACGACACTGAAGGGACCGTGCATTTTTGTGCGTTATAGAGAGTTGCCGTTAAATAGAGGGAAGAAAAATCAGAATTAGAAAAAGACAAAGTTTGTTTCAGACTACTGTTAGTACTTATGTACATAAAAAAGAATGTTATAAAGTCTGTTGTTTTTGTTTGACGTGTTTTGCTGCACCAGTAATGTTGTTGTATTTTTTACGTATTTTATTCATATCTTGCGATATTGAGGCATATTGGTGAAGAACGAATTTCTTAGAAAGTTTGGTATGCATGATTACGACAGTGGAGTTTATTGCGGGCTAGGATAACAAAGCGACAAAAAAACGTACACAGCTGCGCATTTTTTACTAATTTTAGCAACTTAAGGGTACTTTTTATTACTTAATTTTGTCGCTATTGAGAGTGGCTGTGACGCTATATAGAGTGTATCATTGTATGGTAGACAAGCTAAACCAACCAAAGTCAAATGATTTCGACGCTTTAGAGAGTTTGTCGTTAAATCGAGTGTCGTTATATGGAGTTTACACTGTACTTACATTGTCTTCAGACCAGACATCTTCTGTCCATTCCCATACATTCCCAGCCATATTATGAAGACCGAGCTTGTTTTGTTCAAAGAGGTGAACTGGATTTGTTCCAACGTATCCATCTTTCGCTGAATTGTGGTTTGGGAACGTACCTTGCCATATATTCGCCCTTAAATATAATTTATTATTCATATATGAAAAGAAAACAGGTTACATTCAATTAGAACTATTAAATTTAATATATTCTTTTGGTTTAATAATAAAAAAGATAATTATGAGGTCACGTGTATATAATATCACGAGCTTTTGCTCGGTTGCACGTGCATGAATAAAATTATCAAAAAAATAAATTAAGGACTTAATATAATTGTGTATGTAGTTAATTCGCAATTAAAATCTGCTTAGTTTTAAAAAATTGACATGATAAAAAATTTCGTTCTTTTTATGATACATAATGAATATGAATTAATTAAATAATTAGTTGTTTGTTTTTAATTATATATCTTTATTAGTCTATCACTGTAATTGATTGTAACTTTTAACCAAACTGTAATGAAATCAGAAAGTTGAGGCTATATTTTTTGATTGTTTAAAATTTATGTGTGGTTTGTATGCCAATGATGAATTTTGACGTATTTAATATACTCCTTATATTATTACAATCTTTAAAAAAAAACAAAATTTACTTTTTTTGTGTAGTAATAAGAGGTCAATGTTCTTTGTAATTTAAAACACACCGAGCTCCTTTTAATGATATGAAAGTGTAAAACATTGTTTTATATGTTAATTACATTTAGTCTTAAAATTTAAATTTTGTATCATTTAATTAAATGCGTATTATTTTTAGTTACTATGTGATGAAAACATTTTTATCTTTTAGATAACATTCATCAGTTATAAGCCAGTAAATCTTTTGAGATTTACATTTTATTGCATGATCAGATAATTATGAAGATGATAATTTTTTAAACAAATTTTAATTACGACATAAATGAAAAACTAACTACAATTAACTCAATAAAAGAAGTTTGGATTTAAGGACTTCAAATCATTAATAATTAATTAAAGAATTGAACAATGTTATTAAACATAAAAATTTTTGATATATAAACTTATTCTGGCTCTCTTTTATATAATGATATATCTATAGGTTACTATTATTGAGTTCTATATAAATAATGATGTATTTTAATTACAATGTAGATGAAAGACCAACTATAATAATAGTTATTAACTTTATATATCTTTTGTATTACTCACATATGTTTTCTATCTGGGAATAGTTTGTCACCCCATGGGTATGTAATATTATAATTCTCCCCGCGGCAGCCCGCCTCCCATTCAGCTTCTGTTGGTAATCTTGCACCTCGCCAAGCACAGTATGCCTTTGCATCATTCCAAGATACATGTGTAACAGGGTGGTCCATCAAATCTATATAAATATGTGATTTAATAGTTTCCTTTACTTTGAATGTAAATATAAAGTAAGTTTGAGATAGAGTTTACTTTTTCTAGGATCAGACTTCAATAAAGATCAGTTTAAGGAACAGATATTCTTTCTTAATAGCTACTTAGTACAGTAGTGTCATTAGTTATATCTTAAAGTAAATTAATCAAATAATTTACCTGCTACATCAGAGTCTGGACCCAAAGGATGTTTCCAGTTGGTACCATAAACTTTGTACCACCACGGCGCCTGCATAACTCGAAAGTCATTCAATTGTTGCTTAAATGTGTTATTCAAAAAAAGTGTGAACACAAAGCTATCACCAAATGTTTCGGCCTCAGTCTTATAATCCGTTGATTCAGTAAAAATTGTAAAATCTCTGTTAGAAACCTCGTATTTGTCTAAGTAAAAACTTTTTAGCTGCACGAATTTCTTTGGACCTTCATTATCAGATTCAATGAGTATTTCATCAGTGCCAACCTGGTAGGTGCCCGTTGGTATGAGAATCATTTTGGATGAAACACTATTGGTATTCAATGTATTCCCGTGTTTTATATCAATAGGACATTGATTAGAAGATAATTCATTATAAAAGTTCGTTTTTAAATTTACATGTGAGTTACGATTGACATTACAGCCGCACCCAACTTCCGAATTGTGTATAACTTTAAAAAATGTAGAAATAATTAAAATAAAAAAGTAAAACATGATTAATATTTAATAGAAGTACAAAACCGCTAAACTAGTAAAAACGAAAAGTAAACATGTCACTTGTCAATTAGTGAACACCTCTTTGACAGATGACAAAAATTTAAGTGTATACTAGTGTTGTGAATATTTTACAATTTATTTATGATTATTATATTACACCACCCAATCTGGGTTTAAAAAACTATTTAATAGTGCCGTACAATGTTATTTAATCAGTGGCTTATATACTAGACAGTTAAACGTATAAAAATAATGGCGGTCAATGCGAAGTAGTCGTCAATATTTTACATGCGGAAAAGTATAACAAATCTTTTTATAATATAGTTTTATTACTTGCAACTTAGGTCATTAGCCGTAAAAATTAATCTTAATTCATCACCTGAATCATTTAAAACATCCCAAATATGTTTAAATAAATTGTATAGTGAATTTTTTGTCGTTTTTATCATAATAATTTTCAAAAGTAGATGTTTAAATAACAAAAGGTATATTTTTTTAGTATTCCCAAGTATTTTATTTAACCCTGCGTTTCGGACGAAATATTTTTATCTAGTCTTCTTATTAATTATTATGGTTACTATAGAAAAGATTCATATTCAAAAAATACGTTATTTCAATTTGTCAAATATAATAGGTTTTAATCCTATAATCAAAGATAAATTACTCTTGGGATTTTGTAAATAACTATAAAAACTAAGCTAAACAATCTATAATTTATTCTGACTGGTAATCATAGGTATAGATGCAATCTCAAGTCATTTTCGTATTAACATTAACGATAAGCTTGATTAGATCACTTCGGAAAACTAATTTAGTATTTCCAATTATTATTATTTTTAAGTTGAATGTTTTGGTATTAGGTTATAATCAGTAAGTAACAAAGGAATTTGGAATGCCAACTATTTTCATTGAATATGGTACGTTATAGTTGTTTGGACATCGCAATTTTTAACCAATATAAAAGTCATCAGAACTGTTTCACGAATCTAACACATTACACAAACGTAGGCTCTTTTATTTAAATAGTTGTCAATTTTAATACACCTAATAAATTCTGAAAAAAGTATAATAGGTAGTATAATAAAACTCATTTATTTAAAATACATTTTGTAAAATACAATAAATATCATCCAAATACAAGCCTGTAAACGAAAGAAAATATTAGAAAATAAAATGTAAATTTTATTCCAGTCACTAGTAACACCCTGTAGAGCGGTGGCGGCGGGATCCTGGAACAAGATCGACAATTTATAATATATTTTGTAAGAAAAACGAATAAAAGGAGATAAAAATATATAAACAGTTATCAGTCAATCTCACCTTCATTAAAATAAATAACAACTTGTGCTCATCACATGAAGATTTAGTTGCTGAAAATGAATAAAAAAATTAAATTCTCACTTGAAAAAAATTAATAAAAAAATATAGTGCAACTAAATCTTCTGTAAAATCTACTTATTGTTTCTTAATAACATTAAAATAATAAGAAAAATAAGTCTTAAATACTTTCAGGTACCCTTATTTATGTGAAACGCATCTAATATCTACAAAAATAAAATATAAAGCCTTACAATAGTAGGGGTACAATATCTTCTTGTTTCATCTGACCGTAATATTTCATTATACCGTCAACATGTCCCATACCCACAACTCCTAAAACTCGAGGTTTATCAACTAAAAATAATTTATATTAATAGATTAGGACTTAATACAATACATAATTACTACCTAAACTATCTTTTTAGATAGTCTTCAATGTATTATTACACAGAAGTATATAATTTTGTCATTTACATATACGCTGTTGTCGTATGGTCATTGATTATATAAATCTTAGCATATTCTATTTGAGTATACAATTTTATTTTTTAAGTATTATAAGCCTATACAAAAATAGAACCATATTAAAAAAAACGCTAAAAATAATAAGTAGAAAAAATTCTAACTAGGGGAAAAAGAGTTTAATATCAAATCCTAAACATTAATTATTGCAAATCACTTACCACTACGAACACATTCTTGCAAAGAAAACGCCAGGCATCGATCTCGTTCGTCGACAAACACATGAAATACTTTTTTGAACGCGGGCACTTGCCTTGTTATTTCATCAAACTGAGCGTGTACGTAGTCTTTATCTTTATATCTCTCTAACTGTTCTTTGCTACAAACATATAAACATTATTACAATTTAATTTGTATTAAAAAACCGTTTTTTATAATGAAAGATTATATATCATACTCTAAAGGCTTTGGATTTGATGTGGTCAGATGGTAGAGAACTTGTCCTAGCTCTAAAACAGTCAAGGATTGGAACGCCCGAGCTATAGTTATGCGTATCGGCCGATCGCCAAGGAATAATTTGCATCCTGGGATTTTCTTCATCTTGAAATAAAAATCATTTCAAACAGATTAAATACTTCGCTGTGACTAAATTTATTTTGCTACCTTTGCAATTAGTTAAGGCTAGATATGACTTAATTGGCATAGACATTATATTTTGTAATATTATTTAGTATTTCCATGTATTCACCTCATGATATGCCCTACGGAATTCTCCTCCTGGAGCTACCCCCAGTTCTTTGGCTATATCAGCGTAGGTTTTTAATAACATGGCGTGAAGCATCCCGGACATGAAGCTCTGCCCTTTAACAGCGTCTCTAGTATAAGGTGAAATATTGTTAGTTTGTTTAAAATACTCCGCAAAAATCACCTATGAGTCAAATAGAAGGGACATCTCAAGTTTAGAAAAGTAAATCAGAATTTATAATGTCTTATTTGGATCAATGAATAGAGGCTAAAACTAACAAAATTACATATATCATGTAATAAACTACCCAATAGATTTTGGTTTAAACTTACTTTATTTTCTGTGCATTTAAATTTTTAGCATCTTCTAAAAACTTTCGGTCATCCAATTCTAAGAGGGATACTCTTTGACGACATAACTCTATTAGAATCGCATTTGGTTTGAGAACTTTCACAATCTAATTAAAAAAAAATACATGCATATTTAACTTAAAATAACACCAGTTATTATACATATCGTAGTTAAATAGAAAAAGTAATAAGATAATAAAGATTACAGCTACCCATTGCAACACTACATTCCATTAAGTTACGCACCTCAGAAACGTCCTCCACAGACTTTTTACTAAAATGCACGGTACCTAATAACACAACTTTAGCATTATCATCGTTTTGTAAAAACGTAGCCGAAGGTGGTAGTGGTAGGCCGGCGGCGTCGCTCGTGCTTCTAGCACCAACGAACTTAGGCACTACAAAGTTAAACTATTAAAATCAATAATACTTACAAAGAAACTTTAATAACTCTTTGATATACATACAGTTGTCAAAAATCTTATGTCCCTTGTTTATAAGCGTCACATAATTATTGTATTTCGAAAATACAATTTGTCTAAGGGCAAAGCATGATGAGAATATCATGTTTTATAAATAATATCGTTACACTGAAATTTTGTTCCCAAAGTTATCATTGTTACATCTTGATTTTTATTTAACACAAATCCTAAGTCATTTCATCTTCGTCTCGATGACACACTGCTCTTATTTTCTTTTAATTCTCCCTACAAATGTTATTCGAATAAAAAAGATTCTATTGAATACTAATAGAGACTTTTTTCATTTCTCGTTTGACGAAAATTTGTTAAGAAGATAGGATCGCTCCATTTCTATTTTAATGCCAACTACAAACAACCGGCCTTAATAATTCTCACTAAATTCTTTCTTGAAAATTCATGTACAATTTATAAATTCGGATAAAGATAATACTTAAATTGAAATGTAATTTTTATTGATATTTTCAATTAGACAAACAAATTAAAAACAAAGTGCATCGTAGGTATCTGAATAAATCTAAGAATTAAAAGCCAAAGGGGTAACTGAACAAACTAATTATGTTTTTGCCTAAATGACTGCAATTAAACCTAACATGTCTAGACAATACAGCGAAAGTATTAGAAACTATTACAAGGCGATCATTCTGTTTCCCTCGATCTCTTTGACAATAATAATCAAACTTGCATTATTCCATCTTTTCAAGTATAATATAGTATTCCTCGGAAAATCTTATCTTACTTACAGGTTTTTTACCTACTTACTTGTATGAAATAACTGATGAGATTTAAACACATCAGAGTTTGATTAAATTTTCTTTCTATTATAATCTACAACTTTAGTATTAAAATGTACACTCAAACAAGAAGGAAACAATATAAATTAAATTATGTATTTATCACCAGTTATAATCGACTATAATAAAGTATAAATTATACCTATATGCTCTTACCTTTATAATCTATGTACTGGTAAAAATAATAATAATAATAATAATAATAATTTATTTTTATCTCAGACATAGTCCATATTTAAATATTAGTAATACATGTCAACCTTATAACTAATGTTAGTAAAAGCAAATGATAATAATAATAATAATAATGAAAACAAACAAAACAAAACAGAGACAAACACAAAAGACAAAAATCGCTATTTTTAGGCAGCGTGTAGCCGTACCCAGTGGCGCAGTATTTCAGAGTCCCAGCGGCCAGCCAGTGCACACAGAATGCTGTTCGAACTGGATCGCAACCTCTGAAGCGCAGATGCACTCCTCTTGCGAATAATAGCATAAAAGCTATCAACACGCCTCTCAGCAAACATTTCGGAGGCGCTACAGTAGCGCGGCAATCCGAACAGCACTCTGAATGCATTGTTGTACTGAACTCGCAGAGCGCTGTACGCGCGCTGCGTATACTTAACCCAAAGGCTGCAGGTGTAAAAGGATTGGCAATATGCCTTGAACAAAGTTACTTTTACACTCTCAGTACACCGTGCAAACCTTCGGGCCAGCATGTTACAGCGCACGGCCAGCGCCCTGCGCTCTCGCTCCAAATCATCGTCATCGCTGAGGTTGTCTGAAACCCAGTGACCCAGATACTTGAACTGTTCAACTCGTCTTAAAGCAATGCCACCAAGATATAAAGGTGGAACATTAGCATAAACTTTCTTACCAGCTTTAAACACCAGGAGTTCACTTTTATTCGCGTTGTATCTCAGTCCATGGGCCTCAGCATACCTCTCACATATGCTTAATAATTTTCGTAACGCGCCGATTGAGGGACTCATCAATACCATATCGTCAGCGTAACTGATGTTATTTACGCAGACGCCCCCCACGTGACAACCGATACCGCTATTACCCAGCTCTGCAAGCAGCCCATTAATGTACAGGTTAAAGAGGCGAGGCGAGGTAAGGCCGCCTTGTCTCACACCGCACTCCAACCCATACATATCCGAGTGCTCGCCAGCCCATTTCACGACATTACATTGGTTATGGTACCAATATTGCAAAACAGAGGTAACTTCGAAGGGTACATCTGTCTCCTTTCTGAGTTTATTCCATAGTATATCATAGTCTATAGTATCAAAAGCCCTAGATAGATCCAAAAAACAGGCATATACAGGAGTTTTTCTAGCTGTATAGTACTGTACAGTCTGCTTGAGGCAAAAGATGGCGCTCTCTGTAGAAAGACCGGGTCTAAAGCCAAATTGAGAATCGTGAAGTTTAATGTGCCTCTCCAAATGTCCATCAAGCAGCCTGTCCAAAACTTTAGCTATGACCGTGGCTAGTGAGATCGGCCTATAATTGGCAACATCAGATACATTCCCTGTTTTATTTTTCAATATTGGTACCACTACAGTGTGCATAAGATCCTCCGGCAGGTAACTGTGGCTCAGACATAAATTAAAAAACATAGCGAGAACTCTCGTCAATTCAGCTCCAGCATACTTCAGATGCTCAACACTCAGCCCATCGTGACCAGGCGACTTACCACGCACCATTCGACTTAATACTTTGCTTATATCGTTAGCAGAAAATCTAACGGCCATTAACCTTGGTTGCTCAGTGTTCAGCATCCGAACACCAGTGCCGCTCGGTAGCTCAGCCTTGAAATGTCGTTTAAAGATGTTTGCTATATCTCGGGGTTCGTGCGAGCCAGCAACGCTTACAGGACGGCTATTTGATATTGGGTTTAATTTATTTGTTGTTTTCCAGAATTTACTAAAATTTTTACCAGCGTGATGACGCGCTATTATATCTAATTTTATTTGATTTTGATTATCCTGACATAACTTTAATTTCGATTTAAAAATTCGTCTACTTTCCCTCATGTCGTTATAAACCGATCCGTTCATCTGCTTACCTGTTTTTAACCAATTTTGATAACATAACCGCGCCGTCCTGTGAGCGAAACTGACGTGTTCGTTCCACCCCGGCACGGGTCTATGTTTTCGGAAAGTAGGCCCTACATAGGAGTTCACAGCCGCCTCTCGAAGTATTTGAACAACATCTTTATACATTTGGTTTAAGACATATTTATGATTTATTTCACTACAAAAACTATCACCGCATTTGTAAAAATGTTCGGGTAAAATAATTTTACTTAGTTTATGTTGACAAATTTTCGAATATTTACTGATCTGTTCTGAGTTTCTTTCCCCCCATATGACTTGATTAACCAATAATTTAGGACATATCAACTTAGGTGTTATTAGGTGAAAATCACACTCGACAATTAAAGGTAAGTGGTCAGACCAGTAAACATCGTACAAAACTGTTACACTACGAATCGAGCGCCTGGCCGCGTAGGTCGTTACACAGTGGTCGAGCCAGCGCCGACAGCCGTGCGAGTCACTTACAAATGTATAGCTATCCGGAGGAAGCATTTCTATGTCCACACACGACCACCTTTGTTCGACACAAAAGTTCAATAATTCATTTCCAAATAACTCACCCGGATGCGCATTAAAGTCACCAAGCACATATACAGACTCCACGTCGTTGCTTTCTATTAACGCATTTATTTCACTAAGGCACTCCGTATATTCGATTAGGTTTTCCGGTTTCGCGGTTGGCATATATACCGATATGACCATACTCACTCGACCCCCATGCACTATTTTAACGGCCGCCACACGAACATTAACACTTTTTATTACTGTTACGCACGGAAACAATGACTTTCTCCATAGCAGAGCCACTCCACCGTACGGCCTGCCTCTCAGGACTCCAACAGTCGTATCCACAGCAGAGGTACCGGTATAAGCAAAGCCATCGTTGATGGTACCTAGGTAGGACAGATCATGTGGCAGCAACCAGGTCTCCTGCAGCGCAACGATATCCGCCTTAAGGCAAAGCTGTCTGATACAGTCCGTGGATCTCATAACGTTCTTACAATTAAAACTAATAAATTTTATGGATGTACTTTTATTCATTATGGTTTATTTATTTCTCGCTTGCCTTCGGACTCTTCGCCCCTTCGACGAAAACTAATAAAACGACGAAATGAGACTCCTTCCGGCCAGAAGTCGTCACACAAAAACGTTTCAAGTTTATACTGGGGCACAAAAATTTTAAAAGCACAATACATTTTATCGTGTCTCATATTCCACTTAATTAAATTAACGTCGAGATTTGTTTTATTTTTAATATATTTTAAAATATCTTCTGCTGTTGTCTGCTTTGAAACATTGTAAATGTATATAGGAATACTAATATCCGCCGCTTTAAAGTTGTTATCTGGCTGGACAGCCGCTTTTCCTTTGTTTCCCATAAATCGATTTTTATATCTTTTATTCTGAACCAGTTTCCACTCACCCGTTTTCGCTACAGTTGCAAATGATTTCTTTGATTTATTAGCAATTACTTGTGTGTTAGAATCGCCGGTAAGTTCTAAAGTATCGTTGTTTACAATAAGTGTCGCCCTCGGTAACGATTTATCAGTGGATGGGCTGTGTGCGGGGCGCGGGGGACGGGCGGTGACCCCAGCTGATTCATATCAAGAGTAACGGTTTGCATACTGTCCGCTGATTCTTTGTTTCGTAACTGTGTACATTTTGTGTCACTACCCTCATTTGTGCAAAATACATCACTTTTATTTAAAATAGGAAATATTCCTGTAGGTCGAAGTGTATTATCTACGGGTTTACTGCTAAGTTCAAGGCTATTAAGCAAATATGATCTGCGTTTATTATTAACCAGATTTTTAGCGTTACAGTTATAATCGTCCGGAATATTCATACTAATAGGTTTTGATTTTAGTTCTAGTAATTCTTCTTTGGTTGCGTAATTATCTGAAATCCTGTCTATATCCTGTCTTAACTTAACGAGATCCTTGAGGATCCGAGTAGCGTCCAGGTGATCGAACAATACTGGAGGTAGTTTGTGTAATTCCCGAGCCACAAAAATGGGAACTAGCTCTGGATCACTTTCTTTAAGACAACAAATAATATCCTCTATATCTCTCAACACTTTTCCTTTCCGCTTTCTCGTCTTTTTCTTGATGTTTGAGATCGAATCAAAAAGTAAATTCTTCGCTATTGTAATTTCGTTTTCTGAAAACGCTGTTTCACAGATTCTACAAATACTGTCCTCGTCCATGACGTCTATTTTATTGCATACGAATGCAAGCACTTCATTAATAACAATATTGCACGAGCTACATTTTACCGTTGTAATTACGTGTTCACAATTGTCTTTTGCCTTATGACTCATCGTTCTCAAACCGTACGCACTCGAGCGCATGCGACACACGACTGAGTGTCACGACACGACACAGAATAAGTGGTAGTATTCTATAAAAAAAACTTTTGTGTTTCTTCCACACATGACTCAAGGTTATAATTTGCCAAAAAAAATAATTTTGGCATAAATAAAAAGTTGATATTGGCAAAAAAATCCACGATTCCTGTGCGGAATACAATAATTTTACAAAAAAAAAAAGTTGATATTGGCAAAAAAAAATCCGCGATTCCTGTGCGGAATACAATAATTTTACAAAAAAAAAAAAAGTTGATATTGGCAAAAAAAATCCACGATTCCTGTGCGGAATACAATAATTTTACAAAAAAAAAAAGTTGATATTGTCAAAAAAAATCCACGATTCCTGTGCGGAATACAATAATTTTACAAAAAAAAAAAGTTGATATTGGCAAAAAAAATCCACGATTCCTGTGCGGAATACAATAATTTTTTTTTTAAAAGTTTCTATTGTATCTCGTACATAATTTTTCGAATCCATACCCTCCTACATAATTCTTTAGCTCTGACCTCTGGGTATGTTCGTTTTTGTACCGGCCAGTCGTTAAAAAAAAGTCCATTATAAAAAATATAATGCGGTCTTATGAAGCCAATTAGTTAGTTGTGACAATTATTTTATTTTAATTCTATATATCAAAATCAAAGCAAACGGTATTTTTATACATTTCTTGAATATGAATGGACCGTTCTTAGTTCTATCGAAATACAGTTTAAAATCAATCAAGAGACATCGTAACCCATGGATAATTTTTTTAAAGTATTAAAAACATTAACACACAAATTCTTTTCATACTATAAAATAAAATTTTACATATATACAAAATAAATGAAACAACAGTTATTTTTAAACTTATATTAAACATTCTCAACTTTTTAAATTCACTATAACAATTTTGTCAGATTTAACACTTTACCATCCAACAATCTCTTTAAAATAAAAACATAATTAAAATAAAATTTACTTAAAATGTAAAAAATTTTGGACTTTTAAAAAAATGTATCAATTAAACTCCTTTGAATACAGATAGTAAAAACTTAGGGAAAAATATTTTCATAACAAACATTATAATGTAAAGAAACTTAAAGTAACTTAAACATAATTATAATTTTTTTGTCAATAATATTATCGACGATAGAATTCAAAAGATAAAAAATAAGAATCATTTTATATCATCTGTGAGCAAGGTCCTTATTAAAGCGGCAACTAAAAGGACAACTTCGATTATCCTGAAAATATAAAACACTATAATTAATCATAAAAAAAACTACTATAAAAAATCTTTACTTGAAAGTCAACAATTAAAATAATGACAGATGTTTTATTTTTTGGACAAGCAGCATAATAGACAAAAAAATACACGTAGACATACATAGTAAAAAAATACAAATTTTTTGCTTAGTATTTTTTTGTTCCAAATACACATACAACATTACACATTCAAATTACATTTTTCCAGTTTGATACTATATGCGAAAATAGAGAAATAAAAAAATATACAATTCTATATGTTATAATAAAGAAGAATAATTTACTAGTGTAGTACATACGTATATATCCGTCATGGAAGCCATCTTCTAGGCACCATCTTGTATACAGCGTACACTAGGGCGCCCGCACAAGCGGCGCGGACACACACGCGAAGAACACGAGTCGATACGGACGGCGGGGGAACTCTGAAACAAACGATGACGTCACAATGTTAAAATTAATAGATATTAATAAATAATTACCTTAAAACAGTTCGGGACTATATATAATGATGATGTCAGATTGTTGATGCATTGACATATATACTAATGGACGTGCCTTACCCGTATAATCTGCAGTATTTTTTGGTTTGAAGAGTTAGAGAGATGGCCTATGCTTTCGGTCTAGCACTATCTCTTTCCTCAAAGATGATTGGCGCTTGGCTCATTACTCATAACGTCTGCTTAAGAAAGCAGGGTACTATTTTGAGAGAGATAAAGATAGACCGAAACTTCGTTTCCTCTCTTTCTTTCGGAGTGCCACAATTCTCATCTCTAAGGCATGTATGTCCATTAGCATAAGTCGATGCTTGTGCATGAATAGAAATGAATAATAGATTACAATAAAATGGTCCAGGAATGCGTACAATGATGACGTCACATTGTTGGACATGAATAGAAATTAATGAATGCCTAAGGTAAAACAGTTCGGGAATGCGTACAATGATGACGTCATATTGGTACGAATGCTTGACTGAATGAATGATAGCTAAGGTGCAATAAGCATAAATTAAATATTGGTAGATTTTGAATTTCGAACAGTTATTTCTATAGTAAACTAAACTGTTTGTCGGATAGTCCTCGGCCTCGAATTTTGCGGGCAGCGGAGCGGCGGCGGCAGCGGCACGGAAACGCATACTGTTCTCCAAACTAGCGGGCAGCGGGCACCGCTGTATTCGAGGGTCGGTCCATTTGATTATACGCGTAAGATCCTGCCGCTCTCGCAGCCGCTCTCGCTGCCGCTCCGCTGCCCGCAAAATTCGAGGCCGAGGCCATATGGTCTTAAATGACCATATTCAACAGTTAAAATGAAATGAACATGTATACAATTTTCATTATTATTATATTCTTTATCTTTCTTGTTAAAAAATAATTAAAAACTTCAGTTATGTACCCAAAATTCAAGAAACATGTAACTAGCGTTTACCTACCGCCAATTGGCATTTATAAACATATTCTATCATACATTGCACCAAATAAATAATATACTATAAAAATCATAATTACTTCAACAGCGGCGCTATATCTTGTGGACTAATTTTGCCCCAGTGTTCAACAATACCAGCCACGTGACCTATACCGACTACACCGACGATTCTACACGGCTCCCGACCTGAGAAGTTAAATAAAACACGTTAAATATTATACATTTAAAATAGGATTTATATAGAAATCTATCTATATGTAATTCATGTAAATATAAATAAGGCTTCTTTTAATTTATTCCGTCGCATATCCACCATCTCTTATTCAAATAATTGATTAAACCATAAAAATATTGATTTAGTTCACAACACTATAATTATAAACTTATGTTTAATTTACAATTTAAATAGTTCAGAAAGATCTACAACTTAATTTTGAAGTTCATATACTTAAGCCTTTGAGAGATTGAGAATAAATATAAACTGATTGTGTTGTTATATGAATAACAACACAATCAGTTGTATGACTTTCTTCTAAGCCCAAGATGGCGAACTAATTATTTTTTACAATATGGATATCAAATAAAATGACCACAATTATTTGTTTACAGCGCCATCTAGTGTATATTTTTGGTAATATATTTTTTACTGCATCTAAAACTCACGTGGTTGTAAAGCAGCAACTTGTAGTGAATGACTCAGATACATGTCTCTCTCAACGACAAACACACGCTTCAATGGCGGGAACTCTTCAGCCATTTCTTCCAACATGTCTTCTAGTAACTTCTTTTGTTTACATCTCTCAACTTCCTCTAAACTGAAAAAAAATGTGTTATTTATTAATTCAAATGAATAAAGAATATTTAAAATGAAATTTTATGAATACAAGTCGTATTCGAACTTACGAATTCCGTATAATTTATGAATACAAACTATATTCGAACCTACAAATTCCAGTTTATAGCTTACCAATAACCTAGTTCATTATTTCATATATTGTTTTTTCATTCATTATTTCATATTTTTAATAACATAATAAGAAATGATATTTTAAAATATATGTAGAGTTATAGAATATATTTGTTGATATTATTACTGACAACCAATTATACAAAAACTTTATATGTATCTTGAATAAAATATTTAAACATACAAAATAATGTAAAAGACAAATAATACTTCATGCTCTTAATGGATACAAATACTTTTTCATTCTAAAATATTTTATATAAAAAATAATAATATGCATTACGTATTTAGCATTTTAAACTAGTTTTTATCTGTGATGGTACTTCATCTACAACACATATTATGCCTTGATCACACAGAAACTACAGGCAATTCCAAGGTATATCATATTTACCATTCTGATATCTAAGAGAGTAAATAACTACATATATAGATTAAGTCCAAAATACATATATGTAATGTAAGTAAGTTTATAATATTAGTAGGATCAATTGAAATAATTCCAATACTATTTTAATGGGTTTTCTATATATAATTTATTACCTGATAGTTTGGTTGGATGTGAGTAAGTGCCATATGAACCGTATTGTTTGACCCCAGGTGAGTGAAGATATAGCTCTGTGTAGTGTTATATCAATAGCTCTATCACCCAGTTGGATAACACAGTTAGGTATCTTTTTGGCCTGCGAAAATATAATTTATAAAAAATATTAATATTATTACCTTTAAAAGCCAAATATATGTTTCTTAAGATATTATTACATAAGTTTTAGTAGTAATCCAATTATAACTCCTATAGATTTGTAAAGATTTATTTTTAACGAGTATACTTTTATATGAAGCCAAACAAACGCAAGGCTATGTGTGCATTAGGTAACATTAAAGCGAGAATGGCATGAGTGAAAAACACATTCTGAATAAAATATATTTTTTACGAAAGATAAATAAATGTATCACACAAATTTCTAGGATAATGTCCAAAAAATGTAGATATAAAAAGTGTAAATTAAAGTATTATGTAGTAGTCAAAATTAGTAGTATCTGTTGTAGTCAAATAAAATCTGAAACTAAACTCTGGTCTCTAATGTTAATAGAAAAGGAATCTAAATACATATAAATGTTTACTTAATATGTAGTTAATACTTATAAAATATATTTGGTCTTTTTATTTTGGTCTGTCTGTTCTTTATATCTGAAAAAAGTGGGGAACTTTTTATGGTACTTAATTTGACGATACCTGTTATAATACTTTAAACTGTTTTAATGTAAGGTTTTTTGTGTATTTTGATATTAATAATAAAAAACTATACCTCAGCCATAGCTCGCCTGAATTCACCTCCAGGGGCCATACCAAGCTCACGAGTGATATGCGCTGACATATTTAACAACAATATGTACATAAGGCCATTAAATACACCATTCTCAGCCATTGTTGTCCTGGAATGTAATAATATAAATTTTATTTTTTATTAACTTATATTTACGCTAATAGATACATACATACATTAACTATTATAATTGATTATAATAACAAAACATATTATTTATGTTTAATTAAGTTATTGTTTAAGATAATGACATAATTATATACCATATTATAAGGTCTATCCCTACTAATATTATAAATGCGAAAGTAACTCTGTCTGTCTGTCTGTTACGCTTTCACGCCTAAACCACTGAATTGATTTTAATAAAATTTGGTACAGAGATGGAGTTGGCCTTGAAAAAGAACATAGGATAGTTTTTATCCCAGGCTTTTGAAAGGTTCTCTTGGAAAAGCGATATAACCGAAATCTACGCGGGAGGAAAGCTAGTACTCTATAAACATACCTTATTTTAGCTATATTGATATTCTTAGCTTCCCTTAATATAACTTCTTCATCAAGCAGTAAGATATTGGTTCTCTGTTCACATAACTCTACCATTACAATATGAGGACATACTTTTTGTATCACCTACAAAAAAAACAAATAGATTATGGAATGCAACTATTCTGTATTGTATTATTAACAATTATGTTTTTTTTTTATTGTCTTTAATAGCACTGTAATAAAAAACATAAAAAGAAATTAAATAGTTCGTAATTATTAATGTATTAATAACAGCTTGTAAAGAATTTTGCAACATATTTATATATACCGTCGGGGACAGTGCAAATCCGCGTAACTACTATTTGATAATTCCGCGTTTCTATGTTGGAAGCAGATTATCGGAAGAAAGTTTGAGGTAATTTTTTCACAATTAGTAATTATTTAGTGTTTATTTTATTACTAATTGTGAAAAAAATTAATAATATAACTAATTGTGAAATTAATAATAACTAATTGTGAAAAAAATTAATATAGAAAATATTTCAGCTTAAATTTTCTTCTGATAATAATAATAATCTGCTTCCAACGTAGATATGTGAAATTATCAAATGGTAGTTATGCTGATTTGCACTATCCCCGATGAATTATACTACCTTGGATACATCTTCTTGAGATTCTAAACTGAAATGAGCAGTTCCAACGAGATATATCTTCCCTCCATCGGGAGCATCCAATACAGTCACTGTATTCGGCAACCCATTATCTGGTTCAATATCTATTGTACTATCATTTGCCGACTTCTTTTCACTATCTTCAATGGAAACATTATACAATATTAAATTAAAAAAATGTAATATTAAGTTATATATTATTTTAAAATTTATTATTAAAGCTATAAACATTTGTATTAATGATAAACAATTTAAAGTAAAAGCAGACAGGTTTAATTTTAGATATAATTTAATTAAGTTCAATGTTATTCAACATTTTGATAACTGAATTGAAATATGTACATATATATATATATTTGACTTACCTTGTGAATTATTTCCATCTTTATTTACTGTATCATCAGATAAAACCTCTTTAGTCGGATACGGGGATGAATTGAAGAAATTGGATCTATCTAAAAAACAGAATACATTATATTAATAAGTCAAAATTAAAAAAATATATGAGAGTATAGATCTATCACTTTTAAGTCTTGGATGTTTCCTGCGTGTCATCGCTAAAGATAGTATAATGTAGCCGTTACAAACAACAAGTATGAAATAACTTATATATGTACAATATCATAGAAACCTAACAAGTGTTACCCTTCAAATGTGCCATTATCTTGTGAGTTGTTCAGTATGGTGAAATTAGTGTTAACAGAATAAAAAATAATAATAATAATTATCCATATGTGCTACTATCCTTTATACATATTAAAAAGGTTTTATATTTTACTTTGGTTTAGATTAAGTTCTTTCCTTAGCTAGATAATATGAATTTTATAGACTCTAATGAATATTATAAATTTTATATGGAAAATTTATTATAAACCAAGTCAATATCAAACTTACGAAATCAGTTAACCATTACACTAAAGTTCTATTCATTCTGATAACACTATGTGTACCAAAATCATTTCTTAAATAGGGAGGCTTCACAAAAATTTCAATATATACATGAGCCAAATAACAAATAAAAGACAGTCAAAAATGTATGTAAAGACCAAAAATAGAATGTTTACTATTTGGAAGTAAATTATCTGAAGTATATATAGATGAAAAGACAATCAAGAATGATATGATTACATTAAAAGAAAATTAAGTGATGAGAAATTAAAATATTTATTCTTCTTCTTCCTGGCAATTTCCCAGCTTTAGTCAGGGTCTGCCTAAATTTAAATATTTATTATAGTTGTAAAATAAATTTACCACTTTGTCCTGCTTCTACATTTTCTTTCATATTCACGTGAGCATCACCGCCACCCTCCTCCGCCTTTAAGAACATTTGACATTCATTCACTATATCACATTTAACAGCTGGTTTCGTCTGATGGCCAAGTAACTGTTCTCTTTCTATCTCAGAATCCATATTACTTACAGCCCAGCTGTAAAACGAGTGTGATATTTCGTTTTAAAACGCCTTACAGAAGTTTTAATATATTTTTTCAATAATGACACAGAATAAAATGAATAAATATGTTTTACAAAGTTTCAATTAAAGGTTACTAGATAGAGAAAGTAAATTTTATTAGGTTTTTATGTTGATAACTTCTTCTATTGACATTTAAGATAATATACTTACCACGTATTAAACTCCAATGTAAGTATATGGTATTGTGCTCTGACGGCTTAAGATATTTAACTAATATTTTGTATTTAGTCACGTATTAATTAAAAATAAAAAACTTTACAAGACTATAGAATGCAATATTCATATGTGACTTGTCGACAAAACCGACATCTGTCACAATATAGAGAGAATATAGACCTCCAAAACAAAAATATGAAGATGTGTCATGAAAACTGATTAATCTACTTTCCACTTCAACTATTTGTTAATATATAAAATTTCTATTAAATTAATTAAATTAACTCTTTTCCAAAAATGTTATGACTTCACAAGTTCGATTATTTTATGTTTACTCATATCCAGAATCTGACATATAACATCTAACTATCAGTTTATTGCTTATCTGTTCCCTTGTTACATCACTGAATTCGGAATTTAATTTTCCGATCACATTTTAAGTTTTCTACTGTGCGTTTGGATTGTAGATAAACTTTAAAAAACTTAAAATGAGTGCCTGGAGACAAGCGGGTCTTAAGTAAGCTATTTGTGTACCGAACATAATATATTTCAGAGTATTATTCCTAATTTAAAATCTGTAAATGTACTTGCAGTTACATAAACTACTCCAACATTGCTGCAAAAATTTTGCGGCGATCATTAAAACCAGAACTTCGTACTGAAGCACTGAGACGTGATGAGTCCCATGTCAGAATTACACCTTGGGCTAACGGCAGGCCTGCTCGTAAGTTATACATATTCACGTTCTCACTGAACCTATTTATACTTTACAGTAAACATCGACGTTCTATGAAATTCGAATCAATATTAAAATGTTACGAAGGTTTTAATTTTATTCGAATCCATGCAAAATATATCATTTAACAATTTCTTTCTGTCTCCCCTTTTTTCAGCTATTTTATTTATATTATGTTTCATATATACAATTAATTTTTCAGATGAAAAGGAATAGATGAGTAAGTCAGGAGTTTAAAAGCATGTCCTGAATAACATAAATTAGACTATTAACAACTTATTTGTGTTTAGCAGCATTCAATGTTTTGTTATTGTCCTGCTATTTCCAAGATATTCTAAAACTATGTCTAATTATAGCAAAATATAGTTGTGTATTATAACATGAGTGATGATTTTGAGTATTAACCATTTTAAAAAATGTCTAGTATAGTAATGTATGTCCGAAATGCATTTTATATGAAAATTAATCATTATTATTCTTTCAGATCTACAACAGAATGCTGCCAAGTAAATGAGTTTAATCAAGCTGGTGATGAGTAATTTATGTTAGTTATATTGTAATAAAGATCTATTGCAACATCTTGCTTTTCATTTAAATGTTGTTCATTAGTATAGAGAAAGGGTTAAAATTAAAATAGACATCACTAGGAAAAAAGGTAATGAAGTATCATATAAATAAAATTGGAGTATCTGTTTGTGATATTCAAATAGTCCTTTTCTTACTTCATGGATAGAATATAGTATATTCAATATACATACAGTACATATACTAAATATGATTTTTTTAATTTTTGTCTGTCCGTTTGTTCCCGCTAATTGCTGAAATCGTTGGACAAATTTTTAATGAAAGTTGGTGGATAGCTAATTTTATAAAGAATAATTTAAGCTACTTTTAATCTCGATCCCGAAATAAAGCTTTTTCACATGCAAGTGGAAGGAAGAGCGCATAATGCGCTGACAAGTTTTTTCAGTTTTTCATTTATTTTTATGCAGTTGGAGTCAAGGGTAACATTGAATATTTTTGGGTGCTAATCTTGAATATTTTTATTAAACTTAAAAAGTAATCTCAATTCGCCAAATAAAGAGTCAAAGGAGTAAATGATAATAGATCATTTTATTACATAATATTAAACTTTTTTAATCTCGTAACTCTCACTTGTATATCTGATTCTTTAACTTTGTCAATTATATTTTTACCGAGTGGTGCAGTGGGATTAATTTCTAAAGGTTCATTCACACTATCTGACTTATGTTTTAACTTCTCCAAGGCATTCCATGCTATCATAACTCCATTGTCAGTGCATAATTTGGGCGGAGGTCTAAAGACTTTGCATCCATACTTATTACCAATACACTCAATACTTTTAAAGATAAAATCGTTACAGGCAACTCCTCCGGACACAACAATATTTTTAACATCCCCTCTGAACAGATTAGTCATTTCACAATACTTAATGGCCCTTTCCGTTCTATGTGCTATATGTTCAGCCATTGCCAATTGAAATGCTGCACACAGATCATTTACCTCTGGAATAATTTCATCACCCATGATATTATGATATTTTTCTTTATGTAACAAATGTCTCAAAAAAGAATCCTGAAGACCGCTGAAGCTGAAATTGCAATCTCTGTTTCTATTCAATGGTAACGGGAAATCAAATTGAAATGGATCAACAGCTTTTTTAGCTGCCATCTCAATAGCTCTACCACCAGCAATCCCTGAATATTCTGGTAAATTTCTCAATTTCATCCTCCTAGCAGCTTTGTCGAAAACTTCTCCGGGTGAATTGTCCAAAGTGTCGCCGAGCAAGAGAAAATCATCGATTTCTCTCACAAATGCTAATAGACAGTTACCACCAGAAATTAGCAATGTTAGGAATGGTAGCTGTATGTCTTGAAACATTCTGGCAGCTAAGGCATGCGCTTCCATATGATGTATAGGAATTAAGGGCTTTTTGTAAATTTTTGAAAGATATTTGGCATACTTTACACCAATTTCCAAACTAATTAATAAACCAGGTTTCACAGTAACAGCAATAGCATCAATATTGTCCATGGATAAAGAAGAATTTTCTAAACATTTAAATACTGCTTTTTCAATATTTTCACGATGCATATCTCTAGCTATTAATGGATTGACACCTCCGTACCTCAAATGTACAACTGTTTGGGAAAATAAAGTTTCTCCAAGAATATCCCCTCTTCTATTTAAAATTGCACAGCCTGTGTCATCACACGAAGTTTCTATGCCCAAAACAATGGGACTCGAAGAGCTAAAAGATTTATATCTGCAATCATTCTTACGCCAACATCTTCTTAGGTTATATCTTATAATTCTAGGTAAATATTTTGAGAATTGCATAGTTATAGTTTAAAATTAAATCAATTAGTTTAATAACATAACGAATAGCTATTTCATTTTTAATAATAGTCCTACAGATGCAACAGTTCTTAGGTTTAGGTCATTCCGATTATCTCGAAACTTAACAAGTTTGATTTTAAATCGGTCTTATAATTAAAACAAACAAAAAATATTATAAAAATAGATATTGATTACAAAGATCAAAAAATAAGGATAGAAGTAAAAACCGGGCAGTCAGTTTTATGATATCGCTCATAGAGTAGGTATAACAATACGGAATACCTACACAATTGTGTCATTGTAGCCTGTCAAATGTCAATTGTCTTGGCAATAACAATTATAGATACGTTGAGAAAATTACTCAAAAAAGTTAAAACTTAATTAAACTCATAATTATAAGTACTAAATTTTAAGTTCCTCGATAGTTTCAGTATATTAATTGTTAAATGTAAAGGATCCGAAAACATATTTATATGAAAACAAAAGAATGTAAATGAAACTAAAATAAAGGGTAGTTTTATTTTTTATATTTAATAAAAAGTTTATTTCACCATATCCAATGAAGTTAATTTTTTCTTATATTTACATTACTACTAGTATTTTTTTAATAGTACAGTAAATATCATTAAACTTTACAGTACAAGGATTCACGTCACTAGTTTGGACTATAGAGTATAGACTACACTTATTAATTTTATCGGTGGTAAATTAGATAAACCGAGTCCGGTCGTCACAAAATTCATTATTCCGATTGTTTTGCGTTCGCAGTGTGTATTTTCGGATAATAAGTATATATTGTGAATTATGTGTAATAATTTAATTGTGGTTCGAATTCGCTCTATCTAAAAGTGTCCAGTAAGTAACAAAATAACCTGTAAAAACACCTCTAGATTTATTTAATTCGTTCTGCTTATTTTTGATTGAAATACTTTATTATCGTTTATTTAATTTATAACGATTATAATTGAAACAATATAAGACAAAACGCAACAAATATTTTAAATTTTTACTGTTAAAATTTATATATTACTAATTTGTTAACTATAAAATCTTTAAATGTTTCTTTTAAAGGAACTAAGAATTTTTTTAGTTTTATTTAACTTACATTATCATTCCTTAGAAATGCCGAATTAGTAGTGAAACACTACATTACTATAATTTTTAAAAATTTTAGAAAGTCCATAAACACTTTCGAATTTTTTAATAAGTAAAAGTAAATTATATTAAAAAGTTAACATATTCTAAATGTCAAAATAAAAAGTTCTATATATCAAAATAAATAAATCGTAAAAATAAATCTTTATATTTGATTATTAAAAATTTTTTGTTTTTCCAGTTTTTATGAGAAAATTGTTGAGGTGACAAAAACAAAATGCTTTACTTGAACATATTGAAACAGTCAACTATAGTACATCTATGTTTTGCTATATCATACTTCACGTCAGGGATATTGTTGAGTTTTATTCAGGCCGCTTTGTTCTTTGGACTGAAACCGTTTAACAAGAGGTTGTTTAGGAAAATTAATTATTACCTATCATACTCATTCTACTGTCGTAAGTATCATTTGATATTCTTCAATTATTTTATTGTATGATAAATCTATTTTATATGCATTTATATTAAAGAACATATATTCATGTTTTCTAGACTTTTTATGTTCATTGTAATACAGACAGTGAATATTTTATTAAATTTCTAATATCATAGTATTTTTCAGAATTAGTGTTTATGTCAGAATGGTGGTCAGGCACAAAACTATCAATTTATGTTAAAAAGGATGAATATGATAAATATTATGGCAAGGAGCACGGATATTTGATTATGAATCACAGTTATGAAGTCGATTGGCTTATGGGCTGGCACTTTTGTGATGGAATTCAAGTGCTCGGAGTGAGTATAAATTTTTATATATTTTTAATTTTAATAGTGTAAGTATGTTCCCTTTGAAAAAACTTAGAAGATTTTGTACTATATATATTTAGCATAAATGTACAATGCCTTAATTTGTATATACATTTGACCTCTTAACAATGCTATTATGCAGTATGCTTCGCAGTTTGATGTCTTAATATGTCTGGCCGAGCAGTTTATACAAACATTTATTGTTAATATTAATCTATAGGGTTCACGATACGCATACATTGTACGTTACTTTGATTTGATTTTAATAATGCGCCAACTCCGTTTTTGGCAGCTATTTATATAATATAAATGCTTTGTAAAAAACAAGTAGTGTGTTTCATCTGGTACAACAATTTAAATTGCATATTAATTTGTATTTGTAATGCAATTCGTCGTGCTATAACTATTCGTCGTAAATGTAAACAACACTATTATTAGAACACTTAAAAATTATGTTCCATACTAACTTCTACCAAAGGTCAAGATATCTATGTATTTTATATTGTGTGTGTTAAAAATCACAGTTTTATATTTTGGAATATTCCATTACCAAGGCGTAATAAACGTGCAGATTGCTATATGAAATTGGTTATTTATTAAGCAAAGACGGTTAAAGGAAGTGAATTGAGGTCTTAGGATGAGGTGGGAATTGCTAGTTGTTCATCAATTATGGTATCCGTGCACACGTGCAGTGTATAATCAAACGCATGTCTATGTGCAACCACAATGAAATCGAATATAGGAATAAACAAGTAACTATTATCTTGATTTAAAACATAACTTCCCCATACATCAAATATTAACGACATTAATTAATCGATTTATCATTTATTATTACTTATAAAATATTAAGATGTCTCATACATGATATGGATAGCTATTGTTATCGAATAACAGAACAAAGTCCAATATATAGTAACATCTCAAGTTAATTTCGTCATATTTTTTACCACCGATACAATTTCATGCAAAACTATATTTACCAATGATGCAATATAAGAAGTATTACTAGCGCAAGAAGTGCAATTCATACATAAATCCCGTTTTATAGCGGGATCTTACGAGCTTGTGTTACAAGTTGTAACTTGTCACTGAACTTGGACACCGCTGCCAATTTATTAACATTATAATATAGTAGGTTATTGTATTGTAAAATGAAGTTATAAATTATATAGCGTCATTTCAGTAAGTAGAAGCATATTTTATCTGTCATTTTTTTCATATTTAACGGCTATAAGTATTTTTTTTATGGTTTAGGTTTTAGAGCTGTTAAATTTCGTAGTGTATTGGGCAAACACATCCAATGTTCGTTTCCTATTGGTGCAAAAGGATACATCGATTGCGATAACGGTTAAATAGATAATTGCCTAATAATTAACTCTACAATGTATATTTATAGTCGTAAATATTTTTAAAGTAATTTTATTAATATATTGTATAGGTATTTTGTTGTAAAATTTTCCTTTTTCATTCACTGAATGTAACATTGTTGCTGTGAATCGTTTTTTTTTCATTTACATTAAAGTTACAATTGTTGTTGCGCAAAAAAATTACACTTAATTCATCTGTAAATATGATATGAAACTTGTATTCTAGAAAAATATAATATCGGAATGTAGTAATAATAATCTTATAATAATAATTAGTGAAGCGAGATGAGTTGAAAAAGAGAAAAATATTTTCACTTATAAATCTTGCAACGAGGCTTGGTAAGTCGTGGCTTCGTAAAACAAACGACACCCAATCTTTCTGTCATTTCTAATATAACTTAAATCTTTAGAAAAGATGGTAGAAGAAATAGTTAATACATTTTCGCATCTGCGGGTAGTTTACTATTTATAATTTTTACGAAGAAATTGTTCGTTTAATTTTTATTAAAGAACATTAATGCTTTTCTACTTTTGACTACCTTCGGTATGTTTATACTAATCTTGCATCGTCACACTACGAAGTGTTTCCCGTTTATAATATAATAGCCTATGTCAATACTATTACGTGCTAAGATTTTTGAATGAAAACTGTCAACGCTCCGTATGTATAGCTATGAACTTAAAATACGCGTAATATATAAAGATAGTTTCTGTAATTAAAACGGTATAATGGTAATGATAAGTGTTTATTATATTTTAATGTGTTGTAATCGGTCATCAATACAAGTTTAAATTAGGTTGTTTAATATTTAACCTTATCTCAATTGTCAAACACGAATCGATGTCAATTGCATACAATAATATAAACACAAGAGCAGTTTTATTGAATTTATTTTTGTTTTTGTCGCGATATTGTCTATGGGTTAAAATGAAATAAAATCACGTTTTACCGGTTTTTGATAAATAATAAATGTTATCTCATCCAAATAGAGTAAAAATTATTTGATTGATAATTAAAAAGTGATAAAATCTATACGATAATTTGTACGGAATAGGTATTTTTTATCGGATTATGACATTTATAACAATTATAACAGATGATTGAAGATACGTTTTTCAAGGTTATCTAAAGGTACTGTTGTACGCGAATAATTTCCGTAAAAATAATCGGCATATATTTTTCTTTATACTAGAAATAGGAACGGACTTAATTGTTACGTATTTTTAAACATAAAGAAAAAATATGAAAAATTCTAAGTCTAGCGTGATTCTGAAGAATGGTATCGTTTTTTTTATCAACTATTAAAAAAAACTAAACGGATTTTGATGAAACTTTCCCGTGATGTAATTTAGTTATCATAATAAAGTAACATGGACTATAATTTATCTCGAACACCCATGTAGTTCTCGCGGGATCACGGCATAACACTTGTATTATTTATAAAGCCCCGTGGCACAGATTCTCCACGACGCTGCCGGTTGCTTAACACACACACACACACTTTTAAATATATAAATATAGTATTTTTTGCCTGCGACTTCGTCTGCGTGGACATCAGAGTTGAGAGAAATGTATAGGTAAAGTGGTTTAAAACAATACGTATGGGTAGTAACCTATGTTGCAGCCTTTTAATTTGAAATGTCCTACATAGATACTGACTGCAGTGCAATCTGTCAGTCAAATGCATACAAATAATAATCATTCAAATCGGTCTAATCGTTTAGGAGTTCCGTGACATAGGCACTTACCGTTGTATTATGTAAATAAATAAATATATACAGTAGAAACTCGATTTACCGGACTAATTGTTGTCGATAGGCATTCGGATAATCCGGATAACCGAATGTATGAAGAAAAGCCGGTTTTGTGCATATGTAGTATTTAGTTTATTTAAAAAAAAATAACAGATACGTATCAACGAAAATCAATGTTTATTAATAAATAATTAAAGGTAACATTTTCTTAGATTACATACCACGCCTATGTACCTAAAACTGCAGATTTTAATCATGAAATAAAATAATAAGTTTAATTTGGTTTAGAACATTTGGTAATTGTAATGTGACGTACGCCACTCTCAACAACACGCCTCTCTTACGCGCTACCATTCTTTCTTGTCCGGACTTGTCCGTAGTCTGGATAATCGGGAATCCGTATTTAACTGAGGGCCGGATAATCGAGTTTCAACATAAAGATTAAGGTCCAAATTAATCATAAGTTTATAAAAATAATTCTGATACTAAGTTGTAAGCAGTTAAGATAATATTCTGTAAATCTGACTCGTAATTTTTAATAATGACAAATCTTAATCAAGATGTGGACGCAGTTTTCATTTAAAACGATAAGATTTAATTTTGATATCTGTGACTGTCACTAAGAAAGATTGCATTTGCTTATATTAATGAAATAATGTTCATATAAAGATTTCATAAAGGATTATTTTTATTTCTATGTCCATGAATTCGGAGATGATGATTGAAATTTTACTTATAAGACCAAAGTTTAAAGAACTTTTTTATTACGTCGTATTAGATTATTTAAGCAAATAGCACTCGTAATAAAGATGTCAATTGTTAAGTTGTTTTTATTATTTACAGAACTGCAAAGCGTACGCTAAGAAATCAATCAAATATTTACCACCAATCGGTTGGATATGGAAATTCTCCGAGTTTGTATTCCTTGAGAGATCATTCGAGAAGGACAAGGAGATTATCAAGGAACAGATATCAGAGATCTGTGATTATCCGGATCCAGTATGGGTGAGTGGATCAAGTTATAATAATCTATAATCATCTATCATCTTCTTCTTCTATCTATATATATAAAAATGGATTGCTGTTCCTTTGTCTCGCTAAAACTCGAGAACAGCTGAACGGATTCATCTTATCTTAGTCTTGAAATGTTCATGGAGGTTTAGGGAAGGTATAAAAGCTGAAAAAAATTGATTCATTACTGGGAAAACCATAAAAACAGCCCTTTTCTATTTCCCATACAAACGTTTTTTTGACATTAGATTTGACAACTAACTAATATGTCAATCATTCTGTCGCACTTCAAAACACGGAGATTTATGGCTTACAGGTAAACTCCAAAAATATAAATAAAAAACGTTACAGATATTTCTTGATTATAGGGCGATACGAAGTTCGCCAGGTCTTCTAGTGGCTAATAATTTCTATTAAGTGTCTGTGAATAATCTTTACGTGTAGTGAGAATCACAATTTACACACGATGTATAAACCACGCGGAAGTCGTTTAGATCTAAGTGGCCCTGAATTTATTATTTGTATTCAAGCCGCTTTGTAAAATATTCATCAGTTACCGTTTTAATCTTTTGTAATATTTTCTTTGTTATCATAATTAATTTGTACTCATCGACACGTTTAAGAAACGTCCTTTGTTAAGATCGCTTAATGCTTATTAAAAAAAACAATTGTTTGTTTAAATTAACTACTAAATTCGATGACTCCGGGCGTGTTATCGAAAATTATAAGAGATTTTTTCTTTATTCTAAATATTAGTATTTGGTTTGCTGAAAGATCAGGATGAGAAAACTACATTCTCATTTCAACCATACCTTTTGAACAATTAATCTAAAAATGTACTCAAAGAGAATTCACTAATTCCAATTATTATTATTAATTTTGCTCTGTCCATGCCGCTACTTAAATTCAAAGTTCTATTCCATAATAGTCACATAAGATATAAATAGCCCTTAATTTTCAAAGCTCCTCAGAGCTCAATGGCTTTTTATTCTTTAAAATGAAACTAATATATTTTGGATATTCTACGCGTGCTTTATTTTTGTAAAAAAAAACTACATACTCCCGACGTTCCAGCTACTTTTCAGCAACCGTAATCACGGGCAGACGAGTTGTGATTTTTTTATTATTTTCGCTTGAGATTTTTTTGACGATTTTTCAACATTTCTTGCAAAAAATCTCGTTACATTTTGTATTGAATCTACTTGAAGTTCAGTTAATTATTTATTTTCCTCGTTATAAACCGGATTAATCCAATAATTAATAATGACATGCTTCATTATTATAAGAGTTAGCATTTTATTTCCCGTTAAGTACATAATTAATCGTCAGTGTGCTCAAGTGAATTGTACTTCTAACAAAAAATGTGTATAGATTGATACTTATATAATTTTTTGTTTTAACTACGATTACTTCACAAATTTGGCACCTACAAGGCCGTGGAGTATCAAATGTACACAAAAACAAGTACAAGTCTATTTTAGTATCAAAATAAACCTATTGTGAACGAATAGTAGTAAACTACTCACAAATAAGACTGATGTCTATTTCCGTGTGCACTTTAACTTGGCAAAACAAAATCATTTCGATGCCTATAATTAGATATGTTGACGGTATAAGTTCCGATCATGCATCGGTCTCCAATCACACAGTTTTCTCGGGATTTGTGTTTTGGCATTATTTTGCAACATTTTAATCAAACTAATTTCATACTTTATTAGGCTACTAGCTTTCCGCCAGCGTGGAGTTCGGTTATATCACGTTTCCAAGAGAACCTTCCAAAGTCTGGAATAAAAACTATCCTATCACCTATGTTCTTTCTCAAGGTCAACTCTATTTCTGTACCAAATTTCATTAAAATCAGTTCAGTGGTTTAGGCATGTAAGCGTAGCAGACAGACAGACAGAGTTACTTTCGCATTTATAATAATAGTAGGGATGACCGTGTTTGTAGGCTCCGTAACTACGTCAGTATTTGCAACATTTGGTTAATAAAAATCCTCATATGAATGTGGCTTGGTCTAAACAAAGAAATAGATCTTCTTAATGTAAGCTAGTAACATAAAAAAATATTTGTAAAACGATTATGAAGGTTGTTCAATGTTATAAATTATAAAATAATACTAATATTGTAAGTGCGAAGGTTTGTGAGGACGTATGTAAGTTTGCTGCTAAGAACTACTCAATGGATTTTGATGAAACTTCTTAATTTTATAGCCTAAACTTCTTATTGATATAGCCTATATAAGAATAACACGTGTAGTTTCCCCTGATCAAGGCATAACAGTTGTATCCATATATGTCACGTGACCCATGCTCTAGGCATCGCTGACAGTTAGCAAATACTTCTCAAATAGTTCTATGACACCACATTTTTCTTTAAGCACTAATCTTTCACACTGACGAAGTTGCGTACGAAAACTATTAAACAACATTATTGTATTAACATTGCTGATTTCATACTAGTGTTTGGTGTCGATTTTAATAACTTGTCATCATTAAAAACAGGTATAAATATGTATTGAAAATAAAATAAATATTAATAGTATTACATATGTACTTGATTTTTTTTCTATATTACCCTAGGCTGTCATTCCACCTTATTTTGAATCAATTTTTTCTTTTTTCTCATCTGTAAATCTAAGTTTTATGTTGACAACCCTAAGTTAATTAACAAAATGATAATATACATATAAACAGATTCTTATATAGAAGTAATTAAAAGGTATGACGCCGATTAAATGCAAATATTATAATTGTTACTTGAAGTAGTTTTTTAATCTCGCTAAAGAAATGCAAAACAAGTGACATAAATCATGACTGAAACATTTCCCTGACGGAATCTCCATAGAATTTTTAATGCGCTATTTCTGTTGGTATAAATCACGATATTTCGATGTCGGCATACATTTTTCAACTTCCATTTTGTGTTATATTTTATAAAGTATTGAGGCATTATATTTTTTTGACTGCCAGTATGTTTTTTTTTGTGATTAATATTATTGAAAAGTTAGTAACTTTAAATGTTTAAACAGGTTCTATTTGAAAACATCGTTCTATTTTCAAAATTTATTCTATATATTTTTTCAGCTACTATTAACACCAGAAGGTACGAGATTCACCAAAACTAAACACGAAGCGTCATTAAAGTTTGCGAAGGAGAAGAATCTGCCGCTGCTTAAACATCATTTGACACCTAGGACCAGAGGATTCACTACCAGCCTCCAATACTTCAGAGGGAAGATACCAGCCATATATAACATACAGTTGGCTTTCGAAAAGGATAGCAAGGTGAACTAAGTAGTGATTTCGTACAAGGTCATTTATGTCATTGAATTTATTATTAAGAACTGGTAATTTTTTTTTAGATTTAGCCAGTTATTTACCAAGAAACGTGTTATTATTCGTACAATTTAACATTCAATATATTCGTATATTTTTTATGTCATAGGTACCCCCGACATTAACTACAATGTTATATGGCAAACCCGTACACGCACACTTGTATATAGAAAGGATACCGGTGGACAGTATCCCGGAAGACGAGGCTGAAGCCGCGAAATGGTTGCATGACATATTTGTCATAAAAGTTAGTATATAACCATAGACTATAAAAAAATCAACCTGTATATATAAGTACACATCTAGAGTAGAAAAAAAAATATTGTAAATGAAGCGAAACTTGGTATGGATGGAATGAAAACAGGAATGGGTGGAATTTTTTGCGTTTTTTTTTACGATAAACTTTATTAAAATTACTTACTTTTGATTGCCCGCATGCGTTCGAGTGCCACGCATTACCTCTCGCAGTCTTTTTTCTTATTTCCCCCCCTTACGAACGTTAAACGTTTAATGCAACATTGTTAGAAATCACATATGAAGTTTCACTTCAATATTGTCAATAATAGCTATCTCAAAAAGTTATCCTGCCATATTATATTACATATATTACATGACATAAGTATGGACACTACATCAATAAGTGAACTAATTCTAATACATTCATATATATTCCCAGGACAAAATGCAGGATTCGTTCTTGAACACTGGTGATTTCTTCTTAGAGTCTGGTGTGGAGAGAGTTGAATCTTTCCAACGACCTAATCGTATATATTCATTACTGAACACACTTGGTTGGGCCGTTGTAACCCTGACTCCAATGTTATATTACCTCCTGGGATTACTATTCAGCGGAAAACTCTTATATTTCTCTATTGGTGGAGCCATTCTTCTAGCATGTAAGTACTAAATACTTTTATTTATTTTATTTATTTATTTCGGTAATCCAACAGTGCTTATAATAATATATTTTATATAGAAATTTTATTATATAATCATTTGTTTCATGACTTAAGATTTCACTATATGAGAAATGTTTGGATAAAGAAATTAATTTGTAAATATTATATTTCAGTTTACATTCTGCTTCAAAAGTCCATAGGGATGTCCAAAATCAGCCAAGGTTCATCGTATGGAACGGAAAAAACTAAGTGATTTTTTTATTTATTGTATCCAAAATATATTAAATAAAATTATAAATACTTTTTTTCAATGAATGGTGGATAATGCCAAATATGATTCTGTTTATGCGAGGATGAACCTAAAGATATTTTGAATATAAGCTTTTGTATGTCATTTGGTCGTTGTAGTATTATAGGTGAAAATTTTAGCTAGAGAAAGTTAGATACAGATAAAAATTTAATAGACTGTAAAATATATTTCTACAGCGGACAAGAAAAAAAGGGCAATATTTACAATGATTATAAGCGAAAAAACAATGTTGGATGAAAAAGATTTCGATTTTTGGATTTTATATAACACTTGATCTTAGTTCTTTCGGAATTATTTAGTTAGAGACTAAAATCAAGATTTTTTTGATGCTTTGACTATTTTCTGCAGAATTTTCATAATTTGTATTTATTATCAGCTAAAAAATCTATAAATAATACAATATCCATACAAAAAGTAAATAAAATTTATATTTTTAATCTCATACATATTACTTCAAAACTCATGAGACAAGAGTATGATAAATTGGAACCCCTGAAATGGTTGACACTTTTTTAAATTTCTTAACAGCTTTTTGTTAAATTATAATTATTATATACTATAAAAATTATATTTTTCATAGTCACAAAAACTTTTTATGAGATTTCCAGGAGTATAGTTTAATTTGTACAAATACGCGCGCAAAGTTTTTTACTCATGTAAATAAAGGCTATAAGGAACAATTTCGTTTCTCCTACTTGATATGATGAACCTGTATGTTTGTTATTATTTTTATATTTGACATAGATTAAATGATTATAGAGGTGACGGTTTTTATTTTTTTCTTAATGTTACACTAATAAAAGTTTTGTATACTCTATATTTAATACCTAATATTATTTTTTTAATATTTGTATAAATATTTACAGTTCATTAACCTGTATTTAAAATGATACTGAAACTTATTTAAGCACAATATTTATTAGAATGTGTGCAATGTTTTCCGTGTGTGATACTAGCCTTAACAAAAATGGTTTCTTTATTATTATTTTTCTTATTTAATAGTGTTGTTTTATTTAAAAGATATTAGTTTTTAATTTGTAATTTCTATTGTTCTCTTGATTATAGTACTTATCTTCTGTTCATATACTTTTGTTATTTATTTTAATATGTAGTAATAGCAGCCCAGTTGGACTTGAGTATTTTACATATATATGCTTAAATGACGCACATTTTTGTTAGAAAATAAATTTCAGGTACATTGATAGTTTCGTAATATATACTGTGTACAAGTATTTTTTTAAACTTCTGTTATAAAAAATTTTAATAAACCCCATTTAATTATTGCAGTTTTATTTATTATATACAATATTTTTAACACCTCAGACTATTATGCATGTCATCTATACATATAATAAAATTGTAGAAAAGTGCTGTCTGTACATTGAAAATAAAAATAAAAAAAAATAGCAGGGGTTATTGTTATGTTGATGTCGAGCCCAAAAATGTAATTAACTTTTTTTTGTCTGTTCACGCTAATCTCAGAAACGGCTGATCCGAGTTGGATGCGGTTTTCACGAATATATTGTGGTATGCTTCGGTTATACTTTAGTGTTTGTTTCATGTCAATCGGTTCATAAATAAAAAAGTTATGTCAAATTAAAGAACTGAAGAACTGCGTTCAATATTCGACCGGGTGTGTCAATTGTATGTGGCTCTGTCCCGTGTTAGCAATCCCAGCAGCCTGTATGCTTTCACCCCCGATGGCCATACGTCTAATATTGTATAATATAGAGAAGCATTACAGTGAAGTAGGTTTTTTAGCTACCCAAAATGACTGTGATTATAATCCAAAATAAAAATAAGTATATATCTAAAAAAAAAACGCTGCTCATAGTCTAATGACTATGAGCAGCGTTTTTTTCCACGCGAACGAAGTCGCGGGCACAGCTAGTACTATAATATATTGGTGATAAGTGTATTCAACACAAAATGTTATTTAGAAATATGTATGTAATAATAATGTGACTAAACCTAGAATATTTATTTAAAAAATCCTAGAAACAAAAACTTAATGCGGTATATCCATTTTACTCAGTCTTAAAATAAAGTCCAATAAATACATTTGCACTTTAATCTCTATTGGTTTGCTTGTGACAAAGAATCCTGGAACTCCTGCTTTTTCTAATGTATCTTGCTGATCACTGACCTAAAACAATTGATGCATTAATGAAATGGATTCAATGCTTTATATGTATGTAAAATTCTCATGTCATCCTTAATTTTTTATTTTCAGATGAATTTCTTTGGTTTTTTTTAATTATGATATAGCATTAAAAAATACATACAACCCAATTTTTATTTTATCACCAATCCCTATTTTTTTATATGGCAAAACAATGTTTGCCGGGTCAGCTAGTATATATATAAATAATTATCACCTTTTGATCCAATTGTATGACTAATTTCATATCTGCTTGCTTTAGTTCTTCTTTCTGTCTACGTAATAAAACATTCCGTTTAGATTCCTGTTGCTCCGGAGTTGTAGTATTTATCATTTCTTGAATCTCTACTGGAATTATAGAGATCTTATTAATTATTAAAATGACAAATACCAAAGGCATCTCTTTTTAAGTCTTTTTTAGTAATTGTAAAGAAATAAGGAATTATAATAAAAATCTAGAGTTTAAAATTATTTGTTTGACACTTATACAAGTCTGCTTAAAATAAGAAGGTCCTACTTGCTAATTTTATAATTTGCACAAGGCAATTATTATATTTTTATTTACAATCAAATATAAAACTTACAAGTATGCTTGTTTATTATTTGTAGACGTTGTTGAAACAGATGCTTTTCCGTAACATGTTGTATTTCCATTAAACCTTTAACTATTTCAAAAACTGTATCATTAAGAAGACAGTTGGCTAACCCAGATAGAAGTTCAATAGGTACCCTCATTTGGTATTTGCTGAAAAAAATAGTACACATAAATAAACAAATTTTAGTACTAGTGTGAAAAAGAGTTATATTACATGGTGATTTGTATTTACGGCGGCAATTCTCTCGCCATGTCCTGTAGTTGTTCTAAAAGAAAATATAATTTTCTTTGTAATGCCTCCGGTGTAGGTTCCATCATCTCCATTTTTGTGTTTCAAAGTATAAAAACACTACAAAAACAAGTTTTTCAACATCATAACTTCGAATCAAACGCTCCTTTAAACAATAATAAATGTATGACACTACAAAGTACAAGCGATATTTTGACGTTTGGTACAAGAATACGTCTTACCTATAATAATTCATAAGGACGGTTGTCATAATACATAAGTTGTCATACATGACTAAAATCTAAATCAAAAACTGTTGATCATTTAAAATTTATTACATAAAAATCTGTATATATTTCATTGATACGAGGATTGAAAAGTTTGATTCGAAATTCATTCAAGAACTACTAAACCTAGTACAATGCGGTGCAGTACAATTTAATATTTTGTCCATCCTTGTTATATTTTTTATTGAATAAGCCTAAAATATGCTCAAGGTTTTTATATTGTTATGTTTAGTAATTTTTACTCATTTTAGATAACATATTTTAATAATGGGTACTAAGTGATGTCCTTACTATGCAATCACAGTTGTATATTTTTGTTTTTGACAGATAGTATGGATAATTAGGCAGACAGTTTACCAATCTTAAATCTTAATGATAGTGGAAAAATATTCTATTTTGTTTTAGGATATCAATTTTATTAGATTTTAACTCAAAAATGCGAAGACTTTTATTTATTTTATTTTATTACATTACACTTTTGAATGGAGAGTTAAGTATAAAAACTCCAATTAGTTCTAACTTTTTAATGTAAGTGTACACTACATTGTCCTATTCTTTGTTTTATGTTAATATAACTTCCATTTCATATCTAATGTTATTATTTTTAGTCAACAGGATGTTCGAGGATATTTATCCCAATATCCTGATGAGTGTTATGATATGTTGTATGACTTTTCTCAGCATGCATCCAATTTAACTTTTTGTTCAATCCTTAATGCAAGACCGATAACGCTCTGTGAAAGATGTGTTGATAATTATGTGAAGTTTCGTGATAAATATCACGAGTTACAACATACACCCATAAATGGAAGCACTTGTATGGCATTTTTTGGTTCACATGATAGATTAAATGTTATACAGGAGTATCACGACAATATTCTGTCCATGTGGGATAAAGGAAATTGTAATGGTATGTGTTTATATAATATTTTCTATACATTAATATATCAAATTTTTATGATTAAACTAAATAAGATTGGGAATTTAAATTTACTATTATGTGCAGTATGTTTAATATATATGGGCATATCTATAAATAATTCTGTTATATGGAATTAAATCATTTGTGAACTAAAGTTTAGTTTTAAGGTACAGAAAATCACTCATATTTGAAAGACACAAAAATTATATAACAATTATCAATATAAAACTTACTTTTATTAGTATTACCAACTGTAGTTCTGTAAAAATTTTAAGGATTAGAGAATATAATATATAACATGGGTTTTAATCTTACATTAATTATTTTCCAATACAAGTCACCTTTAATTCGTTTTATATTCATCACTATATTTCTACAATATTTAATGTAACTAAATTGTTATTTAGATACTGATGTTCTTCTATAAACTTTTAGGGTGCTTTGATTGGATTGACGGTAAACCATCACTTAGTAATGAAACTAAACATTTCCATAAAATATACAATGAGACAATGGATTGTATCTTGAAGAATATGATGGCCGAAGACAGTGATGTATGCAATAGATGCATGCAGTCATATTTGCAATTGGATGGATTCTATAAGACTTTAAGTGCAGACTCTATTGGAGTTGATAGTGTTTGTATGGATATAGTGGATTCGGTAAATAAATTTTTATTAGTATTTCCTGGCTTTCTATCTCTCTTTAGTCTCTATCTATCTCTTTCTAATTATGTCAATATAATGTTATATTTGTGATAAGTTACTAAAAAGTTTGTTACAAAATGTTTTGATTTTTGTTTGCATGAAAAATTTATTTACATCTACTTCTGAGTTTTACAGTAGTTAACTTTTATTATTGCATTTATGATCTCGTAAACTAGTCTAAATTTTCTTTTTTCTAAGTATAATGTTTTTTATATTGTTAATGATAGATATATATGTATATATAAATTTTGCTATCAACATTAAATTACTCATATTTTTATTTATAGATGAATGCTACCAGATCTATATGGAGTAAAACTCTAAATTGCTGCAATCTTCGGAGGACTCCTGAAATAGCATTTTTATGTTTTGCCGGATTTATATCCTTTTTACCAATACTATACTATTTATCTGTCCGTTTTTGTGGGCCTATCAGAGATCTGCCAAATGTTTTGAAGCGTAAGTAGTTATATTTTTGATATTTATGTAATATTGATATATAACTAATAATACTGTTTTGTTTCAGAATCTAGATTTAAACAATCCATATTAAGGACCATGGATAGTAGAAGTGATTAAAATGTTACCAAAGATATTGTTAATGTAGGTTTTATATAATGAAAATAAAATTATATTCTTAATGAGCATAAATTATTTAATCATAAAATTGGTATCCAAGTACATAGCTTGTTAAGTACTTAAATTATTTAAAATTATTGTTGACTTGTTATTATCTATGCCTGGCCTTTTTGTTGTTATTCTTCTTAATATTACTATTGTTACTGCTGTTTGACAATTTATGTTTCAATGAGTTTGGAGTTGTGTCGCCTTTGTTCATTAAGCCGATGTCTTTATCTTTTGGTGTCCCAGGTCTACTATCCAGGCCAACGGCAGATAACATCTTGCTTTCACTTCCAAATGCCTTTTGTAACACGCTACTCGATGAAGCAATTTTCTGAGTAATACTCTGTTTTGTGATTGAACTATTTAGGCTTTTCTCGATTCCGCCATTAGTGTGTTGTTTTCCCGATGGTTTGGATGCAATACTTTCAGTGGAGCCATGTATTGTTGTATGATTTAAGTTACCAATATTAACTCCACTCAATTGTGTATCAGATGAATCTTCATTTGTCTGAGATTCTGTTTCACTATTTCTTTCATCTGTAAAGCAAGAAAAATAAATTGAATATTTATAACACTTTATTGAGCACGGTTATTATACACAAGAACTCATAACATCAAATTAATGGAATATATAATATTTGATTTTGGCATTCATATCTAAGAAAATATATATAATTTTATTAAGTTCTTTATTAGACACCCTCCACATATTAATTTTAGTTACCAATCAACATAAATTGTGATATTATTTTGAATTTCAAATGACTGAAATACTCACTTTTGGCTTCAGCAGGATCAACAAGTCCACTTACAGCCTACAAAAGATTTTTTTTAGTATTTTAAAGATAATAAAATAAAAAATTATATGTATTATTAATATAGATATTACCGCCATGGAAGTAATGGAAGACTTTGAGAATAATCTTTCAGCCTCTTTGAATTTTCTATTTCTTTTATCAGCCTTAGAGTTTGTACTTTTATTTGTGGCCAGATATCTATCCCAGCCTCTAATGATATTACCATATAGTTGTGTATCTTCCAAATAAGAACCTTCAAATGCGTAAATTTGTCTTTCCAAGTTAGCCAATGTTTCCTGATAAATAAACACTATTTAGATATACATGTCAACAAAGTTAAATAAATAAATCATAATTTCATTATTTGCATTTTGTTATTATTTTTTATACCCTAAAATTTGCATACTAACAGCAACTTCCGCCTTTCTTTTCACCAATTCCGCCAGTTCAGCTCTTGTGTCTGCAACTGATGTTTGTTTCGAGGCCATATTGATTTTTTTAGCTTGAACGCTTTGGGTCTCGCTGGCAGGACTTTGCGGTGAAACAACCATTTCGAAGCCTTCTTTGTTTAACTTCTTATTGAAATATGTACTAATAATCACGATATATGGCTAAACTGTTCTGTAATAAGCTAAAATCGTCAAACACTAACTATTGCTCTGTACGTTCATCAAATCTCCATTTTGCCTAATGCTTCATTTGTGATATGACATTGACGTTACCACTCACCAGTCTGACATATTTTTTAGTTTTATTGCAATTATAAATACAAATTTATGGACTGTTTAAGAAACTGATCTTTGAATTGAATTTGTATATCCAATTTCATATCCATAAGTCAAATATTACATTTTATTTGTATTGCGAATAATTTACACTACGTATACTTATAAAAAAAACAATATATTTATTTAGTTGTTAAAATAAATTTTGACATTAAAATAACATATTAGGACATAAGTTTGATATCAAATATTTTTGATTTATTATGATTACTAAAGTAATATTGCAAAGACAAATGATAATTCGTTTATATTTTATTTATTCTGTGGACGTGGAGAAACATTGTTGACATTTGTCAATGAATTGTTGACTTTATCATGTTTTTATCATGTTTCTTGTATTTAACAGGGAAATAAAAATTTAATATTTTTTAAGTTAATGAAATAAATAAAAGTAATTCAAAATGTCTATTACTTACATCCCAAGGGTGACCCAGGTATGCAATAGGTTGTTTTGTATTTCTAGAGAAATAAAGTAATACATTATTGAACATCTATTTCAGTTGGACTCTTTACAATTAGATACAGAATTGGAGGAACTATTTAAGCAACAAATTTTTCAAGCTACGAAATATTTTGAGGTATATTTAGTGGGATTTTATTTATTATTTATTTATTTATTGATAATTCAGGTTACTTAGCACTTGTATTTGTTTTAGCCCGGCCTTCTCCAGCCTATTCTTCCTGAAATCGACTTATCAATTCGGACATGGCTATTTTTAAATTCCGTGAAAACTAATAAAAGCACTTTTGGACAACAAATGCTTTCTCTAAAATATAAACCAGATAATTTTGCAAGAAGCAAATTGTACTGGTATTTTGGGTATACTATCGGATTAAAGTATCTAAGAGATAGAGCTTTGTATAGTTTTACATCTAATACCCAAGTTCAGAACTTTCTATCTAAACTGGAAACTTTCCAGTTAGTCGGTGACATTTTAAATTTTCTCCGTTTCATACAAAGCGGGAAACACCCTGCTCTTATAGATTTTATACTTGGATTAGAGTTGACGGCTGATAAATTGACAAGGGAGGACCTTACTGATTTCTCTTGGACTCGGGAATTGTTATGGCATAATCTTATTGTAAGTAAATACTCCTTCCAAACAAAAAATTGCATTTATAGTTCTTCATTAGGACTTAGACTTCAGAGTTATTGATCAACAATGTACAAATGTGTCACTATATGGTGTCAACATATAATTATTTATAAATGTTTTGTATAATTATAACATTACAGGAACTCATAGGAACAGTCCTATCATTAGTAAATATGTTTGGTTTAAAACAAAGAATGACCACAATATTGAAGTATATGTGGTGGAAAAATCACAAATCACACAAAGCATCGGCAAGTCAAGCAACAATGACTTTGAACACTACATGTGCATTTTGCAATGAAAAACCCGTTCTGCCTCATGTTATGGGCTGTTCACATATATTTTGCTATTATTGTCTCTCGGTAAGTATGTCTTAAAATATATTAAGCCAGAAATGAAAATTAAATATTGTATAATATAACAATTTATCTTTACCTTAAATAAGGTAAAATTAATATAATGGTATGACATTTAACACAGTCTACTTTTAATTTGAACAAAATAATCTTCATTAGTTTTTATTTTGCAGACATTAATATAAGCATCTATTGACAAATTACTATGTAATAGAATTAAGAAGTGAACTAATACAGTTACAAACCATTTGTATCATTGTATAAACCTGGACAAAATCTTCTCATATTTATTTCTTATTATATACCTATACAAACAATATATTTTAGTTAAAACTTATAGAAAATAATGATTTTCTAAGACAATATTAATCCAAAAAAATATTTTCTCTTTGTTTCAGGCTAATAAGACTGCAGATCCAGATTTTACATGTCCCAAATGTTATTACAATGGAAAAGAAGTTACAAAATATGTAATGGTTATGTAATTAATATATATAAAGTTATTTATTGTGTAAGGGTTGTGATATTAAAAATAAATAGAGTTTATTTTTATTCTTGCTTGTTTTTATTCAAATGTTTAAAAATGTGTTTTTAACAATATTTACAAAATTCAGACTTTTTGATGATAATAAAAATACATTTTAAGCAAAACAAAAAAAAATTCTAGCACTAATTACATTTGTGTTTGATAATAGATTATTACTTTACTAGAGAGAACATATTTAAACCGATATTATAGCTTCTTATTAATAATAACCTTAAGTCTAAAGATACGTTCTAAAAATAAGCGTTATGTTCTTCTTAACTAAGGCGCGAAACAAAGTAGACGAATTGACTTTAAGCAACATGCAGTTCCTAAAACCGGATAAAATTAAAAAAAGTGATCCATTTTGCAATATATAAAAAAATATGCTTAGATTAATTAAATGTAATCAATACTGCAAAAAATGAAATTCCTTGAACAAATCGAACGCTTGAGTAATAATTAATTAACGGAAAAATTAAACGTCAAAAGTGGCATGTCAAGTAAAAAAAAACTGGAATACAGTGGTTTCGGCGTTACACATCATATAAGGTACGGTATTGCTAAGCTTTTAGTGTTGCTTGTCTTTACTATTGTGAACGTTAGCGTGGAAACCGGTCTCCCAGTCAGCTACGTAGTTGACAGTTCGCACGGAACCGTCCGGTTCCACCAAAGAGTATTGACCTGGTTAAACAAATACACATATAGTACGTACAGCGAAAAGCGAAAGGCCGAGTATTATGATTATTAATGATCATGATATTATCTGTTTAAGCTACCCTTAAATTCTCTTACGCTTACTCAATGACATGCTGAGTAAGTGTCATAACAAGTTCATGTTAATAATGAATTATTGTATTTTTTAAATAGGTATACCTTTAACAACATCGCCGTCGCGTTCTTCTTTTTGCTGTTTGATGTCTCCGGTGTGGGGATCGTTTACACCGTATTCAAAAGCATAGCGAGGATGTGCGTCCTAAAAGAAAATAAAATTCACATTATCAGCAAAATGCATTGTACTGCACACATTTCTATTAATAAAATCTTTTCAATGCTAATAGTTTTTGATTACAAATTAACGACGAAACAATTATGTACGTAATGACATGAATGTAAATCTATAAGCTCGTGCTAGCTGTCCTTAATCTTTTACGTCTGCATGGGTGAGTTCAAGTTCGACGTACGTCTGTTGCGAATAATGGATTAATTTCACTACACTCCGTTCACAAAATATCTGTAGCTTCAATTGCGGTTTATACATTTTCAAACATAATAAAATGTAATGTCTACAATAACAAAAAACACGATGTAATGTAAACAATTAAAGTTATTCAAACATACAATTTTAAATCCGCTCCTGTGCTTTACCAATTGATAAATACTGACAATTTTAAATTTTTTCTATTATTTTTATTAGGGTAGTACTTATATATATTTTAGAATATAATAATTAAATGATTATATGGTTTTAAAACCCCTCTTCCTAGAGTACTTTATTACTTGTTATGATAAGATATTTATGTTATAACATGTATAAAGTTTATTTTTATGTATTAGTAAGTCATTAATATGCGTCAATTGAGATGATGAGTTACCTCGTCATTTCTACTTCCTTAAATATCGTCATTAATATAATTTGTGGGCAATTACTTCAAGCTGTTAACGTATAACATCTTATGTAGGTTCAGTGAAAGTACTTACACACTATAAATAAAATTAGTTCCTGATTTTGTAATAATTATTTATAGCAATTATTTATTTTTAATAAATATTTCTTTGTAGGTAATATAAGAATCACTTCTATGTTAACATGCAAAATTTATAAAATAATTAAAACGTATGTTTTTAATAAACTTATTATTGTGATTGATTTTTATCATTTTCATTAATTTAATGGTAATATTCACACAATATAAATGATACTAATATTATTAGGATTACTATGGGTATTTTATTATTTTCCAACTACATACTCCCGACGTTGCGGTTACTTTCCAGTAACCGTGATCACGATATCCGATCCGAATTTTGACCTATTTGACATATTTGACGTATTTATATACAGGGTGACTGGTGAATTACTATCAATATTTAAGGAGATTACTCGGTACATGATTCTCATTCGAATTATGTAAAAAAAATTGGTACTTAATTTTTGACCGAATTTCCGTATAAATAAATAAAATGTGGACACGTTCCAAGTGTTCCAAGTGTGGACGCGTGCGGCGGCGTGCTGATACAACACCACGCCGCCGCACGTGTGTGTGTGTATACCTAATCTGTAGGGTGTTCACATGATGCGTAATTAATTACATAAGTTTAGGTTAACTTTACTTAGAAGTTTATTAATATTTAATTTATATTAATTTTCATTTTGTCATATATGATCGTCAAATATCACGTCCTCAAGTATCGATAGTAATTTACACGTCATCCTGTATATGTATATAGCAATAACGATTATATATTTATTAGTCACATTAGCATTGAATGAATTTAATATAGAATGTGAATGGATTGTGGGATGTTAACATAAATACAAAATTGGTTCCTTATACAGACTTTTGCAATAAAAGTTGATTAACATTTGAATAAAGTCGCGAACAAGATTAGGTTTGCACAGTCTTGCAAAGTAAAAGTTAGGCAATGACTAACGATACAATTCCTTTAAATTTAGTATCGCAATAAACGTTTTCTAAATGACTATAAAGCTCAAATACCTTTGATAAACTTTAATTTATTTCTTGTATATCTATATTGAAAATCATTTTAATTAAGCTTTTTTTATCAATTTGTTAAGACTCATCACTTTTCTATAAAACTGATTGAAATTATTACGTTAAGATAATACTTTGCATAATCGACAGCTATTCATATTTTTTCCTTACAAGTTTAAACTTAATGTATAAAATTATTCAATGAACAAAATCAATATATTTATGTAAAACATTTAATAACCAAATTACGCATTATTCTTGAACTTGAAATTATTAACGATAAAATAAAAATAATTTGTTTATTTTTAACTAACAATGGAGATGTACACCAGTAAAATGAATGTTAAAATATTTTGAATTTAGACATAGCAGGTATGTGTTTATCGAATGTAACAAAATAAGGAGTTAACCATTATACACTTATATAATTATTTTTTCTTTTAATTATTGGTAAGTGAGAATAAATAAAAAAAAAGATACGCATGTGAAAAGATGAAAAATCTTATATGACTCTTGATCGGAAATGATAATACTACAATAGAACTTATCCCAGCTATTTTTAACACTGGGCGCAAAAAGTTACCATAAGTTTGACGTCCATATGTGTGTGTTTGTTTGTAGCATGGTACCTCTCAAACGGATTTATTGATTTCGATTGCGTTTTTTTTATTTTAAATTCAATTTGATATGTTTTTTAATAATGCTCCAGCAGTGCAATGGTAACAGGTGCTTTCCAAAATGATGTAAGGCACTTTCGGTCTATAATTACACGATTAACCTGATCACGCGTGCCACTGCAATCGTTCGATGACATTCAATGCTAAGCATCTTTTAATTAAATGAAATAAATTTGTTTATTGCAATTGCTTTTTGCATTTCATGTAGATTATAATTGCTAAATTTATTCTGTCATAAGTGATATAAAATGAAAACTATTAATAAAAAGTTTCGTAATAGTTTGAACTCTTATTTACTGGATTGTCAAATCAGGTTTAATGTTGCAATTGATACACACTTCTAAGGTGTAATAAAAACATGTCTTTTAATCGTTCAAGGTTGCGTTAATTAGCTTACTTTGATATTCACTGCAAGAAATTTACTGTTCAGTAATTTATTACATGTTTTCATTGATATTAATTTCACAGACAGTGTTGTAAACGATTTAAGTGATATTCATTTGTAAAATATAATTACTTTATACGTCAACGACTACTAATAAATTTACTTACGATTGCAGTAAATTGAATGATGTTTATATATAGATATAGCTATTTAGACACAAGAAAGATTGCAATAGTTGATTGAAGTTTATCATTAATGTAAAACATGTGCTTTCGTAACTTGCTTCAAATTGGTGTTTTACAAGAATAAATATCAGTTTGCGCCTCTATATTACAATAAACGGAATTTAATGGAACCGTAATTATAGAGTGGTATTAATAGTCCTTTCTGATTATCGATTATTATGCTTATTTTATTTTTATCCGTTTTGTCAATCCAATTAAAAAATCAAGTTCATTACCTCCGCAAAATTTTGTGCGTTTAAAATATATGAACTTGCTCTTTATTCATCGATATAAGAGTATTTAAGAAAGAAAGTAGTTTTTTCGAGGAAGGGCACTATCTGTTCATGTTTTGTTTTTATATTTTAAAATGCTTGTTAATTTTAAAAAGCTGCATGGTGACTGTTCATGTGGAGCATAAATGTATTTAAAAAAACCTTTACATAAAAATGTATTCTGCATAAAGTTTGTTTATGAAATTTAGATGATGGATAAAGAAAAAACACTTACGTAGTTCTCCAAGAATTCCGTGTGCACATTTTTGGCGCCTTGTGAGTTCTTGACGGCTTGAGCTATATTTGCTACAGCTACTTCTGGAGTGGAAACTGATTGGTGGGATACTGACGGTGCTAAATATTGCGAGGCTTGTACAGCAGGCTGTACTCTTGAGTATTGAGTCACGACTGGTGCTGAATAATGAGTCACAGATGGAACTGAGTATTGAGAGTATTGAGCGGGTGGTGCTGTATATTGAACTGCCGATGGTGCTACATAATGAGCTGGAGAAGAGTATTGTACTGATGCTGCTTGCTGAGCTAAATTAGAAGCTCTATAAGTAGGCGCAGAATATTGTGCTAAACTTTGAGCTGAATCATGAGAAACTATAGAATTGGAGTATTGAGTCGCAACTGGTGCTTTATAAACTTGCGACACTGATAAGGGCGCTGCAGTTTGGTACTGATAAGCTGGTAGAACTGTTTGTTGTGATTGCACTTTAAGTGCCGGCGAAGTTGTATAACCAGCCGAGGGCGCTGCGTATACTTGAGACACAACTGGACCAGCTCCATGACTGAATGAATTTAAAGAAGCCCTTGCAGACGATCCGGAGTTATAAGAAGATTGTTGTGATAGTAAATTTTGGGACACATATGTGGTTCTAGGTGGGGATATCGTGAATTTTGCTTGCAATGGTGCTGCAGTTATTTTCGCTATTATTGGAGCTTGGGCGTAAGTTGCTTGTGGGATTACAGTTCTTGTAGCGGATGCTGACAAGCCGGCAGAAGTAGCATACCCATGCTGTTCCCTTTGGGCTGAGTAACCAGAATACGCAGCAGCTATTGGTGCTTGGTATGAGATAGCTGGCTGCGACTTATAACTGACTTGAGGAGATGCTTGGAAAAGTACATTTTGTGTGAATCCTTCCGCGTTCTTATAGCCACTAGAAGCAGAAAGCTCTTCTGCTTGAATAAGCCTTGGGGCAGCTGTGGCTTTTGCTTCCGGGAAAGATAGCTGTATTGCAGGCGCTGCATAGTTATAGCCAGTGTGACCACATCCTTGAATATTTTGCACCTGACTCAAATGGTAATTAAGATCGGGATCGTGATAAGCGAATGCATTTGAAAGGAATGCAATAGTCACAAGCAGTATCTGAAACGAAATGTAATAAATAAATTATTTTTATTACTCTAAAACACTTGTTTTGACTGCGAAAGATTTTTATTATGTTATTAATTATATAAACGAAAGCGGATATTTCTCATCAAAGCTTTATACTAATTTTAAAATTATCACGAGGTTAAAATGTTTCGAGTTAATGTCAAGCTTTCTTCATAAAATTAGTTTCAGTGGTAAGAATTTTTTTAATGTCCTTATTAAAAGGTTCGTATTCAAGCATAGGTTGTAAATATCAAGATTTCGAATAGCAGTTCAAAAGCTTTCGATTTATAAGATAATCAAAAAGGTAACAATATTAACAATTATAAGTAAAAGAAATATTTTTAATAGTAATATAATTTATAGTTAAGTTATAAAATATAACAAACAACACAAGCCTTACCGATTGCATTATCTAATTTGAATATGAATTCACTTTCAATTCCAAAGAACGTCACGTTTTATCACAATATCTGAACTAATTGTGTTTGGCAAAGTCTAATTTGAAATGAGAGCAAAACGAGCTGGCAAAGTCTTATATACCAAAGTCATATGTGTAAGAACGGTCGCTTTTTCACATTCGCCGTCCAAAACGTGGGTGCGGCTATATATGAGTATGGGCTGAGATATTGTAATTACTATTAAACATATTTAACATCACTTTACATAAAACTCGCGGTTCTGATCAAATTAAGGAAGCTGTATATTTTAAATTAATTATAAGAAATTCATACGACTGACCCAAAGGGAAAGTTTATTGATATTTTAAGTTCATCATATATAAAAGGTTACGAAAGTCGATAAGTATCATGTTTTTTGCTTTTTCACTTAGCAAAGAACGATTGAGTGATTTCTTAGTCATCTCGATGAAATGTTACATATCTGATTGAGTTTTAAACTTCCAAAGCTCTTGCACACGAAATGAAAGCAGCCGTTATAATTTCAAGCGGATCTTCTGCGACGAGGTACTATACCGTTTAAGACATACGATATACAACCCATAGGCATGTTTAATGAAATATTGTATTAAATCTTTAAAGAAATGAATAGAAACGATTTCATAATCAAAGCAAAACGAAGTATGTGGGTTTATAGAATTAATTGGATATGTTTACAACTTTATAGAATTAATTGGTTTGAGACCGAGGTTTCAATTATTCGACCCTCTATCTTTCCGGTGTGGTTATCTGTGGACACAGAACTGTAACTTTAAATACAAATGTTAATTTACGAGTATGATACTGTTAAAAGTCATTCATTAAAAATGAAATGTGTACTAGAAACCTTTTTCGTAATACATTTAGGTAATCTTAAATGTGGATAATTCTGTTCCCTTTAATAATAATAGTTTGGTCTGTTTTCAGAAAGCATATAGATTATATAAAGTCTAATATTTAAAAAATCTAGGTTACATATCAATGTAACAAATTGTTATAACTATGTAAATATATAATTCGAATGTACATTGATTTTTATTCGCTTTTAGAATGTTGCATACTCTTTAATTTATTATATTTAGGAACATTTTAGTGTACATGATTTATTTCTTGTAATCTACTGGTTTTACTGACCCAATGTTCAAAAACCATTTTGTTTGTTATCTTTTATTAAATTAAAGTTTTCACAATATTATTCTAGTGTAACAAAATATAAAAATATTATCCAATATCATGAGTTTATTTCATTTGAATCTTTAACAAAACTTTATTGCTTTGGTAATTGTTAGAGTAAGATATTAAATTTAATAAGTGTTTTTTTATTTTAAACTATATTCAAAACGAGGCATAAATTAAAACTCAATGTACAGATATAATTGTATACCAATTTACTTTAAAGGAGGATTTCTATTTTGTATAGATAATAATTATTAAACATTTTGCTTACAATCATTATAAAAACTGTGATTCAGATTTGTTTGAGGGTTTTTCAAGTAATCATATGGTGATGAAATGTAGCACGAACAATAAAATAAATTCAATGACGCGAATCAAAGAGCCGAAATGTGAATTATACATTAAAGTTGCGAAATATAAGTATATCAATATTATTATATCAAGTAAAGTTTTATTATAGAAGGTTGGAGCTCATTAGGACGGCATTAATCCCCTTTTTTATATAACTAAGTTTAATTGATAACTTGTCCTTTGTCTTCACCTAGGTCGTGTGTGAGGTCTTTTCATAATTGTTGTGTACAAATAAAGCATAGAGAATAATTTCAAATCAAATACTCTTTGGTGCTGTTAGTTTTTTTATGTAACCATTTTTGTGAGTTAATTTTCTTTTATTTAATTTTTAATTCTCTAACCCTAAAGTTTTTAATGGAAACAAATTATTACAAACTAGCTGACCCGGCAGATTTCGTACTGCCTCAATCAAGAAATAAATTATTTCTTAATTATTTTTTTGGAGTTTACCTTTAAGCCATAAATCTCCGTGTTCTAAAGTGCGACAGAATGATTGTTTGTATGGGGAATAGAAAAGCGCCGGTTTTAGGGTTTTCCCGGAATTTTTTTTTCAGCTTTTATAACTTCCCTGAACCTCCACGAACATTTCAAGACTAAGATAAGATAAATCTGTTCAGCCGTTCTCGAGTTTTAGCTAGACTAAGGACCAGCAATCCATTTTTATATATATAGATTATAAATGTATTCATACTATTCTGCATTTTTTCATAAAAGGTAAAATTAAAAAAGTCTTTCATTGGCATATGTTTTATAATAACTTCCGAAGTATGGTATTTTATAAATCAAAAAATTTACTGGCATCCAAAATCATCATTGATAACTAACTAACTTAATGTAAGGAGATAATTAAATAATAATAATATTTTTAAATATTAAATAACAATATTATTATATAAGAGAAGGCTTTATGCAAGTACGTATACATAAAAAAATACTCATTTAATTTAAACGTTTCTATCTATTGACGAATGTAATACATAAAAAATATGGAACCATATACAAATAAATAAATGTATCAAGCATTTCGCAGCCAACGAAATCCTCTTAACTCAGACATTCTAGACTGAAACAATTTAATTGCAGCAATCAAGCGTATGTAGATTAGACATAAATCTTGTTACATATCTCTTATCAATACCTAGACCAGATTTAATATGATGCGTTACGTAAAAACGCTACATTTAATGTATCAGGACTTGCATCTTATTGATACCGATATTTTTATCTGACTTTAAATCTTTTTATGTCAGTAAATGAGAGCAGCGTGTTCATATAGAGTTCATAATGTTCAATTGACATCGGTTTTACGAAGTGTTATGAAGTCCTTGTCATGTTTTTGCAGCGACTCTTTTTAGATTTGCCGCGGTCATGCGTTTATGCTCGTGTTGACGAAATATAACAAAGAATTGCATAAAGGTTTTTACTTCTAATGACAGCAAGTGACTATATTTAATTTAATAAACACTGTTTGTTTTTAAAGAAGAATTTTATATGCAACATATTTCATTCACAGAAGATATTTTATTTAGGTAAAAGTTGTCTATACATCAGAGACAAACGGATTTGTTTTACATATAAATATATTTCTTTTGTTTTAAATCGATAATAGTTTCTTTCAATAAATTTACAGTTGACATCTCGTCTGCCCGTAATTACCGTTGCTGCAAAGTAAGCGAAACGTCAGGAGTATGTAGTTAAAAATAATAAAACAACGTGTAGTAATCCGAAATTATTAGTTTATTTTTAATTTATACTTTGTATGATAAATATGAAACCGATAATCCTTTAAACATATGTGAAGTAATGTAGGAATTAGCTTGTAGCAGTTCTAATACACCGTATGCGGTAATTTACGTCGCTAAAGGAGGTTAGATACGTGTGACGTTACATAATACCAAGCCCCTAAGCTTAGTCGCAGCTTCTATACAAATTGCGCAAAGCTCACTGGCTCTAAATGAGATCATTTCAATATTGGGCCATAACATATCTAATATGTATACTTAGTGATTTTTTTAAATAAAATTACGCTGGATATTGATAAAATCATAGTTCAAATAATTTATTATGGGATTAGTCAAGATTAAATCAATTCGTATATACCACATTCATATATTGTGCTCATAAAATTTTACAACAACCTATAAATACAAATACACATTGTTATAGATAAAAGATAAGTGTTAGGGTCATATTGGTCACATGGCCTTTATTTGTTCCTATTTCTAAATGTTCCTTCACCTTTATAAAATATATAATAATTAATAAAAATGTTAATGTTTTTTTTTAATATATTTTTTCTCTTCTTCCATACATTCGTTATATAGTAAATTAATTAATAAGTGCGATATCATCAATTATTATGTCACTCAATTCCTTAAAGAGAAATGCTGTAAAAGTTGTGACGAATAAATAATTTAAACCAGTTTTCAGACAATACTGTTGTTTCATCAATCACAGTCAGGATACGAGTTATTAAAGGCAATGTCGCCCTCGATTATAGAATATTACTTTCTCAGTTATTTATAGAATAGGTTAATATATTACGTAATATACTCAGCGGGCTATAACTATTCTGGTTAGTTAATTTATATATGATAAGTACGAGTAATAAAATTATGATATGTCGTCTGAATATATCTTTGAACTTACCATAAGTTAATATCGTACACGACATACGTAAGGTTTTAAGTTTTTATTTATAGTATAATGCTAATGATTTACGATATATGTAGTTGGACGATGCAAACTTGTATAAGCAATGCTTTATAAGCCTCTCTTGTTTTTGTGTTATAAAGATTAACTTAAATCTTGACCAACTTGACACAGAAGCCGAAAACATATTTCAAACATAATCAATCAATTGTGTATATTGTCCAGTTTTTATGAAGTTGTTTAAGTTTGTTCAAATAATATTAAGTTTACGTAATGCAAGCAATCTGGCGCGAGGTTCCGAGCGTAATGTTTAATGTTGATACAAGGTCGATATTAGATTAATTGAACGTAAATCCGAAATAGACAATCTTTGTAACATTACTGTTTATTTAAAAGTTGTTCAACGTTAGGTTGTTCCGTGCAAGTTTGTATAAAATTATGGTTTATTTTAAAGATATGTTACACAAAGTGATCTGAAAAGCACAGTACGTAAAGTAAGACGTTTAAAATATCTTTGTAATTTTATACATATTATTACATTGTTTAATAATAGGTATACAATAGAATTCCTTCATGTTTACTTCAAAGAGTTGCTAGCATATTTTAACTCTCAAATATATTTTACAGCTTAGGTATAAAGGAAATTATTTATTCACTAGAAATATAATCAATTTATAATATGTATCGGATGCCTACGAATTGTTTTAATAATTGAAACTTTACTACATACGTTTGTTCAATATAATTACACGCTAGACTTATTATTGGATATAGTGATATGAAACATTTTGCACTTATGAATACATAGATTTTTGTTTACTTCAATTGAAAAATATGTTGTTAATTGCGACATATATCGTAAAATGACACTTATCAAATGACTTGCTAATTAAAGGTATGTGGATAAAATTTATTAATCGTAAACAGTTTTAATGAAAATGCATGTTATAATATTACCGTAAACAAGATATTAGTACTGTTTACATTATATAACAGTAATAAAGGTCATAATAATTTTAAAAAATCTTAATATACGGTGTTTATGAGTTGTGTATTTGATTACTAGATTTAAAATCGTAGCTAAAAGTTAATAGTATAAAAACTGCATACAAATATTTTCAGTGTAACATATAAGTATGACTGACAGACAGATAAGATAGTAATGTATATGCAATCGATTAATATTACTTAGTTTCAATATAAGTAATATCTCATAGTAGTTTTCCTTGATCTTAAATTAAATGATGTTAATTTTTTTCTAAAATATAAGATAATAAATAAGAAATTAAGTTTAAATATTTGAATACAAGTGTCACGCCCTACAGGTAATTCTTGTATAATTGTTCACGATTTGAACCTTAGTCTTATATATTACAATTAGCAGTTCAAGCAATAACTTATAATTTGTATTAACAACGCTTCAAGACAATAAATTTGAAAGGTTTTTATAATATTATGTAATGTGTTATGATATTTTTTCCTTACATATGTATTATATATAAATCAGCGTGCAATTTATGTAATGTATTTTACTATAAATCTTTCTATACGAAGGTAAGACAGTTTTAAAAAGTTATGTATATGTATATACATAACTTTTTAAAACTGTTGTTTTAAAGTTAAATTTTGCATTATTATATACTTGAAAGTGAGACCTGAATATAGATTTATTAATTAAAAGAATTGTTCACAAATATAAATCAACATTATTAACATATGTTCATTTTAATCTTTACCTACTCTATCTATAAAACAATGAACTTGATAAAATGTTGTTACCGCCATCAAGACTTATCTGTAATAGTGGCTGTGTTGCCTATATTTTGAATAAAGATAAGTATATATATATATATATATATATATATATATATATAATACTTTTGTCTTAGTATATAAGCAAATATGTTGAATATATTAGAAGTTTGGCGTAACAGACAACATAAAACGAATGCTGCACGTGTTTGCTCTTATTTAATCGGAAATATTCAATATATTCCTGATCTGACACGTCATACTCTAGTAAAAGATCGCAATATATTCAACTCGATAAACATTCTAAACAGACGTTGTTCTGCAATAGTTCGCGAATTTGTCTCAACGGTGCCATAAAGAGGCGATAAGAATCACGAAATATGTAGCTGTGGATATTGATCGGTTCAGTAGTACATAACGTTAAAATCTACATACGATCAGCATATGAAGTGGACCCAGGTGGAACTGTATTACGTATTAGACCTCTCACTTTGATTTTACCTACACTTAAATTTGTGATTTTATTTAAGCAATAAATATTGTATCGCCTACAGCGACGAGCTGATTCATGTCAGTTTTTTTTATATAGTGAAGGGGGAAAACGAGCAGACTGCCTACCTGATGGGCAGTAGTTACTGTCGCCCATGGACATCTGCAACGTAAGGGGTGTTGTGGATGCGTTGCCGGCTTTGAAGTGAACGATGGTAAGATACTGTTGGTCTTGTCACAAAGCAAGAGTTTTATGTATCACAGGCACAGGGCATAGAAGGCTCTCCTTGGACCCCATGCTAATAAAACATTCTTAACACCTAAATATAGAAGGACAGGATGCGAAAAAAGAAGTTAACCGAGCCACATTTTTTTTGTGAATATGTTTGTAGTAACTGGGCGATTATTTTCTACCTTAAATGCCAAATTTCCTTGAGTTAATATCATTAATAATTTTGAACTATATTCGAAGGCGAACGTCAAACTTAGATCACAAACAATTTATTACCTATCACATAGCCTCAATGTTAATGAGTTTTGGTGTTTAAACTGTGAATCATCAATTATTATTGATGAAGTGTGTTATGAAAATATTACAATAATATTAATGTTTATTTAGCTGGTCAACTTTAAATGTAATATCTTGATAATCAAAACTGATTGATGTCTTAATGTAATTGGGATCTAAACGTCTAGGAGAATAAATGTCAAATACGTGTATGCATACAATAGTAACATATAATCTTACGTTAAGAGAAATATTTTTTGATATTTAATTTTGTTATCCAGTGTATTGTCAATTCCTCACGAATTAACTTTTTCCATATTAATCGATTTATGAAATTAAATTAATTAAAAGTATTTTTCCATAACCAAGAATTTCCACAATTTTCATGGAAAAAACTCCGTCCATATGTATCATATTTATGTTTCATTATTATAATATAAATAATTCAACCCCATGTTTAATTAATATTGATTTTATTCAGAGAATTACTATTTATATAATTTTATTATTTGCTTGTAAACTGTAGTAACTTTATTGAAAATATTATATAATCAAGATAACATTGAAGATTCACAATAAGTTTGAAGATAAAAATGCTCATATTATTGATGAGAATTTTAAATTGAAGCAATATAATAAGAATAAAATAATATTTATTAATGTTCATGCTTTAAAAGGAACGAGCCCAACTCAGCGTCCGATTTGAATCGTTCTTCTGCGTCATGTCGACTCATTTTTCTGTTATAACGATGTGGATTTTCCATGTATTCATTCCTGTCGTTGTTTCTATTTTCAATCAAAATTTCTCTGTGATTTTTATTAAGTCTAGAATTCGGCTGGTAAGGCTGACTTATTTCTTTCAAATGTTTTAAGCGGAGATATTCTAGGAGTGTATCGTAGTTGTTATGAGGGGACGGCATGTGGTTTCTTCTAGGTAGTATTAAAACTTGGCCTCCATCACTCCGAGCGTAACCTCTCCCGCCAGTCTTGAGATATCTATAGTCCAATATAATATGCGGCTCATAATAATCAGGGCTGTATACATCTTGTATTATTCTAAAAAATAATAATTGTACTCCTTTAATTAATATATTCGTAATTAAATATCCAAAGAGTATTTCAAATAGAACTATGTTTTTACCTATTTTCTGCCTCAGTGAATTCAATTTCCTTGTCCTAAAAACGTAAAACTTTATGTAAATGCAAAATCCTGACAAAAAACACTGGCGTTTCAGAGTATGCTATTTTTGTGTTTTAGACAAACACCTAAATCAAATATATCGTAGTTTTTTTTTATAAAAAAATGTATATAGTGCATAAGAATTGGTAACAATAGATATCATAAAGTATTAAATAGAATAAGCGATTCCAAAATGATACAGGTGAAATTTTCGATATTGATTAGAAATTAGTAAAAATATTACATACGTGACCAATATTGCCATGATCCGACCCAGATCCCAAATATTCTTGGTTATTCATAGCTCGTAAAGACGATGGTTCGCTTTTAGAATCCTTCGCTACAGCGCAAGCCACAAAAATTGTGGCTAAAACTATTGCCTAAAAAGGTTACCTTAAGCTTTTAATCTTATACGAAAAATCGCAAGTCATAACGGACAACGAAATAAAGTGGTTTTTTTCCAATTAAAACTTATCATAAAATCTGTTGTATAGTCATGGAATTAGAGGTTCATTTTACTTTATTGCCCTATTTACTGGGTTATAATATAAACTTTACAAACACTTGGAACTCCCCTGGTAATATTTATATGGAAACACTCTCTACTAAGAACGTCAATATTTTTGAAATAGCAATTAAGAAGTAAATTTTACTGCTTAATGTCAACTTTTCAATTAATAAAGAATTAAGGCAACATCTTCCTTTGGTACAATGATAAAAAAGTACGGTGTACCTCTATGGCGCATTGTTCTTAATAAATCTTAAAGAGTAGTTATAGTCACACTTTTACCAAAACATTTTACAAAGTATTTTAGTTGCCATATCTTTTTTAACGAATTTTGAGTTGGTATCAACAAGATTTCAGGATATTTACGGTAGTATAAGTTTAAATAATGAGCACAAACTAATAAGCTGTAATGAAGAATTTTGAAAGGTAAAAGGGAATAACGAGAGCCTTTGTATAACGGAGATTAGACACTTGTTCTATCAAAAGGTACTTGAATAAATCAGCACTTTCTAAATGGGATTTTAGTTTGAGACTCTACTTGTATTTATAAGCGATTCTGTAAGGTATTTGAATTTAGCTCTCCTAATACGAAGAAGGCATATAAAATCTTTACGATAGTGCTATTAATTGAGTAAACAAAAGTAACTAGAATCAACAGGTCGTTAAAAACAGATACTTAACTATGACAACTTCTAGCACTGTCAACCAATAGTAGCATGAATTGTCAATAGTTGATTAATTTATAAAATCGATGACGCTAAGTTTCTCGGATACTACGCATTTTTATTGCTTATGTACACACAATATCGACGTATAGTTTTCTTACAGCAATTGTGATAACGGGAGGACGAGATGAAAGTTACGCTTTCAATATTGAAAAGCGTGTAGTATCGGAAAAACTTAGTTTCATTTGAAAGTATACGCGGTAAATCTTAGATGTCATTATATAAATACGATATTTAAAATAAATCATAAGGTTAAAGAAAGAAGTTTGATGAATTTCCACAGTGATAAACCTGATTTAACTCTAAAAAATAAAGAGTAATATGTATATTCCGATAAATTTTTTACCTTAGCCATGTTGAATGATGAACAATGTGAAACCAACTGATTTAATAAACAAATTGTCAGTACTAATAATAATTTTAAATTTTTATACAGGATTTGCGTGTGCTATAATTTTAAGGATGTGTGTTATTAAATTTTATAATTATACATTACTTTGTGTCTACGGTTAGTATTGTATCAAATTTCTTATTATATGTAGTTACAGACAATGTTATAAAAACTCACATTAAAAGTAATACAAATTGATTTAGGGATCTTTCGGCTTTAACCCATTCAATCTAACCATTAATCTGTCTACTCTATTATTTCACTTGTTGTTGTTTGGGTTATATAAACTTAAATTAATCACCAAAATTTCAAATGAACCGGTATATTGGTTATTTTGAAGTAAGAAAAAAATCAAAATGAGTAAAACAAATTTACTTCAATAAAATTAAGTTTTTCTTGGTCCAAGACGTTTCTTGATAAATCGTGTAAATATGCTGAATTGATTGTTATTTAATATTTGGGTTAAAGGAAAAATAAATCATTTTCTTTATAAACGTCTTTGATTTATTTGTAAATTATTAAAATCAGAGACCTCAGTTCACTCGACATAAAATCAAATGTAATGGATCTTATAACGGGTGAACAAAGTAACGTTTCCTAGATTAAATAATAATAATAATGGTAGAATATTAAAGAAAGGGGGGTGGATATTATGTTAATTAAAGTGGAAGGGATTAGTTTAGAGTTCCCTTAACATATATGTGTTAAATATTAACAAATAATATTTACTGATATCCCGTATCATCTTCAGGCAAATGTATTTTTTAAATATATTTTGACTTAGGAACATTGGTTTAGTCAGTGGTGGCCTAGAGGTTAAATACGAGCCTCTCGTGCAGGCGGGCGCGGTTTCGATCCTGGCAAGTACCAATGTGATTTTTCCGAGTCATATGTACTTTCTAAGAGTATTTAGATACCACTGTTATACGGTGAAGGAAAACATTGTGAGGAAACCTGGACTTATATAATTTTACAATTGGGGGATTCTAGCGTCACTGGTGGGACACTTGGACCTCGATTTTCAGCGTTTCTAGCTTATTTACGCCTATTATATCAATGATATCTAATTGGTTTATATAGAATATAATAAATATATCCACGTACTTTTATAGGTACAATAAAGACGGGAATAACACCAGGTAAAATTTAATAAAGAAGACAGTAAATATTTGTCACCGGTGGGACAAAGTTGTGACATTCTTGTTACACATGCATCATATTTAATAAAACTCTGCTAGTTGATAAAACTTTTTAATACAGAATACAATATTTGTTTGAGACAATAAACTAAACTTGACATTTGAATAGAAAATAATGTTCTATTATTTACACATATTTTTAAACACAAATCTTCTATATATATATATATATATATATAAATGGATTGCTGTTCCTTAGTCTCGCTAAAACTCGAGAACGGCTGAACCAATTTGGCCAATTTTAGTCCTGAAATACTCCTGGAAGTTCAGGGAAGGTTTAAAAGGTGAGAAAAATTGGAATAATTGCCGGGAAAACCCTAAAAACAGCCCTTTTCTATTTCCCATACAAACGATTTTTTGACATTAGACTTGACAACTAACTAATATGTCAATCATTCTGTTCGATTGAAACAGTAGAAATTTAATAAATACCAATACCGGGTTATTGAAGACGGAATAGAGTTTGCCCGGTCAGCTATACCTATATTACTAATGACGAAATTAACGCGGACGAAGTCGCGGGCAAAAACTAGTAATAAATAAAGTGTGTCACGGGTGGGACTTTCACTGTCACGGGTGAGACACGTACAATTTACTTGGTACAAGGAGTCACTTATAAGTTTTTATTTCTTGATATGGATGCTAGTTTCATCATGGGAGTCAGTTCAGTAGCTTGGGTCTGCATCAAGGTATACATTTTAAACACTCAGCTAGACAGCTTTGCATCTTTTCAGATCAGAATCAGCATTAGATTCATTAATGAAGTTTGCAACTTAATAAAAAAATATTAATATACTAATATTTTTAAAGTATCGTGCAATTTTAAGTATTTTGTATCGATATACATAATAATTAAAAAACAAGAAAAACTTTAAAAAATTACATCAAGGTTTACTTTCCCGTAGAATCCCCCAATTATAAGTTTGAAATTACCAACCCGTCTTGAGCAAGCGTGGTGATTAATGCTCAAACCTTCTCCATGTGAGAAGAGGCCTTTGCTCAGCAGTGGAATCTGATAGGCTCATGACTACGACGACGAATATGGACTTTTTCAATTTATTGTATGGTATTACTTGTTTGGATATGAATTTTTTATTTTAAAATAGGATTAAATATTTATTTTGGAATAGACTGTTTATCGTCTAAATGGGTTATAAAAACTATGGTTATGGTTATGGTTCATTTGATTTTGTTATTCGTTTAGTTGTATGGGTTACAGTTTCTTATATGTAGTTTTGGCTAGGCCGTTAAATCTTCAAAGTATAATTTTATTTCTTTGAAATTTAATATTATTAGTGTATTACGGAATATGAAGTATTTATCAGTCTTTTTAAAATGATATTGCTGACAGAAAATTTGTAAGTTTCTTGATTAAATAAAAAAGTATGTTTATTATTTTATATTATCATTTTTATTTATTTTTCACTTAACTCTAGTTTTGCAATATTCTATAGTAAAGCGGGAATGCTATGTATCTACTGTAAATTTATTCCTTAAATTAAATAATACCTTCCATCCATCCGTCATTAACAAAATGTTGCATTCAGTCAAGTATTTTTTTGTTGATACCTTATTTAATGTAAATTTTAAATTATAACTAATTTCTCTTCGACAATGCTTTCACATTTTTTGGATGATGAATTAGGATACGATGTTGATACTTGTCTTCATTTTCATTTTGAACAACAGGGTCAGATTCTTTTACAGAACTGTTTTCAGCTTCTTGTGTTCGTTTGCCGTACTGGGAACTTTCAACTTCCTTTTTCCCATCGTTTATGTTTTCGCTTTGGATATTTTTCTTTACAATATTTGCTCTCGATCTTCGATAATTCTTTTGATCTGATTCAACAGTTTTCAGCGTTTCTAAATTATTTCTTTTCTTGGTGTTGAGACCGCGGACATTGTTTCTGCGTTTACTACGTGTTCTCATCTCTCTATCATTATTATTGTCTTTTCCTCCATTATTTATTTGACTGTCATGGTCCTTTTTATTGCGTTCATTACATTTACAATTGTCATCTGATTCTTTCTGAGCTTTTTCATTTAAGGCTTCATTATTATCACCTGCATCACCTTTTTGTTCCTTATTTTCATTTTTATTTTCTTCTTTGTTTTGTTCCACTGAATTGTAACCTTCTTTGCCATTATTTTCTTCCTGTTTTTTTAATTCATTTTCTTCGGGGTAAAAATTTTTTTGCTCATAATTTTCTTGCTCATAATTTTTTTTCTCATCATTTTTTTGCTCATAATTTTCTTGCTCATAACTTTTTTTCTCATTATTCTTTTGCTCTTTATTTTCTTGTTCGTTCTTTTCTTGTTCATTATTGTTTTCATTTCCTTTATATTTTTCTAAATTTACCATTTCTTCTTTTTCAATAATCTCGGTTACTTCATAATTTTGAACATGGTTTTCTTGGTGATAATTTTTTCTGAAATGAAATATTTATTTATTATTAGTTATAGTTATAGTTTGTTATTAAACCATTTTTTTAAATAAAAATTAACGAAATTACTTAACATTTTTAAAATTTAAGAAATAAGTATATTAAGAGCTTACTCATTGTGTGCTTCTTTTTCATTGTGGTCGTTTTGATGCAATGGATATCCATTTTCAGAAAAATCTACGTGGGCATTAAAACTGGAAAATAAAATGTAAATGTTTTCTTCATTATTTACTAATGCTAATTTGTCCTCGAAAAATATTTTTAATCAGAATTATAAACAGTAAATTAAGATATTTTAACTGTAGTTCGAAAAAAGCTAAGTGTATTGTTTTATGTACATAATTAATAAAAAAATATGTATTACCCAATATGATCGTCAGAATGGTATTTGACAGTCCTTTTGCGGCCAGTGGGTTCAATGAGCCAATAGTTACCCTTTACCCTATCACCCTCTCGTTCTTCATGTTGGCCCTTTATATCGCGAGTATGCGGATCTTTCACTTTGTAGAAAAATTCATAAGATGGATACGATTCCTCCTAAAACAACCACATTTAGAAAATATGTGATTTAAGTTAATATATAGATAACAGTAAAATATTCATCATTACTTACAATGTATGAAACCTCAAAGTATTATAATGTTTAATATAATGCTAATTTGATTGTGTTATTCGTCGTTTACACGGTACAAAAACAGTTTGTATTACCAACCCAACATATAAGTAACTTGTTTGTAACCAGTTTGTTATTAAATATTTTATATTATAAATTTGTTATGATGTTAATAATAAAACTTTTATTTTCATTTAAAGACCAAAAATTATATATTCCAACCAATTTTTAATACGATTTTTTTTGCATTGGTTGTTGCATTAACTGTTTTATGACTTTGAAGTACTTCTAATAAAGAATTAGCTTACTTTATCCATATGATTTTTCTCTTTGCCGTCACCGCTTGTGTGGATGGCTGCATGCTTCCGATGATGCAAGACAACTCTTTGTTCAGACACAGCATCTTCTTCTCCCTGCACGAAGGCAGCCACGCCCATCACCAACACAATCTGAATATTTTTTATTAAATATTATATAATTTATATGATTTAATTATTATAAAAGAATATATTTTTAACTGAAATTATTAAATTTCCTCTTTTTATGATTTATGGATTCATATCTATGTATATATTGTATTTCTTATATATAAAATATTCTCACGACTTAAATTACCTTCCAAAACATAATTAACAATAGGCTACACCCACGATACCTGATGCTAACTTAACTGATAGTGTGCTATCAGGTCTATATATACACAGTGATGTTACTTTTTCACTCTCTACTTTCCTTGACCAATTATATTGTTTCACGATTTGAGCGTTAATAGACGTGTCCGTATTCATGTTACGGATTGATTAAAAAGTAGATTATTTCAGTAGTAATATATATAACTAATGTAATTATTATTATTATATTGATCTCAAATTTTATTGGTTTGCATAGAAATATAAATATTGTGCTATTAAATGTCATTTGTATGTCACTTTTTGTTTTTCCTACCGTCATTTTTAGACTTTAATTTCTTAAACAATATATAATCTATACATGTTAGTATTATTCTAATAATTATAATTTAGCTTCAATAATATAAAGTAAAAAAACTATTAAGAAATTTACGTGATAAAAACATAGCTTTACATAAAAACTAAGTTTAACATTTTAATCAATCTGTTGTCGATGCCTGTAATTACTTATAAAATTAACATACAGTTATGAACATATAATTATTAAATAATCTTATAAAAAACTCTACATCCACGTAACACTAGTAATTCAATCTTGTGAAGCAGAGTACACATAAAATTGCGTAAACATTAGGGGTTAGCGGTTACGCAAGCGGTTAACAACGCCTTTTGTTGAAATTATATTAACTATTCATTGGTACTAGTTGCTTAGGGTTATGGACCAGTGAATTCTTATTAGGCAATATATTTCAATATTATAGTTGTAATCCATCAAACGTAGTAAAAATATGTTAATATTAAACATACTGCGTGTACTTGACACTGTAATTAAATCAAAATATGAATAAATTAATCAAAGCAAGTAATATAAAATAGGAATTGCTTTGGAATGCAATAAAATATTAACGAATCGTAGCAAAATTCAGAATATGTATTCAGTATGTATTTTTTATTGATGCTTGATGATTTAATGTTTGTCAATGTGCTTCATCTTGTTTTTCAGGTAAATGAAGTGTCGCATTTTCACAAACTTCGTCATAGGATAGTCTTTTGTCAAAAGGCTTATAGTGTTAAATAATAGGGTCCGAAACCCTAGGATTTCCTTTCTTTTAAAATTACAATACTTCCTAGGATTTTTTTCTTTTATTTGTAAGTACTAAGTAGAGGTCATTGTACCCACTAACAATCCGTTGCAAGGTATGTTAATTTGGTCTGTTAGTTTAATTACTTATATTATGTTTTTGTTATCTGCAACATTTTTTTGTATTCTTTTTCATACAAATATATCTAAATTACTTTAGAGTAATATTATTTATTAATGAATGATTCAGATCTTCAGATGTGCAAGTATAATATTTAAAAGACAATTAATTCGTAGGTTATTTATTTATATATTTCATCTTAAAATTGTTTTTTTGTCTTTATATTGTTTTCCCTGTCAAGAACACAAACTGATTTTTAGCTTAGACTAGGACTAGGACTGTTATTCTTGAAGGGAATGTTTTATAATATCGGAAATCTTTCCTTGTTTTCGGTTATTTTCATCAAATAAAATGTTTGTCAATACTATTCTAAACTTTAGAACCGATGCCAAACGATACTTATTATTCTTTAGTAAAAATAAAACAATTAAAAATTTATACTAGTCAACATTAGTTGGGCTAAAGTGATAAAGTGATAAATAATATTTTAGCAACTGTAAATAACTTTTGTTCGTAATAACGCCTGTAAGTTAGAATGACTCAACACGTTTCTCTGCGTAGACATGCATAGATATACAGGTCCATGAGGGGTTAACAGTAAACCGGAACGTTTTATTAGTATGGAGGAAGTGATCGTGAGTTTTTTTCATATTTTACATAGCGAATGGCCAGGTATACCAACTATACACAATGCTATGAAATCCGAACGGAACTTGACGTTAGCGCTACATCTTTCACCTATCTTAGATCGCGACATCAAAGAATTCACATATAGGACTACATGGGACATTTTTTTCTTTTGATTAAAGAACATATTAGTCGCACAGGAAGTATTATTCTTATATCTCTTCCAGTAAACCGTAATAGTAACTTTTAAACACGAAGTAAGGCAGCTATCTTTAATGATAATATTTTTGCATACCCTTGGGCAAAGTAAAGGACACGGGATTCCTTTATGCGGTTCATCGTCTCTATGTACATACGTATGTTCTTTCATTTTCAGTTGAATTTGTGATATAAAAGATTTTGTTTTGATTTCGTTGGGTTACTTGATTATTTGTAATAATTATTATTATTTCGATATTCTTGATAAAAAATTAACTAAAGCTGTATTTCAGATTTGTTTAAAAAAATCTACTTATATCCAATAGGTTTAAAGAATTATTATTGGTGTTCATAACGGATTTAACATGATCTTCATTTGTCAATGTGATTTTAATGTGTTTCGATTTATCGTTAGGTATTAATGCGCTTATTTCATAAAAAAGTTTCTATACAATATACCTAATTAGCGAAATATAAATAAATAATTTTATGTGTATGATAAATATAGTAGTAGCTACAAGTCATTGAAAGCGTTTCTGATCTTTTAAAGTATAAATGAACAGTAACATGCAACTGTTTTGATGATGTTAAACTATTAATCTGAAATGTATTTATATTTCATACGCCTATAGATGTTATCGTAGGATCAAGTATTTTGTCTTGTTTCATTACCGCCTAGTAGTAAAAAATAGCAAATAGTCATGACTGATCTTAAAATATTAAACTTACTTAGGAGCGTTATTTACAAGTCACATAATCTGTGATATTCCCTTAAATATACTCGTAGTTTAAAATTTATAAAGTTAGTGCAAAGCATACTTAAAATTTTGATTTTATGTTAATACAATTAGAGAAAACAGGTTATTTCTTATTTGACTAGAAAGAAATGAGAGAGTAAATAAAAAAATATATTTAATGATACATTATCACCTATTATGTTACTTCCGTAAGGAAATACTTTCAATTGTATTCTATTATTGTTGACTATTTTAATGGTGTTTTTGCTTCCCGTGATGTTTAGGATGATGGATAATTATGTGATACTGGGTTTTCTTAACCTCTTCCTTCCCTTTTTCTTTCCACTCGCCTTCATAGCCATTGCCTTCGCCATTTTTTTCCTGGCGTTCATTACTACCCTCATTTCCTTTGTTTTCCTCATTTCCATTGTTTCCTTCGTTTTCATTTTTTCCTTCATTTTCATTGTTTCCTTCGTTCTCATTCCATTGTCCATTTTCTCCACTGTTACGATTTCGCTCACCTCCATTACCTTCCCAATTTTCTTCACCGCGGTTGTTGTTTTCCTGTCTCTCATTGCTCCATTGTCCACGACCGTTCTCTCGGGCTTCAGAACTCTCGCCACTCTGACCGTTTCTGTTGCTTCGGTTTTCATTCTCATTACCTTCTTCGCGTCTTCCCTCATTGTTTTCCTGATTTTCTTCGCCACGATTGCCACCCTCTTGCCATCCATTCCATCTAACGCGTCCGCGCCAATTACCTCCTGCTCTACCGCCATTATTGCGTCCGCCGCGTCTTTCTTCGCTATTTTCATTAGAACCACCGTTTCCTCTTTGCCATTCCATTCTTCGGTTATTTTGCCAGCCCCAACCTCTTTCACCGCGGCCCTGGCCTTCACCCGAATTTTCCCCTGAATTTCGTCGACCACCATTATTGTTTCTACCATTGTTCTTCTCCTGACTCCTGTTTATATTTCTTGACTCTCCTCCTTCTTCGTTATTATTTTTATTTTCACCTTTTTCTGAGCTGTTACCTTGATTAGACTCTCGTTCATTTTCTTCATTACGTTCTTCTTCTCTTTCTTGGTTTTCACCGCCATTTCCTTCGTTTTCTACTTGGCCTTCATTATTTTCATTTGAATTTTCTCCTCGGTTTTCTTCGTTATTACTTCCTTCTTCCCATGGTTTTGAAATTAAAACATTAGCCTTAAATCTGGAAAACCGAAAATGTTCAGAAATTTCAACTTAAGAAAAAAGCTATATAATGCATGATATATATTGAAATTTTGATAATTGGTTTGCAGCGTTGTTTTATTTATGATCATCATCCTGTTCATTTATCCTGTTTACTCTGTGATTTAGAGCTAGGCATGTTATTTACCTGAACTTACGATTTTGCAATTAAATTTAATTTATTGAGAGAATTGTTAATTGTTATTTATGGTTTCATGGAATTGTTAAGCTAATTCTTATATATATAAGCATTAGCTTTACAGAAGGCGATTCTAAGACAAGCCTTATAGAGAGGGTTTAACATAAAAGAATATATAAATTTTAATTCTTCCAAAACTCTGTTTGTAATATGTTTATGAAATCTAAAGTATGTTTTGATAATACTTTAAGGAAACGTAAAGAGATTATTAAGAACACCTACCAGCCGTTTTAAACTAAAATTAGCAATCTCTACCTGCTTTTCATTAGATATTATAGGAGCGGAAAAATAAAATATTTAATGTTAAAATATTTATAGCATTTGTAAGTAATCTTGTAAGCATCTGGTTGGAAATTTTGCGAAAATGAAGCTTCGTACAGAATATAATTGTAAAACGTTTTGATTATTTATTTATTTAGTATTATAGCAGTCTTTATATTGTTATCAGTGCAGTCTATAAACTTACCCGCTGTGTTTATCAACGTGATACTTTACAGTTCGTTTGAGTCCATCAGGTTGAATGAGCCAGTAATAACCTCTTACTTTATCACCCTCCCGAGCTTCATGGTGTCCTTTGAAATCGTGTGTATGTGGGTCAGACACTTCATACGTAAATTCGTATGATGGATACGACCAGGCCTAAAATAAACGAAATATTAGAAAAATAATAAGTAATGTAATTCTAAATTAGGCCAAACTGCTAGCATCGGGCCTTGAATCCAAATATGGATTGCGATATGATAAAATAAGCAATCTTCTTCAATCCAAAAGTCTGAAAAGTAACACCAAAATCGTCGTAGTTAGACTAACATAACAGAAAAATCAATTTTCTTATACTTTAATATTTATTCATATATAACAAGATCATTTATTTAGCCATACATATTGTTCGTGTTCCTCGGGAGAGTTCGATCCGATGTGCGAGATTTTGCCGTGATGGTTTATCGTCACCTTTTGTTCTGAATAAGGTCGACGGGCTAGGGTTAGCGCAATATGCACCGCACCTACTAATATAACAACCTGAAAATATAACATCGAAAATACTATTATTATTTGTCGTATGAAGAAATAATTACAAATAAATCACTAATAATGAAAATACTTAAAAGTAATACAAAAGTGACCTATATTGATTTGAATTTTCTCTCCTAAAACAAAAACAATTAATAATTTTCGTCTATACGTTTTAAATATTTTAAGCACAAAATCTATATAATAGAGATATACCTTCCAAACCATCGTTCGTTGCCTGAGATGTGATGCTATGCAACTTAACTGATAACAGATAAAATATTATCTCTATTTATATACAATGTAACGAATTCATCTTTAATCTTCAGTTTCCTATAAGAAATCAACAACTAAACAATTATTTTGCAGTTTCACGAGATATGGGCGTGCAGGCTAAGTAATAACTTTTAATTAATATTAAATATGAAACGTTATATCATCTTGCATGTGAAGGCAGCTTCTTTGAAAAGTATTTATACATAATTAGTTTTTATTTAATCGTTGCAAATACATATATTGTGTAATGTCCACTTTACAATCAATGAATACTTGAATAAAAAAAAATATAGTTTTTGTCTCGTCGCAAGTTTTTTGAATAGTGAATACTTAAGTAAGTGTTTTTAAAGTGTCAGTTTACAAAAACTTCTATAAAAATGCTTAAAATACCACACAAGGTATCGTTAAATTAAATTCATCCACTTCAGAATTAGAGCAAAATTTTGATTGTATGTAGAGATTGTTCAAAAGGTTCAATTGCTACAGACATTTTTAAATTATTTTCCTGTTCTTATCATTATAAAATTATTAAATTACATATTGTGTTCTAAGGAAGAGATTTTTGAGATTCAGGAGCTAAATTTAATTCAGTTCGCATAAAAACTAGAAGGAATTTTTCAGCAACACCAGTAAGATTTACTTTCCTATATGATTTGAACATTGTAAGCTTTGATGAATAATATAATAGGATTCTATAACTGAAATAACCCTCTCGCCAAGAATTCTTCGTGTCAGTTTTATTTTTAACAACGGCATCAGAATTTTATTAGAAAATAACTGACGACATCATAAAGAATTGAGTTTGCTATAAGAGTAATAAGAATCTTTATCCAATAACAAATAAGTGTAATTTATATATTTTATGTAATAGAAATGTTTATTAAGTGTTTGTAGATACAAATATCATTCATGACTTAAAAAAATAGGAAAAGTTTAATTAGTGAATATGTTTGGTTGGTTGGTTGAACATAATTCACCTAATTTAGTTTGATTTAAATATTGCGTTTCTTTAAAAAATATTATTGTTTTTAAAACTTCTTTATGTTGACAATTTTTTTTACTAGTACATGCAATCGAAAAAGTGTTAACTACTTTTTTGAAAAAAAAAAAATTATTAAGCGCTTATTCTTTTTATTTAATCTTCTATATATATAAAATGATTTGCTGTTCCTTAGTCTCACTAAAACTCGAGAACGGCTGAACGGATTTATCTTATCTTACTCTTGAAATGTTTGTGGAGGTTCAGGGAAGGTATAAAAGCTGAATAAAATTGATTCATTACTGGGAAAACCATAAAAACAGCCCTTTTCTATTTCCCATACAAACGTTTTTTTGACATTAGATTTGACAACTAACTAATATGTCAATCATTCTGTCGCAGTTCAAAACACGGAGATTTATGGCTTTCAGGTAAACTCCAAAAATATAAATAAAAAAACGTAATAGATATTTCTTGATTATAGGGCGATACGAAGTTCGCCAGGTATTCTACTTGTAAATATTTTAATTCCCCTATATGTAGCATGTTTTACATGTTTTTTATAGTTTTGGAGTAACTTAAATTAAAAGAAAAATATAAAAGATAGCACTATCTTTATTCATAAAAAATATATAATAAAAAGTTTCTTAATTATTTATAGCTGGCCAGTTTGACGATACAATTAACAATGTCTGTTTAATCAAAGATGGTGCTGAAGATGAATATGATGATGTGGAGACGAATGATGAACGATGGCATTGAACCTGAAATAGAAACAAAACATTACAATAATTGCTAGTAAAGTGACATTTGTACCACAAGAAGGTGTTATACTAAATACGAAGCATGTTTCGTTATTCATTCTACATATAATATAAGGTAAGATGTGTCAATGACAAACTGTTAACTTGAGGTAAGTATACAGTAGTGGAAATTATATATTGTATAAGACCAAGCCTTTTCTTTAAATATAATTAAAGGCGTTCTATCACACGTAACTTTTAAGATAGTTCCGTCTTGATACACATCACTTGTTTTCCGAGTTTTTAATTGCCATCTATCTTATTGCATTCAGCTTATGTAATTTATATATAATTTAATTAGTAGCTCGACATATTTATAATAAAAGTTAAATTGCAACAAAAATATTGCTTGAATGGCTATGATAGGAAAAATATGCGTGTATATTCTTTGTGTATGTTCGTCTTACCCGGAATGATCGTCAGCTTTGTATTCGACTTTCCTCTGGCGGCCGTCTGGTTCAATTAGCTCATATCCACCCTGCACCACGTCTCCATGACGGAACTCATGCTGAGATTTCACATCACCAGTATGGTGATCATGAACTGAGTACGCAAACTTGTACTCCGGGAATGCCTGTTGATTGAGTTATTACATACTTACTAGTTTAATTGCGGGTATTACGTTTCAATGTTCAAGGATTATTTCAGTATAATATCTATGTCTGTTCTATATTGGAAAATTATTAAGACTGATATTGAATTGATATGGGATAATTAAAGTACTCTAAAATAATGTTAGTTTAAGTGTTATATTATTAGTATTAGAACACATCTCGTAACGGTTCGTTAAATGCGTATATCGTGACAGGCCTCATTTGCTGTTCACTCAAGCATATTTCAATTTACTACCAAATATTATGACTAATGACAATAAATCTTGTTATTCAAAATCCTTATTATGTATTAAATTCGAAACATAGTACTCGCTTTATTTAAAAACAAAAAACAATTAATTCTTTAATCAATTCCTTTTTTGTTTATAAATTTATATAAAAATTATCTTTTGTTAAAATTATATAACCATTTAGTTGTATACTTTTAATAGGTATTATCCTTTCATAGTTACAATTAGATTTAGTTATTATAATAATTTATGATAATAAAGAAATACAATTACTACCATTAAATTTGCGATTCCTGAAGTCAGCAAATAAATTAATAATAAAATCTATTCAAACAATAACAATTCTTTCACAACATAAGCATTGTTTATAATAAATATGTCCTATAAGAATCACACATCGTTATAATGCTTATATCATACCATTACTTATTGTTACTTTCGAGTTACTTAATCTTTTAACCGTAACACACTATTTTTGCTGATGATTTTGTAATTTGATTATCTTTATAACAGTTAGACTGTTGAAAATAACTTCATATTTAATACTATAATTATTTCTTCCACTATCAGGTGATCATTCATGTATATAACATGAATATTGAATTTGATATTGATAAGGATCTTTAACAATAACTATAACAATAACACATTTTCTATATCAAACTAAGCACAGACAGTTTTTAATTAATCACTCATGTATGTAATTACAGAAAATATATTATGTATGAAGGTATATTTACGAAAAACTCAAAACTATCTATTTTTAGTTTATATATGCAATCTCGTAGTTATAGTGCTGCTACAAAACTATCTAATTGTAGTTTATATATTTAAGCTAGTGGTTATAGTACTGCTATATTAGGATAACTTTAGTATGAAGAATAACTTACGTAATGATCGTGGTGTATTTGATGATGAGGCACGTGATGTATGGGCACTGGTAACGGAACATTGTGTATGACGCCCACGTGGTGGTGTGGCAAGTGGTGATGAATTGGTATCGGATGGTGTGGACCGTCGTGCTTGATCACATGCTGGTGGGAAACAGCCAAGTGATGATGATGCGGATAAATCGCATAACTGGCCGATAATAGTGAACATAAAACTAATAACTGAAAAAAAAATATCGGTTATCATGTATATTGAAATCATGGTTTCGGTTTTCACCAGTTAAAGCCTAAAAGATATTATTTGGAAAATTTAAGAATAAAAGTAATTTGTACTAGTTTTCTTGATATTTGTTTTTAACTCACCTTATACATAATTGAGTATTATCGATACAGAAGATCTAAAATCTATTTTCTCTAAGTAAAATTCTTTGTGAAATCAATGATAAAAGTGCTTGAAATAGTCCTATATCATTAGTTTATATAGGAGTTATAATTGTGGGAAGTTTTAGAGCAAAAATCAATTTCTCAGGGTTTGCCAATACTTTTATCGTAATATCGGTGTTTCGTGTCTATCAGAAGTTATAACATTTATATATGTAGTAACTGAATTAAAATTGATGGATTTGATGTTTATTTTCTTTAGTACTATTAATGAACAAGAACCGTCTTGCCTTAAAAATGATTTTAATCAAATTGAAAAACAAAAATAGTTTCTAAGTTTCTAAAGTATATTATAAAATAAAAGCATTAAAATTCTATTTCATTCACTTTTATCTTATAATGGACATAATATAGACAATCATAATTTTAAGTAAAAAGATTTGCTGTTAACGATATAAAGTTTTTTTTTAAGTGTATATTGTGAAATAGGTTTAAGGTAAATAATACATGGGAATATTAAAAAAAATCACTAATTGTTTACTTTATTTTTTATTTCCAATTCGAAATAATTGATTAGCGATAAATATAAGAAATACAATTAGGCAAATATTTTCTTTCAATCTTTGTTTTGAGATGTAATTTTTTAATTTAATAAGAAGATCTTTGTTTAAAAAATAAGTAATTATATTCTTTCTCTTCTTGTATGAAGTGTCCTTGAGTTCAAGAAAAAAAAATTGAGATTGTGTTGTATCTAATGGAGCCATGCCTCTATTTTATCCAAAAAAAGTTAATCGGTTGGGAATGTAAAATTTAAATGTAATAATACTGATAAGTACCTCTATGGATAATTAGTTTGATTAAGGAAAGGAGAGATAGGATAAATGATTATTAAAGGAAATAATATATATATTTTTAATAAATATGAGGAAGAAATTTAAAAAGACTTATAAATATGCAAAATTTATCGATTTATTTTTTGAGTATTAAGGAGTCAAAAACCAATTGGTCTTTCTAACAATTTACATTTTATAGAATGTTATTATTCTTTTTGCGTCGATACTAAACTTCAACTCTATTTTTATAAAGTTTTCAGATATTGTTTTAATAATTACTAAGCAATGTAGTAGTCGCATACATGGTACACCCCATAAAATTTGATAGATATAAAATTTTACTGGTTTCTTCTACATTGCGTAATTTTGGTGCTAATCGGAGCTGGTTAATGTGTGGGAATAATACATCATTATAAAATCTACAAGAATGGAGGTTTGTACATATGTAAACAATGTCATATTGTGCAATGTTTCCACTACATTTGTCTATATATTAATGGAGTATCGGTCCAAGGAATAGTGCCTTCAAACTGTGATTTATGTTTAACGCACTCTTGTGCTTATCTTTTTATTCAATTTGTATTTCAAGCGTTTAGTGATATAAAATATATATTTTGTCAGATCACAGTTTTAGGTATATTAACTCTCCGTCACAAGTATGTTTGATCAATAATGTTCACGCAGCAGTTTACAATATTATGTCGTATTTATATAAATTTTTTCATTCACAATTATAACTGAGCCACGCGTGCATGTGTATTGCAGTAGGTGAATCAGAGCTCCGATCACTTAACGTAAACATTATATCACTAAAATAAAATAAACTATCCAAAAATGACTACAAGTATTATATCCAGTTACAAAATATATACGCATGGACAAGCATATTTCTCTGAATTGAGTTATTATTCGTGTTTAAAACACTTATTGTTTTCTTCCGCTTAGGCAAATGCATTCATCATTTTTTTTCTTTATTTGTATGTGTAAGTATGTACATGTAGATATTACACTAGTGTTAGGGACTTGAAATATTAACTATCGATTATATCCAGAGAAACAAATTTATTTATAATAGAAAAATATTTAAAAATATTAACCGATGTGACTTTTTATAATCTTTCTCGTTCCCAGAAACGTATATAATTTATTTCTTAAACAAATATAATTTGTTTTAGTTTTTACTTCACTTTCCTTTGATTTTAATTTTCAAAAATTTCTGACTTTCTCGGTTTATTTTCTGTAAAACATGCGTTAAAAACTGTAAAATATAAATTTGTACTTAATCTTTGTATTTCAACGAATTGTGTGAAACTTATAAATCAATTAGATACAAATTATTGCAATTTGTTCTTCCTTTTTTAATACACTTAGAGATACGTTTGGGTCGTTCTTGTATAGAAAGACAATCGATTTTTGTGTTGCACATGTAGTTAGCATACTAATTCTTCTTTCTGTTTAATTATAGTCAAAGTGTACAGTGACGTACCAATATGTCGAACTCTTTCAAACCCACTGTATACCTTACATAATAAATCATGCGAGCTCATCTCATCTTTTTACAAGTTTTATTGAGATTAAGGTTAATTGCACGGAAAGAATATTCCCATAATTTTTCTCTTTGTGAACATTCAACAAACAACAGTTATATATTTTTTTCACACTGTGACACAATATTACGACAAAGTAGTATAATTTACTAGATAATAAAAATAATAAAATCTTATATATATGTTCTCTATATTTAGGCTAAGGCTAAATTGTGTTCACAGAACGTTTTGCATTATATTATTTAATATTTTTTTGTGTTTCTTTTCCTTTAACTGTTGAATGATTGGACTGATATAATAGTTATTTAATTTATTGCTTGAATGCATTCTAATGGGTTAGTAATTGTTTAAAATTTTTGTGAATAATTTAAGTCTAACGTTTGTACGTCTTATGTACATATGTAATATGTATTGTTTTGGTATTAATAAGAAGTCGCCTAAGGACGATAGGTATCTTACAGAATATATAATTATGTGTTTGGTAGTACTATTTTAATAATTGTATGATTAATATTGAATATTTGGTTTTTTTACATTAAATTATTAATTATTATCAATATTCTAATAAAATTACGTACAGCACTGTTTTATAATCTAACAAATTTTAAACATACTATTAACGAAGAGTGTGTATTTCTGGCATGTATTATGCATTTTAATTACTATGTTCCAGAATTTTAAGCATATGCAGTCATTGGCATATTATAGGTTATTCTAATATATGAATGCGATATTAGCAAGCTTGAATATTCAATGAACCAAAGTATAGGGTATGAAACTCGTGTATTACAGCTATGATAGTTTTTGTGCAACTTCCGATAAAGACGGTACCTTCACTTTGCTTATAAGTGTCTCAGTTATTTTATCGGTCAATGTCTATAGAGCAAAAAACGGTGCTATTGAGAACGCATATTTGTTTTGCAAGAACAAACAACTTAAAGCTAAAATGTGGGTTTAGAAAAGTGACATGCAAAGTCGTTTTGTTAATAAAATTTAATAGGTGCATGTAGAAACAATGCTTTTTGTCATTTAAATTAATAATAGACATATACAATTGATCATAAAATTATTTTATTGTTCCTGAGTAATTAATTACAAGTAATAAATAATTTAAAGTCGGTGTATCTTACAAATGTTTGGTTAATTCATCCCAAATTCTTTAAGAAATCAATTTTTGTAAATGTTTGTCCATAACATGACATGGAGTGCCTCGTAAAAGCTGCTTAAGAATGCGTATAATTTAACAATTGCTCTCACGCACGATTGAATACATAAGATGCTTTCAGATAACATTTACCATATATTCTTAGAAAAACAGATATAAAAATATTTAGCACATATAAAAATTTTATAACGTAATAATTTTTTAATATTAAAAAATCTATTAATACAATAAATGGAAAAGTTAATAAAAATCTTACGATTTATGTGTATGTATGGAAATGTATGTTTGTTACAATTTCATTCATAAACTTCTAAACGGGCTTTGTTGAAACAGTAATGTAGTAACGATGTTATGGTAAGGCATCAGCTATAATCTCTTAGTAGCTCCCGTGGGATCACTACAACAGTATGCTTATTCCTCCTCACACTACATACAAAGCATTTCCCCTTTCTTATTCAAAAATGTACGTAAATACTATAATGTTTTGTGGTTTATGTATGAAAAATTTATGACGATTCATTTGTATGAACTTTGTATACACTTGTATTTTGTATGAAGTTACGTTAAAAAAATAATGTTTGTTGTTTTGACACACTTTATACATTATTCTTGGAGCTGAATTCCAATGTGAATTAGTACGAAGTCACAGGCTAAAAACCTGTAAAGTAAATTTGGTTTCAGTAAAAATTATACAACTGTTTTATTAAGAAATCAACTCCTCCAGTATGAGCCAGTCTTTACATTTCGTAACAAGATTGATAATTATCTCGGCTCAAGGTTACGCCTTCCATTCATTGTTCCGATTATTTCAAAGCATGTGGTATCTCAAACAAGCAGCTATTTAAAAATAACAATTACTTACATTATTTTGAACATAGACAGATACTTACTTATAGGCAGATATATACTTAATAAGCATAGACACGTTTTGTTTTAAGTTGAAGAACAACTATTTAAAGAAAATTACTGAATATATTAAAACTGTTTCTATTTTCAAAATAATAAAAATAGTAATATTAGTTATATGTATATCAAGATGTTTTATGTTACTGATGATAGAAACGACAACTTTAACAACTCGTCTGAAATCAATTCAAGTCTATTGGCTGTTGTTGACAGCGGAATATGATTATTAAATTTATTAACAGTTTGTTTACAATTAAAAAGACATATTTCCAGGATTAAAAAGACGTTTTTATTATTTAGAAACGTCTATTTTAAATTTATCTACATTTTTCGTTCCTACTTTCATTTTCATTTTTTTTATTTGTTTTTATGTAATTTATAAATTCTAAATAAAAACGCATAAAAAGAATTGCATTGTAATATTAAAGTATGTATGTATGTATTTTAAAATATATAATATTTTGTAAATTACTCAGGTAAAACACTAAATCCGTCATAATGACGCAAATCATGTCCATTTGTCAACATTAGGTTGTAGGCTTGTGACATTTGTCATTTAATGGACATTTCAAAATACAGCCTACGGGGTACATAGGAAATTGGAGGTAATTTATATCATAGCGACTTATTTTGTTTTTGTATGTACGTGTGTTATGATTGCCTTTAAATTACACTTTGATGACATAGTACCCTTTTACGTATATTATTAAACGAAGTTTTTACCAAGTCTTTAAAGATTAACAATCTCGATTTTACATTTACGTATATAATTAATCGTTTTTTGTTAATATTATTAGCATTTTCATATTATTGACATGTAAAGTGTTCGATATTTCGGTCCACATTATTCTTACGTCATTAATCAAATCGATGTAATTGTTTACTTAGAGTTTATTAATTTTTTTGTTGATTTATAGGTCATGTAGACATGCGTAGAAAATTGAGTAATTTTTTTTTCATAGTTTATAATTATCGTACCACAACAGCACGCAAGCACGCGTGTCTATATAATAAGTATAATTATAATTTTGAGCCACTGTGTAATATTTCAAGGGTAATATTTGAATTAAAGTCTTATTATAAAAAAATGAATGGATTTCTTGACTACATAGTTATTGTGAAATATCTATGTAGTAATAAATCTATTACTTAAATTGAAATTATGTAGATTTTTCGACATGAGAAGTTTTAAATAAAAATATATATATACTGATCAGTAAAATTTATTTATTTACAAAGAGTATTGAATTCATCATCATATACACATAAATATCACATACAATCATTCATCATGAATCACAATTACATGCTATTCGTTTAGTAGTGGCCATGATGTCCGTGCGCCAGGGGAGCGATGACGTGGACAGGGGCAGCGTGTAAGACAGGGGCGTGGACTACAGGGGCAGGGTGGTGTCCAGCGGTCTTGTGGACAACGGCGTTGAAACTGAAAAAGAAATTGTTTCGGTTACTTTAGTCTGAATGACGTACTCGTCTATCAATATATATCAATAAAATGATGTGACGGGAATATTATTGTTGCTCATATCGTAAAATACGACTTAAATGGTTATCGTTCATGACTTAGTGCATTCAGCTTTTTATAAAGTTTAAGTGTCGCATTTCTTTAAAATATAGAAACATTATCGAAAGGGATTTCTAATATTTTTACAGGAACAGTGTTCAATTCAGTGAAACTTACCCGTGGTGGTCGTCAGCGGTGTATTCTACTTTGCGTACGGAACCGTCAGGCTCGACCAGGGAGTAGCTTCCATGTACGGAACCACCGTCGCGGCTCTCGTGCTGGGACTTGTGGTCACCGGTGTGGGGATCAGCGACGGAGTACGAGTAGTCGTATTTAGGGTGAGACTGAGAATATTTAAATATATCATTATTAATCTTACTCCATTAAACCTTGATTGTTATATGAACTTTTATGTTGTTATTCTACTCACGTATTCATGAGCGACATGGACTGGTGCAGCATGAACGATGGGAGCAGCGTGGACAATGGGGGCAGCGTGTACTACTGGTGCAGCGTGAACCAATGGGGCAGCGTAGTGGACTGGGCTGTCGTGGCGGATGATGCTCTGGGATGAAACAGCGGGCGCATGGTGCAGGTTCAAGAAACCGGCGTTGGCAGCGGCCAGCACAGCGCTAAGGGCTACGATCTAAAATATAAAAATATTTAATAAACACTCTTCATAATAGGAGTATTAAATAAAACAAAATATTTTTTTCTCTGCAACTTACTTTGGAGAACATTTTGCAGTGGATAACCAGAGCAGTTGACTGATACTGCTATTGGTGTTAGCTGGACTTTTATATGAAAAGCAAAACGGAGACATAGTCCTTCTAGTGGTGGGGCTTGCGGTCATTTCAGTTCCGTAAGTTTGACACAGCGAGGTCGCTAGCGATAATCACTTACTAGAAGGCATTCGCGCCCTGTTGCGGTGAACGTTAGTCGTTATAAAAATAATAAAATGATTTTCACAATATGTATATAATACAATTTAATTCTTGAATATGAGCCCATGAAGAAAGATATTTTTACTAATTTAAAATCTAAGCATTGATTATTATCATTACATATGACTAACAAAAGCTATCCATATATTAAAACCCGGATTAACGATGTTATAAAATATCAATAGTGTTTATAAAATATAAAATTATATAGGGATATCATACATTTTACACGCATTTAAGGTTTCGTAACACCAACCGTGTCGTATCAACACATTAAATATTTACGATTCATTACGGTGTAAATGTAATAAGTGGATATCATCTGAACAACCGTAGCAAGCTGTTATTACAGCAATTCAATGTCGTATTGGAGCTTTTTGAATGATATGTTAAGTGGTAAACGATTATTTTTGTGTTTTTGACGTTAAATATACTAACGAGTATTGAGATCATTGCTGTATACTGTTTTATAATTGAAAAAAGGTACATAGTTCTTTGACAGTAATATAATGAATGTAAATATAATATCAAAGTTTTTTCTTCTGAAAAAGTATTTTTGGGAAAAAATTATATTAAGAATAGATTATTCTTATTGTTTCTAAGGCAAAATTGTTGAGGTTTCTTTTGAGGAAGTATTGTATATGACGATTATATTTTGTAAATATTAAGGAAGAATTTAAGAAGGACTATAAAATGAAATAGAAAATTGAATGTACATATATCTCATATCTGGATCATAATGTTAATGCAATCATAAAAAAACCAGAAAGAATATTAAAAGAAAATAAATTCTATTCGTTTATTATATTTTTCTAGACTTTATATTTCAAGTGATGATAATGTTTGTAAACCAAGCCCATATTAGGTACCAAATTGCATAATCGTGTGATCATGCACTAAGATTTTAACCACGTGGTGGTTAAGAAGTAAGACAAAACCAACATTGTGTTCGATTACTCAACTTCATTCGTAACACGATCAGCTTGATATCAATTGGTTAATGAAGCAATTTAATGGTTGTATGAAAAGAACATTGTATTGCCAAATAACTATATCATTAAATGCATATAGCTACAAATATCTTAACATTCCATTCAAACTGATATATTTAAGTCAATAGTTTTCATATTTTTCCTACATATTAATCCATATAAGCATAACAGTGGAGGTGATTAAGATTCTTAACAAATTATAAGTGACATATAAATTCAAGGACTTGGAAACTACCGTCATATAAACGGAAAAGATCATAATGACAAAGTTGCGTAACAATATAATAACATTAAATGAAGAGATTTCATAAATTTGGCAATAACATGTCAACTTCATTATTAATATTGAATGAAATACGTCACAAGTTTGATAATAGTGTGTAGTTAGATATAAATTATAAACCAATCAATGATTTAACCTTTGACAATGAGTTGCACAATAAATGACAAATTTTGATAAAATCGTGATTTGAAAACACGTTGCCATGGAAGGAGACCTTCACGAGAAAATTAAATTGTATCAGGTTTACAGGAATTAATCTAAATTGTTATTGGTTCATTTTGAATGTGATTGATTTAAATTAATCTGATTTATATCGGAAGCAATAACTAACCCGTTACAGGTGTTTAGTTAATGGCATGATTTTTTCTAAATTTGCTAGTAAAATTATATTTTTAATTAAAATAGACCAAATAGTTTTACATTAATTGTACTCTATTTATTGCAAAATAAAAGAGACATTTTATATTTGTTTTATAAGCAGTTGTGTAAGTAGATGGGAATAGGCATATATTTTTTTTATATAAATAAATTTTATCTTGTTTTTCGCATAAAACGTTTCATTATTTCGAAATGCACACGGTGCACTAACGAAATATCGTATAATATAGATGTTTGCTTTTTCATGAACTTTGAATTCCAAAATGATAAAAGAATATTATTAATAATTTTTTTTGACTTCCTGTATGAAATCAGACACGAAACGGACATATCAATAAAGGTAACATTGGCTAATAAAAATACTATGAGATATTATTAATAGATAGCTTTTTATAGAATCAATCAAAAAAATTACACTCCGTCACGATAAATGTAACCGGGCGTGGTTTTTACTACAAGGCTTTCTGACTAATTTGTTGAAAGGCAACATATAGACTGTTCAGAGGTCAATCACCGTTAATTTTGGGCGTAAGATAAATTAACTTATCGGCATATATCGCTTTTGTTCCGACTTGAAGTGAAGGTTTGGTTTATTTCGATTGAAACAATAAACAAAACATATTCTTTTAAAATATTTCCCGATTTATTAAAACAACTTAATAAATCCAGGTAGACAACAACTTAATAAATTAATATTCAGTAGGATTAAATAAGATACTTATAAAAATATATTTTCTATATAATTATAATATACAAGAAGAAGTATTTGTACCATTTAATAAAAAAAAAACAAAATTTCACACAATCTAGGGCTACATCGAGTAAATAATTTCGTATTATCATGTAATAAAAGAAATTTTAATACAACGAGAATATTCGCAGATAAAATAAAAATAAACATGGTTTTCTGTTATTAAGTAAATATTTTTTTATATGGATTTACATATTAAAATTATTGTTGGTTACCGTGCACAGATTTTATCCTTTTGATATATGTATGGTTATGAATTGCTGAAATATATTTTTATTGATATATAAATCAGTTTTCGTTTTCTCTAAATACTAGATACATTTTTTATTAATGCTTACCTGTAACTAAGCATTAAAGAAGTTGAGTTTTTATAGATTAATTCTTTTGTAATAGCAATATAATAGTATTTTTATAAAATGTTCAATAACTACTTAAAGGGTTCCGCTATGGTTTTTAATTTCTATTTTTCATTCAAAACAGATTTTGACAGATCATTTATGAGTTGAAATCTAAAACAAAATCATCTAAAATACCAATATATTTTAAACGGGGCTGTTACACTCATAAAGGTACTTTTAGCGAACTCATCTACTGTAATAATTGCTGTGATATCAGTATATTTCAATATGTTTTAATAGAATCAGTTCATAAAAACTTGAAAATCTAAACTCTGTTTGTTGTTAAATGGTGGGCAGATAAATATTATGTCATACTTATACAAAAGTAGAAATAGCCTATTTAAATAGAGTAGTGAAATTATGGCATGTAAATGGCGCGGATTTATGTATAGATTTGAGGCTGGTTGCGAGTAATTGAGATAAGTTATGTAAATAGATTCGTGACTTGTGTTCACTTTTTAAGTAGTATTAGTGTAGATAATAATTTTTTTAGCGTTTAATTCATCCTCAATTCTATTTTCGGCTTTTATCGTGATATGAGTCCTTGTAGATTGTTATCGTATTTATAAAATTTATATTTGGTTAGTTATTTTTAAAAATTATTATTAAAAGAACAGTTATTATTAATAAGAACAGTAGTAAGATTTCATTATGAAATATTAATAATTTATTAAAACTTAGTTAAACAATTAACTATTAAACTGGAATGCTCTCCAACAAAGGCGTATTTTTATGAGAAAAAAAAAACTTTGTTAATTGTTATGCCATTCCATTTCTAAAGTAAGCTACATTTTATCATACAATTATCAAGAAGTAAAATCAAGTTTAAGCGACACATTTTCATGCAAACACGCCTCAAATGCTTTCGTCAGTTCGACATTATCAATTAAATGTTCTGTTGCAATGAAACTTTAAAGTAAGTTGTTTTAAAAATTTCTTAACCGTTTAATTGTGTGTAGTACAAGTTTCATTGTGAGATACATTTATCTTTAAATAGGTGCTTTGTTAGGTAATTAGGGCAAATATTTTTAAACAACATTGAAACAAATGAAGTATGTTTATAAAAAGGAAATCTGATTTATTTGTTAATAAGTATTCGGTTCAAGGAAAGTTATTAGAGTAATATTAATCAATTAATAAATATTTAATTAATCAATAATGATGATATTGAGCGGAGTAGACATGATGACTTGGTCCGGAGTTGTGAACTACGGCGTTGAAGCTGAAAATAATAATAATAATAGATTACAGCCATATATTATGTAAATTGAACTTTTGTTTTGTATTGTTTGTTTACATTTAAATGTTGAACTGGTTAAACAAGTTACACTATGATGCTTGTCTGATGGGCGTAAGGTCGCATGAGGGCATTGATCGTGTCATACCGGAATTTCGTACCGGTATGACTACCATGTGATTTTGCTACGTCACGTTTTTATGTTACGTATGTATTATAGCATATGAAGATTCCTGAGAAAGCTATTTCAGAGTACAATGATTATTAGTTTTACGCATTTTTACGCAATATTTGGAAAGTTGACACCTTCTTTATAGTTTGCCACGAAATGAGTTACAATTTTCTTTAGTTATTCTTCACATATTATATAACAATGTCTTTTTTAAATTTTCAAAACCTCCTAAGAAATAACTGTCACTTAAAGAATATAATGGCGTAAGGCACTAAATCAAATCAAATATATCAAATATTGCTATATAACCTAGACACACATATACACAAACATCTTCGTCTTGCTTGTGCTATCCCTCTTTTTGCGTCAAAGTTTAAAATCATGTCAATTGTGACATAACACGTTTCACGTAAAAATCGAGCTTACTGGGTATGTAAAATATACAAAAAATTAAATAAAACTTGTTGTTTACCCATTATGGTCATCAGCAGAGTAGGAAACTTTCCTGAAGGATCCATCAGGTTGGAGGAGGGAGTATCCGCCCTTGACAACGTCGCCGTCGCGAACCTCATGCTGAGATTTGTGGTCTCCTGTATGGGGATCCGCCACAGAATACGAGTACTGGTATTTTGGGTGTGACTGGAATATAAGTAAATACAGGTAAATTTCTATAAAAGTTTTAGTTTAGCTATTATTACAAACAATAATATTGTACATACGTGGTAGCTATTGCCATGACCATAGTGTCCTGCATAAGCGCCGTAACCCAGAGGAGATGAGTGAGATGATGATACTATATTATTAGTTGAAGTAGCATGAACAATAGGGCCATGATTTAAAGGGGCAGAATGAGCAAGGGATCCAGCATGAGGGGCGAGACCGACATGACCTATGGAACCGCTATAAGCTAAGGGACTGTTGTAGTTCAGGTGACCAGCGTGTGCTAAGGGACTGGCATGGTTTAAGAGACCAGAATGAGCTGGTAATGCAGCATGACCTAATTGACTAATACTGCCAATGGGGCTTGGATAAGCCAAGGAACCAGCATGTGCTACACTCTCATATCCTAAACGTGCGACTTGGGGCAGACCAGAAGGACTCCAGCCCACATTTGCTTGGGCATTTCCATATGCCAATGACCCTATTGGTGCTACTTGGTTATATGGCGATACAGGATAGCCGCCATGACCTAAACCTAAGTTTCCACCATGAACTAGCGCCAATGATGCACACACGATGACAATCTGCAATAAATTATTTATTTATAATATTGTAATAATTTATTTAATTAAACACAGATGCTGTTCTGACTTACCTTACAGAACATTTTTTTGTGAATTGTAATGTTGTCTGACATACCAATGATGAGTATTCGTGACTTTTATAAGACTTCTCATTACAGACTCGGTGGGGCGCCAAAATCTCTGTATTTCCATGATTCTGCAAGGTCAGCACGCTTTACAATTGTTTACTATTCTCTCATTTTGACAAATGAATTGTTACTTAACAATGATACTCTGTGAACTGTCATACTGATTCTCATTATATTGACACGGATTATGACAAAATATAGTAACCATTATTCTCATAAAAGCTTCAAAACAAGAATGAGGAAAACACTTTCATTTGTGAGTTCACACAATAAGACAATTTAAGAACACATTCTACCTCATACCTGAAATACGAACTAGATTTAGAGTTTATTGTTTTAAGTATGTGACAAATGACAGTGAGATAGAAATATTTCTCGTATTTTTATTATATGTAAGGCATGTAAGTTAAATTCTATTTGTATGTTTGTGCTAAATTTAGAAGTCAAGGTATAAAAAGTTTTATTTCCTCAATGTTATACAAGTATTTTGATTTCTTATCTCTTTAATAGCTTCCAGATATTTAGATGTAAACAAGTAAAAATTTAATCCTATCAAGACTTTTATATGCTTTTGATTAAATCTTTTAGTAATAATAAAACAGTTATACATATTATATCACTTCATATTCTTTAAGAAGTTATAGTTGTTACTTTTGAGTGTAATTTTTTTTTGTTGTTACTTATTTAAAGACAATTATCTTTCGATTTTATTGTTAGTTTAAGTTATGTTAATGCGGTCCACAGCTAGTCAACGTTTAAAAAAAGTATACGAAGATGATTTGTATTAAATTAAATTTCTAAATTTTATAAACGATATATGATTAACATGGTGATGATTCTATTGATTTACACTTTCTTTATTATAAACATCCCTTTTTGGTGACTGATGTACGGTCAGGTTATGGTAGCAACCACTCAGCAACGTCATACAATATATTTTTCATACAACGGTTATACATAGAAAATGCTATTTATATCTTTAATTTAATTATAGCATACGAAATATTCATGCGTAATCTTAAATAAGACAATTGATTATTATCAGATATCTTCAAAACTATTACCAAACCACGCCGACCTTAGTTGCAATGTTAGAATACTCGTCGGCATCGTTAGTTACGGTTTGCTCCGTCATGGAAGATAAACTGCGGGTTAATATAATGTTAATTACTATCTAGTTTAATTATCTCTTAGTCAAGAGCAACACGTTTGTTATTTGTTATCCTAATATAGTGTTAAGGCTACGGCTTAAAGTTTTATGTATACACTTCAGTTTAAACCATTTTGTAGGATTTTGTTTACATATACCAGTATATTGTGTATACATATATAATACGGTTTAGTAGGTCAATAAATTTTAAGTGGCTCATTTTCAGTGGGTTTGTATCCGTATATATTTGTTAAATAGTGGTTGTGATTCAAAAATATTATTTAAACGTTTATTTTTTTTCTATATAATATACAACTCTATAAGAATATTTTATGTATTGTTTTAATTAAACAATTTGACATTTATAACTACATAGATACAGACTAACGATAAACTGTCACTATACAACTATTCCAACCGGAAAGCCCATTGAACTCGTTAGTTCCTAAATCTTTATAAAATGTGTTTAAATGTAAAGTCAAATAGAGGAAATGTAATTTCGGACAGAGAGGTTTAAAACTAACGTACCCATAGTAAGAATCACGTTTTGTTTTTTTTTTACTCAATGTCCATACTCTTATAAAATTTTAAACAGTTTTTGTGTTCTTTTCGAGGCTTATTTATTATAATTTTTGGTTCCTTACAAGTTCACATATATAATTTTTAAAGGTGGTAGAGCCTAGCTGTGGTAAAGTTACTATAGCTCGAACATGGGCTGGCTCGACCGGGGAAGTACCACCCTCTCACAGAAAAACGGCGTCAAGTGGTCTCTAAAGCCTGCGTTTCGTCCGGTGAGTGAGAGACCCGGTTGCCGGTTGCCCTTTCCCTTTTCCCAAGCCTTACTTTCCCTCCCTTTCCCACCTTTTCCTCCTCCTTTTCCCAAATCAAGGGCGGCAACACATCCGAAAATCTACGTTGCGGATGTCCATGGGCGACGGCAACTACCTACCATCAAGTAGGCCGTCTGCTCAGTTGCCCCCTTTTCCCATGAAAAAAATACTATGTACTAGAAGTGTGATATTTTTTTTCTTTATGTTTCAAAATTTTAATTGTCGTCATGGTTCTTATGACTTCTGAGGATGGAAATTTTGGTAGCTAAACTTTTTCCCTGGGTCATTTTCATTAAAAATCATCATTACAATCAAACGTAAAAAAAGATAAGCCTTTTGTTTTCTTTATTCTTAGCGACTATAATCCTCACAACTTTTTATGTTAATCTTTTCCTAGTTTAAAAGATATACTTGTAGTAGTGTTTGTTCTCAAAATACTGTTTAAGAATTAAAGAATTGACTATGATCATATGTAGATACATCAAATTTAAACAATATAAAATTTGCATAGCAATGAAGCTTAATTTAAATGTTATATACATATCATAAAGCAGGTAATGCTGGCGATATAAAACATTTTTGAATTTAACAGCTCTCTTACAAAGATTTAATAAATTATTACTTCATATATGATACCAAAACTTAGGTAGATAATATTTTCTTTGAAAAGAATTTTGTGTGAATGTAGGCAATTATTGGTCATAGGCAACATTTGACCATATCTATTCATATTCTATATTAAATAATGTCCAATAAGAGAGTTGACATTCGGTCATATTTCATTGGAACACAATCGAAATAAATTGAAAATTAAGGTCGTATCCAAAATCTTATAGAAATAAATCAATTCACAATAATAATAAAAGGCATAATACTATAAGACGGTTGTCTAGGAAAGATTTTAAACTTCATAATACAAGCAATATTTTATAGCTATTACGACCCATAACGTTACCAGTAATGACCTGTAACGTAGGAAATTTTATATCAGTATTTATAACTAATTATATCCATATCTTCGCTACCGCGGAAAGTGTTACGCAATAATGTGTCAATTATAATTAATTCAAACCTAGGGATAAAAACTACAAAACATTTAGAAAAAAGTTATATAACTATACGGCAGAACGCCAAGGTAGTAAGTAGTTCGCCAAAAGAAGAACAAACTTCCCAAATCTGTACTGAGAGAGTCTATTATTTCAAAAAATAAAAACCTCATCAACTAAGTTACTTTTAAATAAAAAATACTAAGATTAATAATAATAGAGTCAAAAGTTATCCCAATAATAGAGATAAGTGTTGAGATATCAATTTAAATGAGTTATTTGGGAACAGGTGTAAAATGTCTTCTTGGATTGAAAATGTACGGCGTACGCATATATGTTTAATAATTTATTGATATTTCCATTTGGTAATATATTTTAAATGTCTAAGTGAACTGTACAGTAGTGCGTTACTTTGGTCGATCAATAGTAGTGGCTGTAGGCGTGTTGAGGATGGACTGATGGAGCTGAGTTGTGAACAACGGCATTGAAACTGAGAAAGAAAATAATATATTAATATGACATACATATGTACTTAGTTGTCAGTTTAATAATTGTAGGATGAAAACGATCAATATAACTTTGAGTATATCTTACCCATTGTGATCATCAGCAGAGTATTCCACTTTACGTACGGAGCCATCAGGCTGTACCAGGGAGTAGTATCCATGGACGGCATCACCGTCGCGACTCTCATGCTGTGACTTGTGGTCACCGGTGTGAGGGTCTGCTACTGAGTAAGCGAAGTCGTATTTGGGGTGGGCCTGTAAATTTAGAAATAAGATTAGGATATATTTAATGAATTAACAAGGATAATAGTAGCTTCTTGGTTAAAACTTACATATTCATCATGACCGTCGTAGTGGGCTGATGGGGCAGCATAATGTCCATACGCTACGGGAGCATATGCAGCGTATGCAACAGCGGGAGCAGCGTATGCAATAGCCGGAGCAGCGTGATGAACAGCATCATGGTGGACAATGCTTTGGGAAGAAACAGCGCTTCCGTGTCCAGGGAGAACACCGGCGTTTGCTGCGGCCAACATGGCACCGAAAGCTGCGATCTAAAAAAAATCATATTAGTTATTCAGTAATTCACAGTCGATAATAAAATGTTTAAGTATATTCTTAAAATCATACTTTGCTGAACATTTTGTAGTTTAGTATGTGGGACCGTTGACACACAATTGATATAGTTTGCTAGTTATCGTAAGTATTTATATTGTATTATATTTTGTAACAGTAAGTGGGGTGGAATGTTTGATTCAATTTCAATTATGTGAATGAAACGAAGGTTTTATTTAAATATAATTAAACGACTATTAACTATTGAAGCAAACTTTACCGTTTTATTTATTTTTTACTTTTATATATTCGACATTGAACGGTATTTCGTTTTAGACTGCGGTGGTAAAGCTTTTTACTACCTTTAACTGTCATATTAAGGCTTTATATTTTTAAAGCGAATTTGAATGTCTTAAAATTAGTAAAATTGTAGTCTCTTAAAACTAAACAAATTTTGGTCATAGTAATACTAATATCTAAGTCCATTCATCTTTTCTAAACAAAATATACTTTGAATAAAATGAAAAATAGATATCATGATTGTTAATATGTTTGGTTTTGTTATAATTGGTATATATATATTATTTTGCATACTATACGGACATTTATTTTGTACATTTATTATGTTACTACTATTCTAATATTAATTTCTAGTGTAAAACAAAATGTTACTATTATTAACTATGTGTTCGTAGTTCAGCTGAATTCTTTTACTGTGGTCTACACTTATCTATTATGAAATATATCGATTAAAGTCTTTTTGTGTGTTTATAAAAATGCATTAAAATATGAATGAAGGATTCTTGGAATGGTTATGTATAAAAGAGCAGTACATTCTACACCTGTCCGGCTGTCTTAATATGGTTTATATTTTGATTGTTTTTAAACTTTTAACACTAGAGACATCCGTAACATTGAATAGCCATCAAAATTCATTTTATGTTGAATGGTACAGCTCAGACGGCTAAAAATGCTTAAAAATTGTTGAAGCGTTTCTAGCTTCTTCAAATTTTTATTTGTCAAGTAAATGTATCATTTTAGTTATAAACGAAGCTGGGAGGAAGTAATGTTTTTTAATTAAAGTAGCCTTAATTTCTTAATTTACTGTGGATTGTAGTGCATAATAATTTTTAATACAATGTGCCGAATGTATTTTATAAAAAATATTTCAGAAAGTACATATAAAATGCTTTAACTTAGTTAAGCTGAAATTAAATTATTCTAATGTAATATATTCGAAATATTACATTTATGCGCATGTTATACTTTAAATGTTTTCATTTTGGTTGAGCAAACATACAGGCGAAAATGTTTTAACATGATCCGATACGATATTTTTTTTCTGTGTTATTTTATAGATGCGCGATATTATTCATTATAATTTGACATTCGTAGACAGTTAATCTTGGCTAACTTTTGTCCCATAATAATAAACAAAAGTTATTAAATATATATATTACATATTCATAACATCATCTTGATCATTTTTAAAAGAATGTAGATATAAAACAATACAAGCATTCAAATGAAATTACTTGTACAAGCTAAAATACTTGGTATTTATACTTTCAATCCTGTATTCTACATATAATAAAGGATTTTTTTTGTGTCTTTTTGTGTTTGTAGAGAATATGTATACAGTTTAACAAGGAGTTTGAGGAGCTCTTGGCTATGATAATTTAACCAAAAGCCGTTCTATAATATATTTGATACTATTAAATTATTTTTCAATTTAAAAATTTATATGTGTGTATGTTTATTAAATGTCTATGATGCTAGTAGTACTAGCATGATGGACATTTAGGAGCTGTTGAAAATAATAATCAGTTCAATGAAACTAATATTTTCTGATTACTACGTCATTACCGTGATCACGGTTGCTGCAAAGTACACGAAACGTCAGGAGTATATAGTTTTAAAAATAATAAAATAATACTTAGTAATCCAAAAATATTAGTTTAATTTAAATAGTCCGTTATTTGAGGAATGTCGATGATGACGAAACTTTATAACATATCAGAGTTACTAGAGTGAGTAAAATTACCAAATGAAGTTGTGAGTCTCCTTACAAAAAAATATCAAAATGTTAGTATAGTGTAGCCGTTACATTATTTCATACAAACACACATTTCAAGACAAACATAATAATTTAATCACTTAGTTTAAACTTATTAAGTAGTAGTCTTTTATATGTAATAATTTTTTATACTTTTTAAAGAGAAAAGCATATCTCAGTATTGGAATTGTATAGCGATGTTAATTTATTATTTTACAGCGTATGATCTTAACTATATTAGATTATTATTATTCATGAAATATATTAATATATTTATATAAATTATGTATATGAAAATAAGTTGATTAATTTGTAAAAGGTTTTAGGAAAATTTTAATTTTTTAAAATAACAGATTAAAAGTTTAGGGTTGACCGTAGAAAGGAAATAATGAATATATATTTAATAATTTATTGATATTCCATTTGGTAATTTATTTAAAATATTTTATTGAACTGTACAGTCGTGCGTTATTTTGGTCGATCAGTAGTAGTGGCTGTATGCGTGTTGAGGATGGACTGATGGAGCTGAGTTGTGAACGACGGCATTGAAACTGAGAAAGAAAATAATATATTAATATGACAAATATACATAGTTGTCCGTTGGCAATAATTTTACTATGACTACGACCAATGTATGTTTACGTATGTATATCTTACCCATTGTGTGCATCAGCAGAGTATTCCACTTTACGTACGGAGCCATCAGGCTGTACCAGGGAGTAGTATCCATGGACAGCATCACCGTCGCGACTCTCATGCTGTGACTTGTGGTCACCGGTGTGAGGGTCTGCTACTGAGTATGAGAAGTCGTATTTGGGGTGGGCCTGTAAATTAAGCAATAAGATTAGGATATATTTAATGAATCAGGAAGGTAAACAACTGGTTCTTGGTTAAAACTTACATATTCATCATGACCGTCGTAGTGGGCTGATGGGGCAGCATAATGTCCATATGCTACGGGAGCATATGCAGCGTATGCAACAGCGGGAGCAGCGTGATGAACAGCATCGTGGCGGATAATACTTTGGGAAGAGACAGCGCCGCCGTGTCCGGCCAAAACACCAGCGTTAGCTGCGGCCAACATGGTACCGAAAGCTGCGATCTAAAAAAATCATATCAGTTATTTAGTAATTTACAGTTTATATTAAAAAGTATACGTATATTCTTAAAATCATACTTTGCTGAACATTTTGTAGTTTAGTATGTGGGACCGTTGACACACAATTGATATAGTTTGCTAGTTATCGTAAGTATTTATATTGTATTGTATTTTGTAACAGTAAGTGGGGTGGAATGTTTGATTCAATTTCAACAATGATAATGAAATGAAGGTCATACCTGAGCATTATTATAAAACGAAAATTAATCTTTTTAGCGCCTATGTATATATTTATATATGTTTTTCTAAAAACTTTTACATTGGTCTTATATGTATGACCTTGACAGTGGGCTATGATGTTAAAGTTTCATGTGTTTTTATTTGGTAGTCAAACCGATTAAAGATTTATTTATAGAGAGAATTGGTTTAACTTTGAAAATGTGTAAAAATTATATGTACAGTATCGGGTTACAATTAATTATAAAATCCATCTTACCTTGAATGGTTGACATTAAGTTATAACGTAGGACATCTTACGGATATTTATCGCAAAAGATTTTGCAAAAAATTGAAAAAAATTGCAAAGGTTCGAACTCTCGTTCGTTCTTTTTTCAATGAAAACTTTCAATCATTTGCATGAAATTAAGATGTGAAGTAAATATCAACTGGTGATTTGAAACATGCGTTTTGATTAGTTTTTGGAATTTCGGATAATTTCAAAAGACATTGCGTATATAAATAACGAATAAACAAAAATAGTATTATACTTATATTCTTATAGAAAATTTACCAACTCTGAGTAATATCTAGTACAATTGAAATATCGTATGTGAAAAAGTTGCAGGATCACTGAACTATTAGCATCTCATAATGGAAATTACAAAATTTCCCGATCACATTAAAAAATACGGCAATTTTTATTGTAGTATAAGAGAATATACTAAGGAAATGTAACAATTTTTGAGATGGTTTAACATAACGGATCAATAAATTGTACAAGCTCTGCGCTACCTCGAAATAATAAAAAAAAATCTATTATACGGATAAGTGGGATTATTACACCTATTATACCAGTTTTAATAATTAATTTTACCATTCTTTGTTGTACATGGAAAGTAATAAAAAAAAGACAGCATTGTAAGAACGCTTTGCGAAATAAAAATGATCATAATACATGCTTAGCCGTACATTAGGCTGTGCAATTTAAAATGGCAAACTTCCATAATAAATACCGTAAGTAAATGAGAGCCAGTGGTCAGTATAAAAAAATATTATTCAATCTATATTGATGAAGGACATATCGTATAATATTACACCGAACACATATTGTATTAGAAAGTAGAATAGAAAATAAAATTCTTTTCTATAACATTCAATTTCTTTCTTTTTATCTCGCAAGGAACCATTAACCATGTTCTTTTGAGAAAGTAATGGAAAAGGATTGTTAAATATTTACTGTCAAAGTTAAAAAAAAAATTGAATTAGTTATAGGTAGGAAACAAAAATTTGTCATCACTAATAATGTTTGCACATATATTTTAGAAGGAAAATATATATTTCTAAATATAAATTTGTATACTCTTTTTTGAAAAAAAAACCGGTTCTTCAAGCAGTTTTAATTTTACAAGAACATATTTATGAAATGATTGATATTATTTATAAAAATTAAAGTAATCATTACATTAATGAGAACTTCCGTGAGTATTTATTTATATTTAAGTAATACTGCCAGATTACTACGCGTTTTTTTAATTTTAAACAACACACTCCCGAAGTTTCAGTTACTTTGAAAAAACAGTGATCACGATCAGATGAGATGAAAATCATCATCTTGTCTGCCCATGATCACAACATGTAAAATATTAGTTTTATTTAAGAATTAACATTAACAGTTCAAGATTTCAGACTGTATTCATTTATGGTATAAAATTTTTGACGTCAGTAACAGCTTCACATGAAAATTTTATTATTAAGTTCTTATTCAAAAAATTGTTTAAATTTCAGACATTCTTTTTCAAAAATATGTTAAAATAAAAACTTCTTAGATTGCTACCTAAAAAAAAGTGCTTTCAAAGAAAAATAAGAAATGATTTGTACATTGAATAATTTATTGGTATTCCATTTAATAATGGGGTAAAAATATTTTGTTACAATTTACAATCGAGCGTTACTTTGGTCTCTAGTAGTAATGGCTGTAGGCGTGTTGAGGATGGACTGATGGAGCGGAGTTGTGAACGACGGCATTGAAACTGAAAAACAATATATTAATATGACATATATGTATAATTGTCAGTTAAATTGTTTTATTATGAATACGACAAATGTAACTTTAAGTATGTATAATGTATATCTTACCCATTGTGTGCATCAGCAGAGTATTCCACTTTACGTACTGAGCCATCAGGCTGTACCAGGGAGTAGTATCCATGGACGGCATCACCGTCGCGACTCTCATGCTGTGACTTGTGGTCACCGGTGTGAGGGTCTGCTACTGAGTAAGCGAAGTCGTATTTGGGGTGAGCCTGAAAATTTAGAAATAACTTTAGGATCTATTTAATGAATCAGGAAGGTAAACAACTGGTTCTTGGTTAAATCTTACATATTCATCATGACCGTCGTAGTGGGCTGATGGGGCAGCATAATGTCCGTAAGCTACGGGAGCATATGCAGCGTATGCAACAGCGGGAGCAGCATGATGAACAGCATCATGGTGGACAATGCTTTGGGAAGAAACAGCGCTTCCGTGTCCAGGGAGAACACCGGCGTTTGCTGCGGCCAACATGGCACCGAAAGCTGCGATCTAAAATTGAAACAATCATATCAGTTATTTAGTAATTCACAGTCGATAATAAAAAGTATAGGTATATTCTTAAAATCATACTTTGCTGAACATTTTGTAGTTTAGTATGTGAGACCGTTGACACACAATTGATATGGTTTGCTAGTTATCGTAAGTATTTATATTGTATTGTATTTTGTAACAGTAAGTGGGGTGGAATGTTTGATTCAATTTCAACAATGATAATGAAATGAAGGTCATATCTGAGTATTATTATAAATCGAAAATTAATATTTATAGTCCACTTTAACATTCCTTTATCTTAAACATGAACTTTGATGTCAATGACATTGAAGGAGTTATGCCGCTTTTTAAGTATGTAACGGTAGTAAAATTGGAGTGTTTATTTTAAATATTATTTCATGCTATTGGGCATGTTATTAATTGTTTAAAATTTCTTTCTTGTAATATTTAAAAATGCTATTTAACAGTTTTAATTAATGGACAATGGACATATTTTCTTTGACAATGAATTACGCTTGAACTTGACCTAAACTATGTTTATTATAATTGAAATATGTTTTACCTTAAATCTGTCAACTTATGAAATAATTGCAGTTTAAAGTAATCTATGGTCTTCATTATAACCATGCCCTATCTTGCTATGAATGAGTTTACCTTTTGCCTGAAACTATTTTGTAGATGTATTTTACTTTTCTTGCGGCTTTTCACAGTTCCAGTTTCAGAATGGAATTGAAGAATATCTATAATCTTCATTTATATCTTTTGCAATATTGTTTCTTAGAAAACCTTACTGTAATGTTTGTTTAACGTAAATAATATTTGTAAACCTTACTGTAATATAGTTTTTGAATGTTATTACATTTCCTTTCCTTTCCAAAAATATTATGATTATACAATTAGATGGACTAATCGGTTTTTTAAGTAACAAACAAGCAACAGCTCAACAGCACTATTTATTTAAATGACACAAGATTAATAACGGATAGTATAGATATGTTATTTACATATACATATCTTACTTTCATCAAAACAAAGATATTTACATTTACATTTTCTTAGATTCAACAATTAGGTTTACTATCAATTAGGTTAATTGTCTTTTTGGATTATTTAACTCTATTCAGGGATACTATTATTGTTGTTAATTTTCCGTTTTTGAAATCACTATAGAGGGTATGTTTTACGACAATCCGCATCCTAAAAATGTACAGAAATAATTAAATATGTCTAAGTAAGACATACTCACAAAGTAGATTTAGACCTAAAGTCACAAGATTGCTCCTCTATTAGGATAGTAATGCCATTTCATTTATTGTGTGCTATAATGCGTGAGGTGTCTGTTCCGATATATGATATTTGATCCACACAACAATGTTGCCTCCGGGCGATGTTCGTTAAATTTCCAATATATGCTTCTCTTACGTTACAAATTACCTATTTTGCAGGGTAACTATTTTATTGATATTAATATTAATATTCTTCCTTTGTGGTTTGTCAAGTAACGTAATGTGTTACAATAAAATTTATTTACGAAGAACATTTGCTTTTTGCAGTGACTTACATTAACAAGGACTTATCTACAATTTGAACATGAAGTAAAGCATGTGGTTTCAAAATCAACTCAATCAAATGTAAGGCAATAATTAGTGCTCGAGGCCTGATATCAAGAACTGATTTCGTTGCTCAATGTCGTTTTTTTCTCTTCCGCGCCATTTTATTTGAACTAAATATTTCAGCTTACCTCTGATCAAATTTTAAGTTTTAGGGTCTTAGAGTAACTTAAATATGTCTTATAATATTCACTCTTGTTATGAGTCATAACAACTTTTTGTATAATATCTTTTATAAAACATGCTTGTTTATTGTGAATCTATTTGGCAAAAAAATTGTTAGTTATCAACTATATCTGCTTTAAAAAAATTAAATAGCAATTATTAAGGAGATCTAAGATTTTCGCGAGTATTCATTTAAAGCAATTATTACGATCTTTTCATCAATTATAGGATGACATTTTATGTAAAAAGAAACTTCAAACGTATATAACGTAATTTTTAACATTGGGGACTTCGCCGTCTTCTGATACGTAACTGAATTATCGCAAAAATTTCTAGTAAATGCATAAAGAAATTTTATTAAATATATGTGATTTTTTGTTTTTTATTATTGTTGACTTTAATACAAGACCTTGTAAGATTGAGATTTAAACAATTCTGTGGTACTCGATTTGAAATATACAAAGGGTATTTTATTATTATTACTTTTTTATAATGAACCTGATTTAAAATAAATAATTGTTATTTAGAATATTGGGCACAAGATTATCAGGTTCTGGAAGAATGATAATGAAAGATGATTTAGAAAAATTAACTATTTAATAATTAAATTAAAAATAAATCAAATAAGATTATTATTTTAATCAAGATTTATATTTCAGGTTTAAATTTTTAAAAGATCTATTTGAAAATAGACTTTCTATAAATGGAACAGGTAGCTAGCACTAAGAAAGAAAATCATTAATTATATATAAATATTTAATGAGTTATTTATAATTCATTAAGTAATAAATTTTTTGTGAAAATGTACAATCAGGCTCTGTTTTGGTCTCTTAGTAGTAGTGGCTGTAAGCGTGTTGAGGATGGACTGATGGAGCAGAGTTGTGAACGACGGCATTGAAACTGAGAAAGAAATTAAAACATACATAGTTATCAGTTGGCAATAATGTTACTATGACTACGACCAATGTGTCTTTACGTATGTTTATCTTACCCATTGTGATCATCAGCAGAGTATTCCACTTTACGTACGGAGCCATCAGGCTGTACCAGGGAGTAGTATCCATGGACGGCATCACCGTCGCGACTCTCATGCTGTGACTTGTGGTCACCGGTGTGAGGGTCTGCTACTGAGTAAGCGAAGTCGTATTTGGGGTGGGCCTGTAAATTTAGAAATAAGATTAGGATATATTTAATGGATTAACAAGAATTATAGTAGCTTGTGTGCTAAATCTTACATATTCATCATGACCGTCGTAGTGGGCTGATGGGGCAGCATAATGTCCGGAAGCTACGGGAGCATAAGCAGCGTATGCAACAGCCGGAACAGCGTATGCAACAGCGGGAGCAGCGTGATGAACAGCATCGTGGCGGACAATACTTTGGGACGAGACAGCGCCGCCGTATCCGGATAAAACACCAGCGTTAGCTGCTGCTAACATGGCACCGAAAGCTGCGATCTAAAAATTAAACATTGATTAAAATGATGTTGAGTAATATATTCCTATATAAGTAATTAAGGTTCTCCACAAATTTATTACTTTGCTGAACATGTTGTTGGATTTTCTTGTGTTTGTCTATCTGAATGTTTACTAACAATTGATATAATTCACTTCATACCGCAAGTATTTATATTCTATTATGTTCAGTAAGAATAAGTGGGGTGATACCATTGACTCAATTTTAGATATGATAATAAAATAAAGGTCATGTTATAAGTATTACAAAACGACAATTAAATTCTGCTACGAGTATAATACTTTTTTTAATCATTTACCGTGGTGAAACATGACACTGACCGAGGCCTAAACATAATTTTACGTTATTGCTACAGTTTTTTTTGTATTTGAATATGTTACATAAATGTGATTTTTTAAATTACTATAGTAGAATAGTTATATCTAATGAAAATATTCACTTAGTTAAAATTATCAATAAAGTCAACACTTGTGTAAATTATATATGCAACATTCACTTAGAAAGGATCGATGGATATATTTTATCACCCAATATAGTCGAATATATTATAAGGTGAGCAAGTATTTATAATTGACAAAGTATTTTCCAAATATTTTATGTAATTGACTTTTAGTGCCCATAAAATATGACTGAAAATAAAGTAAAAGTATTGAAAAAACAGTGAAAGATTTATTTATTACTATTTTATATAGCCCCACAAAAGATTTTATTGATCAAAAGTTTATAAGACAGTTTAAACTGCGTTATTACATTATTAACAGAAAAGCTTCATTAAAACTGTAATCAATCTATTTCAGCTACTGTATAACCACATAGCCTTATTCATTTTATCAGTGATAATTGTATTAAAACCCACAGCTATGAAATACGAATCAATCACTAACTAACGATACGTTAAACTACAAAAAGATAAAAATTAAAGTAAGTATCATTTAGATCTAAACATATATTTTTAAATTTTAGTATGATATGCTGAAGTTGTACATATTGTTTTCAATAGCAACATAGTCCGACGGAATCCTTTTAGAACACAGCTTTTTCTTCAGACAAACATATAGGGATTATTATTATTGAAGTTTAATAAGAAAGAATAATATATTTTTTATCTTAAAAATATCTTAAACGTCTAATAATTTGCCCGATTATGCTTTGATAAATTGTTAAAAGTGTTGAAAGATAAATCATGTGTTCAAAGGACATTCCGATATACATATTGGCTTATTTAAGAAGTCTTGAAGTAGTCATTGACCAGAAAAGTTCACCTATTAGCCGATGATAAACATAAGTGTATATATGTATATATATGAAAGTATATATAAATATATATTACTGGTTGGAAGGGTCGTTTAACTTTTCTTTTGGACTGTTGAAATACAGTTAAGCCTTTAATATGTTAAGAGTTTTAATATGTTTAGTTGTGTAAAATTGAATAAACATAAAAAAAATAATGAAAAATTACTTTCCAGTCAAATAATTCAATTTTATGTTTTTGATTTTATTTGTAAAAGTAAAAGTTGCAGATATTAACTTTCAGAAACGATCAAAATAAATTGTGTTATGCTTATTGATGTTTTAGTATGATTTAAAAATATACAAGAAAGAAAACCGATTTTTTTCGAGATAATTGTAATAATAAAATAATGGTTAATAATTAAAGCATTCATTGGTTTAAAAACGAAGATCAAACTTTGAATGTGATATTTAGGTTTGATTAATTGCTTAAAGGTCGTTTAATTCAGGTGACTCATATATAACTTCATCTTTTCACTTATAAAACTATTGTTTTGATTATTCGATAATTTTTTCTGCTTTAATACTATCGTTGTAATTATACTTAAAATTTCTGGTATATATGTTATATGTATGTTTTTCCTAATCAAATTTATGCATCAATCTAATGTTGAAAACCCAAAAACATTTTGTAGATTTAGTAAATGAATAATCATTAAGTATATATTTTTCGTCTGTACGAGTATGTGTTATTGATGGATACAAAGCACAATCGATGTTAATCTAACATATTTTCATATTCTCATATTATTTGTTGAAGTATAACATTTTATATAATGGTATACGGACTGATTCGTTTTAAAAAGAAGATATAAAATGTACATTCAGCTTTTTCTACTTGAGTACTTAAAACTTAATTAGTACCCAGCGACTTAAACTGATACTTGTAACCAAAATCGTTTGTTTGTTATTCGTGAGTTAATATTTCTTCATGATAAATACTTACTTAAACTAGATTTATTTGAGTTATCAACCAAACACATTATTAATTATATAGAAAAAGTTATTTAAAAAGGGGGATTTTTTTTGTTAAAAAGCCTCTATGTGCAAACATAATATCATTATATCAAATGATATTATTTATGAAATGGATAAACCTAAACCGTTTTAACTCGGGGTAACTAAAATTTTGCTTGATAGTTTGAAGAATTTTAAAAATCAAAGAAAGGTAGAGGGTTTTTCCATTAAAATATAAATTAGAAAAAGTTATGTAATTATTATAAATTATTAAAAAGACCATGTGTTTCAACGTAATTTTATTAAACCTTTATATTAAGTTATTTTTTTTTGTTTTTAAATAATTTTAGGATTACAAATTATTAAGGTTAATAGTGTCCATAGATAGCTTCAGGGTGGATTGAAGGTGCTGAATTGTGAACAACGGCGTTGAAACTGTAACAAAATATAAAAATTGGAAAATAAAAATATTTTTTTCCTTTGAAACTAATAAAATTTTCCTTTGTTCAGAAGAGTACAGATTTTAAATAAAGATTTAATGCCATGGGTATCATGTTAACGATAACGTTAAAGATAGTTTATTTTTATATGTAAAATATTACTTGCCAGTAATAGATTATATAACTATATACCAAATATTATATTAAGCTAATACGAAAGTGTATGTTTCAGAGAGTAAGCGTTAAATTGTTTAGTTTAATTTTATTTAACTAACTCAAATGACAAATAAATTTTAATATTTTGTTCTCACCCATTGTGATCATCAGCAGAGTATTCCACTTTACGTACGGAGCCATCAGGCTGTACCAGGGAGTAGTATCCATGGACGGCATCACCGTCGCGACTCTCATGCTGTGACTTGTGGTCACCGGTGTGAGGGTCTGCTACTGAGTAGGCGAAGTCGTATTTGGGGTAAGCCTAGAAAATAATTATAATGTAAGTACGATTATTACAAAGATATCTGAGAGGCCATGTACTAGGAAGATGCTTACATAAGAATCGTGGCCACCGTATAGACCGCTATACTGTCCAGCATATGGAATAGGGGCAGGATAGTGAACCACGGGAGACAGAGGGAGAGCGTCGTAGAGTGGTACGGCGACGTTTCCTAGTGTGAGTGCTTCATCATGACGTACAATACTTTGAGATGACGTGGCTGGGCCATGGTAGTAACCAGCGTTGACAGCAGCAAACACCGCTCCGAATACGATGATCTTAAATTAAATGAGATTAATTGTTTTTTGACGTCCATACAATTTCAGAATATACTCATATTCATTTGATAAAGCAAACTTAACAAGAAATTATTTATCTAAGTTCTTCTACCTAATAAAATAAATAGTATATAATAGATAACAGGACCATATATGATTCATCAAATTGTAATCAACCTTCGTATCGGTTTCCAATAACTCGTGTTCACTTCATATTTTCACACGATTAATTAATTGAAGGCAACCAAGGATTTTATTACATACAAATTATATTAGTGACACTCACTTTGTTGAACATGTTGATCTCGTTTAATGGAATCCTGGTAAGTGATTGATATCCCTTGTCGTGGTCAAGTAGGTTTTATATAGTAGAATTTACTTAAGAAGTGGGGTGACCGCAGGTCAGGAACTAGAAACTTAGTTGAGGTCACCTAAAAAACCCCATTGAGGACTGAATTTTTCTCGTCATGGTATATGAGCCTGCAGCACGCATTGAACTTGGCACGTGGCGTTAGGTTAAAAAAAATAAGGGTGAGGGTTACCTGATTTTACGGAGCGTGTAATAACTATTGTATTCCAAACGGTTAGACATTTTTTGTTGCTGATGACTTTTTGTCTATATTTTTGTACAAAAATGTTAAATTTTGCTCTCATTCACATCTTTTTGTATCAATTCATGTACGCTCATTATTTCTTTTAGAATATTTTGATTTAAATTAGTATCTAAACGAAGAGGTGGTTTTAAACTATTGAGATTTTAAGAAAATCATTAATCTTAGGTTTCTTTTCAGTAATTTTATCTCAGGATAGGAAAAAAAAGGAAATCTCGTGATTGATTGCAATTTTTGATATTCGTTATCGACCATTTGCCCATCGATTTAGTAAAATTATTATGAACTTGTTAGTCTCAATACCCACCTATCTTATGCCTATATGGCATTTTTTTATTATTTTATATTTACTGAACACGATATAGATTATAGAATATACATTTATTGTCCTAAAAAAGTACATAAGACTTTTAACCACACACAGAAAGGCGTAGCCAAGTAACTGTAATATTTATGTTTCGCATTCTAAAATAAGAATTTTGCTTAAAAATAAACGCGAATGAAATCGTAATTATTATAAAATTAACATAAATATTTTTCGCCATTGTGAGTTCATTTCACAACAATAATGAGACTACGTATAATAAAAGTTATTGCACTGAATATAAAATATATCCAATGCAATAAGTTTTAGCTTAGTTTAGTTATTTCTCTAACTAATTTAATTTTTATGGGGTAATATAATTTAGTCGTTTAGAATACTTCGTTTATTATGGATGGAATCTGGCGTGCAATTCTTTAAACTAAGTAATGAATTTAATTATTCAACGAAAGTAGGCGATTGTTTAAGTTAATTACGCAATCGGTGAACACGTATGTACATGTTCACCATAGTTTTGTGTTTTTTAGTCTTTTTTCCTATTAAAATTCTGATCTAGATTCAAAATATCTAATTTTATTTAAATTATCTTTTGCATGCTTAAATTTTCCTATCTTTTAACTTATGTACTAATGATTATTGGGCTTTAATTTTGTGTTATCCAGGCGATAAACCAACCCTTAATACAAAACTTTAACCAGATCTGTTATTGTAGTTATTTGGAACGAGTTCACAGGGTTCACAACAAAAACTCTTTGCTTTTATTTATATGACTAAGATCAGTCCTTTTTTTTTCAAAAACAGTTTTTATTCAAACTAGATAATTATAGCTTAAAATTATTTCCTTTTACATAAAATAAAATAAACTCAAAAATGCATATATGTATAATAAGGATTAGACTGTTCGCCGGCTTTTTGTAACATATATATAAATATAGCATATAAGCAGGCTATCGTATATATATTATGTATATAGAAGCAGGCTATCATATATATCGGATTTATCACAAATTCGTTGTTTTTAAACAGTGTGACGCTATCATCGCCAACGTCACTAATGCCACTTTTTTGAGTACTTTTCATTATATTTTAAAATGAAACTTCAATTGTTCTTAATGTTCCTGTATTTCTCGAATGTTCTTCATAATCACATTATTACAATGGTCCGCACTATCTGAACTCAGCTGTCGTGCTTCCAGACGTCATATTTATACCAAATATTCAAACATACATAGTTCTATTCTCCTTTTAAACAATCTTTGATTTCGTTTTACTTTTAACAATAATCATGAATACTAAGGAGTTTTAATAATTATTATTGACAGGCTTAAGTTGTTTTTATGTCGCATCCGTTATTAAAGCTTGTAGCGCCGATATATGTGTACATCTTACATTTTTTGAGCCTATTTATCAAGTTTTTCATGTCATAATTGTAGGACTTTTGGTAATACTTTTTATTATATTTATGAAAAAATGATGACAGTAGATGTAGGATATATCATAGAAAAATCTTTTTCTCAGATATTTTGTCATGTTTTCGAGTTTTTATTTAAACAGTTTAGTTTAAACTCAAAGACCGCAATTGCACTGTTTAAAAATATTTTCTTAAAATGTACACTCAGATCTCCAAATATACTATGGTAATTAAGACGAAAAAAAGGAAATTTTGCATATCAAAAGGACGATAATATTTATAATGTAGAATGAGCATTTTATTTTAAAATACTATTTTTAAACATTGTATTATATAAACATATGTATATTCATTATAATATAAATACATATTAAAATCGTTATTCGCAGAGTTACTCGCAGGGTGTTATTTGTATATGAAGTTTTTCTTAGTTTTACTCTTTTATTTTTGTAAAATACACTTGGTGTTTTGTTTTACAGCGGACGTTGAAAAGTATACTCATTTTTTTATATCAAACACACATTTACTTACACATCACGCACACATAACTACAAATATAAAAATTAAGTATAAAAGGTTATGAAACCGATTTAGGATTTTAGATATTCTTCATTTAGTAGTGATGGTAGGCAGGCACTGGTGCGGCATGCACAGAGGGAGCTGAGCTGTGTACGACGGCATTGAATCTGAATAGAGTAACAGAAATAATGTAGTTATACATCACGATACATGTTACAAGAAGCACCTTATTAAAAGTTATTCGCATACCCATTGTGGTCGTCAGCAGAGTATTCCACTTTACGTACGGAGCCATCAGGCTGTACCAGGGAGTAGTATCCATGGACGGCATCACCGTCGCGACTCTCATGCTGTGACTTGTGGTCACCGGTGTGAGGGTCTGCTACTGAGTAAGCGAAGTCGTATTTGGGGTGGGCCTGTTGAAATAATATAGTCATAAATTAACTTCGGGCTTAACAGTCAAGTGTTTAGTTTATAATAAGTAGTTCTTAAATTACATATTCATCATGGCCCTCGTAATGGGCAGCGGGTGCAGCGTAGTGAGCGACGGGGGCGTAGGCAACTGGAGCAGCATGAGCAATTGGTGCAGCATATGCGATGGGCGCTGCGTAGTGTCCTTCATCGTGACGCACAATGCTTTGGGAGGACACAGCGTGTCCATGTCCATGAAGAAGGCCAGCGTTGGCTGCAGCCAACATAGCTCCAAATGCTACAATCTAAAAGAAAATAAAGTTAGCTAAGTATAGTAGTAATCCTTATATGTAATAATCTTCCAGTCAAAAGTTATAAGAACTATCGATGAACGAATTGCGGTTGATTTATTTTCTTCTTAGATTTTTTTGGTCACTTACTTTGCTGAACATTTTGTGTGTTTGGTTAGACAACTGAGAATTGATTAATGTCAACGGTCCAGCACAATGGTTTTATAGAACAGGGCCGAGTGGTTCGGTGGGGCGGAGAAATGTGCGAGTGCGTTCATTCTTAAGCAGACAAACATTTCAAGGTCAATAAGACACTAATAAACAGTGATCGATCGTTGTTGTTATTGTACATATTTTTTAGTATTCTGTTATTTTATTATAAAAAATATATTTGTTTATTTTATCAAATTATATTTGTGAATATTTCTAATATATTTAATGTATAATTTATATAAGTTGATATGAAATACACGCGTGCAGCACAATTTAAACTGTAGAATATTTAAACACATCACGTACTAAAGGTTAATTAACCTGAAAGATAAATTAGTTTGATTATCTCATACTTTGTTGCCCTTAGCTGTCGTTTAGTAACACCTTTGGTTCTGTAAATAGCTGATTGCCATCGTCATTGATTTTGGTAATGTGGGTCAGGTTTAATAGAAAGGTCATTCGATTTGATTGTATTTTATGATATTATTTTCTAAAGTTTTATTTCAAAATTTTTAAGCTTAGTTACCATATTTAATAACCACACCTGTGAAAATTAATTTGGTCGTGATAAGAGTCAAAACCCAATACCTACTTAAAAAACATTTCACAAGAATAGGACTAAAACTATATCATACAATAAAATATAGTATATTATTTAATAGTATATTTACAATAAATAATATTTTACATATAAGCATTGTAAGAATAGCCTTCGACAGTGACTAATCTTACTTATAGTATAAGGTTATTTTTAATTGACATACTATTTTTTTTTGTTAAACGTAGAGGCATTTCGTATTAAACTAAATTATATGTTCTTTTAAATAAAAAAATTCCCGCATAAAGTAGTTTTTTCGTGAGAAATTAAAATAAAAGGTTTTAGTTCTATTCATTGAAGCAGATTTCTAATAACTTTGACTCCTTTATATTTTCATTTAATTAATTTATTTGTATTGCACGGAAATGTTTCGTAAAAAAGTTTTCTCAAATTTATATGCCTAACAATGTTTATGTTTCGCGCCTTGAGATTTATTACAGCATACCATTTACCTTGTTTTATAAAAGTAAGTTTAATGGTTTGTAACGTAATATGAAAGTGAAAATGTTATAGTAACAGTGTGATAAGCAAATAGACCTACGTGCTTTTAGGATAATATAGGTCAGCTTAATTTTTGATATATTTAGTAATAACACAGCTCATAAGTTTGTTATTATTCCTTGCATTGTGTAAAGGCCTTTAATTTACAAGCTTAGGTCCTGTTCGTGTCACTAAGGTAATTTTTGAGTCTCTGTAAATATGTAAACAAATTTTTTTGTGTCTTTTTTCTCTGTTTTTTTTGTGTCCAGTATTATTTTATGTTTGTTGTCTATGATATTTAATCATACACTTAAAAAAAAGTGATAGTATTCTTTTCTTTCATAGATGTTAGTAAATATGAAATTCGTTTCTTTAATTACTAACTAAATTTAAGAAACAGATTCATTCAACTTTAAGCATGAGAGGATTTTATAGAATGTAAGTTGTACGTTATCTGGCATGCATCAGATAAAATTAAAACTATAAAGATAAATTAATTGTGACTTAATGATTGATTGAAACAATTTAGTGAATTTTAAAATAGTTCATTTAATCAGTTAGAAGTTTTGTGTTACAAAATCATTTCGTTTAGGATTATGTTTCTCGGTTAGCGTGGCTTTGTTTGGATACTGGACTGACGCGAGACTAACGTGTCTCACGGTGTAAGTTAACAAGGTTTATATGATGAAGGTAATAATACATAGGTGAGTGGAGAAACCACATTCGGCCCTTGTAGTTTAGATTGTAGACATTTAACTATGTCACTATAATTAATAAACAAGTTTGATCCTTCGCCTCCTTCAGATAAGACTATTGGATGAACTTCTTCGTTTGATTTTTCTTCCGATTTTTCGATAGGTCTTTCACTTGAGCTTTCCTTACTTTCCTCTTCGCTTTTTTCAGCACTATGCTCCTGGCTTTTATCAACGTCTTCATTTTTTTCAGCACTTGCTTCCTGACTTTTTTTTTCATCCAAATTTTCTACCTCTAAATGTTCCTGTTTTTCATGCATTTCCTCTGATAACAAACTTTCTTCGTGCTTTTCACGTGTCAAATGTTCATTTTTATTGTCTTTGCATGGCGGTATGATGTGTTTCTCTTCTGATTTTTCTGTTTCAGAAGTATGTTTGTGTTCCGGTTCGGGAGATATGTTACGTACCACAGCATTGAATCTGTTAAATTTAAATATAAAACACATACCGTTATATAAATATAAAAAGTTTCAAAGACTTTACAAGAAAATATGAAACGCTAATAATTAAAATTTTGAATAGCACTAAAATAGAAATTGTTTGTTAAAGTAAAGAGGAAATAAATAACTGTATGATCTCGATACCCTTTCAAATCATCCGCAGTATAAACGACGTCGCGCAAGAAGCCGTCAGGTTGAATGAACGAATAGTGCCCTTGAACTACTGACCCGTCGCTGCGTTCGCTTTGAGTTTTCTTGTCACCGGTGTCTACGTCAAAAACTGCGTAAGCATATTGGTATCCCCTTGATTCCTAAAATATATATTTAAAATATACATTACAAACTCCCAGATTAATCTATTCTCTTATTACATATTTTAAAACTTTTATCTTCTTTTGTTTCAATGCTTTAAAAAAGTGTTCGTAGAGATGAAGTAAATAATGTCAATTTAAATCCATAGTGTCTAATTCTGTTGTTTGTGTTATTTTTGATATATATTTTTTATAATTCCTAAATACTCACGTCTTTATTTGTCAATATGATAGGTACATTCGCCGCTGATGTCTTATAAGCACCAATTTTAGCATTAACCGTGGATTGGACGGGAGCTGCATTAGGAATGACGCAAGGCGACACACATGGAGACAAAACACTTGATACTAGCGGTTCGGAAATTACTGATTGTAATGGTGCTTGAGATAAACGAGCCACTTGAGACGTGTATGTTAATGCAGATGGATTATAGTTAATGTATTCTATGGGAAGTACATCAGATCCTCTTTGCACTATAACATTTGAAAATGACGCCCCAGAAGTGGTATCTTGTAACCAGATCGTAACGAACAGAAAAAGTAGAGAACTCTGGAAGAAATGCGAGGTATAGTTTTGAATTTTCTATAATAAAGCAATTTTAAAATATTATACTATACTTACTGAAGATGTCATCTTTCTAGTAGATAAACGGAAGACAACTGATATTTTTCAGATGTCAACTCCTCTTATATCGTTCTTTGTTTGTTCCTAAATATGCCATTCTGTAACACCGAAACCAAATATCAATGTCGTTGTATAAATGAATAGCGGTTAACAATTAATATGTTAATACAGATTTAACACTGGCTGGCTTCTTTCTTATCCTGTATTCATGACACGAATTTTACAAAAAGCAAGAAATTGGCCGTGAAAATTGTCTTTGTCTCTAACATCGGTCAGTTGACCATTTATGTAATTTTCAGGATATATTTTTACCACCTATATCTAGACAATGGATTTCCTATTGTTTTATATATAATATTTATATATTTATGAACCATTCGATATAACTTGACTCCCAGATTTAATGTGAAATCAGCGTTAGTACCATGTTATAGATACATATGTAATATTTTTGTCTATGTATGTATTGCTTCTACAGCTAAAAATTCCATTCATTAACTTCCAAAGATCTATTACAACATTTTATATATCTATAAATAGACTAATCATTGTCACACAGAATAAAAGAAAAACGAAATCCATAAGATATATTTTTGCGCTTTGAGCGAATTTGTAAAGATAATGTTATAAATTGGTGTTACTTTTAAAGGAAGCGAAAAGTGTAAAAACTTTAAAAATTTAAACTTCTATTATTTTTCATTGTAAACTTTTAACCATTTAAGATAGCTTTTTTATGTGAAAATAGTCATTGAAATATTAACATTCCAAATCACATTTTTTTCTTTTATTTTATTGAAATACGTAATGACGTCATCATCATATCATAATATGTTATAAACGCCACAAATTTATAATTTTAATAATACATATATCCATGACTTAGACATTTGTAAAAATCCTTAACTAGTATTAGAAATAAAATACTTTAAAAATCTTGAAAGATATAATAAACATAATTTTATTAAAGATTAATAAAACTATTTTTACTTTAATAAAGATCAAATACAACTTTAAATTTTCCATACACTTCTTCTTACCAACATAAGAATCTGTTTAGAAGTACAAGTTCAGTCCCAGCGGTTGTTTCTAAAAACGAAATTTATCTACCATAGACAGTGTCAAATAATATATATATGTACATCAAAATTTCTGTTGATATACCTACATATGCATACATACGTATAACAATAAGTTAATCGTTGAGGAATTGTAAGTTATTTCCTAAAAAAAACCAATTAAATAATTTTATGTACATTTCATTAAATCATATATGTAATAGTTTTTTATCGTGTTAGATTTTCAACTCCTCTCCATAAATTTTAGCAATAAACACTCGTACACTCTTTGAATTTATTAAGCACCAGGCGAGTAAGACTTATGTTTGGCGATACTACATTGTTTTAATAAAAGAGTCAAATATATTTTTTTGATACTGAATTATAATTTACTAAAGTAAAAGCAAGAACAAAATACATCTGGCTGAAGCGAATTTTTCAATTAACTTTTTTTTTGTGAAATCAATTAATATTGCTAATTCATAATTGATTTTCGGAAAGAGAACTAAAGAATATGCCTAAAAAAAGATGTATGTGTAAGAGGTTTCAAATAAAGTGATTGTATTATACATCAATTTATATTATTTTTAAGCAACGGTGCTAATAAAATATTGAAATTGGATATAATTAAAATATTGCTTTTATTATTGCTATTACCAGTAACAATAAAACTTCTCAAGAACAAGACAATATATGTATATGTATATAGATTGCAGAATGGAGATATGCATCCATATACTAAAAAAATAAAAAGCAATTTTTTTTATCAAAACCATAAATCCTCTCCTTGAGAACATTAATACCCACAAAAGAAAGAAGTAAATTGAAAACGGAGCTGAAACTGACCTAGTATTAATGACAAATCTCGACCAAAAAATAATAAGGGGGTTCTTATAGGACTACTACTACTATACTATACACGAGTTAAGAAATTTCAAAAAGTTTTGATTTATTAAAAAAGTGTAAAAGCATAACAGAATAAAGTCACCGATTTGTATTTAAAGCTTTGTTGCGAATCTTAGATAAATATAGTAGATTATATTAATATGTAGTAAGGGAACTTAAAGCTGATTAATATTAAATACCGGATGAAATCAATACCAATACCGGATGAAATTAATATTAAATACCGGATGAATTTGTATTAATATACAAATATTAAATTCGGAAAGTAGGTTATGTTAAAGCATTCATTATAGTTTTATGGACCAATACTTCTTAGACTTTTTAGAGAAGGAACTTGTCAACATTCACGAACTGAATCAGTTAATTAATCATAAAAGAAAGGTATCAAAATATTAGATACAATCGTCCTAAAAACTCGTATCGTAGAGGTAAACTCTATGTACTCGTAGAGGTAAACTCTATGTTATTTGGATGAATATCTAAAAATATTAAGTTACGTTTAGTTAGTTAGTTATTAAGATATCAAGCGGGTTAAAAAGTATTTTTAGATCCGTATATAGTAGTAGCTTTTTCCCGCGACACTGACTACGTGAAAATCTGAGTTGTTCTCTGCCACTATAGCCACTGAGTCCCAGCAGTGTTGCTGGGACTCAGTGGCTATAGTTCAATTACTTGGATCAAGATAAGAGGTAGCCTATGTTTTTCTTCAGGATTCCATCTATCATTCTAAAATTTATCAAAATCGATTAAGTAAGACAAGTGGCAGATAAACAGAGTTACCTACCATTTATAATACTAGTTAGGATACTATTCTACAATCTTAATTGAATTGAAGTGGTTTATTGATTTCAAGACAATTTTAATATTATTAACTGATAAAACTCTTTGGCAAACAATTCATTTTAAGGTACCAATTCTAAGCGTCTTATACTCATGATAACTTTTAAACGAAATGCCCGATTGTGATGAATGAAAATATTTATATTTCTATAAAAATGCCCTTGATAGCATAATGATTAATTGGGATAAGGATTAATATAACGATACACATTTAAAGTAATTTATTTCTCCATACAATTTAGTTTTTTTTAACACAATAGCGGATATCGTGACTAAACTGTGATAGTCAGTTATAGGTATATTCTCGCAGACATTTTTCTAGGTCTCAATGGGTACTTGTACTGCTAGAGTAGCAATTTTCTTCTTACCATAACGATAACATTTTTGAAAAATAAATTATAATCCTTAGTCATTCTCTAAAATTGGACTGGCCAACACTGAAAAACCTTTCTAAATTGGGTCATTTGTTACTGAGATTAGCGCATTCAAAAATTAAGACTTTAACTTTCAATTTGACTGTAGCTGTTAGTCCTAATGGCTTTGGCAGCGTCACCGGGAGGGATGGGTACCCGTTAAATTCGTTCCTGAAACTAATATATAGGAGTTATTCATAAAGTCGATTCGTATAATCTCCATATTGTTAAAATAAAAATCAATGTAAAAAAAGTCATCTCAGTACCATCTTTACTGATAAAATTAAAAATTCTAAAACAAAATTACCTATCCAATGACGAAAATTAAGAATTTTGGCAGGCTTTAGTGGAAGCTTAAGTTTTAGGTGTTTTTTTATTACCTTCTAAATGTACATATTCTTTTATTTATTTGTCTGAACCTAAAGATGGTTTAAAACTTTATTAAATAATATCTAAAAATAACATTAGCGATTTTCTAAACCCTTTAATTACAGGTTGTACATAAAGTATTATTTTCAGTATTATAATTTGGGTGTCATGTAGATGTTAAAATACACATAAATTATAATTATTTGACAGAACTGAAATTTAAAGTTATTTCCTTAAAATATTGACACTAGGTTTAGTTTTGGACAAAGACGTTTTTGGATAAATGATAAATTATACATTTTTAGAGTTTTTTTTTTAAACTTATGTATTTTAAAATCTTGAACGATGATTGCATATTGCCACTAATTATGTTAATATGATTGTGGTGATGAGAGCGTCCTTTGTTCAAAAATCAATGATAAGAGTCAATTTATTAATAAAAGCTTTTTCAAAGAGTTATTTGGGTCATGGATTTATTTTAGGACTACTGTTTCAAAATTAGCCACGTTTTTGTTTCTGGACGTCAACTTAAGTGGTTCATAATCCTATCATTCTTGAAAATAAAATACTTAGTCGTATCCTAAGGGTCTTTTTCTTCTTCAACCTGGCAATTTCCCAGCTTTAGCCAGAGTCTGCCTTACATGTTGTGAATAGTTTTGGCTGATTATTTTTACGACCGGCCACCTGCTTGACATCAACCCTTTTTGGGAATGCATTAATCAGTGATGTCTAAATACTTTTAGAAAGTACATATGATTCGGAAAAATCCTAAAAGTATTTTAAATAATTCACAGAACCATAACACAAACATAATTTCCTGTTTAGTTTCTTTTACCCTGTTTGTTTGTTTGGTTTTCACCACTCTTTCCTCTAAAATTTAAATCCTTCACTGTAAATGCAGCTCGGTTCAGGAATTCTATATAAGGTTTTTTTCATGTATAATATGTGGATTTTTATAATAATAATTACATATGCAACATTTTCTTTCTATTTTTTCCACAGAGAAGATGTGCTGTTCCGTAGTAGCTCGTCTAAAGCCTTTTTTTTTGTGTCCAATATTTACGCAAACGACCTAGTTCATATCTTTATATATAGTTACACTTCGTATATCTCATGCATGTCGGAGAATTGATTTATTATTTATATTCTTTAAGATTACTCTATTGTTATTTTTAGTGGCAATTAAAATGTTTTCACGCTATCATTTAATGTTGTAATATTTTAATACATACAATATTTCTATTAGAACATAAAGCGAAAGTAATAAGTTTCGATGTAATAATAGACGAGAGATAGGTTTTCGAAAGTTTATTTACGCCGCAGTCTTATAATAAAAGTTGGTTGTCGATTAAACACTATCTATAAGTAAGGTACAATAATATCACATAGAGGTGGCTCGACGCCGTATATTTAGTGGTGGTACTCGGGATGGACTGGCGCTGTGTTGTGGACTACTGCGTTGAAACTGGAACAAAATTTTATAATAATAAATGTTATATTTATGTAAGCTACAGCTTAAATTAATTGGATAGGTTTTATAAAGTTTTCTGTAAATTTATACATGACAAACGTAGATCTAACTGGATATATTGATGAATTTGAGGTGCATATAAATAATTACCCATTGTGATCATCAGCGGTGTAAGTGACCTTGCGGAAAGAGCCATCAGGCTGGAGAAGGGAGTATTCTCCTCTCACGATATCACCATCACGAGCTTCGTGCTGTTCCTTGTGATCTCCGGTGTGAGGGTCAGATACAGAGTAGGAGTAGTCGTATTTAGGGTGGGCCTATAAAAAAATAGTAGTATAGAACGTGTTCAATTGTATGATTATTATAAATACTTTATTTTTTTTATTCTTGAAATTTTACTTTGATTGTAAAGATTATTTAAGGAAAGCTTTGAGTATAATCGTAACAAATAAATGTATGTACATATATGCAAACACTTATGAAACATTTGTTCTGTATCATCATTAACTAAATTCATTGAAACGTCGTAATGATAGTAATCTGAATATTTCTATTAGGGATTATGCAATTGTTTTAAATATGTGTAACGAACATCATGCTACACTAAGTCGAGCGTGAGAATACTGTTTATGCAAACAACGAAGCGGTTTCGCATATGCATCTTGTCATTATGTCCCAGTCATGTTTCACAATATCCTGGGAAACAGGCTGTTATCGGCCCTTCAGTCACGACGGATGCTGTTACGTAACCAGATAATATCGAGTTATTTTCTAGTTCTCTATGACATTGTTTACGATCGAAAATTGCAGTGAGGTCCACTTAGACGTAATTGGAAATTTTCGTACTGTTACTAGTATTGATAAATATACGAATTGCAACAAAAAATTATTGTTCGCTCCTTTTAGTCAACGTACTGGCCTTTCAGGTTCTTAAACCGACGAAAAGTAAACACGAACGCTCATTATTACAGTTATTAGGTAAAGCGGGTTTCTGGCGTGATTACGTTAAAGATAATTCGTATTTATACTCGGGGACCTATTTTGCTTGAACTGTCATGACGTAATAAACAGTAAAGCTGGATTGTTCTGAGATAGTCTAGCCCGGAACTCAGACGCTAAGCAACTTGTGGGTTATGTAAGCTATCAATTAGTATCATGCTATTGTATTACGCTATGGTCGATGGGAATAATTGCTCCACTAACATATTAGCATTATTTGTGTATGCATAGTGATTCTAATAAACGTTTCTGGCAGGTATTATGAAATTGTTTGACACAATTTTAACTGGACGCGATATATTGGGTAACAGAAGTTGCTGATTATAACATTTGATTTTACTTACTGTAATAATGTAATGAGTTTATAACTTTTTCAATTCGTTCAACAATTACTTTATTTGAAATATAAATGTCCTTGACCACAATGTTTGAGATTCTTTTCTTAAACATCGGTAATACGGATAAGAAGTTGCGTTATAATTACATATTATGTTCTTAATGCGTTTGGCGATCTACTATAATTTCACATATAGTATACAAATAGTTGTTATTTTACTTATAGAATATTTCTTAACATATAATTGAAATATATACAACATGTATAGCTATTAACTTTAACGTATTTTATTGTATTAAAATATTTATTAAAAGCTCGAATATAAATCTATTAATTTTGGGTTTTTAGAGTCAATTGTTAGAAAATCGATCAATATTTTTTTACAAATATTTTTAGTAAGAGTAGCAAATTTTAAAACAAAATGTCATGTAAATCCAATTAAGGTGTCTATGGATTTTGAGGATAATTTATTACCTAGTCGTAACTTACATGGTAATCGACGTGTTCGTCGTGCCCTTCGTACTGGGCTACTTGAGCTACTGGCGCGTATGCTGCTTCGTGGCCATAGCCCTCGCTGCCGTACCCGTGGCCGAGTTGGACAACGCCGGCTGCTGCTAATGCCACTAGGGACAGGATTACTGCGGCCTGTTAAATATGGTTAAATATTATCAAAAAACATAATACATTTGGTCTAAGTTAATTGTAAATAAATGTATATAAATAGTTCTAATATCTATTTCTCGTTTATAAAAAAAAAAAAACAAACAAAAATCTATTTTTTAGATGAATGAATACTATTTGAAATCCTTTAATACGTATGCTTAACGGTTCTGTTATAGCAAACTTATTGGACGTTGCATTGAAGGAACGTATCCCTTCGCTATAATTCTCATTGCAATAGAAACACGGACACTTACTTTTGCGATCATTGTAATTGTATAAGGTTTGCTTCGTTTCACCGATCACACACGACTGATACAAACTGCTGGAATCACCGACTTTTATATTAGACTACCAGCGAGATGTAAACCTTACTCGCTGTCTACGCAAGAATACGGTAGTCTGATTATAATATAGCAATCACGTAAATTATTTAGCACTTGGCACTTCAAGGACTATGATCCATGTGCATCTTAAGACAATAGATTTGATGTGGAACATATGAAATCGCTAATGACTAATGTCGTCAGATATATTTGACCTCTATATACGGATTATCAGAATAATTTGTGCAGTATATATTGCCCTTAAATTACTCAAAATAACTTAATCTACTACAGAAAAAGATAAGAGAGAAAGAAATCGTAGAATGTCTTATATTTTTAACTGGATCAAGAATTTTATGTAACAATTAATAATTTATTTCAAATGATAGATTAGTTTATATTTAAATATATAATATCTTGAACTTATCCGGTGCACGCATAAGGCGTTCAATTGTGAAAAGACTGTTTTTAACTTCTTCCAGTAAATAACGTATAATAAATTTTCAATATAAGAAATCTTCTATTTAATATTCTCCTAATAAATTTTAGTCATATAAAAATATTTTATCGACTTATATAATATCCAATAAATATTTTCACTTTCATTCATAACTCTAATAGAACCTAAATCGATTCATTTTACAATAATTTTGTAATATCCTCCCAAAACTGGAAAGATATCATTTTAGATTAATAAGCGGAAGAAGACACAACACGTTTCCTCTGTTAATCTTGATGGCATATAATTTCCTAATGCAGAACATTTAAAGCATTCGAAATAGGCTCATCTCCAAGATCTGAATCACGTTTAGAGACTGTTTTCTCCGAGGGTTCATGAGTGTCAAGATGATGTCACAGTAAGAACCACGCTTAACATTTATTGATGCATCATATAAACAAAACATTTATAGCAATAATTAAGTTATTCTCAACTGTTATTAAACGTTTTATTTTCATAATATGTTCATTATAATAACTCTCATTGATTGTATTATTAAGTTTTGATAACATTGATTTTCTATAATACTAATTATTTATATTTCATATTTATATTTTTTTTTTCATTGAGAAAAATTGCTTATGATAAAAGGAACAAAATTGAAATGACAGTCATAGTGGTGAGATCAATATGATCTTCCAAATATAGGACACGGAAATACGATACAAAATACACAGACTCTTTAGAAATAAGGTTCCATTGCATGTAAACATTGATATGTATTGCGTTGAAATTCAATCCTGAAAGGTAATTAGAAATTCGAACGAAGGCCACGCTTAAAATGTATCTGATGTTTGTTTTAATATAATTATATATATTTAACCGCAATGCGAACCGCAATCATTTAATTGTTTCGGCTAATGTTTTTGTTAAACATATTTTATGATTTATAGATCTTGATGTTCTAAATATATGAAACTTTGAATGCGAGGTTCTTAAAGCTTTATTGTTTCGAAGTTATAAAATTATTGAAATGTGTATCATTAATTGAAATTAATATTATTTGCTTATTTTTGATTAAAACAGTTATTCTAATATTTGGAATATATTTTTAAGTGTATTAAAAAATTTAATGAAAATAGTATTGTTAAATAAAACTATTAATTTATATGTAGAACATTTGACAGGTAAGTTTAATAGCTGTTAGCAAGATTAAATTATGAAGTGTACCAACTACATTGGTACCAATAATAGTTAAAGCTGTTTCAATAAAGCCCTAATGATTAATTATTGTTATTCAATCTGCAACATTATATATAAACGTTTTCAATTTATATACTGTCAAGGGTTACGCTTTCCTTCTTTATCATCAATCAAGTCTGTGTAAAGTCATTATTTTAAATACAAATAATACGTAAGCCGGGAATTAGAGCGTATTTATCTGAGATGTTACCAACTTAAAAGACAAAATAACGACACTGCTTCGACCTTGATACTCACGGTGAGAATAATTTCTTTGTTTTATGTTCAGATTACAAAAATATATATATTCAATTCAGTTTTTGTTTATGAAATGGAATATTTGGAAATAACCTATACAATACATATAGGTATGTATGACATTTAAAATATTCTTCAAATAAAAAAAAATCTATCCTTCTACATTTAATCTGGACTAAAATAGACTATGCATACGGTGAAATGATAACTTTTAGTGTAAGTTAGAAGTTCTCACTTGAATTTATTCAAATATTCTGCATGTGTATATGGAGATTACTTTAGTTGATGGACATATGTCGCAACCTGATCATCAATGACATTAGTTTATATTAGGTATTTATCCATGCTTGAGAGAATAGTTTTTGCTGAAATCATTACATTATCTTCACTATCAAAAGTCATAAGTTGCAGCTAACTAACCACTATCCCCGTTTTTGCATTGTATTTCAATTGCATCATTTAATTTACGTGTATACAGTAACAGATCTAAAACAATAGGGAATCATTGTTTCAACAATACATTTAGAAATGTTCTCTCTTAGACAAGAACATTAATTTTGATGCGCTCTCAGTACAATTGCTGGAAAAGATCTCGTTTTCAGATTATTACTCGTTTGTTTTCAGATTTGGAGGTATTGGTATTCTTGTTCTCGTAATATTTTTGGTAAAATAATTAAACTAAATTCAGTGTTATAAATAAAGTTGCATTTATTTCTAAATATTACAAAGTACCAAACAAATTACAGTAATAAATTAATGATGAGCCAGAACTGGGGCAGCATGGTAGACTGGAGCGTGAACTGCGTGTACTACTGGGGCAGCATGAACTACTGGGGCAGCGTGGACTACGGGGGCAGCGTGGACTACTGGCGCAGCGTGTACTTGAGCGGGTACGGCATGTGCAGAAGGGGCTGAGTTGTGTACAACAGCGTTGAAACTGAAATGAAAATTATTAACTTTATTAATTTACTTCTATATAAATTAATCAGTGATGACCTAGTGGTAAAAAGGCCCGCTTCTCATGCACGCGGGCGCGGGTTCGATCCTGGCTCAGGCAAGTACCAATGTGATTTTTCCGAGTCATATATACTTTTAGACATCACTGATTAATGCATTCTCAGAGAAAGTTGATGTCAGGCAGGCGGCCGGTCGTAAAAACAATTGGCCAAAACTATTCACAACATGTGGCTAAAGCTGGGAAATTGCCAGGTAGAAGAAGATAAATATAATACGACCTAAACAAACATTTTCAAAGTTTCAGATTGTATACTAAACGGGAAGATTTTATCAAATTTATTGAGCAAAACACTCGCGGATAAATTACTTCGTCCTACAGTCATGAATATTAGTTTCGCTAGGCTTATAGAGCGCACATACTCGTATGTTTCGTAATGTAACTTACTGTACAAGTTCATGCCAGTGGTAATGGAACATAATCAGGTTGTATATTATATACAATTTTTCTTTTGGTTAATCAAAGAATCTAAAAAATTCAAGTTTCGATATTCCATTGTCGTGTTAGTCGTCCGTTATTGTATGAGATCGTTAACTCTTGATTGTATTTACCCGTTGTGAGCATCAGCGGTGTATTCAACAGTTCTGACGGCACCATCGGGCTGTACCAGAGAGTATTCACCCCTGACGACGTCACCTTCGCGGCTCTCGTGTTGAGACTTGTGGTCACCGGTGTGAGGGTCTTCTACGGAGTAGGAGAACTCGTAGTGGGCAGGGGCCTGGAGATATACATTTATTACAAAAATAGAATAAGAAAAATATTATATATGCTGTGTAGTTGCTTATGTAAGTCCCATGTTTTTAAACATAATCGATAAACGAAATATATCATCATGATATTAATTATGATGCTTCGATAAATGGATGTTCAAACCAATCATATGTATCATGACTGATAGTTGATGCTGTCATTGCGAAACATTCTCTTATAACGTCAAGTACATTGCTCAACACTTGTTTAATTGGGCTATATTAACCGAGCACATTTTAATGAAATCTCTTTTGTAAACCTTTCTCTTTTATTGTTAACTGATTTAGACCTTAATAAGCTCGTAGTTAATTTGTTACTTTCTATTTTTTTTAATACAGCAGTCAATAACTCCGTGCATTTGAATAAAGTTTAAGATTAATTTCAACATTACCTAACGATTCTGATCTAGTCGATATAATCAAAGTTATTTAATGAAACAACCGAACTACTTCAATATCACCCGAGTGATGGTGGGATTTATTTACAGACCTACTTTTGGTAGCACTCTATTAAATGTTGGCACTTCCTTATCGCAGGGAATTCAGTTCAAATAATACTGCGTACTGTATCTTAGTATTAAATATTTTTGATTTTTTTTAACTTACGTGCTCTTCAACTTGCTCAGCACGAGCAATGGCGATGGGAGCAGCATGGGCTACATGGGCAACTGGGGCAAGGTGCTGGACGATGGGAGCTGAGTGGATCAGAGGTGCAGCATGTTGGACAATGGGAGCAGCATGGGTCAGAATGGGGGCAGCGTGAGCCACAATAGGGGCGTATTGAGCGCCATGAGCTGGTTGGTCGTGACGAATGATGCTTTGGGATGACACGGCATGTCCATGACCTTCCTCAATGAGACCTGCGTTGCAGACCGCCACGAGGAAGCTGACTACTACGATCTGGAAAAAGTAATTAATATATAGACAGCTCGCTTATAGCAATATAAAATAAAAATATATTTTTTAAACTTCGATCTTACTTTGAAGTACATGTTGATGCTGTATTGATTGAGTACAGTGTATGATAAGGACGTAGGTCGGGTGGTAGGTTTTTATACTCGGGTTGCATGTCACCCGATACAGAAACCGGTAATATGCACTATCACCTTTAAATTACGTCACTACATTGACAGATCTGACCGTCAAGGTCAAATTTAAACTTTTTCAAAACGTTCTTACAGCTAATTACCTCATGTTATAAAATTTGTATAATATTTCTTTCTATAATACATATGGGTTTAATGAAGTAGGTAATATGTAACAGGTAACTAATTTTGTAGCATAGTTAGTTACAGGTGTGTAATTTAGCTTCTACAATTATTTATGTCATCTATGGTATGATATTCAGAAATATTAAAAATTACATGTATATTCCCTGTTGCGAAAATATAAAGAACTAGAAAGAATTTGAATATTATTTTTTTTTATAGGAAGAAAAAATGACTTAGAAAGGATTTACAAATTGTTATTAAAGTTTTTCATTGAAATTAATCCGTAGAAGATGGGTTCATTTATTTTTATATAGAGTTTGCCTTGTTAATTTTTTTTTCAATATATGTATAATACTTAAGTAGCATATCTTTCATCGCATTGTTTAAGTTATTTATTGGTCTGCTGCGAACGTCTGACCACAATCCGGTAAGAAAGTAGCTCTTTGGATTGCAACGAACGCTCTACTATCTTGCGCAATATTAAGATTAAAGGTATGAAAACTGTTAAGTGTTTAACCAAATAATTTTATTTGATCATTATTCATTATGAGGCTTGTTATGAGAAGTTAATTGATTTTAATTTTTTTTTTAATAATGAACTATTATGTTCATAAAAAAATATAAGAAAACTAAATACGATCAGTATTGAAAATAATTACAATCGTTACTATAATTATGGTATCATGATGCTGGTACTAAAAGTACTCTAAGTATTTATTATATAACTGATTGTGAAATCTTAAATAGTCGTAGAGCCTTTATTGTTTTAAGCACCCCACATACGTAAGTGAAGTTTTCAATAATTATAGGCATAGATAAAAGTATTTACTTTCATCTATTAAAAATAAATTTTAAATTGATATCGTGATATTGTATTTTTAAATAATTTGTTGCCTACGTATCACTTCTTTTTTGTTTATGTAACCATCTAGACTAGATATTCTAGCTACCAAAGAATTATTTTCAAAATAATTTAAACTAAATCAATAATGTAATGATTTTGTTTTTTCAAAATTTTTGTGTTATGAATACATACTTCTTTGTAAATTTAATTTTTAGCATTGCATAGTCAAAAGAAAAAGTTTAAATACAAAAGAAAACTATTAAATAATATCACAGCATTTTTATAAGAAAGTATCATATACTACATAAAAAAACTCAACAACTTTATAAAATAAAATAAAGTCAAGATTCGAACAAGGTTATAAAGTAAAAATTACAAATTAAAATATAACATCATGTGTGTTGAAGTATATTGTAAGTTATTATATGGTATCGGTAATATAGTTTTTTTATGCGAGTGACTCACTGGGTCACTGGTGCACGCATTCGAGTGTAAGTAATGACCGTGCCGCAGACTTCCCTTTTGGTTTTCCAACTGAATGGCTACGGCAGTCATCAGACAAGATAGTCGCAAGAAATGTACATATAAAAAAAATAATAGGACAAATAGGAAAAACCATATGGGGTAGAACAGAACTATGAATGATATAAATATGTATGATTATAATTTTATTTTTGTATTCCTTTTCTTTTTGTGTTGTTTTTTTTTTTACAACATATCCATTTTTTCCATTCTTCAATTTATGTCACTTATCTTTAATTTATTGCTCTATCTGTAAATGAATTTGTAGGAAGTATAATCAAACGATTTTATTGAAGGGTTTTGTCGCAAATATACGCTGTAACTACATTCACCTTTTCTCGAAGCTTGTCTTTGGGAGAAGGTCATCAGTTTAACGTGATATTGGCAAATCAACCAATTTAACAAAACCTTCACTGTGGTTCTTTTTTATGCCTTGTTTAACGTAAATCGTATATCATGTCGCTTCGATGAAATTACTTAAAATACCGATATAGTAATACAATTTAAATTTTAGAGTTCGCTTCCATACTTAAAGGTTTTTTTTGTAATAAATAAATAAAAAAGTAATGCTTCATATTGTTAAATACAAATGAGTTTTTAATATTATTTTTTTATAATCTCAAAGACTTTTATTTTCAGTTATTTAAAAAAATATAGTTACAACATTATAGTTAGAGCCGGCATAAATTAGTCTGTCAGAGGCTTCTTTTAGACCAAATGTAAAATTAAACATATGTTTTACATTAAATTATTGAAAATTATAATAAATATTATTTAATTTTTTAAGTTTTTTTCTTAATTTAAAAGATATATTTTATCGATTCGTCTGAAATTTAATATATATTCCTTCAATTTCGGCGACAATGCATTGTTAGCTTGCATTTTAGTTTAGTAACTGCAACATGGACCATTGATATTCTTTTATTGTTAGGCTGCTCTGTTCTGGAAACATTCCATTAAATTAATTCGGTTTCTTGAGGTGGTAAGGCAAATCTCCGAATTTTAATAGATGGTGTTAGAAATGCAGCCGCAAAAACTTTCTTTTTTTCAAAATTCCTTGTCCCTAAAAAAATTAAGTTCCTTTATGGTTATTCTGTTGGTGGAGGTAAAAAGGCTGGTGCAACTAGTAGAAAAAAAAAATAAAACAATGTCCACTTTTTTTCAAACACGTTAGTAAATAAGTTTTTTTTCTATTTCAATTTATTTTGTGTACCATAGTTTCTTGATATATTTTAAAAATAGAGAAATACTTCAGGAAAATCTGTAAATAGTAAAACAATTACTCGTTTATGTGCTAAAAGTTAAGTTCAATTTTTTTTGTTTGTCTGCTCCCAAATTAGTTTATTTAATATAACAGAATCCACATTACAACTAAGTGTATTTTATAAGAACTAAATCAATCTTAAAAGAAACATAAACTTCCATTTGAAATTGTATTACATTAACAATATTATATGCTGTAAATATATTCCAAGGCTTAAACGTTATGAAAGTAATGCTCAAATTGCATTGTAATTTTATTTTAATATCTATGTCATAATTTTAATTAATGTTAAATAGTGACAGTTTTGTATTGATGCATTTTTTTTGCAATAAAAGATTTTGGTTGTAAAAAAAGTGTACTAAAATAATTCGTGTCAATATAAATATATTTAGTGAAAGGTATGTTGATTGCTTGTTACTGTTGCTCCGTTTTGTTGGTATTAGACAATATCCTATATTAGATAATGAATTATCGAACCAAAATTGTCAGAATCTTATTGCATAGTTGAATTTTGGGGCCTATGCTAAATTCAGATATGTTGCGTAAATTGAGTATATTTGTATAAAAATGTTATAGGACTATGAGTGAATGAAAGATATATAAATATCTTAACTAACAACTATGGCATAAAATACAATAAAAGATTTAATGTAGTCATTCAATGTATTTTTTTCGTATACAGTATAAATTGGTGTTATGATATAATTATTTTAACATAAATTAATTAAAATTAATATAAAACATGCTACCTTTTTAATAAATTGGATTACTTGAAAGAATACAGTTTTAAAATTCAGTTAATGCTGTTAAAAATAAATGGAATACATTTGTATGTAACAGTGTTCAAAACACAGTTCGCTCGGGTTTGTGAGATGAAGCAAGTTGGTACATTCAAAGTAGTGCAATTACTACATCTCGGAATATTAAATATGTAACAGAGTTTCATACTGTCCTGTGTTCGCTATCCGTAATCACTTTCACTAACTTTAAGCTAATAAAATTGTTATGGTTCTATTAATAAACGTTATTGAATAAAGACTTGTTATTTCCCTAAGCTTATACAGTGGTGATGTTTTTATCGCATGCATCGAATTTTGGGGTATTGACATTTCAGGTTGTGACGAAAAACGTACCTACTTTCATATATATGGGATAAATGCAATACGATTTAAGGTCGACGCATTTAAGAACTGGTTTTCGCTTTTTTTAATCGTTAATCACAACGGCAGATGTCCTGCTTTTCGCCATAAACGGAATGTTATAGTCCATAAAGTTTAATGTTGTGTGATATTGTGTTGGCAACATTTACTTGTCATAATCTTCAACGAATTCCAGTTTGTTATAAGCGAAATTGTTATTATCGGAAATTAAGTCATATTGTGTAATCTATAATATTTAAAAATTATTTAATATAAATATTTCTTTTGCTACAAATTTAAGTTTTCTAAGATAATTATTTGTGATTGAAAACATAAATATATTAATATTAAAATAATTTATGAAATCTTATACGCCTCTTAAATATAAGTCTTGGTTATAATTTAATACAGACACTATTCTATACGTAAAGTATTTAGGAGTCTAATTTTTCGATTGAATTTCATAAAATTTTAAAAGGAGACGTTTATAAAATCAAAATGTAGAGAAATATATTAAAATGTAGAGTATTTATGACCCAAGATTGTGTTACTTAGGATATATGTATTTGTAACTATTATCATTTACTCAAAGTAGCAATTGTCATTATAACATTTCATAATTACAGTCGAGGCGAGCGGAAGTAACGCAAGATTTTTATCCGTCATTCCGTTACGAGTTTTTAAGTTGGTGTCTTGCATTTTGAAAAATATCTCCATGGATGGTATGCTTCTAAAAATGGCCTACTTTATGTGTTTCCATGTGGTTTTTTGAGTTATATATATTAGGATTTTCTTTAAGATATATAAAATTTATTTAAAGGTTTCTATATCCAATTAAACAAAGAATAATATTACATACTATTTGTACAAACATATTTTTTTACTCGGCCGTTCATCGACGTCGAGAGCGGTCGTATATAATAACTGCTTCACTAGAATATCTATATCTAAAAATATTATTATTTTACGATAGTAATCAAATTAAATTTAAGAAAATCTTTTAGCTGTTCATTCTCTAGTTTCAAGAAACCTATACAGAAAAAACAAATTACCATTTGTTATGTATTTTGTTGATCTCTTCTTCGGTTTGGTTTGATTTGGTTACACATATCTTTCTTTCCTATTGCCAAAAACAATATACATGTAGACATTGTATAACAAAAAATATAAAATACTGATAATGTCTTCAATTTAACATAAATTGACTACAAAGTTATCCTGTTAAGATACTAAATTTCATTGGCTATCTCTATATCAACCTTAAAATGTAGTTTTTTTATTGAAGTGAAACAAAAATTAATAATTTCAGTGCATATTATATTATTTCCATACGCGTTATATAATACGCATTTCGTTCGTGCGACCTTGGCACTCATTAAAGCGAAGAAATAACTTTCAATTTCACAGTGTTTGAATTACAGTATCTTTTACTTAATAAACTTGGCTCAGATTTCCCACATTGATTTAATTACTGTTCTTGATTATAAATTATAAATTAATTAATTTTATTATTAATTTAAGATCGTTTTAACAATGATATTGCTGAATGATTATTAAATAAGAATTTTAATCTTTACATGAATAAATGTTGTGTATAAAATATCCTGGAAATAACATTAATTTAATAATTATTATTTATTTCTTGAATATATTTCGTTTACTATGAAAATTACGGAGTAATTTTTTGATGTTGATGTTAATGTTAATTATTATGTTAAAAACCATAGAATGATGATTTCAATAACTTAAGTTTTTATAATTATTAAAAAATAATTATTTCGAAGAACATCTCATAAAAAACTATGATGTCAGTTGTACTTTTTTGGATAATTTATAAATTTTATTAAAATTCATGTTGTCATTTGAAACAAAGAAAACAAGACAGTAAAAATGGTGAATTTCCATGTGCTTTTATTGAATTATTCTTTGTAAAGAAACCATATTAACAATTTTTATAATAATAAAGCAATAGATAAAAGAGCTGGATTTTCGAAAATACATTTCTGGATTATCTACGCACTAAATTACCTACTAATATCACAGTTTTGCAACTTCTCAATGATGATGGATGACGGGTGGAGTGTTGTGAACCACAGCGTTGAATCTGTCGAAAAAAACAATTTAGACTTTGTTCTACATCATAGATTTTTTAAAATGTTTTAGAATAATATGAACATATGTATATATATGTACCATACATTTTAGCAGAATCCATAGAATATTAAATAGTAACTTATTTCAAAGTTATTCTATTAAAAAATTATGTATATAGAATAAAACGTATAAAGTAAACAGAATAGTTACGAAAATTTAAATTAAAAATAATGAAATTGTTCATAACGATAATAAAATTACACATATATTACTGTAAACTACTATTACTAAAGCCCAATTTGATCCTAAATCTTATCTATTCCTATACCTTTTCAGTCATAACAAAATTCCCATCATACAATTGAAATGGTAATAAAATTTATTTATATAGCAGTCGAAACGGGTATAATTTTTAAAAAATATTTTACGTAAATATCTCCAAGAAGATAATAAACATCGTGAAGTAAGGCAAAGTAACATAGGACATCACTTTCGCAGTTATAATTCTAGCATATTGACTTATAAATAATATTCTTACCCATTGTGGTGGTCAGCGGTGTAGGTGACTTTGCGGAAGGAACCATCAGGTTGAAGAAGAGAGTATTCACCCTTTACGACATCACCATCACGAGTCTCGTGCTGAGATTTGTGGTCACCAGTATGGGGATCTTCGACGGAGTAAGAGTAGCCGTATTTGGGATGAGCCTGCAATATTACAAAAAAAAATATTTTTTTTATGAGTTTATTGTTGATCTAGTACATATATATAGAGAATAGAGATATATTATGTTTGAGTTGTTCTAGTTTTGTTTTTGAATTGTAAACAGGATACCGAAAATCATTTTTATTTCGAAAGAGTTTAAAATATTCTAATGGTGGTCTTTTGACAATAATTATATAAATGTTCAGCGTGGAATATTTAGTTATTCATGCTTGGAAAACAGGAAAAAAATTACTTTATCTTATAATTATTACACTCTAGACATATTTTTGTATTTTATTCTTTTTAATGGAAATAACTTACGAATTCTCCTACGTAGTGGTCATCTTCATGAGCACTGGATGACCCATGAGCAACTGGAGCAGAATGAGATACGGGAGCTGAGTGAGCAGGTGCAGCATAGCTAGCTGGAGCAGCGTGTGCGGAGGCTGTATAAGCAACGGGTGCTGCATGAACAGCTGGTGCTGGGTGGACAATGGACGTGTGGATTGGAGAAATCTGGGCCCCATGATATGAGGGAGCTGCATGGACAGCGTAATGTCCCTGGACTTCATGGTTAACATGATTATGAGATACTGCTGGTGCATGATGCAGGAGACCTGCATTGCATGCTGCTGCCATAGCACAGATGACGATGACCTGGAATGCAATAAAATCATCAGACATTAATCTTAGTGATATTCTATTTTCTATATACTAGTTTTCTATGTAAGTTTTATATGCAAAAGCAAAGTTCAACTGTATAGTATCACACAGTTGTTTAGTACATAATATAAAATGAAATTGTCGTTATCTTACTTTGGAGAACATTTTGCTTTGGTTAGAATCACCCAGTTGACTGCTGTTACTGTGTTAGCGAAGTCTTTTTATATTACTAACAAAACATAAGCTGTGGAGGGGTGTTTTCTAACGATATCCGATCGGATCACAGTAATTTGCTGTTAGCAATCTGCTCACTCTATCGTCTTGCAACACCCGATACATAATATGTTAGGAAAATGTGAGAGGCTAATTATTTTCCATTTTCTTATCCACATTTTTTTACCTGATAATTATAACATTAGATGACATTATATTAGTCTTACTATTCAGAAATATTATTAAATTTCTACTATATTCTATTTTGATTTAAGATTATTATTATTATTATAGAATTCTGTTAGTTGTAACGTTCTCACATAATTTTCGTGTTATGAAGGGAAAAAATATCTGATTTATGTCATTTTGGTTTTGTTGTATAAGTATAGGAAAACTATTGTGTTTTTTAATTATATAATAAAAACTGCCACAGCTTGAGTTCAGCACTAAAGTTGATTAAATACGATTTCTCAGACAATCCCACATATAATCACAGGAACTTTCGAATCTATATCATTTATAGGAAATTATTATTCTATTCTATTATCTATCATTTTGCTTACATGTTACGAATATAAGCATATCGTCCTTGAACTAGTAATCGCTTAAGTATTTAAAATACGATGACGGCAACAATGTAATTTGATAGTACGTTTCAAGTAATACAAAAATTGTGTAATTGGTAACAGATTATTACAGAAACGCACATTCATTCATTTGTGTTATTATAATTTTAGCACAATTATATAATGATTTTGTTACAAAAACACAGCCTTGTATTGGTCACTCTCGTAGGTGTTGGAAATGTTGTCAAAGTATTTATTACATTAGATAATCAATTTCAACTTAATTTAAAGTATATTTTGGAGGTTATACAGCAGGACACATATTTTGAAATATATTGTAGAGTTGAGAAGTTAAGAGAACTTGAGTTAAGTATTGATTATGATCTAAAAATTATTTTGTGGTAAATCTCTTTCAGCAGTACATATATTATGTATCTACTTTATCTTACTGTTATATAACAGATAAATATGATTTTAAGCGTTTCAAGATTTACATAGTTACAGCATTCATCAAAGTAATTAATTCTAGACGAAGGAATGCTGCCCTTACGTAAATGTCTCCTGCATTATTAAAAGCGTAATACTATCTATATTTAAATAGTTACTTAACAAGGTAAATATTGTTTGCTTTTATAAAATAATAAGTTTTCTCGTTAGCTATGTTAATGAGAATAATTTTATTTTGTGATCATACCAATATAAAAGTGTTAAACCAATTTATCGCCTATGTCTCTCTTTAATTTATTGCTTTTTAATATCAATTCACTTTAAAAGTTTGTCTTTTATCGTAAAGATTTTTACATGCATATAAATGGATTTATGTGTCACATTAAATATAATTTGTTATTTTGTATCAGTGACTTTATATAAGAGATTAACTGTTATAGGTGAAATGAAAGTTTTCAGACTGTTTTATAAATTTAATAAACACGTAACAAACACTCAACTAAAACAAAATTTTTAAAAATATAGCAAACTTAACATGACTTAAAACTTAATACTTTGAACTTAAAACCCTACGTAGTAGAACTTTGAATAAAAACGTGATGATGCTGCTTCGGAATCGTCTTGGGCTTCTAATTTTTCTGTTTGTACTGCTGTTTTTTCATTAGAAGTGGATTCAACTTCAACAACCGGCATCTCTGTGATCATTTCATTAGCAGAATCAATATCGTCATTCTTGACCGTGGAAGCAGATTCAATTGTTTCGTCAGAATCCGTTGTTGGCATTTCCACTACAGAGGCTGCGGTGGTAATTGAATTCTCAGTTTCAATGGATTCAATAGTCGTCATTTTACTTAGATCTTCTAATTCCTCCTCAACTTTCTTAAGTAATGGTTTTTTGTCCGGTAAATTTTGTTTCGGATTCTTCTCACTTACTGGTTTTACTTCAATATTAACGTTGTTTTGTGGTTTATCAAAAAGATAAGTGGTACTTGGGAAGAAGTGTTGTATTTTCATTTCATTTCTAATAGGATGAAAATGTCTTGTATGATCAAACGTAGAGAATGCATGTTCACCATGGCGATGGACACCTCTGCTTACGACAGCATTGAAACTGAAAATGCAATGAATTTTTAGTACTATAACTTAAAAAAAGTCTTGGGAAATACTAATAAATACTATATCTAGCCATGAGTATGACTAATAGATATTTACTCTATGTGATAGACTCTTTTTTATTTCGATTTTTATGTATGCATGATATGTTGTTATCTTGTTATATATTGTTATCTTGTAGTTTTCTTGATGCTTGAATTTATGTATTACATTATTTTGAATTTTTTTCTCACTTACCCATTGTAGTCGTCAGCATTATACTCAACTCTCCTCAAAGAACCATCAGGTTCAATAAGACTGTAGCCTCCTTGCACTCTGTGACCATCTCGGAATTCATGGTGATGTTTGTGGTCACCAGTTTTTTTATCAGACACAGAATATTCGAACTTATATTTAGGATATGCCTGTATAATACAAAAAATATTGTATACATAGTTTAATATAGAAAATAGAGAATGTGTGTAATAATAACATACATTGGTATTATATTTGTATAGTTGTTGATTATACGATGGATATAGGGTCACCGTTTGCCATCTTCTTTCATTCGTTAATTCTCTTCCTGTTCCTTCATTCGGGTCTATTCGGATTGCTAAACATATTTCTATGATGTAACAAAATAATACCACCTGCAAGTAAGATACAATATAAAGTCAAATAATATGAAATCTATCGTATCAATACTATATGATAGTATTGATTTAATTACTACTAATACCTTTAAAACCATGTTTAGCTAGAGACGAACGCCTTTAACGGGATATACTGTGAAACTGTTGTTCGTAATAACAAATTTTTACCATTTTATACTACTTCTTAATTCTATTATATAAATTTCTTAAAATTTTATCATCTTAGCATCATCGGTTTATTGTGGAAGAATAATGTGGATTTAATTTTATGATAACATCACAGCTTTCTAAGTTCTAAGTTATTGTGTTACTGAAATAGTCTTTAAAATCAGTTCGATAAAATATATGGTTATTTTTTTTATAGACATACTTTTATGTTTATTTATATATAAAGAACATTATAAAGTCATTTAGAGGTAGGTAAGTTTGCACGTTTAATCTTTTAAACCAAAATATCTGTTTTTTAAATGGGATAACATTTATACGATTATATTAGCTAAAAATTTTTGATTCAAAATAAACTCCATATTCTTCGTCATATTTCGACCTAAACTTCTGTTAATATGAAATACTAATGGCGCTTTTAAAAAAGTATACATTTTATTTTTATTTTTAAATGAAGTCAAATGTCAATATAATATTTATCCACTTATGACATACTAGCTTTCCGCCCGCAGCTTCGCCGCGTGGAGTTCGGTTATATCGCGTTTCCAAGAGAACCTTTCAAAAGTCTGGGATAAAAACTATCCTATGTTCTTTCTCAAGGTCAACTCTATCTCTGTACCGAATTTCATTAAAATCAGTTCAGTGGTTTAGGCGTGAAAGCGTAGCAGACAGACAGACAGACAGACAGACAGAGTTACTTTCGCATTTATAATATTAGTAGGGATTTAAACCATACAAATTAAGTATCGGAGACTTCAGAAGTTAGAAATTTTAAATATATGTAATTTAAAAGGTAAGGTGATCATAACATGTTTTGTATAAATACGCTCTGCGCCTTTTTTTATGCGGCTAAACTCTTTAAATTTGTGTTAGAAACACCAACTACAGTCTAGGAATTTCTGCATAGTTATAAATCACTTTTGCATGTCGTACATTTTTTCTATGAAAAAAAAAAGACTTTCAGTTCATATGAAGGCAACATACTTTTGAAATATTACAGGTAGTAACTTTTGAGGATATTTCCTAATATAACTAATTTAACCTAAAAATCATAATTGTTTTATAAGGTTTGATTAAAAATTTTATAATAATAATAATGTCCCATCTGCATCCACTTTACTTTTCTTTGCCCCAAAGAAAATAATCGTCGGGTTATTGATCTCTTTTAAGTATTTCGATTACATTCTTTCGCTTTTGTAACGATTATAATGATTACATACACTCATGTTTCTTTACTTTCTATCTTAAATATTGTCGTATTTCTTTTAAATATCCGATATGATTACATATACATAAGCAATTAATCTTTGTTCAATTTCGAATTAATATATGATGAAGTAGTAAGATATGTATTTATTTATATTAAAAAGAAAAAAGCTAACGTGGGATTGTTGAAATAGGTTTGCTTTATACTTAAGTCTAGTTTTGGAGTAAGTAAGTAAGAAAAAAATGTGTTATCTTGATTTGTCGATATTACATATATACGGGAAGGAGTTTAGATATAGAAAGACGGTAAAATATAGTATATAACAGATTTTGACGTAGTTCAATTGAGTTCAATGGCATAATTGTTATGGGTTATATCTACGGAATTGTTTATTTTTATGCATATTAAAATCTAGTAGAAATTCTTTAGGTAACGTACAGTAATTTACTCTAACCTATAAAACATTTTGCAAGTTCATCGAAAGCGAATCTGAGATTGTTGGAAAAAGTTGAAAGTTGAAGCATAACCTCTTATTTTTCTATTAATTTTATAGATTATGGTATATGTCGTAGACCACTAGAATTCATTGTTTTTACTAACGACAACGAATGTGGGCATAAACAACTAACATATTATTTCAACAGGCAATGAATTTGCAGGAAGGCAAACTTATTATACAAATCATCTTACATTCCTACACAGTAATATGTACTTTTTATAATCTACCTGAGATTTGTATTAAATTGAAACTTGCAAAACTTTTTGATTACTAGGTTGGATGGGTAATTCATTACTTTTTGTGCATATTACAACAGGTAAAGATGTAAACTGTCAGAGAGCATGACATATTATGAAAATCCATTAGGAAGTGAACAGGTTGAGCGATGACGTGGGTCAATTTATTATTGTTTTTGATTTAGTATCACGTGTCTTTTTATATGAATTATTTTGTAAATAATACGTAATTATTATTATTTTTTAATTTTTACTATAACTTTTATTGAAATTATAGGAGACATGATAATATGGTCAAGTAATTTAAAATAAGTTGTATGGTTCATCGGCAGGAGGCAAAGTATCTCAAACTTGTTCATTATATAAATAATAGTATTTTTGATATAAAATAACCAGTAATAGGAACTAGAAATTATTTATTGAAAATAAATTAGCATCTACGTTATAGTTGTTAAAATATTTAGTGATGGTAGTATTGGTGTACAGGGGCAGCGTAGACGGGAGCCTTGAGTACAAGTGGGGCAGCCTTGATGAGGGCGGGCGCGGCGGTGGGAGCGGAGTTGTGTACTACTGCGTTGAAACCGTTCTTGTCGTCAGCGCTGTATTCAACAGACCTGATGGAGCCGTCAGCTTCATGGAATGAGTAGGATCCCTTCACAACATCACCGTCGCGGGACTCCTGCTGTTGTTTGTTGTCTCCACTGTGTCCGTCAGCAACGGAGTAAGAGTACTCGTATTTGGGGTAGGCCTGAAAATTATTTATGTTATTATTTTTTTTATTTCGACATTGTCGTAGCAATGTCAGTTTTATAGTAAACTTACGATTTCCTCCGGTTGAGCAACAAGTTTGGCGACGGGAGCAGCGTGGTAGGCGAATGGGGCTGGGGCAGCGTGGTAGTAAACGGGAGCAGGAGCAGCGTGGTAGGCAACGGGGGCAGCAACAGCTAGCTTAGCAATGGGAGCAAACACTTTGGCTTGGTCATGGCGAACGATGCTTTGGGAAGAAACAGCTGAAGCTGGGGAGTAGTGCCCAGCATCTGGTAAAAATCCAGCAGAGCAGACTGCTACAGCAGCGTAAAAGACTACAAGCTAAAACAGAAAGAATACTACATTAATCTGGGATCATTAAGTTAAATAAACTAGATAATTTAAATTGAAATTTATTTTACTTTGGAGAACATTTTTGATATCGGCTTCTAATTGAAAACTGAATAATATTATACCTGCTCTATGATTTTATACTCAGTTTATCATAGCTATCGGCAAAGAACAACTCGTTTGGATATTAACCTTGTCATAGGTCAATTTTGACAATTCTATACTTAACGTTCTCTAGACAGTCATTGTGAAATTTTTTATACTGTATAATTTTAAGCTCATTATTATCAGCTTAAAAAAACAAATGTGGAAATTAATACATGATTCAATACAAAAATTAGTAATTATATTTAATCGTGAAACTAATTTGGTTTAATTCAAAACCTAGTTATACCACCTGAAAAATAAAATAAATAGAGGTTTTTATATTTTTTTTATGCAATCTTTGTTTAAAGATGGGTAATTTTAGATAAAAGGGATCAAAGTGTCTATGATTATGTAAAATAAATAATGGTAGTTAAAATAAAACTAAATGATAAGTGAGTATAATAAATCTTTATTTATTACTGTTTTTGATCACAAAGTATTTTTAGAGCCTCCTACGAATACAAAAACGTTTTTTTTGCTCTCAATATTTGATCCGTAAGATTGTTTTGGTCTTTTTAGTTCAATGGGATGAATAAAAAATGACGCCTTTAATGGAAGTTTAGCAAAATTATAGGCGCGCGCGATATTGAGATGGAGCCGTGGTACTTTTACAAATGGGTTAAAAACTGGTTTCATATGAATTTTCTCTAAATGTGTTAGTTCTTGGAAGCTTCTGTAATCATAAAAAGAAGAGGTTAAATATTTGAAGCATTTAAAAACGTGGTGGCTCGTCTTATGAAAAATACTTTATTAGCAAAAATTTGTAACTCACCTAGTTGTTGGAAAAGGTTTTATATTTTTAAAACGATTCCATTTGTCCGTTTTATTATATGTTTTTACAGTGTCTGTAACTTTCTCGTACTCATACTTTTCTTGATAATTGTGTAGAAGAGGTAATTCGTTGTTATGCTTTAAAGAAAAAAATATTAAGAAAATAATTCAAATCTGGTCATTATTAATTATGAAGAGAAATGTATACCCACATTGTTACCTTTATTTTTTTCCGATAATGTTTCTTGTTTAAATTCATTGATATTTGGTTCCAAATTATTAATTTTATGTGGAACTAAAATGTTATGTCCTTTAACGTAGTTCAACAAATGACTCTCAGTCGTATGATCATAAGTTTGAGGTTGTTTAATAATTCTGGGCTCTAAATTTGGTTTCTTACGTATCAAATTTGGTTGATCAACTGCACGTGTAGGTAAAGGTTCATCTTTGTTTATCAATGGAGCATATTGTATGTTTTTTAATGTTTTACTTTTCTGGTGAAAGTTGTTTGTGTTTTGTTCGTCTTGTGGAAATTCTGTCAAATGACTAAGTTTTGAACGATAAGGAAATAAAACATCATCTTCGTAATAAGTTGAAGTTTCTTCATTTTCTTCCGAACAAAGCCCGGATATAAATAATCCAAATATTATCTGAAATAAAATTGTTTAATATTGAATTTAAATAAAAATTAATTCATGAATTATAAATCTAGTATAAATGTCGAATAACTCACATATAGAATCATATTGCTAAAAGTGCAATTTATAAAAACTAATATTCAAATATCACGAAAAATAATATAAAATGCGTTTACATTATTTAATTTACACTATAAATGTGCTTGACTATGCGATCTTCAGACAGCAATGAGAAATAGATGTTTTCATATCTCTCACAATGATCTCAACAGATGATGTATTATTTGGTATTCGCCTATTGTTTAAGAATCTATTATTTCAATGCTAGTCTAATATGATTATATAAATTACAGTTCAGACATTGCTAGGCAAATGATGTAGATATTTTTTAACGGGTATTAGTTTTAAAAACATTAACTAATATTTAAAATTTTCTTTCATTATATATGTTAGATAGTCATAAGCTCTCATTCTCTGTAACATTTTCGATTTTTTAAAAGTAAATTTTATTTTATTCCGACTAATTTTCGAGGGTAATACTCTGCTTTAAGTATGGATATAATGACAATAAGATAATTGGACATTAGGTTGTGTGTCATATTAAAATAGTTCTAATATTTGTTCAATTTTACTAAAATAAATGTAAGTGAAAATATATAAGTAAAAATATCTCCACGTGTATTAACCTTTACATTGAACTGAACTGTTACGTAAATACAAGTTTAAATATGTAAGAAATGCATAATGTAGTGAAAAAAATATTCACTTGTAGGCCTTGACCTTACATTTGGGGCATATTTCTTCGAAACCAATTCCATCCAAAACCTAACTTTATAAAAAAAAGTAGAGTATGTATTTCTTTTAAATTCCTTAATTTTATTTCATATTTTGAAAGGCAAACAGGTTAAGGATGAATGAATTTTATAAGCATAATGCAAGGTATATAACAGTGAATTATACATATTTATGTAAAATTATAAATATATTTATAAATATTTTAAAATGAAATACCAATACTTAACTCTTATCTTATTAAATAAATAGTCCTAGAAATTACAGTCCCTGTTTTAATTGACTTCAAACTAACAAAAGTAAACTTTTCAAGAGGTATAGTTTTAATTTTATAGACGTTGACGTGGAAATATAAAAGTTATAAGCTTTGTTATATTTTTATTAAGGAATAAAGGAAACAGGATATGACTTTCACTGAAGCAATTACGAGTATTTCCAAACCTTTTAACCTTGGTGGGCTTAATGAGTTTGATATAAAAAGAACGCTTCAAAATTAAAAGTCAGTATACTACAATATCACATTGCAATATGTTCTCCAAAGTAAGTGAAAGAGCGGAAAAACTAAATTATTTATAAGTTAGATGTTTTTCATGAAATGTTTGTGTTTTAAATTAATATAAAAATTATATTATTAACAGGTATTGTCCTTAAGCGCTGTCTTGGCGGTTGCGGCAGCAGGCCTTATCGCTGAACCTCACTACTCCTCCGCTGCCGCAGTTTCTTCTCAAAGTATCGTTCGTCACGACCAACCTCATGCTGTAGCTGCCGCTCCAGTTGCCATTCACTCTGCTCCTATTGCCTACCAAGCCGCACCAGTACACTATTCATCTGCCGGAGCTGTATCTTCTCAGTCAATCCAACGTCATGACCAGCAGCGTGCTGCTATTGCTGTTGCACCAGTAGCCCACTACGCCGCTGCTCCAGTTGCTCACTACGCAGCTGCTCCAGTTGCCTACCACGCACCACCAGTACACTACTCATCTGCCGGAGCTGTATCTTCTCAGTCAATCCAACGTCATGACCAGCAGCGTGCTGCTATTGCTGTTGCACCAGTAGCCCACTACGCCGCTGCTCCAGTTGCTCACTACGCAGCTGCTCCAGTTGCTCGTTACGCAGCTGCCCCTGTCGCCCACTACTCTGCCCCTATTGCACATGCTGCATATGCTGCCCACGAAGAAGTCGACTCTCACCCTCAATACGACTTCTCTTACTCCGTACACGACGGACACACCGGTGACAACAAGTCACAGCACGAGAGCCGCGACGGTGACGCAGTGCACGGCGAGTACTCCTTGGTAGAGGCTGACGGATCTGTACGTACCGTTCAATACAGCGCTGATGATCACTCTGGCTTCAACGCCGTCGTCAGCCACTCCGCTCCATCAGCTCACGTTGTACCAGCACAAGCTCACGTGCTTGCTCATCATTAATTCGACCATTATTTGTTAAGACTCCAAAAAATATTTAAAACTAATTATGTAAATTATGACTTCAATAGAAATTAAAAGTTATAAAATTTTAATACACTATCATTTTAAGTTTATTCCCAAGCTTTTTATATATTTTATAGTTGTTCTTCTTCTACCAGGATCTAATATTAATTTTTATTAAATATATTACGTAGTCAATAATAAGTCAGAACATTATGTGTATTACGGTAAGGTATACCTTACAGTGTATTTCAAGAATTTATCGCGTTATACATATTTTTATAAACAATAAAAATGAGTGAAAGAATGTAAAATAAATAGGACGACAGTGATTTTTTCAGCGATGTTGATAATATCATCGTGTTATTGACTTGACCTAGATCAAAAAGGAGATGCATTTTTAAAAGTAAACATTGAGTTAAAATCATTAAAACACGCGAGGATGTACTTGAAAATCCTCTTAGCAAAGACTGTCGAAAGACACCTGCTGAATTTTAATATTTGTTCATTTATTTTACCATGAATATCTCGTAATGGAAAAAGGATTACCTATTACGTAGAACTTCGTTACTACAATTTTCCTATTTTTATTCCTACCGCTTTTGCTGCTTAGGCGAAATGTATTAAAAAATTCACGAAAATCATCAGGACAGGATGGTTGTATGGATAAAATTTCATATAGCGAGTCACACGACTAAATCGACGGAACGATCAACGGGCCGTATAAACCAGAAAATTCTTAATACCGAACAAACAGTGGGATGGGATTATAATCTTAGCATCGGAGCAATTATGTAATCTTAAGTAAAGGTTATATATTTTAATACATATATGTATGTAAAAGTAACTTCCGTAGAATTCATTTATCCTGTGTCTAGTAGGAAGTCGCATTCTATATAACGTTTCTGTAGTTTTTTTTATTGAATTTCAACTATTTGAGCTGGTGTGAAAAAGTTCAAGTGGCTGTAATAGAGGTTTGTCAGCGTTGTTATAAATGGTTGGCTTAGTTTTTCTGAAAATATTCAATTTTACAAACCGATTCTAAAGACGATAAATTGTAGTGATAATAAAGCATTCCAGTACTACATTTAGTGAATAGGTGTTTTCCATCGTACAGTGTACTGTTAAATTTGATTTTACCAACAAATATGGACAATCGATGTTTTAATAAGGTCTCTAGTATGATATTATCTCGCAGTCATCATGATTATGACGTAAATATAAAAATAATAAAATTTAAATAGATTACTGGAATATTATTTTGCATATAATTATGTATCTTATTACGTATGGCAAACCTAAATGAAAATTGAAAAAACTTATCCGGAGATACACGAGCTATAGTTAAAATATTATATCGAGTGAAGACACTAAATCTTTGGGACGATCACCTGGCTGTGTGAATCAGAAAATTACTGATATCATGCTAGAAATGTGGTGGCATTGCTATGGTATTATCTGATCAAAGATGAAGGCTTTGGTACAGATTACCAGATTTAGTTATGCAAACTTTATTATAATAAAGTTTAATAGTTATTTTTGACCTCTAGCTTGCTTTAAACCGAATCCTATATAATATCTGCCTAAGCTTCAAGCAATATCGATTGAAAAGTTACTTAAATGATATAAAATAAGAAATTGAAAGACACGAGAAGAACATGAATTTAGGAACCTATTAGAGGACTATTTTCCTTTCTACTCGAGTATGTGCAGCGTATTTTAAAGAAATATTTATATCACTTACCATTATCACCATACAAAATATTGTAAAAAGATATTGTTTTGAAAACGGTGATTAAGTTTACGTGAATAGTAAATATTTTTTGGGTACGGTCTGGCACTGTTAAAAAATTGTTAGTAAAAATAATTTAATCGATACAATAATCCGTCTGATTGCCTGCGGTTTCCAACTAGCCTTTAAATGAATCGCAAGAAAACCCTTGTCTAACAAGAAAGCCTACCAAAACTGGCAATTACGATATATCAAAAAAGAATTTAACTTTTTGCAACCCTTTTTGAAATATTAGGTTATAAAAATATTTTTTGATACACCTAAAACATACACTTAAATTTCTTTTGATTTGCCGAAAGAAAGCATTTTTTTAAAGATATTGTATTACGATGTGGTTTTATCCTGTCGACCTTGTGGAACTGAAAGTAACTCCAATGTAATCATTAACTATAAAAGGTGATTTAATAAGTTTTAAAACATCATTCAGTAACCAGAACTCGACAAAATGTTTTCAAAAGTAAGTCTTACACACTATTTTTTTCTACATATATATTAGAAATATCTGAATTTAAATAATAATTTTGTCACCAGGTATTGACATTAAGCGCTGTTTTGGCGGTTGCGGCAGCCGGCCTTATCGCTGAACCTCATTACTCCTCCGCTGCCGCAGTTTCTTCTCAAAGTATCGTTCGTCACGATCAACCTCATGCTGTAGCTGCCGCTCCAGTTGCAATCCACGCTGCTCCTGTTGCCATTCACTCTGCTCCTGTTGCCTACCACACAGCACCAGTACACTATTCATCTGCCGGAGCTGTATCTTCTCAGTCAATCCAACGTCATGACCAGCAACGTGCTGCTATTGCTGTTGCACCCGTAGCCCACTACGCCGCTGCTCCAGTTGCTCACTACGCAGCTGCCCCTGTTGCTCATTACGCAGCTGCCCCTGTCGCCCACTACTCTGCCCCTATTGCACATGCTGCATATGCTGCTCACGAAGAAATCGACTCTCACCCTCAATACGACTTCTCTTACTCCGTACACGACGGGCACACCGGTGACAACAAGTCACAGCACGAGAGCCGCGACGGTGACGCAGTGCACGGCGAGTACTCCTTGGTAGAGGCTGACGGATCTGTACGTACCGTTCAATACAGCGCTGATGATCACTCTGGCTTCAACGCCGTCGTCAGCCACTCCGCTCCATCAGCTCACGTTGTACCAGCACCAACGCACGTACTAGCACACCATTAATTCGTTCATTCATTACTTGTTAATATTCCATAAAATATTTAACTATTTATACAAATTATGAATTATTGAGAAATTAAATATTATTAAAATATATCATATTATGATTTTAATTTTATCCCCAATTTTTTGTTACATAAAGTTCATTTTCTACTTACAAAAATAAATAAAATTAAATCTTTACGTGGAAAATAATTAAAAAAAGTCTAAATAATTTAAGATATCATTTTTTTTTCTGCATACATAATATTTTTACTTTATTTTTAATAAAATGTTTTATGTTGGTTTTCTTCAGGGATACTTTAAATAAGTATAAAAAATATGAAATAAATATAATAATTCTTAAAAAGTGTCAAAGATTAAAATTTGCTTTTTTTAGATGACACTGATCTCTTACAGTCCATATAGTCCAGTCATTATAGTAAGTTCACCTCGGAATTCGAGATACCCAGCTGTAAGTCTGTAAATAGTTGTATATTGACACCCTAAAAGTTGTCTCAAAACCTACATATGGTAGGGTGTAAGCAACTATTAAATTTCATGGTCAAAGGTCACAAAAATCGGTTTATTGCGCTTTTTTTGGAAATATCTCATTTCCTATGGGTTTTTTGCTATTTGTATTTATTATCAATATTGTAGAATACTAAATTCTCTACAAATTTTGTTTCAAAATTTTTTTTATACGGTGTACCGTTTTCGAGATAGAGGGCGGAGAGCGCGCGGTCACCGCATCACTTCAGGTCAACCGGTGCCTCCGGTTGAAAACGCGCCATATATAGTTGATGAACTATCAATAAATCAATGATTATAAATATTTGTCAATTTTTATTAACTATTATATTATATTTTATCATTTTCTTCATGCATTAAATCTATATCTATTCAAACCTTATTGGCAGTCTATAATGCTCCGAAATCTGTGAAAAATCTCGATCATCTTCGTTATACGCATTTCGTCAAGTCTACAAAACTTAATAAACCTGTGCAGCTTTCAAATATTCCACCAACAAGTGCAGCTGAGCATCAAAATTTCAACCGTGTATATTATCAAGTTCAAACTTGGTTAGGACATGATTTGGAACCCCAGGTATGGGGTTGGGCAATGCGAAATGATTTTCTGAAGCCTATCATGACAATTTTACCACCTGCTCCAGAAAATTTGCTAAATACAATTTTCTGCAACTGCAAAAGTGGTTGTGGTTCGCGATGCGGATGCAGGAAAGCGGGCTTGCAATGCTCTTTATCTTGTGGCCAATGTAATGGGCAAGCTTGTCTCAATGCTCAACCATATCAGAGCGACATTAACGAAGATGGAACCTTTGATCCCGAAATCATGGAAGAACTTGAGACAAATGTCGTTGAAGACGATAATGAAGACCAGTTTGAAATTTACCAGCAGCCAGAAGACGACGATGAAGAGGAAGAAGATGTTTAAAATTATAAATTGTAGTTTTTGTACCCTTTATTCCATTTTTTTACTTTCAATAAAAAATAATTTATTCAATGATATTTTTCAATAAAAAGATTAATTCATAATTTATTTGTTTTTTTTTCATCATGTAAGAAGTTATTAATATTAATTAGGTTAAAATTCAAATATAATTCTTATATTCTCATTAACAATTCTGCAATTACATGGACAGGTAAGTGTTGTTAAATAAATTAATACTGAATAAAAAGTGGATAAGTTAGGAAAAAAATGATAAAATATAATATAATAGTTAATAAAAATTGACAAATATTTATAATCATTGATTTATTGATAGTTCATCAACTATATATGGCGCGTTTTCGACCGGAGGCACCGGTTGACCTGAAGTGATGCGGTGACCGCGCGCTCTCCGCCCTCTATCTCGAAAACGGTACACCGTATAAAAAAATTTTTGAAACAAAATTTGTAGAGAATTTAGTATTCTACAATATTGATAATAAATACAAATAGCAAAAAACCCATAGGAAATGAGATATTTCCAAAAAAAGCGCAAAAAACCGATTTTTGTGACCTTTGACCATGAAATTTAATAGTTGCTTACACCCTACCATATGTAGGTTTTGAGACAACTTTTAGGGTGTCAATATACAACTATTTACAGACTTACAGCTGGGTATCTCGAATTCCGAGATTCTTACCTAATTTAAGCTTAAATGACTGGACTAATATGTCTGTGTCCATATCCATATTACAAATATTATCACAATCCTAAGACAAATTATATGACAATAACAGAATTAGGAACAATTATAATAACCTTATAAAACTTAAAGTTTTGTTTTGTCCATAAAATCATTATAAACATTATACATACCTAACGTATTGATTGAAGTGGCCTTTAGTAAATACGTAATCACTAATCAGTGTTCATCTAGTAATTGATGTTTTGCTTGAATAACCGTGTTTAAGAAAAATAATGTTTGACATAATTCGAAGGAAACCATCTTTTTAAGATCCTAATGATTTCTTAGATTTAGGCGAGTACACGTTTAAATGAAATTAATGCTTTCGGATTTATCTGAACTAAATATTATAAAGCTGCAGAGTCTGTAAATTTGAGCACGCTAATCTTAGAAACTACTTTACTGATTTGAAAAATTCTTTCAGTATTAGATAGTCCATTTACTGAGAAAGGCTAAAGACTACATTTTATTATATTTTTCAAATAGATTTTTATAAGAAAATTACTTCTTTTTAATCCAAAATTTAAAATCGAAAACCTTATTAGGCGTGCTCCGCAAACTATTGTTAATACAATAAAATAATAGGTTAAGGGTTTGTAGGTCTCATTAAGATATAGAAAAATAAATTGAGAGGGCTTTTATCGAACTATTATAGTTTTGTCACAGTTCCGCTTCTGTCCCAAAAGAAATTAAATATTCTAAAGGAAGATATTACCTCAAAAAAGAATCCTTATCCAAATTAGGAATTATGTATTCAAGGGCATTTATGTAGGAGTAATAAAGTTTTTGTTTCATCCCAGTGGGATATTAATGATAATAATAATTTGGAAAATAGTTTACATAATATTAAATTTAGCTAAAATTATTAATATTCTTCATTCTAAACAAAAATAAGTGCAGTTCGGATTCAATGGCCGTAGTGGTAGAGAACAACTCTGATGTTGACGCGGACGCCGTCGCGGCCAAAAGCGAGTTATATTTTATATTCACGACGTTTCCTTTATTTTTCAGCAGCATTGATCAACGACAGAAGAAAATTTTTAATTCTAAAACTATAGTTTTTTTGTTTAATATCACGTTTTCACAAGCCAGGTCAAGCCAATAAATTATTTTTAAGAATTGCTTGGAGTCTATGACATTTTTTACTTAAAAACTATTAAAATCGTAGTTAAACAAATGGTCAACATCAACCACATTCATTTAAATGTGTCAATGATTGATTAATTGTTATTATTATATAATCTGAACAATGTTAATGATTTTTTGTTATATTTATTGATTTAAAAATAAATAAATCTGTCCTAAAAATTTGTTAAAACTTAAAATTATAAAAAGTAATCTATTTATGATATGAGTTTTTACATCTTAAAAATGTTTTAAGTCTTATGAGGTGTTTGCATAGGTATGTGTATTTATATGGAAGAAATTCTGAACTTGATTAATAATAATTTGTTTTAAAGTTACACTCAACCCATTGAGATAGATACTTTTTTGTACATATTAAATTTGACAAATTAAATTAGATTGTGTAATAATCTTTTTAATTCTTGTATTTTCCTTTTTTTGTTGGACTTTTCTTTATATTTATATCAAAATTGTATTTCAGATTATTAAAAATTTGTTAAAAAATAATGTTATGCTTAGTCTCTTATGAGGTGCCATATATTATGTATTTTTAGTGTCTCGAATTATATTATATTATTGAATTAAATTTATTACATTTTTTTATTGCCTTTGCAATAAAATACAATGAGTAAAACACATTTCTTTTTATTCTTTGTTTATTAGTTACTGGATCATTATCATAAATAAATAAATTATTATTGACATATTTAACTTAATGGTGTGCTAGTACGTGCGTTGGTGCTGGAACAGCGTGAGCTGATGGAGCGGAGTGGCTGACGACGGCGTTGAAGCCAGAGTGATCATCAGCGCTGTATTGAACGGTACGTACAGATCCGTCAGCCTCTACCAGGGAGTACTCGCCGTGCACTGCGTCACCGTCGCGGCTCTCGTGCTGTGACTTGTTGTCACCGGTGTGTCCGTCATGTACGGAATAAGAGTAGTCGTATTGAGGGTGAGAGTCGACTTCTTCGTGGGCAGCATATGCAGCATGTGCAATAGGGGCAGAGTAGTGGGCGACAGGGGCAGCTGCGTAACGAGCAACTGGAGCAGCTGCGTAGTGAGCAACTGGAGCAGCGGCGTAGTGGGCTACGGGAGCCAAGGCAATAGCAGCACGCTGTTGGTCATGACGTTGGATTGACTGAGAAGATACAGCTCCGGCAGATGAGTAGTGTACTGGTGCTGCGTGGTAGGCAACAGGAGCAGAGTGAATAGCAACTGGAGCAGCGGCGTAGTGGGCTACTGGTGCAACAGCAATAGAGGCACGTTGCTGATCATGGCGTTGGATTGACTGAGAAGATACAGCCCCGGCAGATGAATAGTGTACTGGTGCGGCTTGGTAGGCAACAGGAGCAGAGTGAATGGCAACAGGAGCAGCGTGGATTGCAACTGGAGCGGCAGCTACAGCATGAGGTTGATCGTGACGAACGATACTTTGAGAAGAAACTGCGGCAGCGGAGGAGTAATGAGGTTCAGCGATAAGGCCTGCAGCCGCAACCGCCAAAATAGCGCTTAATGACAGTACCTGTTTAAAATATATATTTGTTCTGAATTAATTTAGAAATAAATAAATAATAATAATTAAGTAAGTGCTTAATAATACACCATATTTATTTACAGTACTTAATTTCTCTTTTAACTTACTTTTGTAAACATGTTGCTGATGTACGATTCAGTAATGATGTCTTCAGTTTAAAAATTCGACTTTTATACTGGTGGCGTTGAAATTAACGATCAGTAGGACAAGGCCGACGAGGACAACTTAAATCAGTCTGAACAGAAATGCTTTCTCTAAATGTAGAGATAAAAATTAATGTGGCTGTATTGACGTTAAAAATTGTTCTTAATTATTTCTATACCTTATACCTTTTTTTTTCTATCTTCGAACAAACCTTTGATATTTTTTATTATATATTTTAAGACCATGTACAATGTATATACAGTATATAAATAATTTGTAGTTAAATTTATACATATGTTAAAGGCTAAACTTTCGACTCTTATAGAATCAATAACATACATACACAAGCTTTATTATTATCAAGTGAAAAAGTTAGAGCAACTTATTCCAGTCAAAATTTATAAAATCTATTGATTTAACTCTCGAAGAACTCGCATTGACTTGTTATTATGCTATTATTATTCCTTTTAATGAAATTAAATGAAATATTATCAGATAATTATTTAGATCTAGTAATAACAAAAATTAAGTTTTAAACTAAGGAGAAGAAAAAGTTATAGTGACTATTATGAATTTAGAACTATACCATGAACAAAGGGCGTCTCCTACTACCATGTGGGTTGGTAAATACAGATACTTAGTTTAAGCCCTTTGTTGAGAACTGTATACATGAAATCTGATACTATTTAGATATTTTCTCATTGAATAGGACCTTTTGTGTCAAATATCAATTAATTTTAAAGTTTTTGAATTTAGAAATGACTCATGTTGCTCTTAAAGATTTATTTAGCTTACCAAAATTTAATTACAAATTTACAAACTTTTTAGAGTTACAAGAATTACAAGACTACAATCTTTTCTTTTGATTAAAAACTTAAGTAAGAGTAACTATATTTTAAAACTGAAAAAAAAAAACATATTTTGTGACTTTTCATAAAATAAAGGGAATAACAAAAGCTATTGTTGTGAATAAAAACTTTACATGATTTAGAACACTTGTTATTTTTTTAATATAGATGCTGGGTAAAAACGTCTACCGTACATTTTTTTGTTAAATTTCTTTCCAACATCGTATTTGGAGCCTAAAGTATTTTATAAAAACGTACATTCAAGACCTTTTCTTACGTAATTTATTTATGAAATAATTATGTTTTAATTACTTTCATATAATCAAATCTTGAAGATTTCGCATAAATATTATTGCTATGTTGTCTTAAATTGCAGTAAACGAAAGGTGGGGAGTGATTGTGTCCTGGTTCTTATTGTTTCCATTTCACTTCTTTATCAATTTTATTTATCAATCTCGCTAAGTAATATTGATAAACATAATACTATTCGAAAGTGAGGACATCTTTTCGTGTAAGGATATTTTTGGTATGTTACTTGTGTTATTTAAAAAACCATGCAGAATGTAAGAATTAAAATAACACATATTTATTTCTATTTTTTGAATGTTCTCAAGGGGCAGACGAGCAGACGGCCTACCTGATGGTAAGTAATTACCGTTGCCCATGGACATCTGCTACACAAAGGGTGATGTAGATGTATTGCCAGCCTTGTTTGTAGAGGAGTCACCAGAACACTTGATGTTTGAAAGACCCCATGGTGTTGATCTCCGGAAAAGCCTCGGGTGAAAGATCATTCCACATCCTGCACGTGTATGGAAAAAATTACCTCGGCGTTCCTGCTATACAACTGAATGCATGTAGGTGATGGGGATGAAATCCAACCCTACGGCGAGTTGCGCGTTGGTGGAAGAAAATGGCACTACATCAAACAGTTCCTCGGAACATTCCTCATTGTACAGACGATAGAACACACAGAGGGAGCTTACATCGGAGGCTTAAGGGCTTTAGATCGTCTGTAAGCATGGGATTGTTGACAATACGAACATTCCGACGTTGCATGGAGTCAAGTGGAGAAGTTGGTACTGTGGGACATCGGACCACAGGTGAGAACAATACTCCATGTGGGAATGAACCTGTTCCTTATCTAATAAAAGAAAGTGTCCCGTTGTGAAGTACTGATTCGGTCTACTCAGTACCCCTAGTTTTTCGACGCTAATTTTGCCTTATCCTCCATAATATATTCTATGATTAATTTCAGTTTTATTACAAGAAAAAATATGAACTAATTACATGAATGTTGAATATCAGTTTAAAATAACATTTAACACTACCTCAATTATCTAAATAATCGAATTGATTAATAATAGTGTATTTGGAAGAAAAAAATTCTTGATAATATAAAATAAATTTTATTTTTATGTTAGGCTTAACAATTAAGTAGTTTCATTTAATGATGTAAAAGAGCGTGAGCTGGGATTGGTCCTGCGTGAACTGATGGAGCGGAGTGGCTGACGACGGCGTTGAAACCAGAGTGATCGTCAGCGCTGTATTGAACGGTACGTACAGATCCGTCAGCCTCTACCAGGGAGTACTCGCCGTGCACTGCGTCACCGTCGCGGCTCTCGTGCTGTGACTTGTTGTCACCGGTGTGTCCGTCGTGTACGGAGTAAGAGAAGTCGTACTGAGGGTGAGAGTTGATTTCTTCGTGAGCAGCATATGCAGCATGTGCAATAGGGGAAGAGTAGTGGGTGACAGGGGCAGCTGCGTAATGAGCAACAGGGGCAGCTGCGTAGTGAGCGACTGGAGCAGCGGCGTAGTGGGCTACGGGTGCAACTGCAATAGCAGCACGCTGCTGGTCATGACGTTGGATTGACTGAGAAGATACAGCTCCGGCAGATGAATAGTGTACTGGTGCGGCTTGGTAGGCAATAGGAGCAGAGTGAATGGCAACTGGAGCAGCGTGGATTGCAACTGGAGCGGCAGCTACAGCATGAGGTTGATCGTGTCGAACGATACTTTGAGAAGAAACTGCGGCAGCAGAGGAGTAATGAGGTTCAGCAATGAGACCTGCTGCCGCAACCGCTAAAACAGCGCTTAATGTCAGTACCTGGTGACAAAATTATTATTTAATTTTGAATATTTCTAATTTTATCTACTGTATATAAAAAATATATATGTGTATAAAACTTACTTTGGAAAACATTTTGCTGAGTTCTAGTAACTGAATGATATTTTAAATTTGTAAAATCACCTTTTATAGTTTGTGTTTACTTTGGAGTTACTTTCATCGTCACAAGGACGACAGGATAAAACCACATCGCAATACAATTTTACCAAAGAGTCATGTTTTCTTTCGGCACATAAAAAGACCTGTTAAGTGTTATGTGTCAAACAGTTTTATATTGATCCAAAATTTCAAAAAAGTTGCGAAAAGACAATTTTTTATCTGAATAGTTCACTTTCTGGTTAGTGTAGAAAACAATTTTCTTGCTATTCATTTTAAACTAGTTTCTTTAAATATATTATTAACAGTAACAGTTCGAACCCAGAAAATATTAACTATTCATGTAGACTGTTTCACTTTTTGAAAAACAAAATCTTTTTATCCTTTTTTTATATGACAATGGTAAGTGAAATAAGAGTAAATATGTATCTCTTTGAAACTTAATACACATAGTCGTGAATAAAGCAAAATAATCTTCTAATAGGTTAGTTGTTTCAAATACTTCTCGTGTGGTAATTTTCTTTATTTACAATTATTTAAGTAACGTTTATCAATATGCCACGAACGTTAGGTTAATATTTAGGAAGCGTTTTACGGCCAGTCAGAGGTTGATAATAACTACTACACTAAGTAAACGTACTCTATAATCTAAATTGTATAACTAATTAGTGTAACATGTACCGAAGCCCTAACCTAATTTAACCTTCCCGGATAATACCGCAGCACTGACATCAGATTTCTTGAGTGATACTCGTATCAGGAATTTTCAACACAACGATCATCCATGTTAGTGGATAAATCAAATTCAATAGTATACTATGTGATAGAAATCTTCATTCTCTAAATGTAGTAGCAAAATGATTTATTTTCACTTCAATCTAACGTCTTTAGAATCTGTTGGCAGCATTGATTTTTTTCAAAATAAGTCAACCAAGAGTTCATAGGAAAATTGAGACGGGGCTATAAAAGACACATTTAAAATTTTATACAAACCCAAATAGTTGAAATTCAAAGGAACAAAAATATACACATTTCATAGGGAGCGTTTTGCGGCTAGCCCGAGATCCATGAAATTTAGGAAGCTTACTTTTATGTACATATATTGAAATAAATGATAATACTTGAAGTTATAACCTTTACTTAAGACTTCGTGATTGGTAATTTCAATAACACGTTGATATTATCAACTTGGCTGAATATTTTCACTATCGTCATATTTCTTTTACATTCTTTCACTCTTTCACTCTTTTTTATTTTTATTGTTTATTGTTCATAAAAATAAAGTATGTATAATATGATAATTTCTTAAAATGTACTGTAAGGTATACCTTACCGTAATATATGTATATTGTTCTAACTTGTTATGGACTAAAGTTGTACTTTTAATCTTAAATAAATCATTGTAATATAAGAGTATAAAATTATTGTAGAAATAGAAATAACTATAATATACTAGTTGACCCGGCGAACTCTGTACCGCCCTATAATCAATAAATATCTACTACAAACACTACAAATTATCCTGTAGAAACCAATGTAAAAAGTACTCTAAGAAATAGTAATTGAATTATGTAGGTATGTTTTTTTAATATAACGCCGACCACAGGCCAACTCCGACCGATATATTTGCTAAGAGCATGTAAATGTTTTTTAAGTTTTTCTTTGTCTTAATGTAAACTACGTGAATATTGCTGCCAGGGACACATTAGTTTTTTAAAAAGTGAAATATTGTTATTTTTTTTTGTACTTTTTCTATTTTTCTAACATAAGAACCTTCTCCTAATAATAATAAATACAATAAAAAACAACTAATCAAATTATGATGCCGTGACTAAGGGAAAATAGGAGTCATTTTTATATATACATTTATATAGATAAGACAAGCTTAGCGATCAAATTAAAAAGATAGAGTATTACAATTTTATCAATTTTAATTTATATTTATAATTAAGTCATAATTTACACAATTAGGTTTAAATATTTTATGGAATTTTAACGAGTAATATTCGATTTAATGATGAGCAAGCACGTGAGCTTGTGCTGGTACAACGTGAGCTGATGGAGCGGAGTGGCTGACGACGGCGTTGAAGCCAGAGTGATCATCAGCGCTGTATTGAACGGTACGTACAGATCCGTCAGCCTCTACCAAGGAGTACTCGCCGTGCACTGCGTCACCGTCGCGGCTCTCGTGCTGTGACTTGTTGTCACCGGTGTGTCCGTCGTGTACGGAGTAAGAGTAGTCGTATTGAGGATGAGAGTTGATTTCTTCATGGGCAGCATATGCAGCATGGGCGATAGGGGCAGAGTAGTGGGCGACAGGGGCAGCTGAATATTGAGCAACTGGGGCAGCTGCGTAGTGAGCTACGGGAGCCACGGCAATAGCAGCACGCTGTTGGTCATGACGTTGGATGGACTGAGAAGATACAGCTCCAGCAGATGAATAGTGTACTGGTGCTGCGTGGTAGGCAACAGGAGCAGAGTGAACAGCAACTGGAGCAGCGGCGTAGTGGGCTACTGGTGCAACAGCAATAGAGGCACGTTGCTGGTCATGACGTTGGATTGACTGAGAAGATACAGCTCCGGCAGATGAATAGTGTACTGGTGCTGTGTGGTAAGCAACAGGAGCAGAGTGAACAGCAACTGGAGCAGCGGCGTAGTGGGCTACTGGTGCAACAGCAATAGAGGCACGTTGCTGGTCATGACGTTGGATTGACTGAGAAGATACAGCTCCGGCAGATGAATAGTGTACTGGTGCTGTGTGGTAAGCAACAGGAGCAGAGTGAATGGCAACAGGAGCAGCGTGGATTGCAACTGGAGCGGCAGCTACAGCATGAGGTTGATCGTGACGAACTATACTTTGAGAAGAAACTGCGGCAGCAGAGGAGTAATGAGGTTCAGCAATAAGGCCTGCTGTGGCCACTGCCAGAACAGCACTGAAGCACAGAACCTGTTTGATAAAATAGTCAATTGAATACACAGTTTTAAGAAATAAAATCATTAGGATTAAAAAATTATTATTTCATATGCTTGATCTCTACTTACTTTGGTGAACATGTTGTTATGTTTGATTCAGTAATGATGTCTTTATCTTAAAAATGTCGACTTATATACTAGCGATGTCGGAGTTAACGATCAATGGGGCAAGGTCGACGAGGACAACTTAATTCGTTATGAACGGAAATGCTTTCTCTAAACGAGCACTTACAAAAATTATTTCTGCTTTTATCTTTTTTGATCTTGTTATATTTTTTTTTTGATCTTATTATAGTCTACTTATTATAATATTTTTAAGAAAAAACGTACGTTCATATGTGGCAAAATTGTTATTACATAAAAAATGCGAGAACGTCTTATAAACTAAATTAAGTCGTCGATTAAACGAATATATAATATTTAATTAAATTTCCCTCATATAAATTTTAGTGATGATGGTGTTCTTCACAACAACTTTATATTTCAAAATCAAAATTCTACATACACGCCGGCTAGGTAACTTGACCAGAGTGTCTAAATGTAACTCTGTACAAAATGTAAGATAACCAACTCCTTTTTCCTTTCTTCCGGTAGTAGAGCGAAATAGTAGATAAAAAGCTGATATTATCTAACGGAAGGTTAACCAAATCAAATACAGTCAAACATTAAGATATTTTTGGGGAACACATCTCCGGTTGTAATTTGGTAGAATTATCTTTCAGAAATTTGTTATGAAAAAAAATAGAAAATCATGTAAATCGGCGATTTATTTTGAGAAAAAACGATGAAGAGAAATAAACTGACAGAGTTTGTTATTTAATAAAAAAATCTTATTTGAAGTCACTTCATTTCACCAGTAAATCTGAATAAAAAAGTATTCAGTCAATTTTAGTGATATTGTAATTTTTTTTATTTATACTTCATCACAAATAATAAATTAATTATTTGCTGCCAATAATATGATTGTATATTTTTTACTTTGGAAATCATAAAAAAGATTTAAATAAAAATACACAATTCTATATGACGACAATATGAAAAGGCAGTTGTCTTATTATATAGCAAAGCCTTCATAAGAATACAAGGTTTTTAATTTTACATTCTGAATTTTATTATATTATGTGTAATTTATATTTTGGCGAAAGATTAAAAAGATTGACTGACTTCTTTTGTCATTTTATATCAACTCTGAGTTTCTAGCTTTTACAAATATTTTTTATTGTATGAATTATTAATACATATATCTATTTAAAGTCTTTATCCAGCTATGGGCAAAAGCGATCGACCAGGTTTCAGAGTATATTGAAGCTATACACATGCTAATATAATTACGGCGTTCCAAGCAGTAAAATTCTAAAAAAAGGGGAGTTTCTTTTCTTTAAATATCCTCAATTTTTAATAACTCCGATTACTAATTTTGTAAATACATATATTTTTTAGTAATTACTCTAAAAATAACATCATTTAATATTTAAATCAAAGAAAGTTTTTTTAACTACGTCTTTTTACATATATCTATTCAATCCTATATAATATATATTTAATCATATATCTATTCAATCCTAACGTTTCGGTTATTTTACTGAAAAAAATAAATATCGAAAACGTTGATGTTCAATTTATAATTAATTTTTCTAGATTCTATATACTTGAAATGTAAAAGTATGTACATCGTAAAATAATAAATAAACGATATTAATTTTAATGAAGGTATGAAAAACTTTTTTTTTCTGATTTCATTTTGGGACTTTTTAGCAGCAAAGCTAAATGTCAGTCCCATCGTTCCGTTAATAAAAATCCCACCACCAACAATAAATATAAGCCTTAAAGTATCTAAAATAATTCTAAAACTTATAAACTATGTCTTATTTTAACTTAAACTGATAAATAGTTTTGGCTATCTCTGACTTTGGTATGGATAACACACTTTGAAAAATTCCTATATTCTTTAAATTAATGCTAAATTTATGTATATGAAAAACTTAAAGAACAGAATACAACCATTTCTAGATTATTTAAGAGCAAACACGAGGATCTTCGTTCTGTAAGGAAATTGGAATGAAAAAGTATTGAGATGATTTTTTTCCCTGTTGTCATATAAATTACATGTTCTGAATGTAGATTTATATGAAAGATTGAACTTTGAAATTATGTTCAGAAAAACTTCAGTTCAGAAAAATTAAGAAATCAAATATTCTAAATTATACTTTTATTAAAAACTTTTACATAATTTAAAGTTATAGTAGTAAACATATTTGAAGTGCAATAATGACTTATATTATGACATAATTTTGAAGAAGAGTTAATAACAAAAAATTTAATATAGTAACATAACTTCTTATTTACAATTTACCTGAGTCAGATTTTTGTTTATTTTGAATAGAGAATGATAATTAAAAATTCAGATAAGTAATGGCTCTAATACATACTACTATAATAAATACGCTGACTTTATACGAAGTGACGTGTACAAATTTTAATACAGTTAGACAACTGTACATATTAAAATTTGTAGCTAGTACCCGCCACGGCCAGTGAGTTGCCGCCGCTGTGACCAGTTGTTGCGCCTGCGCAATATAAGTATTTTAATATGTGTAGCGTGGGTAATGGACTGACTAAAGAAGTTTTTTTTGTTATAGTATTAAGTGAGTGATAATAGACGAACATTTATAACAATTAATTTGTAATGATTTTTGTTAATCAAATAATTATGTGTTAGTGTTTTGTTGAAGTTCATGTTAGAATAATATAACTGTAATATAAAAATTAATTAAAAGAAAATAAAGCCACTTAACCTTCCCTTACAGAATAGGTACATTTGATTTCTATTTACAGGTACACTTCACGGATATGACATTAAATGTGGACTAATACGACCGACAATTAATTGTCTAAGCGAGTAGGAATCATTATATTACTTCAGTTCAATAGCTTCATAAAGAGCTTTATCTAAGAAAAAAAATGACTCCTCTTTCAAAAGTAGCATTTTGTCTAAGTCCAATAAATGAAAATGTAAATTCAATAAATAATAATAAAAAAGTTCACTAGAGGTACATAACCTTGCGTCTTTTGGTATATACATTATACAGTGACTTTGCCTATTAAAATATAATGCCAAATTTAAGTTGTTAAATTAATTACGATATATGAATGGAGGTCCGATCTATATTATTTAAAAGAAAATGTTAGGTACATTTCGTATAACTTTCCTTTTTTTTTTAAGTATGTTATTATTTTTATTTAACATAAAAGACGAACAACGGCTACACCGGAGGTTTTTTAAGCGATCATTCTTGTTTTTACAATTGTTAATTAGTCATGTCTAATTAGTTATTGAGGATAAATTATAATTGGAGTTAAAGAACCGTGACCAAATAGTTGAACTTATATAACAAAATGCTTAATTACTATACTTAACTGTAATAATAGTTGAACTAAACGAATTTAGCCTAGAAAAGTGAAACTAATACACGCATAACATCTTAATGTGTTGTATATAGTGAGAAACATATTAATTATAATTAATTATTTAATCAATCGCAGTCTAAATAATAAACATATTGGAAGACTTTTTAATGATAGCTAGTATCAAAACAAAAGTGTAATTTATTTTTTATACATATAACAATTCGGTAACCTATAATATGTACTTTACAATGTAAACAGTTGACTATCACTGTCTCCATACTGCCTTTAAATATAATGCTGTTATGTTTTTAAGCTTTTAAAATAATAATAAAAGCGAAAATAATAAAAGCGAAATTCGCTTTATAATTTGTACGGCGAATCAAAAAATACTCAATGAGAAGCTTTGATAATAGAGTATATGTTTATTTTTAATTCCGTTAACTTTTATGTATGTTATGTATATTATGTATAAATATATATAGTGTATTTCTTTACCAATTTATATGCTCACTTTAGGTACTTATTTTATATTTTGAAGTAATATTGAATATATGAATATATTTAATTTAATTTGTTTAAAATAAGTACTTTTTTTGCCTCAATTTAATATTAACCTCTACTTACATTTTTAACTTGATATGGTTTGTTCAAGCTGTTTAACATTAAATTCATGTCAAATCAAATCTTATTACTGTGTACAAATCTATGATAATAAAGGCTCCAAAATGAAAATGATCCCTGTTTGAAGACAAAAAGTAGAATCTGTATGTATAATTGTAAGTAAATGATAAATAATGACTGGCAATAATAAAGCTATTCCTTATATAACACTTAAAAATTTTGGGTATTTTTATTAGAAGAAATATTGTAGTGTTTATTTCTTTTTATGTAATATGTCAAAATGTACTTTAACCTACTTATTTGTCGTAAAGTTTATTCATAATTATTGTTACAATTATTATAAAATAAAGTTCACTGTTATTTCCTTGAAAATTTCAACTATTAAAATTTATAATACTATTTATCATAAATTATGTTTTCTTTATTTAACAGGTTTCTGGCTGTGATATTTTTAAGACATAAACTTTTCTTTGTAAAAGTCATTTCTTTTACAAAGTTTTATGCCTTTGTGATATTTAAATAACTCTAGTTAAGGTTAATTTATATGTGAGTATAGACAGTTGTGGTTACAGTTATGTATTGCGCAAGCTAATTTACTAGCTTCTTAAACAAACTCGTCAACTGAAAAAAGTAATCATTCATATTTTTAGTAACCGTTTAATTTGAATAGACGTTTTATTAATAAACCTCTCTAAGTCCGGTTCGAAATTCTTTCAAGGATTGAAATAAATTATTTTATTAAATGTATGGCCAAATATTTTAGATCTTCAGATGTATATATAACAATAAAAGAGGCTGTAGAATTTTATGCTTTATTGTCAAATAAAAACAAAAACTAAGAATTACCGCAATACATAGAAAATAAATGTAGAATTAATCTATAGGGTTTATGAGGTTCTATAATTTTTCATTTAATGATAATATCTGGGGTAGTGATCAGGGTACGGTCTGTAGTATTTAGCATACGGGTAACGATGATTAATATTGTATTTCACATCAGCTTGGAAACTGGAATAAGATAAAGAATTATTATTATGGGCCTATAACTTCAACTACCCATTTTATTGGTATTATACAGAATTTATGTAATCTCAAATAATGATGATTAATGAGAATTTCTGACATTACCCAATTTTATCGTCACTGTAGTAATCTACTCTCCTCTCGTGTCCGTCAGGTTGCAGGAGTTCGTAGAAACCTTTAACTAAACCACCATCTCGTAACTCACGCTGTTTCTTAAAATCTCCAGTATGAGGATCGGCTACTTTATATTCAAATTCATATTTAGGGTAAGCCTGCAAAATTCCATAATTTAAAAGTATATAAAAAGTGCCATTGTGAATGAGTAATTGTAACTGTTACTTAAATTGTATCACTTACGTAGTAGTCATAGTGGTTGTATCCATGTCCATAATGATAGTTGTTGCGATAATAGTCATTATAATAATCCCTATTAATGCCAACTGGATGATCGTCTTTTTTTATTATGTATTGTGAAGAGACAGCCTTCTCGTATTCGGGGACTAGATTAGCCATTCCTACGGCTAACAGTCCCAATAAGCACAATACCTAAAAGAAAGCATATTATTGTTAAATTTAAATAAAAATAGGTACTTTCATTAACTAAAGATATAAAAATTCTGTCATACCTTGGAATACATTGTTGTTTGATTTGTTAATCAATAAGATACTAACCCAACTGATGATTAATGAGTAAAATTTGCGATATTTATATGTAAGAAAATAATATTAAGTGAGGTTAAATTGGTTTCACAGGACGTAATTATTTTGTTAATTACTTCTTTGTAGACGTGAACATATTAAAAAAATATCTATTTCTATCACGGCAACCGCTCTTCTTACAATCATATCTGATGAAGTTACAAAGAATTTGATTTAAATATGACCTAATATCTGGGTCAAGAAACGAAAAAAAAATGTAATAAAATGAAATGAAAGAATTATAATATAATATATTTTAGAATCGCATAAAGTTGCAGTATTGTTTCTGTGACTTGAAAACGTATTGTAATGATTTTTACCAATCGTTAAAATTTATTTAATTTTTATTTCGTCAATGCTAAATAGATTTTTCAACATTTATGTTGTGCAAAAAGTGTTTGCACATGCTTTCTAATTATGCACTTTCGTAGATTTTTAATCTAAATTTCAAGTGCGTTTAAAAAATTTTGATTTCAAAGGTGCTCTTAAATTAGTATAAGTTAGACTTATACTAAGTTCTAAAAGTTAATCAGAGTTAGATTAGAATAAAAAAAATAAAACAATTAATTCGTTTAAGTCTCTTGTAATTTTCGTATACCACATGAGCGTTAAAACTGTCTGTATTTTTACAAACTTATCTTATTGTTTACTTTGATTAAAGATATCAATAGTGGTGGTGTTTATGTACAATGTGATGTGTGTCATATTTTACGTCAGCGTGGAATCTGAAAAGAGATAAGTTTTAAATACTTTCAATTAACTTAAAATCAGTAAACATTTAATTATATTATTTCTGCTGTCTTTACCCAGTGTGATGATCACCGTGATAGTGTACAGATCTAACGGATCCATCAGGCTGGTGAAGGGAGTAGTATCCCGTCACGTGGTCTCCATCACGACTCTCATGTTGATCCTTGATGTCTCCAGTGTGAGGATCATTCACTTTGTACTCGAACTCATACTTGGGATGTGCCTGCAATTTAATGTTCATTACATTATGTTATAATATATCTATTGTTTACTACACTCTTCTTGTTATATATTACATGATAATCATGACCGTGGTGACCGTGCACTACGTGTGGATGTCCATCATGACGGGAAATGTGGTTGGATGAGTAAGCGTCTCCATATCCATGTCCATACTGACAGGCTGCAATAGATATGAAGGCAGCGATAAACAAAGCCTGAAAAAATAATAATTTCAATTGGAACACAAAAATTAAAATAAAGTAATATAATTCAAAATATACCACATGAATATTTTTTGTTATTTAAGTTATACCTGCAAAAACATGGTTCGTGAGGTATTTTAATTTCTCTGGTTTACTACTGAGTGACACAATATGATACAAATCGTTGTCTTTTATACAATTAAAGTACGGGTACACTATGATTTCATCTCACGCCATTGTCCATATAAATGAGTTGTAATCGGTTGTAGCAGATATTTCTTAATATCGATATGCAAAATGTTACAAATAATCAATGAAATGGTTACACCTAACACAATTATTAAAGTAAACATTTTGATTGCAATGTTATTTTTTGTTGTTAAGAAATAGTTAATCAGAGATAAGGAACTGTTACTAAATTATTGTCAGTGTATCTTTAATTTCATGTTGTAAAACTTTTGCATAATAAAAAAGTTTTAAGACTTTCATCATTGAAATTATCATCATATGACAGGTATTAAGGTATCAAGTCTACTTGATATAGATTTGCAAACACTTTGCCACGAAGACAGTCTTGCTCCGTCTGAAACCAAACGAAACTGGAATCATGGGACCGAACTGACCAAGTTATAAATCCGTCTAGTGGGTTGTCTATTTACACATGTTGAGCTTTAAAATACTGGGTCGCTTTGGTAAGATACTCGTATTTAGATAGCATCAATGGTCCATTCTTTGAGCTATATGTACGTGGGGCCTATAGCACCTTGACAAGGGATATATTGTTTCCGTATATAAGGCTACGTTGTTTATTTTTTATCTGTAATTGGATTTGATTATATAGTGAAACTTCATAGCCATAATTCAAAGCACTCAGACAGCAATGACTTTCCTTTGCCCTCAGGACCACTTTGAATTATCTTATAAGACTTATCATAGTTAGCGACCTTTTCTATGATATATGGGAGCTAACTGGTAACAAGTTGATGCTTGCACACTTTAGTCTTAAAACATTTAGGTTCTTGGTGCCTGAAATGCTACACAGCCGACTTTGATTTGAGTATTTACCGATCTCTGTAAGTTGAAGCTATTTATTTGGAATGGTTTGGCCATTTTGAATGCATTTGTCATTAATGTTGAGAACATAAATTACGATGTTAACTTTAATAGTTTTGACAGGCCACTGAAAATGTATTTAGTTCTGTCCAAGTCAATTTTCCAGCCCCTGAGTTGAAGGGGTCTTTTAATGTATCTTAGAAATTTACCGATTTCCTTCCAGATTTTGCCCATGTCTATAACATCATTAGTGATTATATTTGTATATAATGTTTCTTAATATTTTGTTTTAAATAAATTCTCTTAATATGATGTTATGGCGTTTTTGTTACTAGACCGACTACGTTTTAATCCGAATTTATATTTTATTCTTAAGTGAAAATCTCTATGTACTGTGATTAATTCATTTTATATGAAACAAGCTGTAGAACTATATTTTGTTAAAAAACACTATCATTATTTATTTATGATAATAATTAATACTTGATTTAAAAAAATACTTTTGTTGAAATTTGGGGGTTTCTATTTTTTATTATTTAAATATACATGTAACATGGCATGTTGTGTGTATTGTGTAGTATATTTATATATCCTTTAGTATATATAATTATATTTTTAATATTAAGGCAATGTTGGGCTTATTATTCAATGAAAAACAAATAAGACAACATACGATAAAAAAATAGCAAAACGAGCAAGATTTGAATCAGCCATCAGCGAAATATCAAGTTACTTTAATTAAAACTTTTCCGACCCAGCTGTAGTGAATTTTCTCGCAACATGAGCAGGATATTCTGAAGGTTTGATATATATTTTTTAACAATTAAATATAAAACTTTAGAACAATATACTTAAATTTGAATTATAAACAAATATTTTTAATGCTCATTTTATAATATTATGGTAATAAGTGGCTTTATAGCATGTTTGATAATATACATTTATATGAAAATAAAAAGCATATTAATTTTTAACTTTTATTTTGACAAAAAAAGAAAAATCAGAAGACATACAAATTAGGAGTAGTTTGCGATATGAGGTTCAATAATTGTTTATTCAATGATAATAGTATGATCTGGGGTAGTATTCAGGGTACGGTCTGTAGTATTTAGCATACGGGTAACGATGATTAATATTGTATTTCACATCAGCTTGGAAACTGAAATAAGATAAAGAATAATTATTATAATCCTACAACTCCAACTATCCATTTTTATTGGTAAACATTGTAACAGAATTTATATAATCACAAATAATGAATAAGGAATTTCTCATATTACCCAATCTTATCGTCACTGTAGTAATCTACTCTCCTCTCGTGACCATCAGGTTGCAGGAGTTCATAGAAACCCTTAACTAAACCACCATCTCGTAACTCACGCTGTTTCTTAAAATCTCCAGTATGAGGATCGGCTACTTTGTATTCGAATTCATATTTAGGGTAAGCCTGAAAATAACATTTTTATGTTTTCATAGTTTGGAAGTATATAAAAAGAGTATTATAAATGGGCCATCACGTAAATGGTCACTTACATAGTAGTCATAGTGGTTATATCCATGTCCGTAGCGGTAGTTGTTGCGATAATAGTCATTATAATAATCCCTTTTAATGAGAACTGGATAATCGTCTTTCTTTATTATGTATTGTGAAGAGACAGCCTTCTCGTATTCGGGAACTAAATTAGCCATTGATACGGCTAACAGTCCCAATAAGCACAATACCTTACAAGTACATATTAAACATTATTAATTTCTAAATAAAAAGAAGTGGGTGCTTTCATTAACAAAAGATATAAAAATTCTGACATACCTTGGAAAACATTGTTATTTGATATGTTACTTAATAAGACACTAACCAAACTGATGATTTATGACTAAAATTTGCGATATTTATATGTAAGAAAAATACTAATCGAGGTTAAATTGGTTTCACAGGACGTAATTATTTTGCTAATTACTTCTTTGTAGGCACAAATACATTAGTACAATATTCATTATTATCACAGCAATAGCTCGTCATAGTATCATATATAATTGAAGTATAGAATTTAGTGGTAAATTAACAACATTATTATTTTAAATTTAGATTTCTCTAAGATTATTATCATCGAAGATAAAACACACTGCTTTGAAAATATAACTGTGCAAGTAGACGTGCAATAAGTCGTAAATATTTTCTTAAAGGGACGCGGATAGTACAGGAACTTAATAGTATTAAATAAAATTTTTCATTAGGAGGTTTAATTGTTTTTTTTTCCATAAAAGAAATTTGACAAAACATTAGTATTTTAACAATATTATTCTATTCTTTTCATTGATTGAACATATCAATAGTGGTGGTGCTTTGGTACAATGTGATGTGTGTCATATTTTACGTCAGCATGGAATCTGAAAAGGTCATAAGTTTAAATTTTTTTTAATTAACTTAAAAACAGTGAACATTTATTTATATTATTTCTGTGATGTTTACCCAGTATGGTGATCACCGTGATAGTGAACAGATCTAACGGGTCCATCAGGCTGGTGAAGGGAGTAGTATCCCGACACATGGTCTCCGTCACGACTCTCATGTTGATCCTTGATGTCTCCAGTGTGAGGATCCTTTACTTTGTACTCGAACTCATACTTGGGATGTGCCTAGAATTGTTATGTTCAAAATATTTTATTAGAGCAGAGTGTTATTTTAGAGACTTCTTGGTTTAAAAAACTCTTATGTGTACTCACATGATAATCATGACCATGATGGCCGTGCACTACGTGTGGATGTCCATCATGACGGGAAATGTGGTTGGATGAGTAAGCGTCTCCATATCCATGTTCATATTGACAAGCAGCAATTGATATGAAGGCAGCGATAAACAACACCTGAAATAAAATACAATTTCATTTGAAAAACAAAACTTAAAATAATTTAGTATAAATACAAAAAACAAATTTTTAATTTTGTTTTTAAGTGATACCTGCGTAAACATGGTTCGTGAGGTATTTAAATTTCGCTGGTTTACTACTGTATGATACATAGTGACACAAATTGCTGTCTTTTATACAATTAAAATAGGAGGGAAGTATAATTTCATCTCACGCCATTGTCCATGTAAATAAATTGTAATCGATTGAACCATATATTACTCAATATCAATATGCAAAATATTACAAATAGTATTTGAAATAGCTAAGCGTTGTACATTCATTATTTTTCAATGTTTTTGAATTCACGGATATTGTCAAGCTATACATATGAAGTTTTATCTTGTGACTTATAAACAACTAAAATTTTATGAAAAAATTGAATATAGTTTAAACCTGCTATCCTGTTTTCTTTAACTTTATTTCTCATTTCTGGAAAAGTTACTGAATTTCGTGTTTAGGCTTTAAACTTTTCATATTTAAATTGAGATCGAAATTTACTTTAATATTAAAAGAATCAACATACCAACACTTTACGCATTGACATATGATAATCACACAATTATCAAATCAAAATAGTGTTGTAACTTAAGTATTTCATTACTATAATGGAACATTTATATTTTGTTCTGTTTATATTTAGACGGTTAATAATTTTGAAATTATTATTTAAATTGTATGTCTGTGTAGTAAATCAGGGAATGGAGTAGATAAATATCAAGAAAAGGGTCTCACAGAGAAAGAATTCTTTTATTTTCTAAGTATAATATAAATGATTTGTAAAGAATTTAGACTGACATTTTAAATACTTATTATTATTAATTTATTATTGACAGTTACATAATCTACTAATATTAAATGTATTGTAGACAATAGTTTTCTCGAAATGACAAAAAATGCTACGAGTATATGACTTTTTATTCAAATATAATTCAAAATATTATTTATGCATAGAAAGTGTAATAATTATAAATCGTCATCACAAAAACAAAACCAAAAATGTATCTCCAACATGTTATTTATCTCCATAATACAAGACTAGATTTAAGCGCTTAAAATTTTGTACTCTAATAAGTAGCACTCAGTATTAAGTTCATAGGTCAAAACAAATTTAAATCTAAAAAATTACTTGTCCAATTAAAGTTTCTATTTTCAAATTTAAAAATATCGTTAACAATAGTATATTTAGGTAAATATCGGTGTCGGTTGTGTTTTCAAAATAAAATGTGTAAATACAAATAATTAATTGTTTTTCTTTTATTTTAAAGTTCATTATTTTAGATAAAATCCTATACCTATGTAGTTAAAAAATGTCAAGCATTTTGTGCTACTTGAACTTATCAAATATTTTTGAAATATGCACCGTACACTATCATCTTTTCGGTTTTAATAATTGAGCTGTTGGTATATGAAAATGAAACAGTTGGTGGTAAATACAATATTTGAGTAACTGTTCTTTCTATTTACCCTTAAATTCAGATAAATTATAATTGGAATGAGACATATACTACACAAACTGTTCCTTTATAGTGTGCATGAAAAAGGTGGACTCCTAAATAAGCGTACGGATGCAAGGAATGTTAACAACGAAAAGATGAAAAGTACCTGTGCCTCTGGTAGACCGATAGAAAAAAGTGTATATTCTGCGTATATTCTTCAAAGTGTATCAAACAAAACACTGAGAGACTTCCCATTTAGATTCATGCTTAGTGGTAATTACATATTATGAGTTTCGTTTTAACTGAATCACCCTTATTAATAAGTCTTCTTACTCGTTTCCCCACGAAGTTCAAATGATTGAGGTGGAATGGCAACTGACAAATGTATTATATAAATATATATAAATTTCCAAATGTTCCTGTCCATGCCCAAATGACATGCTCTTTGTGAAGACGAAAATGGCCCATTGCTAAGTACTTGCAGTACTTATGCAGGGAAGACGTGTATTCTTGCAATTGCCTTGGCTTTGCAGCCAATGAACTTCCTGAAGTAAATGTTGAATACCTCAGTATCTAACAACTGGAAGCAATGTATGTTTTCATTTATTTTAAGTTTATCAGTAAATACAAATGAAAGTATTAAGAGCAGTTTAAAGAAGGTTAAATCGTTTAAAAATATGCATTATTGTAAACGGATTTAAGACACTTATATTTAGATAGAAGTGTAAACATAAAGAAATCAGATGGTTATTTTACTTTTTTTTTCTTATTTTCTAGATTACGTTTTAAAGAGAATGATAGACGTAAATCGGAAAAGATGTTTTATAGTCATCTCAATAGTTATAAGATCTCGAGAAAAACTTACTAATTATGTAATCAATAAAAATATGTACAGGTATTGCTCTAGGTACTGCAAAACAATATAATCGTGGAATAGTAACCATATTTATCATGATAACGAATGATTGTTTTGTTTTTTCGATATAAACAAGTAATAGAAGTGAAATAAAGGTCTAATAAATACGAATTTAAATTATGAAAACAATTTTATTATATTTTAAAATGGTATAAAAGTCTCAAAATAACTCGGAAGAAGGTAATATAATAAGAAAAAACACTTTTCAGTAATGATGGTGCTTGGGTACAATATGGTGAGTATCATATTTAACGTCAGCGTGGAATCTGAAACATAAAATATTTGGGTTCAAGCATAGTTGAAATATATTTTCATACAAGTTTAGATATCTTTAAAAAATGATAGCTCTTTTTTGAAATATTAAAATGTAACAGAAATTATAATAGCATTTTATATTATAACAACTCAAATAATTAAATTTTAACACTTTTTACCCAGTATGATGATCACCGTGGTAGTGAACAGATCTAACGGATCCATCAGGCTGGTGAAGGGAGTAGTATCCCGTCACGTGGTCTCCATCACGACTCTCATGTTGATCCTTGATGTCTCCAGTGTGAGGATCCTTCACTTTATACTCGAACTCATACTTGGGATATGCCTATTGTCGAACAAATTTAAATAATTCATAAGTAACACTATTTGTTGAGATTTGTATTGGATTTAGAAATTCTTAAGAAATTGTCTGTAAAGGAATATAAAGAAAGGAAAGCGTACATGGTAATCATGGTGACCGTGATGTCCATGGACCAGTTGTGGATGTCCATCGTGTCGGGAGATGTGATTAGATGAGTACGCTGATCCATGACCGTAGCCGTATTGGGCTGCAGCAACGGCGACGAGGGCAGCGAAACATAATATCTAGAATATACAAAAAAATATAATAACAAAATAAAACAAATGTTTTTGTTTTGTAAGTTTAATTACAATTTTTCGTTTAATAATGTATGTACCTTGCAATACATTTTGGCAAACTGCTTTGTTTTCTATCTCCAAGTATCGAATGATGCTTAGTGGAACAGAATGGTTTCTTTTATACAATATAATCAAGGGTACCGATGTGGTTTCACCTCACAATAAGTGTCCGTGAAAATTTGTTATTACCAGTCGCTTACATATTTCCTAACACCGAAATGGAAAAAAGTGACAGATGTTTTTGTATAGCAGTTACGCTCAATACACATATTTTTGAAATATTTATATACAATTAAATTTTTATATAAAATTAACTACAAAGAAGTTCACCATATTTTGTTGTCTAATATAATTTCACTAACAAAGTTTATCGGTTACAAAGATCATAAAGGAATTTATTACTCAAATACCTCTTCATTATTTCATTGCACCACCCTTGTATATCACAAGAAAATAGTTGTTTGTGAAAATTACAATATTGGGTTTTTAAACCGACTATACGTAAAGATAATAAAAAATAATGTATAAAAATTAAGAGACATTTTCTTTTTATCTTCAATTAAAAATAATTATAAATTCTAGAAAATAAATTTAATAATAGTGAAATATTGTTGGTTCTGCAAGTTACATACTCGTAACTTATATGTACATTGATAATTTTGATTTTTCCATGTGACATTTTTTCTCTTTTGATTGTAAGTATACATTTTTATACAACAGTGTGAAAAATTTATTACATATTGGAAGTAATAGAGCAGAATGTATTCAAAATATTATAATTAAGATGTCCAAGATAGTCCAAAAATGTTATGAAGAACTCGTGTACAATTACTTTCGAAATTAATCATTTCTTGTAATAATAATTTTAAATACATATTATGACTTCATTGTTAAGACTACTTATTGTATCTATTTATATTATAAATTTTTTTTCTAGCTATAACTGTGGCTGACTTGTAAGGTTTAGGCCATTAACTTGAGATTATTTTGGATGTTTCTGGATAGTAATTAACTTATGTCGCTATTTAGTGAATAGGGCCATATAACTATATAAATTTGTAAACTTAGTGCTTTAAAAGAGACATATGGGTTTCTTCTCAAAGCAAAGCAAATTGCGTAAACGATAAATGTGTTCAAAGCTATGTTAAAAATATTAAGATTTTATTGTATATATCGGCGTCATCAGCTTTAATAACGAATGCGACATGAAAATTATTTGAGCCTGTCATCAATTATTATTAAAACTCATTAGTATTCATGATTATTGTTAAAAGGAGAATAGAACTATGTTTGAATCTTGGTATAAATATGACGTCTGGACGCACGACGGCAGAGTTCAGTTAGTGCGGACCATTGATTAATGTGATTATGAAGATAGTTCGAGAAATACAGGAACATTAAGAACAATTGAAGTTTCATATTAAAATATCACGGAACTTTCTAGAAATAGTGACATTTAGTGACTTCAGCGAGGTTAGCGTATCTCTCTTTAAAACAACGAATGTGTAATAAATCCGATATATATAATGGTATCGTTTTTTCTAAATTTAGATTGTACACTACTAAACCTATAAACTATGTGAAGACATGTAGGTTTTTAGATTCATTATAAATTAATTTTCTTCGTAAAAGTATATTATAAAAAATAATATTCTATCTTTCGTATTATCATATCAGCATCTGTTTCTTATTTATTTGTTTTATTCATGAACTTTATCTTTCCTAAGTAAAACAATGACTATTTGTTGGCTGAAATAATGTGGTGAAACTAAAAAGATAAATTTAGTTTAATTGCTTCTGTATCCTCTTTTTTTATTCGAAATACATTATGAAGCATATATATTTCTTTTATATATCATAGAAGATATATTTCAACTCAAAATTATGACAAACTATAGAAATCTCTGATACATTGAGTATTTCATCTTATATGGTAGACTAATAAATAATTTGTTCAGTAGTTTTTATATAAAATTTGGAAAACCGAAAATACTATGATCAATAACTATTTGAACTGTCATTTTAAAACGTAAACAAAATTTTATTAACGAACAAGATATTGGATTTTCAAATATTTCAGATGCTTAGTAATATCCTAATATATCCTAATATCTTAAAACCTTGCACAAAAATTTATTTCTATATTGTATATTATGGTCACTATATGTGACTGTATTTATTTTGAAATTAACATAAAAAACTTGTTCCTATCAACCACTTTGCTATTCATGAATGAAAAATTTGTATTTTTGATATACATGTTTTTTTACTATATCTCAGCTTAGGCACTAAACAACAGGATGCTGGTTTGTTTGAATATTTTTTGAATTTTCAGTAACGTATCTTTATATTTTTGTAAAAAACCAACACATACATATGTAAATACAGCTAACAAATCCATACTTAAGTTGTAAAAAAACAGCGTGGTATTAAAAATTTTACTTTTATTTTCAATTCATAAAAAAATAGAAATAGGGTAAAATAATGTCATCACTAAGTTTTCAATAGTGGTGGTGTTTGGGGACGATATGATGCGTATCGTACTTGACATCAGCGTGGAATCTGAAAATAATATCGTCGAATCTTGTATAAGTACATTATTTGGTTTTATTATAAGTAACGAACTTTAAGATTCTACTGTCTTTACCCAGTGTGATGATCACCGTGATAGTGAACAGATCTAACGGATCCATCAGGCTGGTGAAGGGAGTAGTATCCCGTCACGTGGTCTCCGTCACGACTCTCATGTTGATCCTTGATGTCTCCAGTATGAGGATCATTCACTTTGTACTCGAACTCATACTTGGGATGTGCCTGTTGAGAGTTAATTTAAAACTATTCATAAGTAAAACTATTTGTCGAGATTTATATTGGATCTTATGTAATTCTTATGGAATTGTCTGTAAAGGAATATAAAGAAAGGAAAGCGTACGTGGTAATCATGGTGACCGTGATGTCCATGGACCAGTTGTGGATGTCCATCGTGTCGGGAGATGTGATTAGATGAGTACGCTGATCCATGACCGTAGCCGTATTGAGCTGCAGCAACGGCGACGAGGGCAGCGAAACATAAGATCTGGAATATATTTAAAAAAATTATAACAAAATAAGACAAATGTATATCTAAAAATTTTTTGTAAGTTTAATTTTAACTTTTCGTTTGATAATGTATGTACCTTGCAATACATTTTGTAAACTGCTTTGTTTTCTATCTCCAAGTAATGAATGATGCATAATAGAAAAGAATGGTTTCTTTTATACACTTCAATCAAGGGTACCAATGTGGTTTCACCTCACATTGTCCGTGAAAATGGTTTGCAATCAATATCGACAGGTATTTCCAAACATTAATGTGTAAAAAATAAAAATGGCTTTACTCAGTATATTTAAGTGTTTTTTTAGTATTTCATTAATATGCAATAGTCATGCGATAAAGAAATAATTTATATTCTATTGTATAAATATTAACAGCAACTTTTAAAAAATTCTTTTAAAAACAGATAAAAGTGTTTGGAGACAAATAGACGACTTAGTAGTAAATAATCTAGTTTTTGTGAGCTGTTACGCTACAAGCCGACAATTTTTTATAACAAAAAACGTAATAAGTTATTCTAAATTTGAAGTTCATAGATGTGTTAATTTCTTTTGATTTATTTTAAATATTCATTATTGTATTACATGAAAAATAACAAATGACATTATTAAATACATACATTATGTAGGTTAGAATAAAAGTAATCGTTGCAAGAATAGTCAATGACTTTTTAAGTGAAACTTTTATTACAACGCCCTCATTTTTTCTTACTCTACCGTATGTCGCATTACAGCCTGTCGTAGTGTAGATGTAAATAAAATCTGATTGACATAGTAGCTAAGGCCAAAAAAGCGGTGCCAATTTATTGCATTTATGGTGGTAAAGCCTAGCTGTGGTTAAGCCACTACAGCTCTAACATGGGATGTCTTGGCCACCACCACCCAGAGAGAGTGTGAGAGTCACAGAAGATCTAGTAATAGAATCTAGAAGTTGTCTTTAATGGCTGCATTTCATCTTATGAGTGAGAGAGCAGGTTATTCTTTCCCTTTTCCTACTCTTTCTTCACCTTTCTTACAATCAAGGTTGGAAACGCATCTGCAACATCCCCTATGTTGCAGATATCCATGGGCAACTGGGACCTCCTTCCACCAGGTAGGCTATCTATTAAGTGGCGCCTTTCAAATGAAATAAAATACTTTTTCGTGCATTATCTACATTTCTTTTCAATGAGTGAAAATATCTGTAAGTTATTTTCTTAATTTGAATGTTTTTATCAGAGCTTTAAATAAACACTGTACTCAGTTGTGAATTTTCCTGAATCATTTCTTCTATCATTTATTTTGTGCTCTATATGACGCTTTGAAACGATTTTTTTGGTTTAACACCTTGTGTAGGCTTCATTTTAAATAATTCATCAATTTACATTTAGTATACTAACATTGACAATGCTTTTTATATATTATATATATGCGAATAATATTTAGTTAATAGTTATTTAACTGAATATTATTCGAATCGAAATAATTACGTGCGTTGTGACTTCATAAGCCTTCATCTCACATTTTCTTTACCAGCTACACGTATTTAATGGGAATACATAAAATGTAAATGAATAGTTTGTTAATGATTTTATCTACATATCTATCTACCTTAAAACTAATAAGAAGAATTGTAATCTGTAACTAATTAATTTTAAAATATAAAATAACCTTCAGTAAATAATTGAATGATATTTGCTATTTTAAAATGAATATGGTTCTAATTTCTTATATGATATAAAAATTTCAAGACCTGTAATGGCATCTCAGATTTTCAGGTACATATTTAAATAAAACTAGGGTTTTCCGACTTTACAAGATCAATAAAATAAAATAAAAACCGCAGTTTCATTTAAATGTATCTCATAAATTTAGTGTCTTACTCTCATTATAGTTTTTAATGAGAAGGAGATTATTTTTGATATTATATTATTTTTGAATGTTTTTTTAAAGAATGCACAGTAAAACTAAAATTATTATTTAAGTTATTTATTGATCCGCTTTTATTAATTTATTGACATCTTTAAATTTATCATTTCGGTCTTGTGTATACATTTTTGAAATGTATGTCCTCTACTTGATTTTATTTATATCTATTTATTTTCTGAAATTAATTATTGATGAAACTTAATTTTTTTTTATTCTAAGAATCTAAGCATATGTGACCACTAAAAATTTGTCAGATTGTAAAAGTAACCTAGTTTTATTTTTCATAATATATTTGAATGTTTAAATATATTTTAAAAAAAGCAATTGAATTTTTTTATAAAACTTTATTTTATAAACTTATTATAGAAATTGTTAACCAGTAACAAATAAAGCAATGGAAGGATATAACATACAAATTATTTTACAATGTTTTAATTTTCAATAATGATGGTGCTTGGGCACGATGTGATGCGTGTCGTATTTGACGTCAGCGTGGAATCTGAAAAGAGAAAATAATATTGTATAAGTACATTCGGTGGTTCTATTATGAGAAATACACTGTAAAAATTGTCTTTACCCAGTGTGATGATCACCGTGATAGTGAACAGATCTAACGGATCCATCAGGCTGGTGAAGGGAGTAGTATCCCGTCACGTGGTCTCCATCACGACTCTCATGTTGATCCTTGATGTCTCCAGTGTGAGGATCATTCACTTTGTACTCGAACTCATACTTGGGATGTGCCTATTATGTAGATAATTTCAAATAATTTATAAGTAAAAGTATTAGTTAAGATTTGTAATGAATCTTATGAAATTCATAAGAAATTGTCCGTAAAGGAATATAATGAAAGGAAAGAGTACGTGGTAATCATGGTGACCGTGATGTCCATGGACCAGTTGCTGATGTCCATCGTGTCGGGAGATGTGATTAGATGAGTACGCTGATCCATGACCGTAGCCGTATTGAGCCGCAGCAACGGCGACGAGGGCAGCGAAACATAAGATCTGGAATATATAAAATAGTATTACAAAAACATTTTCACAAAATTACATACATACATAAAATATTGTTTAAATAAACATATCCTTTTTTGTTAACTAACATACCTTACAATACATTTTAGTAAGCTTGTTTTGATTTCTAACTCTGAAAGCTGAATGATGTATAGAGATACGGACTGTTGTCTTATATACAATGAAAGGAGAACTGATATGATTTCACTTTACATTACATGTCCTTGAAATGTGGTTGTAGTCTATATAAATTTAGTAGTATATGCAATATTTTGAATGGTGTTGAAAAATTCCGTGTTTATAAAACATTAAATTAATTACTACACGAAATGTTCAAAGATGAATGAACTATGATGATATCAGATTGGTTGTGTTTATAACATTGTCAATAAGAATGTGTTCATTTATCCGTAAGCAATCATATGTAGAAATTATGTCGAACATTTTCAAATTATTTAAATAAAAAAACTGTCCTTTTTCAGGATTCTTGAAATTATTATTTATTTCATTCTTTATTATCTGAAGGGGTTACACAATCAATCATATATTTTCAAATAAGAAATTTAATTGTAATGATCCTATTTTTTGCGTCTATGATTCCATTGTCACCATAACGAGTAGCCATAAGAAGTATATATATCATTTTGGTTAATCATTATCGTAGCAATTGAATAAAATATGAAGTTGATTTATAATATTCACCAATAAAAATAAAAAGCTTTATTTTAAATTTTATGTTGTTCAATTTTTTTTATTTGAGTATAAATAAATTAAAATATATATATAAATAAATTATCCTTTCCGTTACAGTAAAAGATACAATAATAATAACGAGTATATTTTAATGGATTATAAATAAAACAGCAGTTATAAAAATTAATTTAGTAACAAACCAAAGATCAGTAAATATTGCAAATCTTGTAATTATCTCCAACTACTCTTGGAAATGCTTTTAATCTTAATAGTGTGGTAAGCTATGTCTGTGTTTATGGGTAATAATATCAACTCCTAAGTAACTACCACCATGAAGACCTCAAATATTTCACCATTCTAATGCTACTGGACACAGGTGTGGGCAAACTATTTTATGCTGGTATGTACCGATGGCACAGTAGTGAGCAGTAGACGACACGCTTAATCAAATAACCTATTAAAGCTGGTAATGTGGGTCCAAATCAGTACCCTTCAGAATTACTGTTTTTTTTTTTCATTTTATTGCCTGTTCAGGACTAGCTTACATCAATATTGGCTACTTAGATATAAATTGTGTGAATACTCTGGGAGATACGGTCAGGATTTTGCTTAATCATTAAGTTTCTTTCAGCTGATAAAAGATATAAGAGTAAAATTTGTGGATGACCATACCTCTAATTGTTTGGATCTTATGCTAACAATGAATCCAGACAAATACATCATAGAAATCTGTAAACAAGCTACTATATATAACAAAAGGTTGTTAACAGGAACTTATCTCGACAGTATAAACAATTATGGCTTAAAATAGCTTAAATTTGCTACTCAAACTTCAATCAGTAGAGCTATCTGGTGCTTCTTTAATGACTGGCACTGTTATGAAATTTTGAAAATTTGCCGAAATGATAACTGTTCCGAAGAAATAAATCATGCATACGCTAATAATTACTGACAATTCTAGTGCAATAACCTCATTAATCTTATAGATTATGGAACGTATATAGGACAAATGCCTATTGCCATTAGTGTAAGGAGAGTAACAGTATAATAGTACAACAAAGAATGCCTTCTTCTGTATTTACTTTTGCTTTTAATTTGAATGTCTTCTTTGAAAGAGTGAATAGGCTATTACTGAGATAGTGCTTTTACTAGCTACGATATTATTTATCATACGAACTGGTGAAATAACAATCAAACACAAACAAGTCGAAATAAAAGAAAGTCGTAAAATGAGTTCATTATTTTTTTTATAAAAGTACAAGTTATAAATATCAAAGATAACACATATCGCAATTATTACAAAATTTTAAACCACTGATATGTCAGTCATTGCTAACAAAGAGGAAACATAGAAGACGTAATAAAGTAAAGGATTCTATTAAGTTGTGTTTATTTAGAGTATTTACAATTTGTTTAAAAAATATATGATGAAGTAACAGTGGAATATTAATACACATTTTTTTTAGTAGTAATGGTGCTTGGGGACGATATGATGGGTGTCGTACTTGACGTCCGCGTGGAATCTGAAAATAATTTATTTCAATCTTGAATAAGTAAATTCTTTAGTCTTATTATAAGAAATAAAACGAAATATTTAATTGTCTTTACCCAGTGTGATGATCACCGTGGTAGTGAACGGATCTAACGGATCCATCAGGCTGGTGAAGGGAGTAGTATCCCGTCACGTGGTCTCCATCACGACTCTCACGTTGATCCTTGATGTCTCCAGTGTGAGGATCATTCACTTTGTACTCGAACTCATACTTGGGATGTGCCTGTTGTCGAGACAATTTTAAATAATTAATAAGTAAAACTATTAGTTTAAATTTCTAATGGATCTTATGAAATTCTTATGGGATTGCCTGTAAAGGAATATAAAGAAAGGAAAGCGTACATGGTAATCATGATGACCGTGATGTCCATGGACCAGTTGTGGATGTCCATCGTGTCGGGAGATGTGATTAGATGAGTACGCTGATCCATGACCGTAGCCGTATTGAGCTGCAGCAACGGCGATGAGGGCAGCGAAACATAAGATCTGTAATATATAAAATGGTGTTACAAAATCATTTCCACGATATTATATACATTAAAGATTTCTTAAAATAAACTTATTTTTTTTTTATAATGAACCTACCTTACAATACATTTTGGTAAGCTTATTTTGATTTCTAACTCTGAAAGCTGAATGATGTATAGAGATACGGAATGTTGTCTTATATACAATGAAAGGAGAACTGATATGATTTCACCTCACATTATGTGTCCTTGAAACGTGGTTGTGTTGAATATAAATTTCTTAATAGAAAATTGTATGCAATATTTTGAATGGTATTTTAAAATGCCGTGTTTATAAGGCATTACATCAGTTAATAAATGAAATGTTAAAAGATGAATGAACTAAGTTTGTTCAAGAGTAAATTTTATTAACGATTCTACTTTTATCAATGTTTTTGATCGTAGGACCCAGTTTCACCAATCAATATTAAATAAGTGACTGCTTGTTAAGGCGTTTCATGCTCTGTTAGATGATATTGAGCGTCCCACCACGCACAAATGTGCGTTTAAATGTCTTAACAAGCCACTAATATTAATTCCTGGTCTAGAGCTCCGTCTAATGGCTAACAGAATGTTAATATATTATCAAAACTCAATCGTCCAATCACAGCCCTGATTTCTTGTAACCATAGTAACGTCATCTGTTTTGTCAGTTTCGACTATTTCCTTGTATATACATACTTAATAATAAAGTGAATTAAAATTTCATTTAGTATGACGATTTTGTCTCCAGCTTTTCTTTAACATTGGAAATTAAGTTTTAAATAATTTAAATTTATGTCTATATTCATAACACAATAATACATAACACAATTGATTGACAACACGATTTTGACAAGTTACACCTAGTAAATTGAAAAGAAAGCTTTTTGTGTGCCAAATGTATGCAACCAACGATATATAAAATTTGGTCGCATTACCTAACAAGTGACGTATCGAAGAATATATATGTACTATCAAAGTATAAAGTGGTGCATCGTGGCAAACGTGTCGCGTTAAACGCTATAGTTTCAATTTGGTCGTCTTATAATAAGAACGAATAATTTGGTAGCCGGTCGTGTAATATGACAATTAATAATGCGTGGTTAATTTGTCATCGTGGAACGTAAATATTTGAACCGACATTTATAATTTGGAAGGTGTGTTAGTAAATGCCATGTTCAGATTTAACAAACATTGATTGGTGAAACTGGGTCTAAATCTAGGTGCAACATAAAAATGTTAAATATTTTGTCACACCATATTTTTAAATATAATTTATTAGATAACCAATAACGGGTATAAAATACTAGATACATAGATCGGTAGTGTTTATAAAATTATCAGTAAGAACATATAAGTTTTCCCGTAAGCAATGAAATGAAAAACTGAAATAGATTTTTTTTATTTCTACTTTTATCGTAATTATTTCTATAAAAAAGATGTTATAATAGTTTCTCATCATTCTCAAAATTTATTTATCATTATTTACTATTGCGTGGATAATTATTGAAATCTGAACATGTCAGTAGTTAATTAACTGTCAATCTAATAATTTCAAAACAATAAATTTAATTGTTCTGGTCTTCTCATTTTGCTTATATGATTTCAGTGGCATAATAATATGTACGTTAAAATAGTTTATCATTACCTTAGAAATTTCTTCAAATTTTAATCAGATTTTGTTTAACCTGTTACCATAGAAAACAGAAAGACGGAAAAATGCTGTTTATTCACTTTTTTGTTGGCAATTAAATCGTTTAAAATCGATTATAAAGAAAGTAATAAATATATTTACCTTTTTTGAATTAAGTTTCGTTAATTTTGACACAATCCTTTTCGTTATGGTACAGGTAATAAAAATATTTAATTTATTCAACAACAATCAAGTCAAGAAATAAATTTCAATTTGTTAAAAGTACATTTTTTTTTATGATTTTAATAAAAAACTGTTCCTTATTGTTATTCCTTCTCATTATTATGATAAATTTGTCAGTATTAATTATTTGTGAATGAAATTGTTACACGGTCTATATTATTTATCTTTATTGTAACTTCATTGGCACGGTAACTAGTTGTCATTTTCTTTTTATTTCTATTATACAAAGTTTGATTAAATTTTGAAATAGTAAAAAAAATAAAACAGAAAAACGAAAGAAAAAACGATACCTGCATTTTTTTTTCAAAAACATCACACAATCTCTTTTATAAATAAGGTAAAATAAATAAACAGTACATAAAGCAACAATTTATAACACTTAATTTTGTTTATTTTAGTAAAATTATTTTCGTTATATAATTATATCGGAGATTTTGACGTGTATTCATTTTAATATAACTAGGATTTTCAGAGACAAAGACAGAGAATATAGTTTTTTATGAAATAGGTAATTTTTTAAAGAAACCACGAATTTATGGCAAAGAGCTTCAGAAAACAAGTAAGAGTAAATCTCCCGCAGTTTCATTCGACATCCACTTTCTTTCAATACGATTGGGTACGATAGTAGCTTACTTCTCGATTTTTCACTGTATGCACTCTGTGTGTGTATGCAGGAAAAAAAACAGGAAGCATAATCCAGTCGAAAAAAATCATAAAGGGAGATTATTAATACTATAAATATGTTACTAAAAGTATTAGTGTAAGTATCAGTGATTAGACATAATATCTTTATTATTAAAAACATTTAAACCCCTGATATGTCAGTCGTTGACAACAAAGAGGGTTAAAAAAGCGTACCATTGACAGAATAAGATTATTTTTAATACTGTTTATTAAAAGTATTTACAAATTATAGCAAAAATATAATAAAGTAACAATTGAATATCAAAAAAATATTGTTTTCAGTAATGATGGTGCTTGGGCACGATGTGATGCGTGTCGTATTTGACGTCAGCGTGGAATCTGAAAATAATTTATTGAAATCTTGCATTAGTACATTAGTTAGTCTTATTTTAAAGAAACAAACTGGAATATTAAATTGTCTTTACCCAGTATGATCACCGTGATAGTGAACAGATCTAACGGATCCATCAGGCTGGTGAAGGGAGTAGTATCCCGTCACGTGGTCTCCATCACGACTCTCATGTTGATCCTTGATGTCTCCAGTGTGAGGATCATTCACTTTGTACTCGAACTCATACTTGGGATGTGCCTATTGTCAAGACAATTTTAAATAATTAATAAGTAAAACTATTAGTTAAGATTTTTAATCTATCTTATGAAATTCTTATGAAATTTTCTGTAAAGTAATATAAAGAAAGGAAAGCGTACATGGTAATCATGGTGACCGTGATGTCCATGGACCAGTTGCTGATGTCCATCGTGTCGGGAGATGTGATTAGATGAGTACGCTGATCCATGACCGTAGCCGTATTGAGCCGCAGCAACGGCGACGAGGGCAGCGAAACATAATATCTGGAATATATAAAATGGTGTTACAAAATCATTTCCAAGAAATTATATACATTAAAGATTTTTTAAAATTAATATATATTTTTTTAAGTAACATACCTTACAATACATTTTGGTAAGCTTGATTTCCTTTCTAACTCTGAAAGTTGAATGGTGTAAAGAGATACGGAATGTTGTCTTATATACAATAAAAAGAGAACTGATATGATTTCACATTATGTGTCCTTGAAATTCGGTTGTAGTCTATAAAAATTTAGTAATATAAAAATATATGCAACATTTTTAATGGTGTTGTTAAATTTGCTTGTTTCATAAAGCATTTGATCACGACACACGACTAGTAAACGAAATGCTCAAAGATGAATGAACTATGTTTGTTCAGGAGTAAATTTTATTAACAAGTCTTATTTTATCAATGGCTGTAATCTTAAATCTAAGTGCAATGTAAAAATGTTAATTATTTTGTTACAGCATCATTATGGAAACAGCTTACCGTGTAACTAATAGCGGGGGTTAATTATATTAAATACACAGATATTCTAAGTAGTGTTTATAAAGCTGTCCGTAAGAATATGTCGATTTTTTTGTAAGCATTAAAGTGAATATATAGTTTATTATATAGTTTTTATTGAACAGTTATTTTAATTATTTAAATAAAAAAATATTGTAATTGTCATTTCTTTTTATTCTCATACCTAATTAATTTATCAATATTTTCTATTTGTATCAGAATATTCAATCTCATTTTCCCAACAAGACATTTAATTATAGCTCTTAACCGACTTCAACAAAGAAATGAGGTTCTCAATTCGTCTGTCTTTTTAAACGACTTTTTTTTATTTTTATAACCTCATAAGTTACGACGGGGCGAAGGGATTTCAATGATTTATTTATTTGTATGCTGGACCTTCCCACGGGTCCTATTATTATTATTTGGTCCATTTCTGACAGTTACGTTCAGGAGAAAACCACAAACATAAAAGTACCATTATAAAATAAATAATAATAAAAAATAAAAATAAACTTTATTGACTCAAGGATTATATAACAATCAAGTTGCAAGGGCCCCTGTACTAGGTGCAAACCCGTATTACTGGGTGCCCCGGTCATCCACCAAGACAACTAGAAACTCAACAATGATTTTGTTACACAGATTTATAGTAATATCCTATTAAGCAGTGTAAACAATTTTATAATGTGTGTGTGTGTGTGTGTGTGTGTGTGTGTGTGTGTGTGTGTGTGTGCACGCGCGCACGCGTTTGTGTGTGTGTGTGTGCTTTTGTGTGTGTATGTGTGTCCGTGTGTGTGCGTGCATGCGTGCGTGTGCTTAAACATGTATAAATTTATTTATAATTGTGAAAGGTTTAGATTAATTATCAATTTTTCAGTTTCATCATAATTATACGTGAGTAATGTTTCAGTTAGAACACGCTTTACTTTGGACTTTGACAGTCTGTAGAAGTCAGGTCTACTATTTAGTTTATAACAATTTTAAACTCATTTTAAATAAGGTAAAATAAATAAATATATAAATTAACATATTAAAATATTTCGTTTCTTTCAATTTTTTAAAATTATTTTAGTTATTATACGAAATACAATTTTGCAGGCGGATATAATGTAATATTATAAGCAACATAAAAGGTAGTAAATATTTGGAATATCTGGGGAAGTCAATTTATATTTTAAAATATATATATACAAAAATATATATAATAGTATAAATGACAAATTTTGTGATTTACTTCAATAATTCTTGGAAATGATTTTAATTTTAACAATATTATAAACTTCACTTTTAAACTTTAATCGCAATAAAGTTTACAATAAAAGTAACTTGTCAAAACTCAAGTCAGTGAACAGAACACAATGTGTATGTATGTTTTAAACTACTGCTACTTTTCAAAAATAGAAGTCAATCAATCTTTTAATATTGCGAGCAAAATGCAGAAAAACCCAGAGCCATGAATAACGAGACATATTGTCTTAAGTTATGTTTTTAAAGTTAAATATGGTATTAAAGGTACACGCTTTGAATGTTTGTAAAAGTTCCTCAAAATCATAAGGTTACGATTTGTTTTTACAAACCTATATCAAAATAATACATATGATTATAATGACAATATTCTAAACCACTGACATGTCCGTCTTTGACATCAGAAAGGAACCACAGAATAAAAACATAAGATATATTTAATTGTGTTTATTTAAAGTATTTACAAATTGTAGAAATAATATAATGAAGAAAAAATTGGATATTAAAACATTGTTTTCAGTAATGATGGTGCTTGGGCACGATGTGATGCGTGTCGTATTTGACGTCAGCGTGGAATCTGAAAATAATTATGTATTCGAATCTTGTATAAGTATAATAGTTGGTTTTATTATGAGAAACGAACTGTAAGATTTAATTTTCTTTATGAAATGAGTATTAAAGCATTTAATAATATTATTTCTGTGATGTTTACCCAGTGTGATGATCACCGTGATAGTGTACAGATCTAACGGATCCATCAGGCTGGTGAAGGGAGTAGTATCCCGTCACGTGGTCTCCGTCACGACTCTCATGTTGATCCTTGATGTCTCCAGTGTGAGGATCATTCACTTTGTACTCGAACTCATACTTGGGATGTGCCTGTTGAAAGTTAATATAAAATTATTCATAAGTAATACTTAGGGTTGAGATTTATATTGAATTTTATAAAATTGTCTGTAAAGCAATATAAAGATAAGAAATCGTACGTGATAATCATGGTGACCGTGATGTCCATGGACCAGTTGCTGATGTCCATCGTGTCGGGAGATGTGATTAGATGAGTACGGTGATCCATGACCGTAGCCGTATTGAGCCGCAGCAACGGCAACGAGGGCAGCGAAACATAAGATCTGGAATATATAAAATGGTGTTACAAAATCGTTTCTCCAAAATAACATACATAAAAGATTTTTTTATATATACATATATTTAAATATTTTAAATATACATTTTTAAGCATACCTTAAAATACATTTTGGTAAGCTTGATTTTATTTCTACCTCTGGAAGTTGAATGGTGTATCGAGATACGGAATGTTGTCTTATATACAATAAAAAGAGAACTGATATGATTTCACTTTACATTACGTGTCCTTGAAATGTGGTTGTATTGAATATTCATTTAGTAATAGAAAAATGTATGCAATATTTTGAATGGTTTTGTAAAATGCCGTGCTTATAGAGTATTAAATCAAATTACTTAACGAAATGTTCAAAGATGAATGAACTAAGTTTGTTCAGGAGTCAATTTTATTAACAATTCTTCTTTTATCAATGGCTTTGATCTGAAATATAGGTGCAACATATATATGTTAATTACTTTGTTACACCATCTTTATGTAAATAAAGTTGTTGTGTAGTTAATATCGGGGATTAATTTCTAGATATACAGATAATGTAGATAGTGTTTATAAAATTGTCTGTAAGAAAATGTCGATTTATTTGTAAGCAATTAAGGGAATAATTAATGATATATGCTTATTGAACATTTTTTTAAATGTTAAAAAAAATATTGTCTTCATCATTTCATTACATTCTTATAATTAATTTATTTACTATTTGTTTTAAAATAAGTAGTCATTAAATATTTTAAGCTGTCAATCTTATTTTCTCAAGACATTAAATTATAGTGGTCCCCATATTAACCGATCTCAACAAAAGGATCAGGTTCTAAAATCGTTTGTTTTTACATACAAACGACTTTTTTTATGTTTGTTACCTTATTTGTTAACTTTTGACTGGGCGAAGCAATTTTAATGATTTTTACTTGATTGCTGCTGTTGTATCATTTCAATTTGTTCCAGTTCGGATCATGACATCGATGGTAAACCATATGACCAAAATTAAGATTAAATATGTGTGCGGCCAACGAGTAACTCAATATAACGCCAACCGATTTATATGGGTGGACTTCACAAATGGTCCCATAATAACTACTACAAGACGTGATTATGAAATTCTGAGAAAATTACCCAGAATTCTTAAAACGTGTCGGCATACATGATACAAATTAATTAATGGACATAACTGAAGGTGTATCATGATTGACCTTCATCGTCGGAAAACAGATTTCGTAAATTTGTTATTTACCAAACTGAAAGAAGGTGCAGGTTGTTAATTAGACAAACGAACACTATTTTCATTTATTTTCCAATAATCTAATTTGATACATACCTATCTAAATATACGAGTATACAACTTTTTAATATCTAATCATATTTTTACAGTCCCTGCCACATACAGATTAAGTATGTAACTAGGCACTAATGTAATACTTAACACTAATTGAATACTAATTTGAACTACCTAAAGGTGTTTTAAACCTAAATACATTTACACTTAGGGTTTTATAACACGATAAATCCAACAAATAACAACTAAAATTCAATTTCGATTATTCTAAACATAAGCCCGAACACAAGATATACGATCGAATATTCATTAGCTAAATAATGATCGTGAGAGAAGAACATCTTTACTCTAATCCTTCAACTTCTGTATTGTATTCTGTTCAATCCGTCTTCTCCTTCATATCTAAAAGAACGTTTTCAATTTCTTAGTTGTTCACATATTCATAATCTTCGTTCTGAAGAGAATTTGATCTTACAAATACCACCCCATATAACATCTTTTTACACTCACTCCTTTACAGTCCATTCAATTCGTCTTTGGAACTCTCTTCCACTCGAAGCAAGACTATGACTTCTTTTAAAAAAATGATAAAAGAGCACTATCTTGCTTCATGAAGAAATACTGCAATTAAATATTTTATTTATTATGTAAATATCTATAGTATGTAAATGTATATATTTATAATGTGTATGTATATTATATTATATATATATATATATATATATATATATATATATATATATATATATATATATATATAATTTGTACACCCCTACCATCCTATCTCTCTCCTCTACCAAAGATTGCCTGGAAGAGATCGCTGTTTTAGCGATAAGGCCGCCTATTGTACATTTTTCTTTTCTTTATTTTACTACTATTATTAGTCTATATTGGTGTACAATAAAGAGTATATAAATAAATCTTATGGAAAGTACCTATAGATATTGATTGCCCATAGGTTCAAAACGAATAACTGGGTTTGCTGGTAGCACAATCTAGACAACGCCAGTCACCAGTAGTAATATTAACCTGCAATTATTCTATTTACTGTGAAATATCACCCATATCGCTAAACCCAAGGCACCGGCCTGAAAACGTGGTTAGACAAAGTAATTGTATAGATATAGGTCTTCAATAAAACTATTGGAAAGTAATTTAAAGTAGTGTTCCTTTATCTAGGTGCATATGTTACATACGTCTTTAGTCTATTCTTATTTTAATAACACAGGTTAGATTATGACATAGTATTCAAATGGGAAAATTTGTTAACTATTTAGTTGTTTTTTTGAAATGGTATTTATTACGTAAAAATAATGGTATTGCCTATATAATTTCAATGGCAAGACTAAGGGTTAAGAAATATATTATTTCAAAACAAAAAACGACATACATATGTATTATGAATATACTTATTTATTATCAAAAAGTCGTTCAAAACCGATTTTTAATAAGGTAAAATAAATGAATATAGTACATAAACTAATATATTATGAAATTTGGTTTTTGTTTATTTTAATAAATAATTTTAATTATAATACGCTATACAAGTCAGTCAGATTTTTTATTTGAATTAAAAAATTATCCTAAGACCAGTAAATATAACAAATTTTATAATTATTCTTTGAAATGATTTTAATTTATTTGATTTTAATTTTAACCATATTTTAAGCTACATTTTCACAATAAAAGTAAAATGTTATAAACTACTGCTCCTCTTTAAAACAGAAGCTAAGCAAGCTTTTAATATTAAAGCAAAATGCAGAAAAACCCAGAGCCATGAATAACTAGACAAAATGTTTTAAGGTAAGTTTTTAAATTTAAATCTTTTTCTAAAAGTATAGGCACTGAATGTGAATCGTAATTATAACGTTACATTTTGTTTTTACAAAGTATATCACAGTAATGATTAGGTATTGTTATTATTACAAGATTTTAAACAACTCACTTTGTCAACGAAAAGGAACCAAAGAAAACAATAAGATTATATTTAATAGATTTTATTAAAAGTATTTACAAATTGTTAAAAAAATATAATGACGTAACAGTTGAGTATTAAAAAAATATTGTTTTCAGTAATGATGGTGCTTGGGCACGATGTGATGCGTGTCGTATTTGACGTCAGCGTGGAATCTGAAAATAATTATACATTTGAATCTTGTATAACATTAGTTGGTTATGTTATGAGAAACGAACTGTAAGATTTAATTTTCTTTATGAAATGAGTATTAAAGCATTTATTTATATTATTTCTGTGATGTTTACCCAGTATGATGATCACCGTGGTAGTGGACAGATCTAACGGATCCATCAGGCTGGTGAAGGGAGTAGTATCCCGTCACGTGGTCTCCGTCTCGACTCTCATGTTGATCCTTGATGTCTCCAGTGTGAGGATCATTCACTTTGTACTCGAACTCATACCTGGGATGTGCCTACAATTGTAATGTTCAAAATATTATAGAAGAGTATCATTTTAGAGACTTCTTGGTTTAATAAACTCTTATTGGTACTCACATGATAGTCATGGCCGTGATGGCCGTGTACTATGTGTGGATGTCCATCATGACGGGAGATGTGGTTAGATGAGTAAGCGGATCCATGTCCATATCCATATTGGGCTGTCGCAGCAGCAACGAAAGCAGCTAAACACAAGACCTAAAAAAAATATTTTTCATAAAAATAAATAAAAACGAAACAAAACTAAAAATGTAAATATATGTGGGCATTGTATGTTTTCTAACCTTGCAATACATTTTGTCAAAATGCTTTGATTTCTCAGAGTCAAATGATACTAAGTGACACAGATTGTTGACTTTTATACAATCAAAGCAAGGGTATAGATATGATTTCACCTCACGCAACTGTCCGTGAAAATGGGTTGTGGTCAATATCATTGTTGATATTTGTTAATCACTATATGCTATTATAGTTTTTTTCGTAGACGTATATTAAAATATTAACCGCAATACATTTTGAAAATTTGTCATGTCATTGTTTTTTATGTTAATTCAGTTCAAAAGTTGCATTGTAATTTTTTGTTATTGTTTCATAGGTATATGAAATCAAATTATGTATTTACTAAAGTTTTGAATGTAAAGCACTTTTTGTCACTGACGTTAAATTCTATTGAACATAATTACATACAAGTAGGAATGAAAGCTATTTACCAAAACCCCTTTATATTTATGGAATAACTTCATAAAGAGCAAAAATGGACGTATATAATAAATTGAGGACTGCCTAAATTTTCGAAGTCTTTGATAAGGATCAACGGTTTATTATACGAAAAAGGATTATGTTAATCCAATTCAACCTCAGAGTTGTGGTCGGATTTAAGGTTTACAAATTTGAATTACCACCTCAAAAAGAATAGCTTTTATCATTCTAACTTAGTTTGACAACAAATCTCTTTTGAATACTTTTTTCCAGTATTATAGACTGTAAGACAATGCTTCTTGTTTAATTTTGGTCTTGCAAATTGTTGGTTGTCTAAACTGATGAAAGCATTACTTCTCTAAAAATTTGTCGTCCTTCATTCTGTTGTGAAATTTATAATGACAAATCTATTTCCCAAAAAAATATTTCATAACCAAGATAATAAAGAACAAATTTTAATAATATAATACATGCATATATGTCTTTCAGATAGTAGAAAAATTATAATATTACAATAAGGATATACCTTACAATCTTTAATTAAAAGGATTGACAATCTAAGATTTACTAAATATTGTTAGTTGTTTGTGGAAACTTCACAATTTAATATAATGATATTTTCAATAGTCTCACAAATTGAAATTTTAATTTCCCATACAGTTAAAAAGCATGTTCATAATATAGAAAAGATATAATATAGAAATATTCGTAACCACGTATGATAAGAAACAGGTAATCAAGTTGGTTTTCTGAGAGGTAATTTGGAAATGTGTGATAAAATACATATATATTTAGTTCACTATTTAGAGGTTTCAAGATCTCTTAATAGAGTACAAATAAAGAGATGGTACCTACTTACGAATTCTATGTTATTAGTGGTTCTGCAATTCAGTTGACTTATTATGTTTCTATACAACTTGACCTTTTATTTGACTTGCCAGACCTAATTGATCTATATAAGTCTCATATATCTTATTAGAACGAACAGTTTTTTGATATTTGCTTTAAATTTCGGTTTTTTATACCACTTTCTTACTTTTGTTTACAATACTTATTTCTGGTAAGTCTTTTACCAAAATTATATAAATTTTATATAAAAACGCATAGCATACTTTGATATATAATGCAATTAAACAAAAAAAATTGAGCCTCCAGTTCTATTTTTATTTCAAATGACTTTACTTTCAGTATCGTTGTATATAAATAAAAAAAATAATTGCATTTACATTTTGTCTTAATCAAACTGTAAAGCATTTCACATTAAAAAAGTTTGTCGAATTCCAATAAAAAAAGGACAATTGATATTTTGTAACGACAACGGATTTTCAGTTTTGTTTAATTAAGATGACAGTTTCATTTTAGAAAACATCATAACTAATTAAAACCCTAAACACACGAATATTGAAGGCGAGGCATCGATATTTATCATTTATTATTTTTAGACGTACTTAGACTTGATTTTGATTATAGCAAATTATTGGAAATAAACTTTTGATTTATATTAGGTGGTAGAGCCTAGCTGTGGTTAAGTTACTACAGCTCGAACATGGGCTGGCTCGACCGGGGAAGTACCACCCTCTCACAGAAGATCGGCGTGAAGTAGTCAGTAATGACTGCGTTTCGTCCGATGAGTGAGAGAGCCGGTTGCCCTTTCCCTTTTCCCAACCTTTCCTTGTATTTCCTTATTCCCACCCTTCCCTATCCCTAAAAAGAAAAGGTTGGCAACGCATCCGCAACAAATATGTTGCGGATGTCCATGGGCGACGGTAACTACCTTACATCAAGTGGGCCGTCTGTTCGTTTGCCACCTATAACATAAAAAATATATATATATTCTTATGTCACTGATTCTATCCAAACATCTACGTATTATGCAACCTTATTGGATCCCAGTACATTTTCTATTGACACTACAATTTCCTAATTTCTACTCCAAATATTACAATGTTCAAAAATATAATCATCAGAAAATAATATTCTTTCAGCAAAGAAAGAAAAAAGTTTTAAAAACTATAATTACTATTTATCAAAATCAAGCAAGATTTGTCTAAAAAAAAGTTAAGAATTTCAGAAGTCTTTAGTGGTGATGATATTAATGTACATTCCACAGGCACGTCATTATGGGAAAATCATAAAAATTACCAAATCTTTTTACTTAATATATATGATTATTATATTTCTCAAACGGCTTTTGTTATAATCAGTTGCCTCTGACAAGGACAAAGAAGCGGAAGGAGATATTTTTTATAAGTAAAATATTTTAATAGGGACCACCTTTGGGTACCACCTTGCTTAAAATTATACGAACAACTATAGATATTGATAGCAAATAGGAAATAAAAATAATAAATTCATGCCACTTTTATTATTATAAAAAAAAAGCTATGACACTTAATTAACTAAATGTTTTGGTATTTCTAGTAGGTCAAAATGCATTGTTTTCAATAGTGGTGGTGCTTGGGGACGATGTGATGTGTATCGTATTTGACATCGGCGTGGAATCTGAAAATAAAATATTCATTTACTTTAAATAAGTATACTTATAGAAATATATTCTCATACATCTTTTAGTTGAGCCATCTCTTACCCAGTGTGATGATCACCGTGATAGTGAACAGATCTAACGGATCCATCAGGCTGGTGAAGGGAGTAGTATCCCGTCACGTGGTCTCCGTCACGACTCTCATGTTGATCCTTGATGTCTCCAGTGTGAGGATCCTTCACTTTGTACTCGAACTCATACTTGGGATGTGCCTGCGATTATAATGTTCAAAATATTATATCCAGACAGAGTATTGTTTTAAAGACTTCTTTTTTTACTAAACTCTTATTGGTACTCACATGATAATCATGACCGTGGTGACCGTGCACTATGTGTGGATGTCCATCATGACGAGAGATGTGGTTGGATGAGTAAGCGTCTCCATGCCCATGTCCATACTGACAAGATACGATAGATGTCAGGGCAGCCAGACATAAAACCTGGAACACATAAATGATATTGTCATATGAATTCGGACTGGAAATAAAGAAATTAAAGCATAGGATACGGGGGTTATAACTTTAATACCTTGATATACATTTTGGGAGTAGGTATGTTTTGTGTACCACGTCGAAAATCTTAATGATAAATATCACAACCGTACTATGTCTTTTATTTAAACTATATCAAGGACACTGGTATAATTTTTACTCACACGATAGCTATGTTAAAATCTATGATCGGTATCTAACGTCATTGCTTAAGAAAGATAACGGGAAGCAGTTGCTAATTGTTTACCAAATTACCTATGATGGAACCTTATTTTCGTAATTGTCAGCATGTAAAGACAGTAAAGTTTTTGTTTATTGTGGTTAGCAATAAAGAAGAAATCTAATTAGAGAACGAGATATCATCTTTTAATTCCTCTATATAAATATTTTCTCTAAAAATATAAATAGTAAAATAATCTTTAAAAAGTGTAAGTTTAAATCGCCTGCAGAAAGTCAGTAAGTGCATTTCCATAGCTACATATATATACTTTAAAATATACTCTTTTGTTCGTTTCTTTAATTATATTCTAACATCTGAATATAAATTGTCTTAGTTACACGAAATGTAATAAAATAAAATGTGATCCAAATTTGTTTTTATGGTTTACTTGCTTACTCGCTACGAATGTTTATTATAGTGCCGTGGACGCTACAACGCTTCATTATGTAAACAATAATTCTTCTAGAAAATATAAACATCACTAAAAGAAAAATCATTTTTAACTTAAGTAATAAGTGAAGGATTCTTTTCTTTTGTTTTTGATTTTATATTGTTATAAAATGTTAACTATTTTCATAATGATGTCGACATACTAACTCTGTAACTGTTTGAGTATACTGGTAAGATTATTTTTAAAATATTAATATAAATAAATAATGAGATGTGATCCCGTGAGCCCGTGATCACGGTTGCTGAAAAGTAGCCGAAACGTCGGGAGTATGTAGTTTTCTAATCAAAAATAAAACGCGAAGTAAAATCCGAAAAATATTAGTTTCATTTAAACAAATAAATAATTTTTAACTTTAAATTTTTTAGGAAACCTGTAATGCACAAATATATTTTATAACTATGGTCTTTCATATTATAATATTTAACGACGATTTTCTAAATATTTCCTTCCTAACATTTGTTCTTATTTTTAAATAAAATTTGTTTTCTTAGGTGACTCTTATAAGCGATTCTTACATTTTATATATTACATATATATATAAGAGAGTAATACATATGACAGCAATCTTTAGGAAAGGCCCAAGATATTTTCTAAGTTTTACTCCAAATATTAAAATTAAATCGTCATAAAAATATAATCACTTCCACCACTTAAGCAAAGAGAGAAAAAGATATAATTAAGGAATAAATTTATTATTTATTTGAATCAAGACAGAAACTCACTTAACATCGAATAAATGAAAATTATTATCATTCTAATATTGAAGTAGTCTTCAGTGATGATGATATTTATGTTCAGGGATGTGATGATGGGTGCTGTATTTCACGTCTGCGTGGAATCTAGAACAAAAAAAATAAAAGCATTTTATTCGGTACTTAACAATAAGATAGCAACTTTTATTTCTTCAACTGACAATAATGTTTACAAAAACAATATGTCTACATGTACCATTATATCAAAGAAAGTAGAATAAGTTGTTGTAGACAGAATTTAATAAAGTATTTTAAATCCATTTACTGATAAGACATATTACCCAGTTTTGTCGTCACCGTAGTAATTAACTACTCTCTCAAGTCCATCAGGTTGGTGTAATCTGTAGTAACCTTTGAAATGAGCACCATCTAGGATCGCGTGCTGAGACTTGATATCTCCAGTATGGTGATCCCTTACTTTGTACTCAAATTCATACTTGGGGTAGGTCTGAAAGTACATACAATTGGATACCACACTTTACTTGCAGAATGAATCTAAGTGTAATAAAGTAATGAACTCTATATTTACGTAATAATCGATATGGTCGTCATGGTGACCATGATGACCATGGTGATGATCATGATCATCATGATGATCATGATGACGATGCCGAATGATCTCTGGATGGTCATCTGCTTTCGTAATGTAAACTGACGAGTATGCGTCTTCGTGAGCCCATGTTGCGGCAATCACAGCCAAACAGCACAGAACCTAAACAGATATAACAATTATTTATTAATACTTGTCAAAAATAAATCTGAAATGAAAGATATCAATTGGCTTATTCATACCATACCTTAAAATACATTTTTATCTAAATATTCTTCCTTACGCGAAGTCAAAATGCTACTGATGCATTGATGTTTGGAAACCTAAATATTTATACTAGCAATATGATGAGTCAGAAAGGAATTCATTAATCAAGATGATTTTAGAATTTAATAGCATTGCTAAAATTTAGCCTTGCTAAAGAAAGAAATCTTTAAGATTCCTAAAAACATTTAATTAAATATGTGTTTCTTTTTATTTTAATATTTCTGTTTGATTTTAAAATAGTACTTGAAAATTGGAAGATAATTATTTTATTTTAATTTTTCAACAACGTGTCTAATCAGGCAAGATACAGAATAATTTTAAAGAAACAAAGATCTGTAACATCTGGTTACTATATGGTCTGGTGTCATAAAACCTTTACACTCGCTATTTATAACCGCTTTTTTAAGGGGAAAATCATCAAATGACCCCTCTTGTCCTACTACGCTACGCGCCGTCCGCTCGGTGCTGCTTCTGATCGGGCGGCAAGATAACCCTTGCTCGCCGTCCGCAGACCCGTGCATTCTAACCGGTTGCCATTGACGAGGACAAAGAAGATGGATGGAAACGGATGGAAGTTAATATAATTAACTTCCATCCGCTTTCTTTATAAGTAAGCTTTCTTTGTAAGAAACACTTTAGAGTATCTTTTAAGGTTATAACTAACTTACTATTTGAAATACGAGAGACATCCTAACGGCTATATATAGATAAATAGTAAGCAAATGATGAATTCGGAAAAAAAAATCATGCCATTTTTATTACAATAAAAACAAAAATATGAAATAAATCAACTTAATTTTTTGGTTATCCTTGTAGATGTTATGAAAGATACATTATTTTTAAAGGTGGTGGTAAAAATAAATTGTTTATGTTAAATAAGTGTTTTTATAGAAATTGGTTCGCATATATAATTTCAGCTAAGCAATCTCCTACCCAGCATGATGATCACCGTGATAGTGAACAGATCTAACGGATCCATCAGGCTGGTGAAGGGAGTAGTATCCCGACACGTGGTCTCCATCACGACTCTCGTGTTGACCCTTGATGTCTCCAGTGTGAGGATCATTCACTTTATACTCGAACTCATACTTGGGATGTGCCTATGATTGTAATGTTTCTAAATATTTATGTTTAAATAGATGTGCTACATGTTAAGTCAGTGGTGGCCTAGTTGTTAAAGGCCTGCCTCTCGAGGCTCGATCGAAGCTCCAGGATCGATCCTGGCAAGTACCAATATGATTTTTCCGAATGATTTGTACTTTCTAAGAATATTTAGATACCACTGATAGGCTGTGAAGGTAAACATCAGAAGGAAACGCGTACTTATAATTTCACAATTATAAGTTTGAAAACGCCCATTAATCCGTCTTGATTCAGCGTGGTGATTAATGCTTAAACCTTCTCCATATAAGAAGAGGCCTTTGCTCAGCAGTGGGCTCTGATAGGCCGATGATGATGACGACATGTGTTACAGATAAGTTGGTTTACTAAACTATTTTTATTATATATCACATGATAATCATGATCATGATAACCGTGCACATATACACAGAGTCTCCATATCTATGCCCATACTGACAATCTGCGCAGATATCAGAACATTGAAAAACAAGACATGTACATGTAAACTTTAATATGTAAGTCATTTTGCTTAATAATATGACAATTTTGAAATTAATCGTACCTTGAAATACATTTTAGTAAGCTTGTATTAATAAACACGGAGAAATGAATAACATGTATCAGTTTTTGCTATGGTCTTTTATATGAAACCAAAGTGTTTTGTCTACAAGAATTTCACCCATAGGTGGCAAGAAAGTAAAAGAACCACCGTATTTTATATCTATGAATATTTCCCAATATATAAAAATAATTGCTTTATCATACTAAAGTTCTATCTAATAGTTGTTTAAAAGTTTGCTTTACTTTTATTTATATGGTTCTATAAACCTGTTGAATTTATTAATAGATATGTACTTAAAAAGAGTTTTTGAAAAATTTGAGCGCCTACAAAACTATGGTGTCCGTTTTAAATTTGCTTTTCTCAAATATAATCTATTGTCTCGATTGCTACTTTAATTCAAGGGATTCATATTTGCTGAAATAACTGTGATCTCAATAATATCCGTTCCGTCCCGTTGCTGCCGAATCTCTTTCTTATTTTAAGATAAGATTTGTTTTCTTGAGTGACTCTTATAAATGCCTCTTAAGTTCTATAATTTATATATAAGATAATTATATACATATGACAGCAAACTTTGGGAAAGACTTAAGACGTTCTGTAATTATTATCCATATAATTAATAATATAAATAATAATTTATATAATTTCAAGCGTTTAAAAATTATTTATCAATGAAATTAAATCTCTTCTACAATTGAAGTAAACCAAAAAAAAACATATTTTTAAAAAGTATATTATTTATTTGAATTAAGAGGAAGATTTAACATCAACATCGAATGAATGAAAATTATTATCATTCTAATATTGAAGTAGTCTTCAGTGATGATGATATTTATGTTCAGGCACGTGATGATGGGTGCTGTATTTCACGTCTGCGTGGAATCTAGAACAAAAAAATAAAAGAATATTAGTTGGTACTTAACAGTTGCCATAGTAACTTTAGTTTTTTCAACTGAAAATAATGTTATAACAATAATGTTTACAAAATTATAAGTATACATGTACCATTATATATAAGAAAATAGAATAAATTGTTTTAGACAGTATTTAATAAAATATGTTAAATCCATTTTTTGCTAAGACATTACCCAGATTTGTCGTCACCGTAGTAATTAACTACTCTCTCAAGTCCATCAGGTTGATGTAAGCTGTAGTAACCTTTGAAATGAGCACCATCTAGGATCCCGTGCTGAGACTTGATATCTCCAGTATGGTGATCCCTTACTTTGTACTCAAATTCATACTTGGGGTAGGTCTGAAAGAACATACAATTGGATACCACACTTTACTTGCAGAATGAATCTAAGCGCAATAAAGTAATGAACTCTATATTTACGTAATAATCGATATGGTCGTCATGGTGACCATGATGACCATGGGGACCGTGATGATCATGATCATCATGATGGTCATGATGACGATGCCGAATGATCTCTGGATGGTCATCTGCTTTCGTAATGTAAACTGACGAGTATGGGTCTTCGTGAGCCCATGTTGCGGCAATCACAGCCAAACAGCACAGAACCTGGACGGATGTAAAAATTACTTGTTAACTTTAATGTCTTAAATAAATGCAAAATAATAATAATTTATTCATTACAAAATTTTGCACTGCTTACAACTATTCGTTCAAGCTTTTGATAAGATTATACATACGTACCTTAAAATACATTTTCACACAAATATTTTCTTGGCTTGTAGTCAAAACAATACTGATGCTTTGGTTGTTGGAAACCTTAATATTTATACTAGCATATGGTGAGTCAGAAAGGATTTTATTAATCAATATGATGTACGAAATTAATAGCATTTACAAGTATTAAAATAAAGCCTTGATAAAGAAAAGCATCTATAAATGATTCATTAAAATCTTATAACAATAAAATTTGTTCATATTAAAAATATTTATATCTTATTTTTGTAGTATTTGTCTGGACTTTAAAATTCTACTTAGCGAAATACTGAAAATTTGTAGATGAAAAATTGGTAAATGAAAATATATGTATATCAGTTTCCTGATATTAAACATACAGACCCTTCAAATATTTATTTCGTCTCTTAGTTATAAATCACAATTACACGAACTTAATATTGATGGTTGTATCTTTAGAAAGCATTTTTTTATATATTTATTCCATAGTATCTAAAAGAACTTTATACAAGGAATCTCTATCTCATTATTATTGCTAAATATGTAGAATGCCAAACTCACTGCTTCTAGTGAAGCCAGAATAGTTTAATTGTTAAAACTACTGGCATTCGATATTCCAGAGGTTAAGTTTAAAATACTTCTCGAATCAATGAGCTTTTAGTTATTATTTTTTGCTGTTACTATTGCAATTGAAATTACAATGTATCGAAAATTTTTCCATGATTTTTAAATTATCAGTAAGTTTAGTTACGATTAGTAAATAGATCGCTGATAGGAAAACCACATCCGCTATTTGTTATTAAGAATTGTTAAGTTTAGAAATAAATCCGACTGTATTGTGTAAGAGACAGACAGTCTGGTACGATATTTTTAATTCTTTTGGGACAAGCATAGTTTGCATTATGTAGGATATCAAAAATGTTCAAGAACAAGGTGTGAATGTTTTCTCAATCAGATTTTGAAAGAATTTCGCTCTTTTTTTCTACTGTTATGTTATTGCTTATTTATAACGCTAATTCACTGTTATTTATTATGAGTACCTTGCTTAGTAAAAGAAAAAAGTAATCATACTACCAAGATTCAATATCTTTTTATTAATCAAAATAATATTTGTTAAGGGATTAGGCTCAGACTTATTTTGTATTTAAATGAGAAGATAATTTTTTTTTAAGTTGTTACAAGGTACATTGGTTTAGTTTTTCTTTTTTGTTATAAAATTCTGACCTTCTTTAACGGTTTTATATAAAAATGTAGTATATATAAAAATATTAACACACACTTATACATTTGGTAATTATATAAAATAATAATTCTTACTTTATTTTTCAATATAATCAGTACTTTTACTACTAATATTTTTTTTATTATGTTATTTAATGATCAATGATATCCTGCATAAATATCGTTTTACAATTTTCTGGCATTGTACTTTTATTTAGGTTCTAATTAATAACTTATATAAAATCAATAAAATTTCAACTAGTTCTATAAAACATTACAATATCGTGATCATAAAATCAATACCATCCTATATGAACGAGCGCCTGGTCAAGTGGCCGTGACCGTGACAAAACGCAATTGCGCAGATACCAACCTAGATTTTTTAGTCCAATTTCCGTTATTGACTTTATTTGAATAAACGCTCTCTCTCTTAATATTACTCACTTATAATTGAAATATTTATTTAAATTAACTTTTATCCAATTATTTTTATGAATTGATAACAAGTTAGCATTGTCTCCATAGTTTTTCTAGTTATTAAGTTCCATTTCATATATACAGAAGCATACAGAAGTAAAAGTAACATTTTATGAAAACTAATTTATTATCATAGAAACGTATAAAAAAGACTTTGAATCTATACAATTAGTTAAATATCATTTGGTGATTTTGTAGTTTAATGCTCTTGTTTCTTCGGAACAATGTGGTGGGTGCCATATTTAACGTCCGCGTGGAAACTGAAAGGACAATAGATACGAACTAAGTTTAGTTTTCTGTTAAAAACTCAGTACTATGTATGAATAAAGTGTTAATCACGGGAATAAAGTTTACAGTAATAATATAGGATGGAAAAAATATCGATACACGTAGGAATTAATCTGAAATATGGCTTCCAAGATATCACGTCTCAAATCATGGTTGTAAAGATGTATTTTTATTTGGCTGTTATCAATTTAGGCTTGAAATCAGTTATAGTTAGTAAGATCACAAACTCACCCGGTGTGTTTATCTCCCTCATAATGTACGACCCTCTCAGATCCATCAGGTTGATGAAGAGCGTAGTATCCCTTGACAACGTCACCATCTCGGGACTCATGTTGAGATTTTATATCACCAGTATGAGGATCCTCTATTTTGTACTCAAAATTATATTTGGGGTACGCCTAGATATAAAAGATATTTGCTTATTTTATTGACATTATTTACAAGTCCAAATTACTGAAGGGTATATTTTTATAATCTACATATATTTCGGTGTATGGAGTGATATTATTTAATCCTTACATAGTAATCATAGCTTGCACCATGTCCGTGGCCTTCTTTACCATCACCGTGGCCAACCTTAACCAGTTCTGGTTTCCCATCTTGTCGTGATATATGCAGGGAAGAATATCCCGCACCATGTTCATTCGCCCATACAAAAGAAGCCAGAGTTATGAAACAAATTACCTGTAACACAAAGTAGTATTAGTAAGTATCACTTCGAGATATAGATTTTAAAATGAATTTTTTTTTGAGTACATTGCTTACCTTTGAATTCATTATTGTAAGTTTAGCTTTCAGTGAGATGGTAAGTCTAGAAACAAACTGATACACTTCTTCTGATAACCGAGTCTTTTATATCTGTCATCGATAACAAGGGTGACCAAGGTAATAGATTTCTCTATTATAATAATTTAAATAAAATATCTAGCGCGCTCTATAGTCTATTTGCAATTATGTCGCAAAAAACACTATCCCAGGTATACACTATGTATTGTTAATTTTAAACATAATTGCAGTGAAGCAATATAAGAGAAATGTTCTGATAATGTCGGAGCCAATAACCAAATAACCTACATAATTTATTTGCATTATGTAAGATCTTTTTGTTAATTGACTATTGTTGTTTTCCTTTTACAGCTAAATAAAAAATATATTTCTGAATGTAGCAGTCAATACGAAAACTCTTGTTTGATATCCAGCGACCTTTAAAACGCGATGCTTTGTCGATTTATTCTTGATAGAAACTCAATTATTTGTAAATTACATGAGAGGTCATTGTTCATTAATATAATTGGTTAATTGTACACATAAACTGTTATGGATCATGAAGCATTAATTTAGGACCAGATTTAAAATGTGTAAAATATTTTCCAGTATCGAAAAAGCGTTCGCACTAAACAGTTTATACGTATAAATTTTTATAGTTTTGCATGCACGAATATTTTTTTATGTAGTTAGATTCCCTTCTTAGGTCAGTTGAGTATCAATTCCTTCTTTATAATTTTCAACTTTAAATAAATTACTTTTTTTTATAAAATTGTTTAGGATATTTTGTTATTTTAATTTTTAAAAATGCCCGTACAATTTTCTTTTACTTTTTTTAATATAAATTGCATTTTAAAAGTTTTGAAGTTAAAATATATTAAAATATGTTCATAGATATTTCGTTTTTATTTTTAGATATAAGTGTGTTATATCAAGACTTTAAAAAGCTACAATGTAACATTTCATTTATTAATAAAATGATTAACTAAATTATGATTAACCCGAACTATGTTTTTTACGTTATACAATTCTATATTTGAATAATTATTGAAATTTATTTAATATACATTACTATCATAGTACTGCTTGTACCTAACCTTAGATTGGACCTCATATATCGGACTACAGTATAAGGTTAGCCTGTAAATTAAATTCAAATTTTATGGTATTTTATTGATGTAGTAGTAGTAGTAGTAGTAATGATGTAGTAATGGATTTCTATTCTATTTTTTTAGTTCTTTGTACAATGTACTAGAAAAATTTATAAGTAATATTTTTATGACAGCTGAATAGAAAGGTGTGATGTTCGGTAATTATGTTATGAGGAGGTCCATTGGAAAGTATAAACGTTATACATTAAAAAAATTATCTTCACGCAGCATATTACTTACCGTTGAAATATCAATAAATTACGAGTCATAAAGATTTTAAATAAAGGACTTCTTTTTCATAACCGGAAAAAATAAGACATGAAAATCTATCTTTATTGCGTACAAAAAGATTTTTATTTCCTCTTGATGAAAAACTATATTATAAATTCATAATTGCTGAAATTATACAATCTGAATAAATTTACACATATTTACATAGACTATATTTTGTATTTTAATTAATAGTAGGAGCTGTGTTCATAATTTATTAATTTTTATTAACAATACGATAACATTTACAAGCTTGGAATGCAAGTTTAAGTGTATGTAAGTAAATTTAAGTGCATAAGCATAAAGTATTTATTATTTATAAGTCAATGAAGCAAAAGTCAGTGAAGTCTCTCGTACACGAGAGCGCGGGTTCGATCCTGGAAAGTACCAATGTGACTTTTCCAAGTCATATGTGTTTTCTGAGAGTATTTAGACACCACTGACAGACGGTGAAGGAAAATATCGTGAGGAAACCTGGACTTATAATTTCACAATTATAAGTTTGAAATCACCAACCCGTGTTGAGCAAGCGTGGTGATTAATGCTCGAACCTCCTCCATGTGAGAAGAGGCCTTTGGTCAGCAGTGGGCTCTGATAGGTTGATGACGATGACGAAGCAAAAATATTAATGTCTAGATATTTGTTTACAGTGGCTATCAGAAACGTTCAAATATTTTAATTCAAAAACCTAAGCATTACCTATTATAAATTATTAATATAATAAATATAAAAATCCTCAATCTTGTATGAACATCCACTCATAAATTACATTTTAGTGGGTGAATAAAACATTTTATATGTTTGTAGTATTGTTTGTAGTCTATTGTCAGTAAACAAAACGGATATGACTCAATTATAACCCGTAGGTACAGTTTTATAAATTAGTTTTAGAAAATGAATATGTTTTCACATTGAACGAAAATAATTATTATAATGAAGATATTATAATAATTGATATTCTTCAATATTTTTATCTTAATAATTATTGACATATGCCAAGTTAACGAAAAAATAATTATCAGTTTTATGTCACTCAGATTTTAGTTTATATATTACATTTTTTAACATAAATGGAGAGACCTTAAACTAATTTAAAGAACGTGAAATCTTAGATATTGTTACTAATTATTATAGGTAACTTTTTCTCCTTTTCATCAGATTTATAACTATGTAGTAATAAGAAAAATATTAGGAAACTATAATAAGCGGTTATGTCACTTACTTACGTAGCTACAACATAGTTATGGCACAACATCATTCGGAACAAAATCAAAAACGGAAACTATTCTTAACCTGTCTACAAAAGTTTACAAAACAACTTTTAAATTTAACTCAAATTCTTAACCAGGAATAATGGCCTACACCCAATGTACTTACTGAACCGTAAATTCATGAATTAATATAATTTATTAAATATCATATTTATATTATATATCCTCCGTTAAATTATTATTAAAACAGTCACCATGAGCAAATGTGTTACTCAGTATGACAAATTTGTAACAATGGATATAAACGTGAACCAGCTCTGATTTTTAAAAGATTTCTTGTGTGGAACAAAGCGGAACCCTTTTTATTACATTTGATATTTTATGCATTGTCAATCGCATAAGACATGTGAGGCCAGAAGTAATATATACCTAGGTATTATGTTTCTTCGTTGTTGTTGGTTTTTTATGTGAATTTTAAGTAGGTCTTGGTGTCGAAATTATTTTTTGTAAAGCTTTATTAAAATGCAAAAATTAAATTACAACACCTTCCTTTTTGTACATATATTATTATTATAAAAAATAACAACAGTACTACATTTGAACAGTTAAATAAATATGTAGTTAAAAAGTAAAATATATTAGCATTAATTTAATTAAAAGTAACTGACCAAAAACGTGAGATTTTTTAGATCACCGAGTTTCGCTTTAGTTTAGACGCAAATAAAACTAAATCTATGTTAAATCTGAATACTGATACAGTCTTTGTATGTAAAAGAAGTTTTAGAAATCTCAAATTGACAGAGTACTTTATAGCGTTTATGTTAATCAGGATGTGTAAAAACGCCATATGAATTCTATTTGAAAATAAATAAACAAAAAACTCTGTTTTAAACGGTTTTCAATATATCAATATTTTAATAAAAGCAAACGATTGTTGGTTATTTATTACTAATTGTTTAAAAGGTATTGGTTATGTATCTTTACAAAGACACTTACGTAAACCTAAAATGGGTTTAAAAAAATATTACAAAGGAATATATATTTATTAAATTTTGCATACAATTAAATCTTATCAAAAATAATAAAACCAGAACGATACGTATGTCAATTAAAAAAACAGGTTAATTTCGGTTATGAAAAAGCAACAAAATTATAAGTACAGTCAGTGACAGTGTTTAATTAAAAAGCATTTCGATGTTTTGTTCCACTTTCTTCCTATTAATTTTTGATCACCAATTAAAAGGTGAAACATTTTGTCAATAAATTATTAGGAAATGGTTTATATCACTGTTTTCAGTATTTTATCTAAACTGGACAGACAACCTTCACATTGGTTACATAAATTACGTCAAACGGAACGCGTTCATGTTACTAATTTGACGCCCCAAGCAGTAAAAGATTGATTCAATTCTTTCTCGTAACCTCTCTGGTATATATTAAGGTTTAACCAATGCTAATTCATCAGTTGCACTAAGGAAGTCTTTGAAGAAAGATCAACATGTTAGCTAAAGTGTGTGATTTTTTATTTATTTAAATTACATAAACGGTATCACTATAGTTACTAATAACAATTTTGGTTTTAGATTTTAGTTTGTGCCATCGCAGTGGCGGCGTGTTATGGCCAGGAATACGGTTACAAGTATAAACCTGTACAAAGGGAACAAGTTAAAGAATATAAATACCCATCTCTTCATAGTTCACTGGGATTAGTTAATCATGAACCAGCTCCCATACACGAAGAAGAAGCTGCAGTAGAACCTGTTGAGGTCTATCAATCGCAAGACCTTAAGAATCCCTCAGTCGTGAACTATAGACCCGTCCACCATGAACCAGCCATATCATCACAGAGCGTGGTACATTTCCAGCCTTCTTCTCACCATGAATCTCAATCTCATGAAGCTTCTGGAGAATACAACGAACAACCACTCGCCTACAAACAGTATTACCAAGAGCAAGTGAAGCTACAACAGGGAGTCAAAAACAATATTCAGTCCCTGCATTATCCTGTACCGTCACATGAAGTCAAATCGTCTCATGCCCCAGCTCATGAGCAAGCTCATTATATTCGTGTACCCGCTCATCATTACCATTCTTCTAGCCAGGAATCAGACAATCATGTTCCAATTCATCAACTTGAATCCCACTCTCATGAGGAACCGATCGATTATTATGTAAGTTAACGACGTTGTCACATCACTATTTCACTCACGGATATCCGGCAATATAACTTTCTACCGTAAATTCGAATAGTATTTATTCTAAACTGAGATCGCTATACGACTTTTGTTTAATAAATTGTTTTTTCTAGGCTTATCCTAAATACCAATATGAATACAAAGTGGAAGACCCACACACCGGAGACAACAAATTCCAACACGAGATCCGCGATGGGGACAGTGTGAAAGGTGTCTATTCCTTGCACGAAGCTGACGGTTCAATCCGAACTGTTGAATATAGTTCCGATAAGCACCATGGGTAAATAATCCTTTTGACTACTTAATATAATTCTCATCTTTGCCTTAATTTTTTTCTGAAATCAATATATGTGATTTTATTTTTTCATGACATTAAAAATAACACTGAACTTTTTTTTCAGATTTAACGCTGTAGTAAAGCATTCGTCGCCAGGACAACACGTCCACATTAACAGTCATCATGAAAACTAACTGTTAACCAACAATTATTTTTGTTATTTTTTATATTATTGCACTTAAATTATTATTATGATATTTGCTTGTTGTTATATGTGTAAATAAATATTATTGCTTTTTGAAGAAAAAATAGTTTCTTATTTTGAAAAGTATTATTAAGTACTAAAAGAACGAATTCCTTTAATCAAAAATTTCAAACAATTACAAAATGAGAGCTTTTATACTTTTAATATTTAAAATAAATGTTTGAATCACTCTAGCGCTGTATCTAAACATTTCCTCATATGAAAATATTTATTAAATTAACTTAAAATTTCATCAATAAACGTAAAATTAAATTTAGTAAGTTAACAATCTCTTTTTAGGAATTTAAAAGTTATGATCATGTTCTTATGTTTATTAGTTATTGTGAAAGAGGCAGGCGTAATGAAGTAATTAAATTATAGAAGCATACTTGAAATTACTTCAAACAAAGGAAGCCACTTTATATCTAAAGAGTGAAAGGAAACGACACGGAAGGCTTCATTAAAATATGTTAACGTCTAAACACTGATGTTATCTGAAAGAAATGAAATTACCAACTGTTTATTGTATGACTGATAATAATAAGTACGTAGATAATTACTTTCATATTATTATAATACTTTTAACAATGTATATAATACTTTTAACTTGTATACTTGTATGTTTTTTACTTTTACTTGTATGTATATAATACTTTTAAAAATGTTATATAATACTTTTAACACGAAGAATAGAAACTGGCCTTTATTTTTTTATTGCAACAAAATCGAATCGTATGGAAACTCGAATTTCAACATTATTAAATTTCCGGAAGAAGAAACGGCGAAAAAATAACAAGATAAAATTATGATGTCAATAAAAAAATGGTCTTCTATGACAATGGGTGTCAAAATTTAAAACAATATAATCGTAAAAGAAAAACTTTTATTCACTCGACATTCAGACTTGAAAACGTGTTGGTAGTATAATAAAGGGTAGTATAATAAATGTGCTAGGACAGAACTATATTAAGATTTTTTATAGGATACATAATGATTAATAATTCTTACCCATTCAATATTCAAGAACGCAATAAGGAGAGTATTAAATAGGATGAACGTGTGTTGAATGACCGCATCGTTCATTGAATCTGAAAGTGATATGTTAAACTTGTTAATAAGCAGTCAGACTGTATCATTTTAGACTAAAAATAAAATTAAAAGGGTTTTGTAAAATATATGGACCAAAATAGTTTTGTATCAATTTATAAAAGATTTACGTTTTATATACACGAAATTTGGACTATTTTTTTAAATTACGATAGTGTAAAAATCTGAATGGCTTAACATTTTAAAAATTAATGCTGTTAAATAAGAAGCGATAATTAGGATTTTATTTTTTATGATAGAGGTTAGTTTACTAATTCATTGTAAATGCCAGTATTATGGTGTACGACCGTAAGTGTTTAATAGAATCCAAGTATTTACAATATACATAAAAGCCAGTTTGAAGTCACTGAACCGTTGCCACACTTATGGTTGAATTTAATGTCATTAGCAGGGGGTCATTGACCCTTTTTCTAATTCGTATCTTGGATATGAATGATTAAAAGAAAAACTAAATAGTAACGTAATTACAAATAATAATTAACCGTCAAAATGCTCACACTTCATTACACAATTTATCGGTGAATAGTTTTGTGGAATTCACGTTAAAAAACATTAAAGGCAATCTCATCCTTATTTTCTTTTCATGTTTCAAATGTCTAAAAACAGATACAGCTATAAGTGAATGTATTTTTTTTTTCTTCTTACTAATTCGTAAGTAATTAATTTTAAATATACATATGTGTTATACCCAACATAAATGATGATTACCATGATATCTTATACGCATTAACCATTGTTATACATACATGATTTAATATAAATAGACGGTATTGAACCTTAAGGTTACTTTGTTAAGGAGAAATATAAGAAGATTGATATGCGACCGAGGCATGGTAGAATGTAAGACCATCTTAAGTAATAAGAGGTAAGCACTGCTTAGGTAAAGACGAATGAATAATTTGTTAATATGTAGAACAAATAAAACATGGCCCGTATAATTTACAATACCTTTAAATTGGAGCTCGATATACTATTGATGAATCTGAAAGTTGGGATCGGTAATGATGATTACTGTGTCAAATTATTGGTAGAGAGTCTAATGATAACAGACATTTCCAATATAAGAATATAAAATATAAGTGTGATTTAAATAATAACGTATAAAAATAGTGAAATTTAATTCGGATACTAATTTACTTAAAAAAATACCTTCTTTGCTTTACATATTGGGTTGTGTGTTGCAGTTAACTGTGATATAAAGTAATAAACTCAGTTGAGATCTTTTGCTTTTATACTTGTAACAGAAATTTTCAAAACTTTATGAAGTGCAACGAGTTCTGCTTTATACAATGTTATATAAGATTAAAATATTGCTGCTAATATATGTAAATGTAAAAAGTAATGTGAATGTTCTTTTTATTAATTCCTGATTATTTAATATATGAAATGTTATTATAAATTAATTTAAAAGGGAAAAGATTTTGAGATATCCCCGAATGAGCAATATAATTACTAATATTACATAGAGCTAAAAAATATATTAATTATTATTTACGACCGGCCGCCTGCCTGACATCAACCCTCTTTGTGAATGCATTAATCAGTGATGTCTAAATACTCTTAGAAAGTACATAACTCGGAAAAATCATTGTGAACTTGCCCGGGCCAGGACCGAGCCCGCAACTTTAGACGCGGAGTCTTTAACCACTAGGCCACCACTGACTCCGATATTATAGAAAAGTTATCTTTATTTAAATAAATTATAGTAAATAATAATTTTTCATAAATTTTTACTAATCTTATTCTACATTTAAAGCGCTGATTAATTTTTATTTATGTTAAATACTTGCACTTAAAACGTCATGAAGTAACTGGAGCAAAATATTTAAAACAGGTTTTAAATTTTTGATTGTTGTAAATTACGTAATGGATTCTGTAAGATCTTTAAACTGATTACAAAATTAAATTTTTGTTCAAAATATTAAGAACGAGTAACATTTTGTAAAACAAAATTACAAAAATTGGAGTTTGTAATGTGTTTATAAAATGCTAAAGAAAATGTTATAAAAATCGTATCTATTTTATAATTGGCTAAATATTTGTAAAAAATATTTCGATTCGGAGAGGTTTGAAACTATACATTCGGTGTACGAAAATGTTATATACTTTTTTGTATTAGAACTGCTTAAAATTTTATTTTTGTAGCACTTTTTTTTCATTTCTTTACACCAGCCGTAAAAACCGGTCGACTTGTTTCCGAATTAAATAAAGTACGGTAGCCGTTGAATATAATTTATGTTGGCTAAAAAGTTTTATAAGCTTGAAGTTAATGTTTTTGTGTGTATTTGTCTGTGTCATCGTAGCTCTAAAAGGGATTGACCAGTATATTCGTTAAAGTACAAATTATGTGTAAAGTTTTGTTTTTAAATTTGTACGATTTATTTATTTTAAATAAAAATCTAAAATTTTAAAATATTTATGACATTCCTATTTCCTATACTTTTGCATTTGCGTCCATTAAATATTAAATATTGTTATATACTTTCCAAATAGTGTTTTGTGGTAGTAACTCTGTAGAGAGTGCTCAATATTATTCTTATCTCATCTCAGTCCATCATTCGTCATGATAACCAACAAAAATTTATTAATCTACCATTACCTAGTCCATAATAAACAAAACATATTTTACAAGTACAAACTTCTATGCAAAACTTTCATAATATAAAACAAAAAAAACTTCGTCTTTTTAAAGTTAAAAAAGTGTAGATATGTGAAAAAAGTTTATATCGGCGCTGCCAGTTTTAATAACGGATGCGACATGAAAATAATTTGAGGCTATCATCAATTCTTATTAAACCTCATTAGTATTTATGATTATTGTTAAAAGTAAAACGAAATCAAAGGCTGTTTAAAAGGAGAATAGAACTATGTTTAAATATTGGTATAAATATGACGTCTGGAGGCATGACGGCAGAATTCAGAGTTCAGTGAGTGCGTATCATTGAAGTATGTGATTATGAAGAACCTTCGAGAAATATAGGAGCATTAAGAACAATTGAAGTTTCATTTTAAAATATCATAGAACGTTCTACAAGAAGTGGAATACCACTTCAAACAAATATGTTACGTCAGCGAGGCTGGCGTCTCTCTCTTTAAAAACAACGAATTAGTAATAAATCCTATATATATTTTATGCCGAATTTAATATAAATTGTTACCGTAAGCAAAGATCACACAAAACAAACTAATGGTTATAATTTTTAAGAACAATCAAGCCCCTATTTGTTTTTTGCATTTTTGTCCATCTACTGTTTTTTGGCCTATAGCTAAAACTATATCGTAGTGCCTCTAAGTGTCGAATGAGAAACATTTTTAAATTGATAGATTATAGATTACATATTAGGAAAAAGGAAAATATTAACTTTGTAAGTTTCTGCAAATGGTATTACAGGCAGAAGTTTGCTCTTTGATTCAAATAGACAAATAAAATGTATGTTTATATAGAAACGGAATTTTTTGTATAATTTTTTTATCAAAACTGCATCAGGGTACTGAAAAATGCTACAAATGCTTAAAATTCCTACTTTAAAAATGTTATAATTATATAACTTATTTTAATGAATTGCTATAGCTTAAGGACGCAGTATTAAACCAGTTAAAGGCTCAAATACGAATATAAAAAGAACGGTCTGAAATGAAATTGTATCATTCAAATATCACATTGAAAAATATAAACATGCTGTCAAAGGTAAAAAGAATTATAAAGATAAATAATATTTAAACTTATCTCATATATTAAAAGTATTTTTTTCCATTTTAAGTGTCAATAGTGAAGTAATAATTATTTTAATACTTTCAGGTTCTTATGGTAGTAGCCTTACTGGGAGCAGCAAGTGCTCAACATTATTCTCATGGACAAGCCACCTCATCCCAGTCCATCATTCGTTATGACAACCAACAGGGATACAACCACGTTCAACCTATCGCCATCCATTCAGCTCCAATCTCATACCATCAACCTGCTATAGCTGTTCACGCTGCGCCAGTCTCTAGCCACGTCAGTGTTCAACACGCTGCTCCAATCATTCAGCACGTGGCTCCCATAGCTCATGTAGCTCCCGTGGCTTATCATGGAGTACCTGTTCATGCTCAAGAACACCAAGAATATTATGTAAGCTAGACTTCTAAGTATCTTACAATAATAACTATAAAGTCTAGTGTTACTTATATTAGAACCATTACCTATCTTTATAATGCCTTATACTTTTTAGTCCCACCCCAAGTACGAGTTTGAGTACAGCGTAGCCGACACTCATACTGGTGATATCAAATCTCAACATGAAGCTCGTGACGGTGACCATGTGGCCGGCTCCTACAGTCTTCATCAACCTGATGGTTCAGTACGAACCGTACACTACAGTGCGGATGCACACAGCGGGTATGTTGAACATACTAGGGGTCATGTTATGTTATGTTATAAAATTATACATTGTCATTGGGCTTATAAAATTGCTTATGTTTATAAAATTGAAATTATCATTTAAACCTGTTTCAGATTCAACGCTCAAGTTGAAAATTCTGGCCCTTCAACCCATGTCCAACCTCAACCTCATCTAGCACCTGTTCATGTTCTGTCCCATCACTAATTTTTACAAAAACATAAAATAGCCATAAATATAGGTCATTAAATATAATAATAAACAATATTAATCGTTACGTGTTTTTTTATTAGTAACCTACCGGATGTTATTGCTGTCCTTTTCTTAGTATAGCAAAAAAGAAACAAATTAATATTTTAAAATAACAACCCTCAATTTTGCTCTTTTAAATTTTATTTATTTATTACGGAAATAACTTCTCTTTTCCCACACTCATATGCATTTATCACACCTGATATATCATCCTAGACACTTGTGAGAGAAAAAAGAGATAGAGAGATTGTCAAAGAAAGTAATAGTTTGGAAAATTTAAATATACGTTCTTTCAAATTAGTTTTTCATAATAAAATAATGATTTGTCAATACTGTATATATATACATTGAATGAACTTATTTTCAGGTGACAAAGCTTTCTTATTATACTTGTAGATTTTTAAGGTCTCACTCTATCACAGTAACTGACAACTTAAGTTAATATTTCAATAAAGTTAAAGATATGCAGAGTGCAGCATTTGTGCTAAATTTTGTTAGTGGCTCTCTAGAAATTGCCTGTAAAATTATTTTAATGTAATAAGCGATAAAATCGCTCAAAATTAGCTTAGCTGTATGTAAATCGTAATCATCGAGAAAATCGATTAAAAGAATTATTATCCTTCTTTCATATTGCTTAGTAAACAATTATTATCATACCCATCAGTCATTCAAAAGTAATATCCTACATAAACATTTTACTTTAAAGCAGTGCACAAATTTGATCGTGAAATTAAATATTCCTCATTATAACAAGAAATATTCATTTTCAAGCCCAATTTTCACTATAGCGAAGATAAAGATACATAGATCTTAAGAATACGCATAGAGGTTTTGTAATCATATATTTAAAAGTTAAAAATCTTCTTTGCCTTTATGGGTTTATATTGTTTTAAATATATTTTATTCAAGAGATAGGACCTTTGCCGAAAATACATAAATTTTGACCGAGGTAGGAGTAAAGCACGCCTTAACGCTTCGTTTAGAGGGAAAAAGTATTTAGAGTTTTCTTATACCATATGAAAATTTTAATAAACAATAAAAAAATATTCAGTTTTTTGTTCTCTCTGTTACGCATATGTCTATACATTCAGATATAGGTATCTGATATTTATAAAATATAATAATAGTTTTAAAACATTTTTGATAATGACTTAAAAAAACATCAGATAGAAGAAGTGTTAAATTTGATTATTTTGCTTTAAATTTATGTCCAATTATAGTATTGTAATAATTGCTATAATGTATTAGTTACAAGATTTTTCTTATATTCAATATACCCTTAAGTTTAAGATAATCTTATTAAATCTTTGCTTCTAATAACTTCTCTTATAGGTCAGTGTGTTATATTCACATCCAAATAGAAAAAAAATGCTTTAACACAATATTTCCAGCGTCTGACTTACAACTTATTACGAGGTACATATGTAGTAATTTATTACAAATCAAGACGTTCAATAAAACTCAATATCATCATTATTCACTAATTGTCATTCAGAAATATATTATTATATGCGGGCCAATATTTTCTGCGGGCAAGTTCTTCTTGATAGGAAATAATTTATGAGTGACAACATCTTCAGCATGTCCTTTAACACGATTTTGCGAACATTGAAGTGCAATAGGAAAATAAAAAATGTTTTAAAACTATTATTAAGATTAAGTTTATTATGTTTTGATTACATTTCGCAAACATATATGATGAAAAAAATATTTTTGGATGGTGTAAAAGTTTCTGTAGAATAAAAAAGTACGGAAATGAATTGAGATTGAGTTTGTTTTTGAAGAAAATATTGCGTAGTCATAAGAATCATTGCATCTGTACGTTAACAAAAATATTTTTTTATTAATCTTATTTCATCGTTTGTGTTTTCCTCTATACTAGAGCCGATTTCAGATAATTAACACAAAATATGATTGTCGATTCTAATTTTTTTACCGTCCAAAGTGGTTACACAACAACGCACTATCCTTTAGAAAGTAATTACCGCAGCATTCGGTCATCTAGTGTAACAATAAGATAAGTTAGGAATAAAATTTCTGCTTTGTTTATTAAATATGTTATAAACATATGACATTCATATATTATGTCTTCTATAAACAGATGTATTTAAACAGAAAATAAAATAATAGGAATTAAACCGTCTTTAAGTTGAAAAAATATAGCCTTATTTTTTATAAAATAAAAAAAAAGTCAAGTCATGTAGTGTAACTTAAAGATTATACTGAAATGCGTGAGGCACAAAATCGGGTAATAAGCCAAGAATTCCTCATATCACTTTTTGGAAAAAACTAATAGTCTTAAATCGCTAGACTTATTTTAATCCAGCATACAGGAAACCAATGTAAGGAAACTGGCCATTTAACTCGAAAAAAAAAAACACGTTAAAATCGTCGTTTTAAAGCTTTGTTTATTGATAAATACGTAGAAGAGTATTTTTCACTTTTGGTTTTCAGGCTTGACCGCAAAAGTGTTTAACAGACTCGTCACGCAAAAAAAAAGAATTTTATGAAAGTTGATATAAATTTAAAGTAATCGTAGAGATGCACCTAATACACAGTAAATAGTAAAAGATAAGAAGTAATATGTATAGTTCACATAATAATAGCTCTTGGCGATTTAGATATATGTAGGTATATTCGGGTAACTATAAAAATAAAGCCCTTTTATCCTATCTAAGCCAGTTTAGTACTTGTAAATTAAACACTCTAGTTAAGTTATAACTTGATTAAATATTCTTACATAAACCTTTTCAATTTCGTTTTCACTTAAGCACACAATCATAAACCAGTTAAAAGGTCGAATAAAGTTTTTCGTATATAAAAGAAACAACTTAGTATTAATTTGTATCATTCGAATATCATATCTTAAAAAAGAAACATGTTGTCAAAGGTAAGATTAATAAAATATATAAAATTTGTAATGATATAATTTCTGTCTGTTTTGTATTTATTATAAAATATTTTTTATTTATCATAAAATATTCATCCTGCAAATTACGAACTTATAACTTCAATAATCAACGAAAAGATTTTTATTAACATAGTTTTCCATCTCATTTTTATAGGTTTTCACATTAGTAGCACTTCTGGGAGCAGCAAGTGCTCAATATTATTCTCACGGACAAGCCACCTCATCCCAGTCCATCATTCGTCATGATAACCAAAACGGATACAATCACGCCACTATCGCCATCCATTCAGCTCCAATCTCATACCGTCAACCTGCTATAGCTATTCACGCTGCGCCAGTCTCTAGTCACGTCAGTGTTCAACATGCTGCTCCAATCATTCAACATGCTGCTCCAATCATTCAACACGTCGCTCCCATAAGACACGTAGCTCCCATTGCTCATGTAGCTCCCGTGGCTTATCATGCGGTACCCGTTCATGCTCAGGAACACCAAGAACATTATGTAAGTTTATGTTCCTAAAGTTGTAGGAATATTAAAATAATTTAAAAATTTCTTCTATTTGTGTTTGAACCTTTATTCATCTCTATCATATCTTTTATTTTCCAGTCCCACCCCCAGTACGAGTTTGAGTACAGCGTAGCCGACACTCATACCGGTGATATCAAATCTCAACACGAAGCTCGTGACGGTGACCACGTGACCGGCTCCTACAGTCTTCATCAACCTGATGGTTCAATACGTACCGTACACTACAGCGCGGATGCACACAGCGGGTACGTTCGACATACATATTTATGGTTTGACTCTACTTTCAAATATTTTGCAATATTACGGGAACAGTTCTGTGTCTTTGTCTTAACGCTTATGTTTATAAAATTATAAATTGTCATTTAAATCTGTTTCAGATTCAACGCTCAAGTAGAAAATTCCGGTCCCTCAACACATGTCCAGCCTCAACCTCACTTAGCACCTGTTCATGTTCTTTCCCACCACTAACATTTTTAATAAACACGTAATTTATATATATGTGTAGTTCATAAATTAGCCAGCGTAATAAAGACAATAATTATATAATATTTTTTTAATTTACCACCTATTTGCTTTAGTTCTAGAGTAGTAAGGATATAAATTTTTGTACTTTTCGAAAATTAAAACAACTTATTTTTAAAAGATTTGGAAATTTATTTGATGATGATGAATCATGAGCAAACTCGAACAATTAGCAATTAACTTTGGTTTATTACTTTCTGGAGCATTATTTTTTTAAGAATTTAACTTATAAATATTAAACGAAATTAAATAATTTAGTCCTCATGAACAGGTAGTTTGTCTACTTATCTTGCATTATAATATAAGCAATGATGGACAACAACTCTTTGTATTATAAATATTTGTATATAAAAATTTAAGATTCACTTGCAACCTTATTATTTATTTAAGAAATTACAAATACAGATTGAAAAGAAGTTATACTTTCCTGGTTTCTATAAACTATAAAAGTATAATGAAATATATTTAAGATGTAAGGGAAGAAAAAAATTAATGTTAAGCAGTTGTATTTATGTCAAACACCTGTGATTGCGGCTATCAAGCTAGGCAATCTACTAAGCCAACTTATATAAAATATTAACTCATTAATATTACAGTTTTCTTCTATAGGTCTGCCAAATAAAAATGTATATTTTGTTAAGTAAGTTTACTAACTCTTACTAAATATATATATATTTTTACACAAACAGCTTCACTATGTATTTTGACATTGTACATATTATATGTATCGGATTTATTACACATTTGTTGTTTTTAAAGAGAGGGACGACAGCCTCGCTGACGTTACAAATGTCACTTCTTCTAGTACGTTCCATGATATTTTAAAATGAAACTTCAATTTTTCTTAATGTTCCTGTATTTCTCGAAGGTTCTTCATAATCACATTATTCAATGCGCACTAACTGAACTCTGAACTCTACCGTCGTGCGTCCAGACGTCATATTTAAATCAAGATTCAAACACAGTTCTATTCTCCTTTTAAACAATCTTTGATTTCGTTTTATTTTTAACAATAATCATGAAGACTAATGAGTTTTAATAATAATAATTGATGACAGAATCAAATTATTTTCATGTCGCATCCGTTATTAAAGCTGAAAGCGCCGATATATATAACTGTCGTGAAATGATAATGTTCAAACAAAGGTCAATTTAAATTCCATTTGCAGAACAAAAAAGGTCATATTATATAAATTGCATTGAGCTTATATATATTTAAAAACATAGAATACGCGAACATGAAACTGAAATATTTTGAGATATTATTTAAATATTAAATTATAACTGTACAAGGTTATTTTTTATTCAAACGCACCTGTTTTTTTTAAATACTAGACGCTAGGGGTAACTTTTTACTTAGTCCATGTAGATTATTCTATATGCTTGATTTATTATAATTTTTAAATTAGATCTCTTTAAACACTTTGGGCTTTTAGCTTCTAAGATGATATGTAAATGGAATTAATTGCTAGGACTAAATAAAAGGAATTTGAAAAATAATGATTATTAATTTAATTAATACTTATACACTTAAAACTTGAACAATGATTTTTTTTATTTATATGAAATACAAATATAAGTCACCACTACTAGTCTAATTCACCATTTGTTAAATTTGTTATTTTGAATAAAATATATTTTAGTGAAAATAAAAAAAACCCTAATCTGTCCCATGTACTTATTTTTAATACGAATATCCCTTAAATTGGTTCCACGACAAAAAAAGACTATGGAATGTTAAAACAAAAGAAATAAATAAGACGAAGTGTAGTGTACATGGTTAAATATGTTCTTAGTCTTTCTAGGTTGTTGAAGGTGGCAGAGACTAATCGAGGTCAGTTACTACAGCTCCAACATGAGCTGGCTCGACTGAGAAAGTACCACTCTCTTACTACAGAAGATCGGGGTGAAGTAGTCTTTAATGGCTGCGTTTCGTCCAATGAGTGAGAGAGCCGATGTGACATAGCCAGTTGTGTAGATGCTGAAAACAGATAAGCAAAGATTCTATCAAAACTAAGAAAACATTACAAACATATATTTTTACACAATTTACATGCCTAAGTTTATTACCTAAGCCTTACTAGTTGAAACATTTGCATAGCAGTGCCAATACTTACAAAATCGTTTTAGGAACCTTTATTTTAATGTAGTGCAAGTCATGAAAGCGAGAAGTAAGCAATTTGGAAAGATGCATCATGTTTTATTCGCTCACATTATACCAGAAATGTTTCAGATATTTAATTCATAAATTAGTGTAGTCAATACAAACAAAACTGACAAATGTTTTAGACTCTATCTTTTATTATAAAATGATTTCGAAAACGTTACACTCGATTTAAAATTTTACCAACCAATTAGAGAAGGAGAAACACAAATGTAGTATTTATTTACTTTGTTAAATCGATTTGTGACGTACTCCAGCGTACTCCTTAATTTTTGATTATATGAGATGGAAGATTATATATGAATATAACTTGCGTTAAGTATATTTTATATATATACAAAGCAGAAAAAGCTTATACACACAATAATGTTTTTTATTTTCACAAGTACAGATTTAATTAAAACGTTCTTTTCTCTAAAGATGTAGTGCTCAGTAGTTTATAGCTTGTTGACTTAGAGAAATGTTTCAAAAATGGAAATCTCCCAAGCAAGTAATGAGATTTTACTAAGTTTTGAACATATTTTTTTCTTAATATGCCAAGAAAATTGATTTTCTTTTATTCGGCAGTACATACTGTAATACAAGATGTTATATTTGTAATATTGGGAGGTTCCATCTTTGCCGATTATGCCTATACATCTACCAATAATAATATCCTACACATAATATGTCGTATTAAATTTAAATTTTTATTACAACAATATTGGAATATTTTATATTTTTTTTTATATTTTAAAATAAACGTCAGAAAATATTTATTAGCAGTGGTCCTCATTTAATAATAATCGTTAATCTTGTTAGCGTTATGTAAACTAAAGTTACATAATTTTTTCAATATTTGGTACAATTGAAACTTGATTTTATTATAAAATATAAAACAAGTTAAGGGTCAGACTCGAATGATATATAAAAGGACATTTCGATATGAAACAGCATCAAATCAAAATCATTTACCACAACATAAACATGATGTCGAAGGTGAGATAGAGTTATCTTCTATATATATAAAAATGGATTGCTGTTCCTTAGTCTCGCTAAAACTCGAGAACGGCTGAACGAATTTATCTTATCTTAGTCTTGAAATGTTCGTGGAGGTTCAGGAAAGGTATAAAAGCTGAAAAAAATTGATTCATTACTGGGAAAACCATAAAAACAGCCCTTTTCTATTTCCCATACAAACGTTTTTTTTTTGACATTAGATTTGACAACTAACTAATATGTCAATCATTCTGTCGCACTTCAGGTAAACTCCAAAAATATAAATAAAAAAACGTAATAGATATTTCTTGATTAAAGGGCGATACGAAGTTCGCCAGGTCTTCTAGTATTTTATAAAACCAAAATTATTTTTTAGTATTATAAAATATAATTTACAATTTTGTTAACTACTTAAATTTTTTATTTATATTTTTATAGGTTCTCGTTTTAGTAGCCCTACTGGGAGCAGCAAGTGCTCAATATTATTCTCACGGACAAGCCACCTCATCCCAGTCCATCATTCGTCATGACAACCAACACGGATACAACCACGTTCAACCTATCGCCGTCCATTCAGCTCCTATCTCATATCATCAACCTGCTATAGCTGTTCACGCTGCCCCAGTCTCTAGTCACGTCAGTGTTCAACACGCTGCTCCAATCCTTCAACAGGCTGCTCCAGTCATTCAACACGTTGCTCCCATTGCTCATGTAGCTCCCGTGGCTTATCATGCAGCACCTGTTCATGCTCAAGCCCAGCAAGAATATTACGTAAGTTTATGATCCTAAACTTTTAATAATACTAGTTTTAATCAAAATAATTTTCACATCTAGTTCTGCTTATGTTAGACATTATTCATGTTTATAATGCCCTATACTTTTTAGTCCCACCCCAAGTACGAGTTTGAGTACAGCGTAGCCGACACTCATACTGGTGATATCAAATCTCAACATGAAGCTCGTGATGGTGACCAAGTGACCGGCTCCTACAGTCTTCATCAACCTGATGGTTCAATACGTACCGTACACTACAGCGCGGATGCACACAGCGGGTAATTTACTCTTATTTCCATATAGAATAACTTTAATGTCCACATTTTACCTAAGTTAATAGTTATTATATAAGTTAAAAATCATAATCTGTATATTGAACTTTATTTCAGATTCAACGCTCAAGTAGAAAATTCTGGTCCTTCAACACATGTCCAGCCACAACCTCACTATGCTCCTGTTCATGTTCTTTCCCATCATTGATAATATTATATTTTTACGAATTGATAATATAGCTAGTTCTATTAATGTACTTAGAAACTATGTACTTGTAAAAATAATAATAAATCGTTTTAAATTTTATATTTTGTTGTTTGTTTTACAACTATTATTAGTATCTCAACAAAAATATATATCTTTTCCTAAAGGCTCAGAAAACATTGTAAAAAAGGAAGCACTTTATTGAAGATATCTAATAAAACTAAATATATACATTTCTTTAAGTTTATCTTACATAACTTTTGAATGTTTTGTTTTATTAATTATGGAGGATTGTAACACAATAAAGCTCTTATTTTTTTCTATATATTTTCGATCTGTTTATGTGTTGAAATTTTAAAAAAATCACGTTCATACGTTTCTTTGTAATGGAAATTAGTGAGATAAATCAATGACTATTTACAAATTATTTATATTATACTTTTTCTATTGATCAATTATTGAAGATAAAATTATTTTAAGAAGCTTTGGATATTTACTTTAGGAGTAATTGTGTGTGATATGTACAAAAGCAATTTCTGGGTTCTTTAGGAAAGGTTGGTCACCTTACTCCTACGCTTAGGTGGTTTTGTGAGATCTACGAGCAACAAATCCGAAATAAATAAAATTCAGGATCCCTTTGACATGCAAACGTGACTCTCCAAATGATTTAACATTATCTACCCATGGGAATAAAATGACTTATCGACGTCAGGAGTCTGTTTTCAGTAGGAGTAATCATAACAGTAGCGTATAACCATTAACATTACGAAATGCTTAGTAGGGGAATTTCCAAGGAAGGTATGAAACCCAAAAAGTTGAATTTCGTTTTTTACCTATTTCATCAGTAAAACTTTTGAACATATTTTCTAAAGCATGATCTTTTACTTCAAAAATTAACCTTTGACAAGAGACTTATAATATTTATGTTAAGATAGTCATGTCAATTTCAAGATGTCACATGTTAACGTGAGGTTATCACGTATGCACTTTTCGGTCTTTGTTTAGAGCGTAAAATGTCATTTCAGATCGTAAACAGTTTTAACTATTTTTATTTTACAAGATTATTTATTATAATAATATACTTAATGTAATAGAAGATCACTTTTATCTTCTATGAAAGTGAATGCTCTTAGAATTTTCTTGTTGATAAATTTATTGCAAGAATATACAAAAATATTGCTTTTTGAATAATTTAGTGAAAGATAATAATTACACTTATAATTAATATTATAGTATTTATGTTTTTATAAAACCATCAAGTCAGTGGTGGCCTAGTGGTTAAAAAAGGGCCTGTCTTTCGTTGCCGAGGGCGTAGGTTCAAATCTGGTAAGTACCAATGTGATTTTTCGGAGTCATGTGTACCTACTTTTTTAGAGTATTTAGACACCACTGACATACGGTGAAGGAAAACATCGTGAGGAAACCTGGACTTCTAGTTTCACAATAATAAGTTTGAAATCACCAACCCGTCTTGAACAAGCGTGGTGATTAATGATCAAACCTTCTCCATGTGAGAAAGAGGCCTTTGCTCAGCTGTGGGCTCTGATAGACTGATGACATAGAACCATCAAAAAACACATATTAAACTTTCTTTTCAGTCTATTTTTTAATAATCCTACACATGTATACTATCCTATCCTACACATGTATATGTGATTTAATCACCTTTATATTTATGTTGTTTATTTCATAATTTCAATAAAATTGATATCCGTTTATGAAATTGGCATTAATAACACAGTACAATTTTAATGACTTTTTTTAATACTACTACTTATTTCATAAAAATTTGAAGCTCCAACAGTGATGCTAGTTTATTTACATATTCAAGATCTAAATAGTATTAGGTCAGTATTTTGCAAGCGCCTTAATAGATCATTTAGTCGTTTATTTTTAGAACACTTCAGAAACTTATTTTAAAACATATTAACGAGTACACAATATATTTCATTCTTTACCTAAACCTAGGTAATTGAACCAATTTTGGATTAACAATGATACAATTCTTAAGTTTATTGTAACATGTATAAAAATCAAAATCCCTAAGAATAAATTAAGGAGAAATATTGGTTTACAGTAATGAACAAAACTCAACTTTATAATGGCAGGTTTTTATTAACGTAACATTTACGTAACAAAGTATAAATTTTGACAGTTTTAGTACAGAATTACAAACCAGTTAAGAAGCAAGATATTTTTTTTTGCATATAAAAGGAACAAGTTGATATGTATTTGTATCATTTAAACACTACTTCGAAAGACAGAAAGATGTTGTCAAAGGTGAGAAAAATTTGCTTTAAAAATAATATTTGACAGAAAATATTTTGAGAAAACTAATTCATATTCTAATATTTCCAAAAATAATGTCCGTATTTGTAACTTATTTCATAAATCTATGCTAAGTAAATAAATTTAAGATTTTACCTCTTATGAAAGGGAAAGTAATAGTTTTTTTTATAGGTTCTCATGTTAGTCGCACTTTTGGGAGCAGCAAGTGCTCAACATTATTCTCACGGACAAGCCACCTCATCCCAGTCCATCATTCGTCATGATAACCAACACGGATACAACCACGTTCAGCCTATCGCCATCCATTCAGCTCCTATCTCATACCATCAACCTGCTATAGCTGTTCACGCTGCCCCAGTCTCTAGCCAAGTCAGTGTTGCTGCTCCAATCATTCAACACGCTGCTCCAATCATTCAACACGCTGCTCCAGTCATTCAACACGTGGCTCCCATAAGACACGTAGCTCCCATTGCTCATGTAGCTCCCGTGGCTTATCATGCAGCACCTGTTCATGCTCAAGAACACCAAGAATATTATGTAAGTATATTATGTTCCTAAAGATTTAAGAAAATTAGTTTTAATCAAAATAATGTCCACATCTAGTATTGTTTTAACTAAACTTAAACCGTTTCCCATCTTTATAATGTCTTATATTTTCCAGTCCCACCCCAAGTACGAGTTTGAGTACAGCGTAGCTGACACTCATACTGGTGATATCAAATCTCAACATGAAGCTCGTGACGGTGACCAAGTGACCGGCTCCTACAGTCTTCATCAACCTGATGGTTCAGTACGTACCGTACACTACAGCGCGGATGCACACAGCGGGTATGTTCGGCATATTTTTGGTTTGACTATACTCACAAACCTATACGGAAAGAGTTGCGTTCTTCTTTCTCAACGCTTATGGTTATAAATTATTAAGTTTGATTTAAACCTGTTTCAGATTCAACGCTCAAGTAGAAAATTCTGGTCCTTCAACACATATCCAGCCTCAACCTCACTATGCTCCTGTTCATGTTCTTCCCCATCATTAATAATATTTTCTTAAAAAACTATTATCATTACTTATAATAATAAACTAAATAATTTAGAACTTATTTTTCATTTTTAACCTCTTTAACCTGCTACTATTCTCCATTATTATGTTCATATATGTAAATGAAAGAAGAAATGAATGAATTAAAAAATCGTTTATAATTTTATTAGATGTCATTATATGTATAAATAAAATTTTGTGCAACAAGTTACATAAAATATATTTTGTTATAAAGTTTTATATATAATTGGGCTCATTAAAGTTAAATAAATAATTATGTCAGTTTACTTCACCACAGACACCGTATAATGTACCTATTTAAAAATTTTATATCTATTCTGTTTTAGTGATGAATTTAAGTATTGTTTAAAAAAAATTGTGAATGAGATAAGAAAAACACTTTTTTTAATATATACCGAGGCTTGCTATACTCCGAGCAATATGAAAATTGGTTTCACCTAATAAATTATTTCAAACATTTATTCTATCACTTGTTTGTCTTTATTCGCCCTTAGTTCAAGTCTTACCTCAACATATATTTGTATTTATAACATTTTATAAATAAATTGAATAAAACTAAGAAATGTTAAGGGGCGAGAAATTGTTAATATTACTTTTTAAATTAATTGAACCATATATGTATATTTAGTATATATAATTATTAAAATAAAAAAATAAAGAACAGGAATCTCCTTGCTCTTTAACGTATTTACATACCTGGTTTTCGTGGATTGCATTTCTCTGGTGAAGTCCAATGACTGGTGGTTGTTCTAAAGGTTTGATCAAACTTTGGGAGCAATGGTCAAGTCGGTTGTACTCCTCAATAAAAAGGATACTGGTCGATCATGATAGCTTGTTTTTATATTTTGTCTATATTTGCCAAAACCCAAAGATCCTTAAGAAAGATTTTAATCCTTAGCTTTATAAATATTAATGCAATCTTAATAGATCAGACACCGATAGACGTCGAAAATATTAAGTATATTAAGATATGTATAGATTAAAATCCTAGCAATACCGATTTCGGGCGTCGTCTGTAAAGAATAAAATTTTAGCTTCTACTTAGGCTGTTCCGTTTAGTTCTGCATATTTTGAAATAAATTAAATTATGAGAATCGGAGAATTAGGAAACGGTCCCTATGCCTTTCCATTTCAATTTAGGAAAGTGCAGAACCAATTTTTGAGTTTTAATACATATGAGATTGCCTTTGTATTTAAGCCTCTTCTAGACGGTCATAAAATTTGTACTCTTGCTTTATGTTCTCAGAAAAAGTGTTTTTAATTGTATAAACCTTAAACCTATAAACCTTTAGGACACTGTATGTATAGATTTTAATATAAAGTTTTCCTACATGAATTAGTTTATTTCAAAAAAATAAAAATGTCATACGTAACAAATCTTTAATAAGCTACGTTATCGTAACCCTAATTCCCTTCGGTTCTGGTGACGTTGCCAAAGCCATTAGGACTAAAAGAAACAGACAAGTCGAAACCTGACATGTCATGAAGATAGCAATAACGTTATCTCCGTAAAACGTTAGGGACAACACAGAAATTCAGATGCATGCATTAAATTAAAAATGTTAATAAAAGTTTTATTTATTTTTTATAAATATTACCTAACTACAAATCTTAGTTAATAGATAGCGAAATTAGATTCTAGTTTGCAATTTTTTTTTTGCAATAGATTTGATTTTTAACAAAGTGAAACTTTTGTTATATCCCCTCAAATTATTGTTATCAGTCTACAAGTATATAAAATACATAACGGTACAGTCGATTATGAAACAGGAGAAAAGTTAAAAGTGCGTTTTAAAGCAGCTAGTTTGAAAATAACAACTCCAACGGGTTGCATCAACTTACCATGAAGCATGCATGAAATAATAAGACAAGTAATAAATAATAAGAAAATAGTAGGCAAGATATTTAACTATTTCTATTTTATAATAACTAAAAAAAGAAGTAATTCAATAATTTACAAAATAAATTTAAGAAATCATTAATTTATTACTAACGGGAACAAGTCAAATTAGGTGTTACTTTTGTAACTAATAATAGACAAAACAATTTCGAACCCTAATGAAAGGCGAAGAAGTAGTAAAATAATAGTTTATATCATTTATTCCTTATTTATTATATTTATAGGTACCTATAGTGTATCTATCTATTAGTGATGAGGAAGTACATGAACAGGAGCATAGTGAGGTTGAGGTTGGACATGTGTTGAAGGACCAGAATTTTCTACTTGAGCGTTGAATCTGAAACAAAATTAAATAATAGATTATAGCTTCTCACTAACAATAACTATTAATTTAAGTAAAATCTCCTAAGAATTATTGTGACATTTAAGTTATTCTTGATATAAATAAACGTAATTTACCCGCTGTGCGCATCCGCGCTGTAGTGTACGGTACGTACTGAACCATCAGGTTGATGAAGACTGTAGGAGCCGGTCACTTGGTCACCGTCACGAGCTTCGTGTTGAGATTTGATATCACCAGTATGAGTGTCAGCTACGCTGTACTCAAACTCGTACTTGGGGTGGGACTAGAAAGTATAAGACATTATAAAGATGGGTAATGGAACTAATATAAGTAACACTAGACTTTATAGTTATTATTGTAAGATACTAAGAAGACCTGCTTACATAATATTCTTGATGTCCTTGAGCATGAACAGGTGCTGCATGATAAGCCACGGGAGCTACATGAGCAATGGGAGCTACGTGTCTTATGGGAGCGACGTGTTGAATGATTGGAGCAGCATGTTGAATGATTGGAGCAGCATGTTGAAGGATTGGAGCAGCATGTTGAACACTGACGTGACTAGAGACTGGCGCAGCGTGAACAGCTATAGCAGGTTGATGATATGAGATTGGAGCTGAATGGACGGCGATAGGTTGAACGTGGTTGTATCCGTGTTGGTTGTCATGACGAATGATGGACTGTGATGAGATCGCTTGTCCGTGAGAATAATGTTGAGCACTTGCTGCTCCCAGTAGACTTACCAATACTAAAACCTTTATAAATAGAAAAAAAAACTTTTATTAATTACTGAAGATATAAATAAGTTTCTTATATATTGTTGTTAAGTTTGAAAATGTATTATAAATTTTTTTTATATAATTTTTCATTAAGCTACATCTCACCTTTGAGATCATGATTGTGAGTTTCGACTTAATTTTCGAATGATACAATTTAATATAATCCAGGGCTTTTTATACATTCATTACGTTGCATTGTAACTGGTTTAAGAATGTTTGACATAATTATACTTGACCCTAAATATTTAAGAAAGTCATTTATTATGTAAAATTTTTTCTTTCTATTTATTACTTCGATATGCACTGGGATTGTATGTATAACACTCGGACTGCTTAAATTAATAATAGTGATCCTATTTTACATTCGCAGTATTAGGACCTGTGAGTACCTAATATGAAGCATTATGCTTAACGATATATTTATATCTTCTATATATATAAAAATGGATTGCTGTTCCTTAGTCTCGCTAAAACTCGAGAACAGCTGAACGGATTTGTCTTATCTTAGTCTTGAAATGTTCGTGGAGGTTCAGGGAAGGTATAAAAGGTGAGAGAAATTGGAATAATTGCCGGGAAAACCCTAAAAACAGCCCTTTTCTATTTCCCATACAAACGCTTTTTTTGACATTAGATTTGACAACTAACTAATATGTCGATCATTCTGTTTGATTGAAACAGGAAAAACCTGATTATTTATGGCCTCTAAGACGGAATAGAGTTCGCCTGGTCAGCTATACCTATATTACTAATGACGAAACTAACGCGGACGAAGTCGCGGGCAAAAACTAGTATAATATAAAGTAATAATTACCTTTTACAGATTCCTTCTTGTTTCCTGTAACAAAATTAATATTAAAATAGTTTTATCTTCTATATGTATAAAAATGGATTGCTGTTCCTTAGTCTCGCTAAAACTCGAGAACAGCTGAACGGATTTGTCTTATCTTAGTCTTGAAATGTTCGTGGAGGTTCAGGGAAGGTATAAAAGGTGAGAGAAATTGGAATAATTGCCGGGAAAACCCTAAAAACAGCCCTTTTCTATTTCCCATACAAACGCTTTTTTTGACATTAGATTTGACAACTAACTAATATGTCGATCATTCTGTTTGATTGAAACAGGAAAAACCTGATTATTTATGGCCTCTAAGACGGAATAGAGTTCGCCTGGTCAGCTATACCTATATTACTAATGACGAAACTAACGCGGACGAAGTCGCGGGCAAAAAACTAGTATAATATAAAGTAATAATTACCTTTTACAGATTCCTTCTTGTTTCCTGTAACAAAATTAATATTAAAATAGTTTTATCTTCTATATGTATAAAAATGGATTGCTGTTCCTTAGTCTCGCTAAAACTCGAGAACAGCTGAACGGATTTGTCTTATCTTAGTCTTGAAATGTTCGTGGAGGTTCAGGGAAGGTATAAAAGGTGAGAGAAATTGGAATAATTGCCGGGAAAACCCTAAAAACAGCCCTTTTCTATTTCCCATACAAACGCTTTTTTTGACATTAGATTTGACAACTAACTAATATGTCGATCATTCTGTTTGATTGAAACAGGAAAAACCTGATTATTTATGGCCTCTAAGACGGAATAGAGTTCGCCTGGTCAGCTATACCTATATTACTAATGACGAAACTAACGCGGACGAAGTCGCGGGCAAAAACTAGTATAATATAAAGTAATAATTACCTTTTACAGATTCCTTCTTGTTTCCTGTAACAAAATTAATATTAAAATAGTTTTAAATTATAAGGTTAGTTTTATTTTAATATTTTACTTAGTATACAATAAATAATAGAGAAAAAGTAAAGTAAATGAAAATAAATCACCTAATAAGTTCTTCAACCGATTTTATTGAATATGAAATGAACTTAATAAATTTACTACTGGTTTACAATTTACTTCTAGGTTACTAATTATAAGATGTTAAAGACATATTATTTCTAGGTGCTATATTTTATTGAAGAAATTAATTAAGATAAATACATATATTCGTTTTAAATAAGTTTTCTTTGGGAAGTTTTTACCATAATTCACTTGAATGCATGCATTTTATAATTCATTAATTATAACTTGATTATGGGGATTTTTATAGCTCCCTAATATGCTTTTAATATTCCCATAACTAATTATTCTTCCCGAGGTTCTTCTAAAGCTTTCAATAACTTATCATATCCATAGGGGCCTTCTAGAACATATAAATTCATAGTTCAACAAATGAGTAGCAATAAAAAATATAAATATTATATTTATACAATGAGATATTAAAAATTCACCATTGCAGAAATCAAATTCAGCGTTTCAAATAATTATGAAAAGTTTTTTTTATCTGTATCACTAAATCACTTTTTGAAGGTTCTCGTATTAGCGGTTGTATATAATATTAGGAGCAGAAAGTAGTATATACACTTAAACTGATGATTTCAAATCTTGTGTGACCACAATATGTGCTATTATTGTGTTATGTGTGTACGTTGACAATTTGGGCGATACTCTTAGAGGGTAGGTTTAAAAAGTTACACTGTCAATATCGATCGAAGTGAATAATTCTTAGTATTGGATTTCCGATCAAAAAAATTAAAAATTCTCTTCCAATTTCTTTCAGATTCAACATTCGAGCAGAACATTCTCCTTCTTCAACACGAACGCTGCAAACGTCCAACCTCCAACTCAATTTTAATAATCTGATCCATATTAATAAAAATGTCAAATACCTAAAATTGTAAGTAAAATAAAGAAGGTCCCCTTGGCAAGCTCGCTCTTCATCTTCATCAACAAATTTGACAAGTAAATATATATATTTTTTAATTAACATTAACGATAGCGCTAACATTCAAAATACTGGGGTTTTAAAATTAAAACAAAAACGTAAATGAAAATAGTTATATTACATAAGCAAACCTCCATTATATATTTCTTAACGTTTCATAAAATGTAATCTCTAATCTATATTCGAAAACGGTAAAAGACTTACAAACTAAAAAGATAAATATAATACAGAAGCTAGCACCTCAGGTACTGATTGTGAAGTCTTGGGCCGTCGTCCCTTAAGATACACCTTATGAAACGCTGTGCCTCTAAGCGAACCTTTCATTGAACCGTTACAAAAGCATCCATGTTACGTAGTCGAATCCTTATCCTAAGTATAGATAGTAATAAATATTGTTGTAGCGTTTAATGGAGAAGAGAACCATGGCCCAAGGATGCTATGGCGACGGGTGCATGCGCAACAGCGGCTGTAGCTGGGTGAGCAGCATGGCCTTGTCTGCTCACAACAGCGTTGAATCTATGGAATAGGTATCATTTATTGAATTGAACTTTATTTTCCATCATTTTACCTGCTCACTTAAATCCAATAATTAAATTGAACTAAAATTTTAAATATTTCTTGGTGTGTTACGTACAAAACTTATTAATTTTAAGTTCCATTAGGATCCTTGTAATAATCTTTATTGATACACTCTACTGTGATACAAAATTTGTAAGATTACTACTGTCTTATGAATAACATAATACTTAATTAAGATGTAAGCTAAAGTACAATGTATGAAAATTTTACACACCCATTATGGTCATCAGCAGAATAGTTAACGGTACGGATGGTGCCATCAGCTTCCACGAGAGAGTACTGGCCCTTTACCACATCACCATCACGGGATTCCCACTGGCTCTTCTGGTCTCCGGTGTGGCCGTCAGCAACACCATAGTTGAATTGGTAGCGAGGATGTGACTGTGTATAAATTTAATTTTTTCTATCAGACTCAAAGTTATAAGACCAATTTCCAATACGTGAAATAATTCTAACATCTTTCTTCTATTCTTTATATTTAAAGCAAAAGTTTTTATAAGACCTTCATGGTTTCTTAATAAAAATAATGTTTTCTTATTTCAGAAATGTTGCCAAATAGCCAAATGAATTACTAACGTATACTTCAACTGGAGCTACGGCATGAGCGACAGGTGCAGCGTGGATTAGAGGAGCTCGAAGAAGTGATCCGTGAGAGAGTAGTCCACCGTGACCTTAAAAAAAACCATGAATTTTTAATAAAAGGTCGAACTGTTTACAAAAATATATAAGAAGACTTTGAAAAAATAAAATAAATTAAGTATAAGTACCTAATCCCCAACCCAAAGCAGGTGCAGCAACAGCGTGGGCAGCAATGGCAGGAGCTGGATGTCCCAAAACTATGCTCTGGGACGATATGGCTCCGTGACCTGCGAGTAAGCCTCCTTGAGCTACTGCCAGCAGAGCGCACACGATGAAAGTCTAGATATGAAACACAGTAATTAAAAATAACAACACTTGTATACACCAAATTATGTAAAAACTTGATATATGAAATAGTCCAATTACCTTAGCGAACATTTTCACAAATATTATTAAGTTGCGAATGTTACTACTGAAAGCACTAGGACTTGATGTGTGTCTAATCTAAGATATCTGGCGCTTATATAGAGGCTGTGGTGTGCCCTATAGATAGAACTAAGGTCCTGTTTGCGGTGTCGCAGGGTACGAAACTATGCTACTACGTATAGTGGGCGCTGTTCGCATTCAAAGGTCGATATTGATGTGGATATCCCTATTGTTTTCTCAAAATTATTTGAAAATAAACATGCATTTCTAATTTCAAGGGCTACTTGAGAAACATGAAAAGATAGAAATGTTTATAAATTATCTTTAAATACATACACATAATTGGTTATTATCGAAATTATATCTCTAAGTAGAATAAAAAAAATTTACTTTATTCACCTTTTACTATATTTACCTTGAAAATTATAAATTGTAAAAATTTTGTTCAGTTTTGAAATCTCAAAATATTAATGTAAAATTAGATATAAATGTGAATGAAAAAGTAAGATTTGAGACTCCTCAAAGGCTGGATGGATACTGAATACTTAATACGAATTAACGTACTTTTCTTTCGTATTAGGAAAAAATTTGTTATTCTAATAATATTAACATCCACTGGATTCCTAGTCAACAAAAATTATTTTTATTAATTTTGTACAGTAACTGTACTGTAATTTTTATAATAGTGCAGTTTGGAGCAAAGTAATGATAATTTTTTCAAACATTATGGTACTAACAATTGATACATTTAAATATACATTCCATGCCAATTTAGGTAAACACATAAATAAGTAAAATAACGAAATAGAACTGTCCACACAATTCTTTCTACCAAAAACTAGCTAAGAATTAGATTAAGAACCATAAATTTATACTTGTGAGTATGTACAGAAAATGGAATAAATATTAAACTATAAAAATGTACATTTATGATGAAAACTATTTATAATTACTTAAAAAATATAATATTACTTCAAATATAAAATTGAAATAAAAATGTTTCTCAAAAATATCTAAGATAGGTTAAGTCGATTTATCGAGAAATTTATAATTGAATTAAAATAAGCAGATGTCTCTCTATAGTAGAACATCAGTGGCGTAACTGGATATTAATGGTATTATTAATTTTATTCTTGGTTGTTCAACCTATGTCGGCTATCGAACAAGCACGTGTTAGTTCATTAATCTCATGTTGTAAGCTATTTAATATTAACATATTATTTAGGTCGTATAGGAAAATTAAATTGCATTTAGAAACTGTACTTGTTTTTGCGTTAAGAGAAAATATTGAACTCACCTATAACCATTTAGCTTGACATTTAACCATTTTAATTTACATAAAAGAACAACAAATTTTGTTATTATATAATAACATGATTGTGTATGAATATTCTTAAAGCTATAGCAGTCTACGATATATAATAAGACTTTTAACCGTGACTGTATTTGTCGATATTAACATGTTAACAAAAACTTTTATTAATTTAATTTTAATCGGTCAGTTCTGTTTCATACTTCAAATATATTTATTTTTAACTGACACATATTTTTTAGAAAGTAGTTCAAACTCATTTGGAATAGTATATATTTGATAAACTGGAGTTATACTGGTTCACTTGGATTTGGTAAGTTAACCTGTGAGGAAATTTTAAGGTTTTGCATATAAATTAAGTCAAGTATAAATAAATTTGAACCAATCAGTGTTTGTTTTCATAAGACTTATCATTGTAATTATGTAATACACGTCGATATGTAAAAATACATATTCTGTCACTATTTACTTTACATTAATTTACTTTACTATATGCTACTGCATTACCTTATTTATTTCACACTTATATTTAACTTAAACTAATTTTTATCAATTTTATCACTATCAAAAAGTGACTAAGTATATAACGGAATGTCTTTATTTTCATTTTCTGTACATTTTCTAACCATCCTTTTTAATTACATATAATAAAACCTTACACAATATAATAATTAATTGTTACATAAGATATTTTATATTATTTATTAGATATCTCATATATTATACTTCATGCGTCTTTATTTTTATTTTATATACTAAAATTTCACCTTGACTATTTTAATATCGAAACTTTTGTATTATTATAGTGTGTTTGTTTTCTAATTCTAATACTTTCTGGTTTACATCAACAAAAGGCAATATACACGGGAGAAGTTTTATTTCTTTTTCAGTACAATTGTTTTATATGCTGAAGCTCAATAAAATATAAAATAAACACATAAGAGAACATAGTCCTATTATTTTTAAAGTTGTTTAAGGAACAGATAATCACTAAAAGGAAAATACAATCAAATGTCGGAAGTTAGATTGTAATACGTGATTTGGGAATAGATTTAGATACTTTCTTTTACTTGACATTAGCAATCAGAACTGGAGCGCGATCGATGTCACGCATGAATCTGAGTCTTGTGATTTATGGATTAAGACAAGAAATTTCTATTAAATGATGTAATAGCTATGTGAAGTTATTTAAGCGTTGTCTTCAACATGATTTGCATAAAGGAATTGACAGATTGTCTTTTAAAATGGACAAATTGTTATCATCATATGAAGAACTAATTATTGATTTTTTTTCTAAATGTACTTTCCATGTATAAACTAATCATAGGAACAATATAAGATCAATAATGAAATCAAAATCTGACTTATTTAGATATCTTTAACAATATAATGGTATTCGTATCAACAGACATTTGTATCAAATAACAAGTATATAACCGGTCTTTGATGTGCTTATATTACTCATCGTGTCATTAACCGACGATGCAAATCAAGATTAACCAGTTATGTTAAATGAAGGTCGAATAAACTTGATATTTTCTAATTAACACGCGATTCCATTTCAAGATCTACTCCATATTCATCGGACGTCTTATAAATATACATTTAAAGAAATTGAAATCTTTTTTGAACTTATCCTTGAATAGAATGTATGGTATACAATTGTGTTGTAATCTAAAACAACTCAATACAAAAGTATGTAATCAATCTTTTTTGCATCGTGCATATCATTAAGATTATGGTAATTTAATTACTCAATGATTAATTTTTTTTCATAAACATGTAAGCTCGGCTTTAACATGTTACGTATTATATAACGAAAGGTAGGTAAATATATGACGTAAATAGTTTTAATTTTGTTTTAACATTTTCTTTCAAAAAAATTAGAAAAATCTACTCTATCTATTATTGTTTATTTGGTTAGATTTTATATAATAAAATATCATATTAAATCGAAAGCGACATACCGTTCTGTTCGTTATTATTTGCAATATATATATCATGACATTTTCATTGTATTATTTTTTTATTTGTTTAGCAATTTGGTTGATTGCTTTTAGAAATGATCAGTGTTGCTTTTCAATAGTTAATAATAGCAACAACAACCGCTTCAAAAGATCTTTTCAAACAGATATGCAATGTATTCAATACCATTGAATGAAGTTTTCGTTCCAATAATAGATCTGTTGCGAAAGTTAAACAATGAACAAATAATTTTTAAAAGATTATAAATTGCATATTATTTTAAAATATATTTAGATGTAATAGTTATAGGTTACGATATTTGATCAATTGATCATAATACTATTGTGTTCTTCACCGTCGGGAAAAATATAAAATTTGAGTAAAACCAGGTTCGAATTCTTGTATGTTGTTGAAACAACGACAAATAAAAATAAATGCAGCCCTCTTCTCTTATGAAATAAATGTAAGTAATGTTGCATTACTTGATTTAGATACTTAAAAGTTAAAGAGTGATTTTATGATATCACGATACAATTGAATGCTTTTTGGGATCACAGTCATTTATATATAATTTAAGTCAAAGTGAAAATATTTTAAAGGTAAAATCACGTTTATAATAATTGTAGAAAGTCAGTTGTTGATGCAGAAAGGATTAATTTTGACTTAAAATGTTAATTTCAACCAATTACAAGTTGAGCATTATGGTGTACCTACTTTTATAGCACGTTTAATTTTTCCACTACTCTGTGACCGGCGGTAACGTGACATGCGCTAGATTAATGAAACAACTTAAGACAATGTAATAAAAGACTCTGTAAATTAAATTAGCTAAACCTTAATAACTTTGACTAATCAGTTCAAGTTTTGTTTTTAGAAATATATGAAGGAGAATTATTTTGAATCTTGCGATTGCATGCATGATTCATATAATCCAATATAATTAGTGGATAATTTTAGTTGGTATTGAATTAACGAATGATCTTTTATACCAATCGTAATTAAATATATTGATAGTTTCCCGAGGCTAGTTTTGTTTTTTATAAAACTCTAATAAACTACTAATTTAATGATAACTAATAACAACTATAATTGATATAAGAAGGAAAACGGTATTTTGTTTTCAAAAAACCTACACCCGAATTCATTATTTTATAGCATTAAAATTACACTCATAATAGTGTGTTAATTCATTGAGCTGTTAAATTATATGCATTATTTTTCGTAAGTATATTTTTAGTATCATAACCACGACCTCAGACCTTAATTTCTAATAACCTAAATACCGATAATCAGAACGAATTGATTTATAAAAGGGTAAGGCAAGTGTTGCGACAATAGAAGTCATGTCACGGCCGCGCCTATTGGTGAATGTCTACATATGTGTTACTCGAATTTAATATGCCGCCATATACGGTCACCTAAAACACCACATTCTAACCACACAATTGACTAGTTTAACTTTGGTAACTATTATAACTGGTTCACTAAATATATTTATATTTCCCTCTAGAGAAATATAAAGACATAAAAATAAGAACCATGTTTCATGATGTATCTATATTTTAAAGTATTGTCTGTAAATCATAAAATTTAATTGGTAAAAGTTGATGGAAATTAAAATATTGCGTTCACGCATTTCGTGTGTTTTGCAATTAAGATTGCTTTTAAGAGATACAAGATTATATGATATATCTTATCCGTCCTTAATCTGACAATATAAGTTGGTTTAATAAAACTATATATAAAAGATTTTTTTTACTATAACTTTTATAAAAAAAGAATGTTTAATGCTTTGCAACGTACGTGGCCTTTCTTTAAGGATCTAAATGAAATAAGTCGTTAAATGGTTCAGATTGTAATATTATGAAATTAAAATATAAAAAGAAATTAATCTAAAAATGTAAGCAAAGAAAATAGTTTTTTTTGTATGATATCAATTTAAACGAAAATGATAATAATTCGGTGTTCCTTTGACTTTAACGTTGTAGTTCTTAAAGTATCCCTGAGAACAATTTCTCTGTATAACATTAATTACTTTTGAAAATAATAATTAACCTCCTCATAGACTTCCCTTAATATTTTAAGAATAAAATTGTGATGAGAAAAAACGTTAACATTTTTGCTGTTAAAATAATTTTCACTTTTTATCTCAAATGTTAAAGCGGTTAGAACGTCCTTGTAATACACGAGGCCTACACTCGCTCCAGTTTAAATACTTTCACTATCATTGTGCGATCTCTTACGCAAGTATGTATAAGTTGATACCGCCTGTCGAATTAACAATTGCTCAATTATTATCGATTGTCTTTCTTAAACATATCTCTTCTAATTATGTTTTTATTATCAATGACAGTGGTAATTTCAATGAAATAAACTTTATGTTCCATAATTTTATTAAACAAAAATAACTTAATAACTATTATTTAAAAATATTTAAACAATAACTAGTTTAAATAAATTGGTTTCCTATAACTAATGGACTTAATAAAGCTAGTAGCAGTCTTTTTAATCAGCAATTAGGGCATTATTAACAGAAGTGTTGCTCTTTTCCTATATGAGAAGAATTTACATATACATACATACGTTAAATAGTTCCAATTAAAAATCCCTAATCTAGTTTGTATTTAAAACCTAAATATCAAATATATCGAATATATTAATTGCTGGTTGTTTTTTAATTATTTTCTTAACAACTTCATTCGGATTCGAAGTCCGCGGTGGTTTGTGATAGCGATCATCATCATACCCGTCATCGAATTCCTCGTCGTATCCCGTATTATATTCCGGATGATCTATAACCCTAGGTGGCTTTCTGTGTTTCTTCTTTGGCACTAGAATGTAATCGTCGAGATCATCAGGCTCGTAATAGTCTGGTTTCTTCTGAGGCTTATATTTCTTCTTTGGTCTTGGTGTATCGTAATCTAGATATGAGCTTTCTGGAGGTGGAATATTTGGATATCCGTGTTTATTAGATGGCCATTCGTATTCATCTGGTTTAGAAGGCTTAAATTTGTCACTCTGTTTGTATCGCTGAACTACTTTTTCCAATTCCATATTTGATGCCTCGCTCATATATTTGTCGTAATCGTTAGCGTACGTATCATAAGATGTTATCGGTGGATACTTTTGCTTACGATAATCAGGTTCTTCTGTTTTAGGGTAGGGGTACTTTTGTTTTTTATTCTTATTTTTGCAATTTGGATCAAATTTAAATCCAATATGAGATGTAGCCTCCGGAGTTAATTCATCGTGGGGATGTTTAATTGAAAAGCTATGAGAGTATTCACTGGGTTCGTAATCAATAGGATGTTTTGGTCGCTTAACGAAAGTATAATCATCAAATATGGACTCATATGGATGTCTTCTTTTCTTCTTTTCTTTCGATTTATACGGAACATCTGTATCAGCGTCTTCTGAAAAATCGTAATAGCGATCGTAATCTCTGAGGGCCTTGTCTGCCATCATCGTCTCATCATTAACTTGAACCGGCTGTGTGTTGTCGTTATTAACTGTCGCTGTGAAGCCATGTTGTGGACTTGCTGAATATTCTACAGTTCTAATAGATCCATCCGGTTCTAAAAAACTGTAGTGACCTTAAAATTAAACAAACATTTTATTAACTTGAAAATAATCTTTCATATACTTGAGTCCTAAATCAAGACATCTGCTTATTATCCATAAAAATTATAAACAAATATAAGAAACGTGGAATAAAAATATATACCTTTGACAGAGTCACCATCTTTGGATTCCCAAACTGTCTTAATATCACCAGTTTCTGTATCAGCGACGTCATAGCCGTAGGAATAACTTGGATTTTCCTGTAAAATCAAACGTTCAGAACATAAATATAATTTTAAACTGTCTCCTCCGTAATTATGTTAAACTATAATAAAAAAAACTCATCGAGGAATGTGTTAAATGATAGTTTGCGTGCGTTGACTCCGTATTTTACTTATTATAATATTCCATCGCATGTCAGTTCATTATAATTCATTATTCTAAATCAGCATTCAGTTTTTTTTAAGTTTTCATAATAGTTGGTATGCTACTTGGGTAATGAAGACGAAAATATGTGAGAAAACTGATAGATTTAAGTATCTATTAGTAAACACTTTCAACACTTTCAGTTTGATACGCTTTTTGAATATAGATACAATTTTTTGTGGGCCTTACCAGAGAATCTAAGATTTATTGCTTAAATGACATTGAGCTGACGTTAATAGTTTAAATTTAAATAAATTTAACATGCTATAAGATTGTAGGAGTAACATCATTATATTATATAAATATCATTAATCTACTATTAATTCAATCAAAATTTTAATACGGCAATTTTTCATGTTAACGAGTATAGATAAACTCATAAGAACCTATTCATTCAGCATCTTTAAAAAATGTTGCAGAATCAAAATAAGCACCCATAATTTTTTAAACTTTAATTGATATCTCTATTTTGATACGATTATAAACAAACACTTACTGTCCAAAAAATCTACAACCTGAGTCAAAGTACGATCTTATAATCAAAAAAGAAATATTTCAATTTCAAATAATAAACTTATCAAGCAAAATTTATTATGTTAATTGTATAATAAATACAGCGAAATCTAAAATATAAGTGATTATAAACAACACACGTCTCTCTCAAGTTCAAGATGAGCAACACGCATCGCCTTATCCAATGTCAATGACAGAAGTTGACTTTCATTCCTTCCCGTTAGGTACGTTCACTTTTTATTCATAAAGCAATTATATGTATTATACGTTTTTATTTCGCTTTTATAATTTATAATTAATACAAATAGTTATTACTAATCATTTGTAACAAATAAAATTACTGTCTTTTATACTTTCACTTGATTTTTAAATTAAGATAACGGGATTATAAAGTGTTTCATTTGCTGAAACTCACTTTAAAATAAATTTAACGAGTTACTATCGAGAAACGAGGGTAAGTACTGCTTGCATAACTGGTCCTTAATGTTATGAAAACAAAAAATACTTTCAATTAACTAATATTGTCAACGAACTTAAAATTAGTTTTAAAAAATGTTAGTTATATTGTGGGTGATATTTTGTCTCCCTCTAAAAATATATGTATATTATATTATTATTGAAAAAATATGTATATTAACTTAGTAATAATAAGAAATTATATCTAGTTTTTTGAGTATGAGTGGTATAATAATGACAATAGAGCTATTTTAAGTCAGTGGTGGCCTAGTGGTTAAAAGGCCCGCCTCTCATGCACGAGGGCGCGGGTACGATCCTGACCCGGGTAAGTACCAATGTGATTTTTCCGAGTCATATATACTTTCTAAGGGTATTTAGACATCACTGATTAATGCTGATTCCCACAAAGAGGGTTGATGTCAGGCAGGCGGCCGGTCGTAAAAACAAATAGCCAAAACTATTCACAAACATGTAAGGCAGACCCTTTAGCTGGGAAATTGCCAGGTAGAAGAATGTAATAGAACTATTTTAAAATAAAACAAATACTACTTACTTTATCACTTTCTTCATTTCCCGAAGGTTCGTTAAATAGATGGCCTTCTTGGCCATGAGTAAGTAACACATTAGCTAAAATAACCTTTAAATAAAAAAATATGATATTAATATTATAACTAGTTTTATCATAATATTTATTTTGAAACCAACATCTAAAACACTTACCAACGACAGTATTTTAGCCATAATCACTTCAAAACAAACCTAACCCACCATACAGATTCAAGTCATTAACAATTTCTCAGAAATTAAATGTTTCAGTGATAATCAGTATATACTTGTCCATATCCAAGGTTGGAAACGAAGACCGCATGCGATGTCCATCACATACCTATTTATAAACACACACAATGATAAGACTTATGTGCGTACACGCACACACACTGTCTCACAACTAGGATGCACCCTCTTTAATTACTGCATTGTCCAAAGATTTATTCATTTGTAACAATGTTGTCTACATAACACGAGGCCTGCTAATGCCAAGATTATCTTTATTATGTATAGCATTTAAGTTTAATTTCGTTTGTATATATAAATGTGAAAAATGTCGTAAAATATTTATAAATAATAATTTATATAAATCCTAAATTATATTTAATACTATATATATAACGCAACATTAGTTTTTCAATTAGCAAAAGTGGTAGCGTACTTTATTTGAATACGTCAAGTAACAAATATAACCTTGGCGGTATATGTATCGGTTACTGCACATGCTTGTGTTGATATTTCAAAACTTTTCATGCAAATCAATGAAAGTGAATGTGTTGTATAATAATTGCGTGCACTGAACGCATACCGTTGTAACAGACGGCTATTACAAAGACTTATATATATTATTTTATTACTATTCGACGTATTTTAGCATTTAAAATACATTTACACTCTTATAAAAAAGTTTATATCATGAAAGTGGATTTATTGTTTCTTCGGAGAGATTCTTGCATTTTCTTCATAAATTTCATAGAGCAGACCACTTTTTTATAAATTTCTCTTTCAGTGAGCAAAACACTTTAATATTATCAAAAGAAGCGAAATAACGGCTCATTTATCTTTCATAATGATTGGCGATCATTACTTTCCATGCATGAGTTCATGCTGTAATAATGAAGAATTAGATCAGGAAGGAATGAGTGATGATTTCCTATTTCTTTTCTTTTAACACTGTTGCCAGCTTAATATTAATAACGATATTAAACGGACTGTTTCTTTTTCACTTTTTTTTAATAACACTGACGTGCGAAATTAAAAGTAAAGAGTCTATATTTTTCTTCAAGTAAAATTATTTATATTTTTAATAACGTTCGGAAATATAGAGTTTTTATTGAAACATGTAACTCGGTCAGCATTTTTTTTATTTTCGTTTACAATAAGTTATTTCGCTAACTGCTAAGTGTATGACAAGTTTTTGTTTTTAATTCTTTTCAGCATTTACAATATCACAGGAAAGTTACTTGTAGCGCCATCTATTGGTACAATACACGACTTATCATTTGACTGTTTTGTGTAACGCCCTCTAGTGGTAGCCATAGGTGCGAACGGTTTCGTATTGTTTCGGATAAACTTCAGTGTGGTGAGGCTGTCCTATCCGCTTGACAACAGCTTGAAAGCCATTAAGCTTGTCAGCTGTATATTCCACGAGGCGTGTAGTGCCATCTGCTTCAGCAAGAGAATATGCACCTGGATATAAAACAAAAAATTAAAATAATATTATTAAAAAAGTATGTGAAAAACTTCTCAACGAATTTTAATCAAACTTTACAGTAATGAAGCAAATAATTACTTAGAAGTTATTACTAATCCCATAATCATCTACAGTTCACTTCATACAACCATATCATTTATGACGTCACGTGACACAAACTATAAATGTCTCTGTCAATTGGTTGCCATAATCTTATTGCCCATCACAAATATCTGTCTTATACAAAAGTAATTAAAAATATCGGGTCAATGACTTTTATTTGCATTTTTTTATGTAACAACTTATTGTACCTCTTACTACGTCACCATCCCGGACCTCCCACGCAGTTTTGTGATCTCCAGTGTGGGGATCGTTCACTGAGTAGTCGTAGTTATATTTTGGATACGCCTGAAGAAAAGTAATAGATTATATTAAGTGATAGTCACAATGTACCAGCGCCTGTGGAAATATTGACAAAAATATACCATCTGACAATTATTCTCATTATATGAATATTAAATTTAATAAAAACAGTTTTTTAACAAAAATAAACGATAAAAGACTATAAGTTATATTAAAATTGATCTATAGAAACATATTATTTACAATAATCTCTAAAATATTATGTCCTTATAATATTTTTCATTTTGTTTAATGATTTGATCATACAAAAGACATCAACGCCATCCTTGATTCATTTAAATTTATCCCTAAGCCTATTTGTTTAAGCATCACGCAGTTTTAAAAAACCGCATGTTTATTATTCTTTACTTAGGAAAGCCTTTACTTTAGGAAAGGAAAAAGTAATTACCGAATGACCGATCGATTAAGTTCGATAATGGTTTGTTTCACGTTTGTATATATAAACTTGGTAGTCGCAATTTTATGAACGATATTATTAAGATTGCAACAGCAATAAGAAAGACACAGATATGTCGCAAACGGGGATGTCACGGTGTGCGGTTCCCCTTCAACAATAAACTGTTATTTGCTATAAATGTACTGAAGGCATTATTATACATTGGGAACAATGTACATGTGAAACTGACGCAGTCATGTGTTTAGGCTTAATATTGTGACACTTTTTTCTTAGTAGGTATAGTATAGTAAAGGAAATTTTAATAAAAAATATGAGGCAATAAACTGATTTCGTTCTAATTGATTCTTTTATAATTATATTATTTTAAAAGTGACATTCTTTGTTTGAGAGCAAACTGATTGTTCGATATTTGTATCGATAAATTAATTCATGGATAACTTTTATACTTGAAAGAGATTTTATACCGAACTATTTTTAATACAAAAAATTCTGAGGCAGTCTGTTTAAATCATAACATATCATTTTGTTAATAAAATAGCATTGGGTGTTAATAAATTCTCCAGTTGATTCTTTATTTTACCGAATGCAAAAGACCTCACAAAAATTGGTAAGTACATCTATTTAGATGTGCAAAATGATTTAAAATACATAGTCTCATTCAAAAATAAAATATTAATATTATAAAAAGGACAAACTAAACCTCACAGAGTCTATAATTCGAAATGTCTGCTATGATATAAGGAATTAAACTATAGGAAATATACAAAAAAAATAAGACAATATTTTGAGTGTAATATTTACATACATAATAATTTCCTTGGATATCTCCGCTGTAGTCCTTGTATGTATTTCTATATGTGACGTATCCAGGATAGTATCCATAGCCTTCGCGAGGATACCCGATATAACCAGCTTCGATGATGACGCATGTGGTTAATAACAAACAAACCTGAAAAGCACCATATTACAAAATTTTAAAGTCCAATTTGGTTTGTACGAAAGCCATAACTACTTATTGATTTCTTAAAATATAGATATATGGGTTAAACATGAAACCTTCAGTGTCAGTATGATAGTAATAAGAAAAATAAAAATTCAAGTAGGAGTGGACACGTGATAATTATTAAACTATTAATTTTATAAGGGACTTAAAATCAAAATGTCGGGAAAGAAACTAGATCGATATCTAAAAAATAAGTTTGTTACAAATTTGTACTCGCAAAAAGTTACATAATTGTTTGAATATTAATAAATACATGTAAAATTATTTTTTTGTTTAGAATAAACAACAAAAGAATGGTATAAAATTACAAAAAAAATATGGTTGACTTCAAATTTTTTTTTCTTATTGAACTATGTTTATGAATTTAAAAAACTCATCATTTACTATGCACTGCCTTAGGCAAAAAAAATCAATTAATGAAAATCTAGTTCTATCGACTATGACTAATACAACTGGGTAAATTATGCAAAAAACTGAGAACAAGGTCACAAGTATGAATCATAATAAAACAAAGCGCTTCCAGATATCTGTTAAGAGGGAAGCTCACATGTAACAGAAGTACATCGAACAATGGTGATTAAAAAACAAACATCGGAAGCATTGTAGTAGTCAATAATAAATTGTATAATATCCGTCTAACACGCTCCACTAGAAGGGATAAGTTACGTGTAATTTTTTAAACTATATTAGATTTAAGGCTCACTTCACACGTGATTACTGTTTGATTTTATCACACTCTTGTTATATAAAAATGTATATGTGATTTTTAATATAGGATAAAATAAATTTATTCTTAATATGTCAAGTGTGATTTAATTTTCTGATTGAAAATTAGTGTAACATCATATGTACTACACCTTAGTTGAGTAAACAGTTTCAATTGATACGTGTGTTATACAATCGTTTATTAAATAATGAGATTATGTATTTGTGTATTAGGTCATAACCTATTTACTTACTTATAACAGTATTATAGTTTTATTGATATAATAAATAACTTAAAAAAATCTTCCTTACTCTTACGCACAAAATTTTAAAGTGAGTATCATTAAATACTAGAATGATAAATGTGTGGGAAGGAAATAAAAAACCTATTTTCATGACTTCACTGATAATGGCACTAATATTCGAATGCTTGTGAATGTGATCTTTTTCTTTACTTCATCTGTACTTCATTTTTTATTTGTTTGCATTAACTATCGGAAATAATCTGAAATCATTGTAACGATTTTACAGGAAATATAAAAGAAAATAACTTATTTTATGATATGAGACGCATATGTATGAAAAACTTAAAGTATTATATATATATATATATATATATCCATGGCTAAACATTTAATAAAGACAATAATAACTCTATTACTTTCATAACAAATTCTTACAGTCAATTGTAACGAGTTTTGTAAGTTCAAGAGAGCCGTACACAAAAATAAATTAAGCCCTTTTTATTTGGTTCTCAAAAAAATAATAACTAATAAGCAATTACCACATATAAAATTGTGTGATGGCGATTAAATATTTAAATTATAGGCATACATGCGATTTTAAAGTGTTAAAATAGTGATTTAAATAAGTAATTCCGTGAATAAATCAATAAATGTTGCTCATACTTACATGTAATAGATACATCGTTACCACTTTACTCTTCTTCAGAAGGAAATAAACTGAACCTCGTACTGTACTGAGGTCTTCCATTTATATAGAGGTGCCAGTTACAACATCTTGGCGTATTTGTTACGACTTCTAACAATGAACAGGGATGAAATTATAAATTAAAAATTATATGTAGCTTGGGAACATAGGTACCTACCTACGATTCTTTATTTCAATTTACATTGAGACAAAAAAATTTACAGATGTTATATTTTATTTAAATTTCATACTATTACCATATGATCTTTTGTTTGTGTACGATTTTTGTTATTTTTTAGTATTTTTAGTTAATTTAAATAGGCAAATACGTCGTTAAATTAGTCACCATTTCATGATTACGACTTTATAATCATTTAATTATTCCTTTATGGAAGTGTGGTTATATAGATCCATACAATGTATGAATTTAAACTTTACCAAATCAAGTTTTGATTTTATAAATTATTGTATTTCTATGGTTCAACGTAAAATAGAATTGTAAGCTATTGTAATATATTTTGAATGTGAACCTCAATAAACTAAATCTCACTAGAAAATAATAAGTGACCAATTTTTTACATTTCACCACGGTGATAGAATCTGACTTATAATTTTATTCAAAATTAAGAAATGGCCTAAGTTAGTTTACTTTTTTTGCTTATTTTAGTCTTCCGTAATGTATATTAAAAAAAATATGTAGGTACTTTAGATCGAAAAATTTGCATAACTTTAAGTAAAAAATTAACATAAATATTCCAGTTACTAAAAAAATCCATTTAAGACTATAATTAATATTCCATTTAAATATCACTCAATATTTTTCAATATAGATAACAATATTTCACAATTAAGTAATATTGACATGATATGTTTTTGTTAAATTGATACGGAAATTGTACTGTTCTAATCTATTGAATATTAATATTTGCTATAACAAGTATCTTATAATTTGATTGAAACAGTGTTAAAATAAATAATGTCGTAACAAATAGAATTATTCACAATTATTCATAAGATTCAAAGCAACAAGAGCAATTCTTTTTAGTTCTTAGCAACTATTTATTGGTCATCCGTAAGGTTTTGGAATTAGGCTATTATGATAGATGAAGGAAAGCCCATTTGAAATATAAAAGCTGGATGTTATAAATAGGTACCTGGCTGTGTGAAAATGCATTGGATTCTCTGTTTTGAAACTAATAATTCTGATAATTGACTTCCATTATAGTGAACCACATCATACATTTATTTATTAAAAGTATTTCATTAATTATATCCTCATGTTTAAATAATTAAGTTTTTTGAGTTGTATAATTACTATTGTGCAAGCATTTAAACGTTCGCACTTAGTTATGTAAGTAAAATTTAATATATTTACAATTATGCATCTTGTTTTTAATAAATAACAAAAACTATTGCAATATGGCTATGTAACTCTCACATTGTTTCATTTCTCAAATTATGAGAAAGTTGTTATGAACGATTTTCCTGGATCAGTCTTTCAATATTTATAATAAATTCTTAAGAACTTTTATTAATCAGCAAATTAAAGTACATCCTCGTAACAATACCGTGTACGGAAAAACCAATAGGGAGCGGGGGGCCAGTTGTTACAGGGGTAAGAAGTTACACGCATTTTTTACCGGGATGTTCAACTCTTTGGTAGACGTAAGTGGACTCATTTGTTTTCTTATAACATCGTGCGTTACAAAAAAACAATCGGCGACCCGCCAAGCGGCTAACTGTTAGGTTTTGTGCACGTGTCTCGATTTCCATCAAGTACGTAACAAAATCTGTTACGAAGTTTTTGATTCCTGCTGTCTATATTTGTTATTCTCTAAATTCTTTTCACCTCGAACGTTCATAATGTATCGAGTTTTAATTTGTAATAGCGTTTTATTCTGCTATTGATATCCATTAATGGCAGCTTTAATTTTAATTAAAAAACACACCATGGGGCAGGTTGTTACAGTTTTTCGGGGTAGGTTGTTACATGCAACAACTTGCATCAGATCTTGTATTACCGTTCATCTCATTGACTATCATTTAGAAATTACTACGCTGTTACTAAAAATTAGAATAAATGGAAAGAAATTGGAGCTTTCAAAATTTAAAGTACATTTGAAAATTTTTCGCCTTCAAAGATAAGGTCTTTTCCCAAGGCAGAGGCTCAAAAACAATCCATCCATAACCGTCATAAACGTAAGTCCGCTGTACTAACCGACACACCTGAAAAAGACTCATTACAAAAAGAGTATGAAGAAAAACTGGCCAAGACCAAAAAAAACTGTTTATACAGTATCGTACACGTAACTATAAATTTTACTGCAATATAAGTGTCTTGAAAATGGTAGATTTTAGTTTGACTGAAGTGGCAAGTTAAAACAGTATAAATAATTTATTACATGTTGGTATTTACTGACGAAGTTTTCTAATTCAGTAATGAAAAAGTGTTTTCTATAAGATTTAAGAAAGTTTCTGCCAAATTTATGTGATTATTACTGTTAAAAAGTTGGAAAATTACGATATAGATATTATAATTGCTCATAAATGTTATAAGACTGATCAAAATATTTTTTTTATTCATAACGTTTTGAAATAATAAAAAATAAATGATTTATTATCGTTAATTTTGTTTATTTACCTACTGTAACATCGTGCCCCGAAGCTGTAACAACTTGCCCCAAGTCAGGGGTAAGTTGTTGCAATCGACTTATTTCATTAATTCTCTATTTTAGGAAAAATTACGTAAATTTTAATATTTTTCCAATTCTATTCTACTAGCTGAATAGACTCACTAATGGTAAAAGCAATCAAATGTATACATTATCTGATAGCTTTTGTGATATTAATAATTATCTAAAAATTGTAACAACGTGCCCCCCGCTCCCTACTGGTTTATGAGACACTGAAAACTTAGATATAAATGTAAAAAATACCAACATAATTGTAATAAATAAATAAATAATTAAAAAGATGGGACAAATTTCTAAGTATAATAAAATTTCAGTTTATGTTTAGTAAGTAACGTAAGCTTCAACTGCCTCCGAAGGATCTGTAATTTTAGTATTACTACATACCCTTTACATTTTGATCGCGCTTAAATGTGTTTAAACATTTGTTAGAAATAAACTGCTAACACGTAAAATACAGTAATTTTCATCTGTTTTCTTGAACGTTACGCGAAAAGTATGATCTATGTTATATATTGTTAAAGATAAAATAAAATGGTAACATCTATATTTAAAAATGATCTTACTTGATCTTAAAGGATCTACTTATATCTACTGAAATAATAAAATACCTTTATCTTTCCACATTTCTCATAGTGCGTTTATTAACACATTACGGCTTAAAGTAGGGCAAGATATTTGTTAGTATATTATTTGAACTTGCGACCCTGAACTAGTTTTGAACTGATAATTTTAGAAAATTGATTCATTCTCAACGAGCCTTTACAGCCAGGAAGGCCACTTTTTACATAAATCTCTAAATCTAAAAAATATTGCGAGGAGAACAGAAAATCTATCATAATTTTAAATTGAATAAGGCATGTGAGAGATTAGCAACTACCTTTATGGTGGAGATGTCAACCGGCTTCGGTGACCAATTTATATGATAATAGACTGTTCCTTTTTTGTCTGGGAAACAAAAATAAATGGTTTATTCGTTTTAAAACAGATGAATGAATATTGATTACATTAAAACGATATTACCGTTAAGTCTAATAAAATAAATCACCATTTAAATCAATTATAACGTTATAATATACTCTGGATGCAGTTTTAAAAGCAACGTCTTCTCTAAAAAAAAATTAGAAAAAACAAAAAAATATAACACATGAATCGGTAATTTGAAATATAACTATATTACCAAATTTTCAGAAAAAAAAACATTCTGTTTCAAGGCTTCACTTAAAATGATGATATTATGATGACTATTAAGGGGAACATATATCAAGTTTTTGAAAAATCAATTGAATGTAATTTTTTTCACCAAAATGCTCATCGTCCGTAATATTCATTGCAATATTTTAATAAAAATCGTAGAATATGAAATAAAGTTTAATATTATGTTGAATTACGTAACTTATTCCTCGCGCCATCTTTTGTCGACATTCAAAACTATTTATTCCTTATAGACAATGATTACATTTACACGCTTGGCTTCTCAAAACGATTGTAACAACCGTCGCTAGATGGCAGTGCAAGGATTTTTATAGTCTACAATAAGGATACTAAACAATCTTATGAGATACTAAGATATTGAAAAAGTAGTTAATAACTTTTGTATTAATACCAACATTTTGTTTAAAGTAAGCCTTTATTTTAAGTTTTTAATACTTTTTAAAAGTAAAACGCAATTATTTTAAATGCTAAAAGTATCTTTGGTGACTTATTATTATTATAACCTCGTTTAGTGAGAATAATAGTAAAGTTTATTTTTTGGACCAAGTTTGACATTTTGTAACATTGATATGACACGATTGATCCCCTTAATGTACATATAAAGAAATAGTTGGTTGCTTCGTTTACTAAATACTTCTAATTAATTGTATTTACTTCGTTTACTACTAATTAGTTGTATTTTGGTTACAAAAATATGTTTCGGATGAAATTAAATTTATTGTATCAAGGTCTAAGTATGCACTATTTCTTGGATATTTCTAAGATATAAATCACTTTGGTGCTGTCTGTCGTGTATAGTAACTACATAGCTTACACATTTTTTTTAAATCTGCGGTTGCATATTTAAATTTTAATTTAAATGATCTAATCTATCGGCTTACCAATACTGTATAATGTGTAACCAGTATTTAATTCCAGTCTACCCATTATTTATATTTACATATTTTTTACATAATCTAAATTTATGTCTTTATAGAACTTTCAAGTTAAGATATTGCAAGCATAATCATTTCAGTCTTCCTGTTTTGACAGAAGTTTTATTTTTGCTAAAGTATTTAATTACTTTATATGTTTGGCAATCAATCGTTTCCGAGCCTACAGATTTAGATTTGTTAATAAATTTCGTATTATGGGAGAGTTTTTGTTATATTATATTTT